GCACCCTAATTTGTGGCCCTAATGTAGGAACCAAAGAAAGCAACGGGATAAAAATCAGAATCTGTATATACAATTTTGACTGAATTTGATATCGTGAGAATGAGACCTAATTCTCATCATACGTCAAGATGCACCTTCTATCTATATCGCGTTGCTTTAATATGACGTCATATCGAAAGAAAATGAAGAATATAATGTGCAGATATTTAGTCTCACATTAGTCTTCGCATCGAGAGTAGCACAGGCACACGACTATTTACTTATTCGACTAGAAAATATTTTGAAAACATCTACGAAAGAAGTTGCAGAATTAACGCAAACATCTATTAAGAAAGAATCATTTGTACCAAAGACGTTGGCTATTTGCAAAACCTACAAATGAACACGTTCTGGAAAGTCGTCCAAACAACAGTCACGTTCGGAGTGGTTGGTTACGCTGCCTACCTTTGGTATGACATCTGGCGGGAAGAGCAACGAGAAGTGAGCATTCTCAACACAAAAGCTTTCATTCTCTTTGTCAATATTTAAAGATAATAACTCGCTAGCCATGCAGAATTGGGTGAAATTCTAATTGTCTACTGAACGAAAAAAAGTTAACAATTTCAGTATAATTTACATTAAAAGCTAACTGTTCAACAGAGCAGGGCAATTGTTACCGATTCAAAATTTCTTAGCAAATGTTCTTGATCCAATATAATCTAAATTCAAGTATGCATCCAGTTGTTTTCCCCCTTAACAAATTGCATAAATTATGTGTAAGAAATAGCCTCTTCTGATGCCTAACATATGCTTTTGATTTTTCATGGAANAAATTTTTTTCATGCTTCTTGTTTTTCATTTTTTTTGCATATGTTGCAAGCAGCAGTCTTAGTGCATGCAAAGATGCTAGAAATTTAATGATAGCTTTTTTCCATCATTGTGTTATAAAACATTATTTTGGTCTCTACAATCTTGAGGAAAAACCCTCACAAATGTTGGTTACAAATCAATAAAATAAATTTTTTTCGACCAATAAATAGATAAACGGCCAAAAAGCTTCAAGAAAATTAGATGGAAATCAACTGTCCGTCAAGCAAAACATTTGGTTTTTGGTATGTAGAGAATGGCGATTGATAAAAAAGATGGGTTTTCTGCATGTATGGATACAACAACCAAAAATCTGCCTTTCCAGAAAGCAAAAAAAATGTAAATGAAAGGCATACAACATCACTGTAATAAGTAGAAAAGGATCAACTTATAACAATGCAAGTTTAAGGAGGGCAGGAAGTGCTAAAGACAGATCAAACATCAACCACTAATTCAGACATGGCTACTCACTCATATTATGACAACAAGAATGGTAGGCCTAGGCCTTTGTCCTTCTTATATATCACATCCTTTTAAAACAAGTAATTATCATGCAATGTTCTGTTAGAAGAACTTTGAAGCTTGAACATTTGAAATTTATCTGGTAAACAGGGGTGTACCTTGACGATCTGGAGTGGGGGGGTGTAAACAGGTGAGTTAACTGACCAAAATTCAACACTTGCTAGTCAATGTATACACACCAATATACTAATATATAAAGTCAAGATACATATCTACCGACAATCCATAAAATTTACGGACCATCTGTAAAATTTATCGACCAACTTTCCAGACAGTCCTCCCCCGGAGATACACCCCTGCTAGTAAAACTCGTAATCTGTTCATTAACAGAAGTTTGTAATTTTGCTTTATATACTTTATTTTTCTAAAGTCTGCAAACAATGTTGGTTGAAATAAATAATCATTCCTATAACTTCAGGATCTGTTAAAATTTTAATTAGTAAAGCAAAAGTTACCAAGAAAGTAACATTGTATTTCAAATGAAAATAAACTGCTAGCAAACAGTGATTATTCACAAAAATGTTGGAACTATTGTACTTTGTACTAATAAAAATTTGATGCACAGAGTTTGAAACCAGCAAGCGACATTCAAAGTAGTAAAGACATTTAGCGTGTGACGTAGAATATGAAGACTGAAATATTAACTGACAATTTAGAGTATATAAGGTTAAGATGGAAATTGGAGTCTGAGGAAGGAGTGTTGCATTGGTCGCCTTTCATAGGCTGGTAATTATTATGGAACTTATGCCCAGGAGCGAAACTACCGGGGGGTGTGGGGGGGGGGGGTGTAACACCCCCCCAATCCAAAAAATAGTCGATTTCGCAGGGCAATCGAAGATTTCGCAGGGCGCCAAGAAGAGCTTTATTGCCACGCAGAAATGCCACTTCTGAAGTTCGTAAAGGGCCTTCTAGGAATTTTGAAATGGAAATATCGTATTTGTTATGAACCTCCCTTCCTGACATTGTATTTAGAGAACGGAACAGGTATGTAAGGAAAAGCTCCGTTATTTGCAAAGCGAAAGCATTTCTTACCGAAAGTCATAGCCAATGGATGCAATGATTGATGCATATGTTTATGAGAGCAAGGTTGAGTCCATGCAAGTTAATTTAAGTTGTAAATTATTTTCATGACAAGCACGGCGTCACTGGAGGGGAATAAGAGGCTGAAGGCCCTCACTTTGGTCAAGATAAGAATTTTTTTATCATTTTTTCTATTACTTTTTAACAGTGCATGAACTAAAAAACATAATAAATCGTTAAGATACCGATTTTGTTTCATCTAATTGCTAACTCTTTCACGTATATTTTTATTATTTTTCTTTTATTTGCATTAATTCAGTAAATCACTTTCTGTATCATTGCAATGTTTTAATTTTGGATGTGTAAACATGGCCTTCTCGCTGCAAGAAACTGCACATTTCTGTTCAGGAAATAAAATTTTCCCAATCAAAACAACATCTCCCTCTGTCATTCACAACTACGTGCAATCTGAAACGAAAGGTTGTCGTTTCTTTCCTTCACCAACGTCTAATACTAGAGTTTTAGCATGACATCCCCAGGCCTTGAAAAAATATTCTTCTTCCTGGCAGCAATATAAAAAATTCAAGATTTCTTGCGAAGCTTCGAGAAAGTTTCCAGCCACTGAAATTGATATTTCAAGTTGCTTGATTTGTTTAAAAATTTGTCCTAAAAAGAAACTGTCACACTAGAAAGAACTAATTGTTGGTCCTGCAATCTTGATCATAGCTATTCGAACAGGAATCATTTTGTTTATACTGTATTAGATGATCAAGGAGAACGTGATCAAGCACGATACTCATAGTTTGTTTTCAAGGTTAAAGAAAGTAGATCTGAAAATCTATAATAACTTTGATTAAATTTCATATCAGTACTAGCAAACTAGATACTTTATAAGTATTGATATATCTATACATCTTGCTCTGGGTGGGTTTATCATCAAAGCTAGTAGTTCATACAACATGTAAGAATACTATTTTATTTTTTAATGGTTAAAATAAAATTTTAAAATCAGGGGTGGTGCTAGAGGCAAAGATTTAAGACTAAAACGCTTACATTCTATAAAGCAAATGATGAAAAATATATGCGAATGCCAGTAGAAAAATACGAATAATAATGGACACATCTACACAGGTTTGGGGCATGCTAACCTTTAAAACAATTGACGTAACAAGATAGGCTGTCTTTAAGTGTTTTTACATATTTAGAATGGCGAATAATGTAATTAAATTAAATCAGTAGCTGAATATCATGGACGGAAATTTGGCATAACAGACGCTTATAATACCAGATGATTGAAAGCTAATCTTCGTTTTTTGTTAGTAGTGCAGAACAAAAATTATACAGTATGTATGTATATCGCAAGAAAACAGCATTCCATAGAAATATTCTAACATGAATTTAATGTTCATATTAAAATCAAGCAATGGAGATTTCACGCTAAAAATTTCCTGGCAAGCATCAACAATTTCCTGCAATGAATTTGGGCCAAAAATTTCCTATTTTTTCCCAATAAACAATAATATTTTCAATAAACAATCAGTTCTTTTAGCACAATAGTATTTTGCTAAATTTTTGTCTGAAAGATGCTTTTTAGCCCTTTTACAAGGTATAATTTCAAAAAATTTCTTCACGTCGGACCCAACCATGGTGGGTCCTCCTACCTCACTAAACTTGATTCTTAGCCCCACTGGGCTAAATTTCGTTGCACTGTCTACATCATGTACCCTCCCCCCCCCAATTAGCTGTTTATTAGCTAGTAATTCGCAAACCAACATTAAATAAAGTGAATATAAAAGAAACAATTTACGCTCAAGTAGAGAAATAGATATTTCATAGGCAATGAAGTTTCAAGTTTATTTTTATTGCTTAGAAGTTTGTCCTTGGTAAAGACCAGTGTACACTGGTAAAGCTTTCACTAGTAACCTATAGACAAACCGTTGCTACGAGCTCTGCAGGGCACCACTCAGTTTTGCAGGGCAGAAACCCTTTTCACCCCCCCCCCAAACCTATTGGCCAAGTTACGCCCCTGTGACAATGTCAACATTTTGTGTGACTTACGTATTGTTTGTTGAATAGGTTCCGTTGATTACACTCAAATCATTCGCGTGTTGATCACTTGTTAGTCAGTTTGTTAGCCTGATAGCCAGCCCATTGTTCTAAAGGAATATATGGACTGGTTATCAGGCTATCAGGTTATCAGCTTGTCTGTTGGAATGACAAACAAAACACCAACCACGGACTTCTTCTGATCCCTTACTGATCACATACTCGCCGTCGTTGGAAAAGCCCTAAAACATTCTACATTTACATGAAAATTCTACGTGAAAACTCCTCTCTTTGCCTGGCGGAGTTTCAACGAACTATTCAAAAGATCGATTTTCATATCCATCTAAAAGTTGAAAAAAATCCTAAGTGGAAAGAAATTGTTCTCACACCATAAACAGTTATGTGGGAAGCTCACAATCAACCGTTGCTCGTTCGTTTTTGTCAGCAGTTTCAGTTGTTAATAAATTTGTCTGTATAATTTTAGTTAAAACAAGGGGACATGCCTTCTTTGAAACCAGTTCTATTCTACTTTTTGCGGAGGAGAAATTTCATCTAGAGGCCTGGGTACAAGCATGCCAAAAGCACAAGTTCTCAATGTTTACAGGTTGATGGCCGTGGAGATTGTCGAGTTTACGGTAACAGTTCCCATGTTTTGACCACGAGATGGAGCTGTTCTTCCGTTAATAAGGCAGTATACGGTAGAGGCAGCAGTAAAGAATAAACCACATTCACTGCGGGTTGCTGGCTTAAGCAAGCTCAGCTTTCTTGAACGTTTGATGTCTTACACTGCGAGGTAGGCCCTTTCAAATCAGTGTTGACGTGTGTAAATATAATTTTGACCGGATATTGATTTTTAAAAATTATTTCAGATGGCGAATAATGTTGTGTATTATTTTTATTCTTTTCAATTTCCGAGCAAGTTCATAAGAAATAAAAACTACAAATATTCTAAAGAGAGAGTGGGAATAATACATTTCTATCGGTTTTTGGCTTTGAGTTTAGTTTCAAAATGAAATGTTACATATGAATTGTTACGCTGTAATTGACCGAGAAGCGTAAAACATTGAGAAAAATGTGACCACCCTGACCACTTTCTGTGTGTATGCAGTAAAATGTTGGAATTTTGTTTTCGATGAGAGTATTTTTGACACTCTTCAGCGAGTAATACAACGACACGTTTAACGCAACATCTTCATTTTGTTCAGAGTAATTACCAGAGAAAATGTGTCATATTGTTAAATTTTATTGCGATTTAAATCACATGTATAAATTTTATTTTGTTTTTCTGGAGGGTGGAAGCTATTATGTAATGTTTACATCTGGCACAATCTCTATTTTTTATTATTGTGTTTTTTTCTTTCATTCAAAAGATATGTTCATTCAAGCTAGATGTTATATAATAAAGATGTTATATAATTAAAAACCTAGCTGTTTAAAATAGTGACCACTATCTGAAATATAATCTATCTATACTGAAATCTAAAATATCAAAAGTCAATATATTTGTGTTAAGCAAAAATTCGAGAGACAGGGGACATATTTTCTTGTTGTTTATGTTGAGAAGCACTTCATTTGAAGTATTTTTATGTGTTTGCTTGTAGCCTGGTTAGATGGCTTCTGTGAAACTTTTGCTGAAAAAGGCCCATTTTCATAGAATTTTAATGCCCCTCCCTACTCACAATAGATTTTGAGTTGAATATGGACATACAAGGTTCTGACTGGCATTGCTTTTCTCTTGAATCAGAGGGGCCAGAAAGGACATTTTGTAATGCCTTAACAACATTTATTTATTCAAAAAATGAACCTTATAATGTCTGAACTTTTTTTAGGTACCCATAGCAAAATGTGCAATCCTTAGAAAGTATGAAAACCACTTTATAAATAACATTTGAAAACTGCTTTATCAATAACATTTAACCTTAATAGCCTGCTTGGAAACAGCCTTGCAAGTAAATTTGTATGCCTTTACAAACAGGAGGCAAAAAATCACAACTTTTTATACAGATTGTTTACAATTTGTTATATTTTGATGTCCAAATTATGAATCATTTCATTAGAATATTTTCAATTTCTTTCAATTGAACAAATTGAAACTAGAATGCAACACATTGACCTTTTGATAGCCTACAAATGCTCCAGTTTTACTTAAAATAATTCCTTTTAAAGTTCTATGCAGCACTGTTCTGAAAATCCAAAGTTGTTTTGATGCCCCCCTAAAAAGTTTGCTGATTCTCCTTGCTTCTTCTCACTTATTGGCATCAATGTTTGCTAAGTTTTGATTTATAAACATGAGGCTTGCTACCTCAATTCATACAAATTTACTCTTTCCTAATCTCCAAAGATTACCACTTTTCAAACAAGCCCAGTTACAAAGGCTTTTTGATGAATAAACATGAGCATGCTTCTGATGACACATGGAAGCTACTTACCAAAATATAAGTTCCATTCTGGCCTGCAGTCAAGTCACAAGTTAATTTAATTGAATTTGCATCAGATTTCTACTCTGTTTTGGCAGAGACAACCGTAATGCAAATCTGCCTACAATTATTGCCAACCATTGAACACTTTGAAATGATATCAAGATTAAGAAGACCTTTGAATGCCGATGTCAGCAATCTTGTGCGTACATTTTATCCCTTTTTTCCCACCCTTACCCCTCCCCCAACCTCATTTTGTCTGAAAACATGAAACTTGAGTAACTTTGATTTATTTGGTGCTATTCATACAATGTATAACATTTCTGGAATGCAAACCTTCTGGTATCTGCTAAATCTGGACACCTAGAACTTTTCAAAGGTGTTTATGATTTTATGTTATTCATTCTCCCTTTTCATTTAAATCTTTCATTTTAAAAGAATTTATTTTTTGTCCTATGTTTAATGGAATGTTTTCCATTTGGCTCTAATGCCGGTAGATATCAAATGTAAACATACAGTTTTCTTTTAATCAATTTTCAAAATGAAAGCTCTATTTGATTAACATACCAGTACCTTTTTTAAAATCCTATCAATTTTTGTTGTTGCTTTTTTGGATGCATCAATGGCTTTAATTTTTCCTGTTTGGAGATATTAGTAGAAATGGGGAAACTAAAGTCTTTTAAGATAAAAGAACAAAAAGAATGCCTCATAGTTGCTGCTATTTTTAATGACTGAATGTTTGGTGAGAATGAATGAATGTTGTTTGTCTATTTCTGTTGCTCACTGTTGTAAGTTGTTCACATGCTTGAGATAAAAGGGTAGTGTAAAGAAATATTGTGTTTATGAAGAAGATATGCTGTGTATAATTTACAGATTACTAGGAATGCTAATTTAAACAAGATATTATTGTCATTTAAAGTCTCTCACCTCTCTAGTCTGCCAATTCAATTGAGCAACCGATTTTGAAAAGCAGTCCTTTTTCTTGTTGCTTATAAAGAAGCTCTGACCCCAGCTTTTGACCTAGCACCAAAAACTCATGTTGGCACAAATTTTCATATTTTGAATTCTTACAATGTTTGCAGTATGGGGAGAATGGATTTGGAGTTCCTTTGACAATGAAAAGTGACAGGGTGTGTAAAATTGCACCTCAGATGATTTTTGCACTTAAATCCCTGCAAAAAGCATAAAGCATTTACCTTGCAAAATTTCAAAAACTATCGTTTGCATATTTCAAACATACATAGTCAGTATGCAAGTTTGTATTAGAAGCTGAATCCTATTCTGAGGCCAAAAATTTAATAGGAATAAATTTTGTAAAATTCCAAAATAAGAGCATCAATTGAAACATTTTTGTCCCATTTGTGTAATTCTAACAAATATATGCGCACATATAAGAATTCTTGGAATACTTTGTAGATGGTGAAAGTTCTTTGAAAACAAAATGCCTATTGTAAAAATTGCCTGGAGCTGCACCTCCTCAACCTCAATTTTCAAAGTGTTGGGTTTAAAGGATCTTATCTCGCCTTGCACCAGAAATATAGTCAGTGTTAGCATACATCTCCCATAGTTGCAAAGGGGCATGTTTCTGTTGCAGATGAAAGCATCAGAAGCTAGGCTGTTAATTTTGTCTTCTCCTGAAAGCCTGAAAAATTTGCTCTCTTACAACCTTGATTGTTATTTGTTCTCTTACACATTTGTTGCTGTACGGATTCAGTGCCTAAAAGGTGTTTATTTTGTCCTCAGCATCGTTGCAGTAATATCAAAATTAGCTGGTTTTCGAAAAAAGGGATTGAAAAATTCCTCATCAGATTCTAAAGCCACCTTTAACCCATAGAATTCCTGGATTTTTCAATGGCATGTGAAATAAAAAATTCACGAGAAATTTGATGAAAATCCCTCTCTCCAAATGCCAAATTTAACATACATTTCTTGATTAATGATTTAGATGTGATCTTCTCGTTTAGATACCAATTTGAAAATGGGCTATGACCTTGCCAGATTCGAAGGAGAAGTCGACGAAGAGCTCCTTTGTTTGATATGCAGCGGCGTCCTGGAGAACCCAGTACAGGCTCCCGTTTGTGAACATGCCTTCTGCTCGGCATGTATCCATGAGTGGTTAAAACGACAAAGTACCTGTCCTGTGGATAGGCAAGTCATTACTTCAGCGCAATTACAGTCTGTCCCAAGGATATTAAAAAACCTTTTAGCAAGGTTGACGATACAGTGCTGTAATGTCGAGTTTGGCTGCAGCGCCTGGGTCAAATTGGATGTTTTAAATGCTCATCTGTCTGAGTGCGAGCACAACCCTAAACGGCCGGTTCACTGCGACCTTGGATGCGGCCTTGTGATCCCCCTGGACGAGATTGGCCAGCATAATTGCGTCAGAGAGCTGAGAAGCATCATCCAGACACAATCCGGCCAAATAACTGACTTGCTTGAAAAGGTTCAGGATCAGCAGCAACAACTTATTGAAAACAAACAGGAGATTTTATTGTTAAAGGACATTATGCGAAGTTTTAGTGTATCGGCGGCTAATTTATCTCTACCGTCGCCATCGCGAAGGAGCTTTATTGACCACGGTGGCACGGACGAGGTTCAGCGATGGATACAGACTTTACAACCCGCGCGGGTTACTCGTTGGGGCGGTATGATATCCACACCGGATGCTGTTTTACAAGCAGTGATTAGACGGTCGCTTTCTGATAGCGGTTGCCCGTCTTGCATTATAGATGACCTAATGGAAAGCGCTCATGAACGGAGGTGGCCCCCAGGATTAAGCACGTTAGAAACAAGGCAGTTGAATAGACGTAAATACGAGCAATACTTTGCGAGGCGGATACCGGGCAAGCAAGCCGTGATTGTTATGTCCTGTGAAAACCAGCATATGGGTGAACCTATGATACTCGAACCCGGTTTAGTTATGATCTTTGCGCACGGTATCGAGTGATCGGTTAATGCTTGTATTGCTATTTTGTGTGTTTAAACATGGAGTATTAGGTTTGGTCTGTTAAAATCTGAGCGTCTTTGTAAGCATTGATACACCTAGTTAATACGATGATGTTTATGCATTGTGTTTCGATAATGTGAAGCCGAATATCGTATTTTTTTCATATTTGTAAAAAATAGAGCCCTAAAGATATGCTACACATCTATTTGTATTGAACTAGGCTTCCATGTTGCCGTAAGCCCTGAAGTCAGCGCTGTGACGCACAACCTATGGTTTTCCCTGCGCGTGAAAACATTCAAAGTGCATGACGGGATAGATAGATCGCGCTGAAACATGGTAGAGGTATAAGGAAGCAGCTTTGAGGCGCAGCTTTGAGGGGCAGCTTTGAGGCGCAGCTTTGAGGCGCAGCTTCCGTATTAAAGAAATAATCAATGTATTTGTGGAGGGGCAGTGAAGCGTTGTTTCCACCCACTTAAACTGGACGCGTCTAAGATGAACTAGGGCAGCAACACTCAGCCTGTACTTAGCGGTTGTATAAGTGGAAATCCAGGGGTTACCTAAATATCTAAAAAAGACAAGTGTTAGCATAATAAAGTGTAAAAATTATGAGGCTACAGGAAAAAATAGGGAATGGTTTTGAAATTTGTACCTCGAAGCTGAGTAGCAAAAATTACAATTTTGCTTCTCTTCAAATTTTTCTTCTATCGTCAACTTTCTATCCAAAATTGGTCGTCAATTATTCTATAAATATTTATAAACAGTTCGAAATTATTTTCGAACTTAGAAGCAGTCATGGCAAACCATAGAACCAATTCCTTTTTCGCAATTAATTTTGAGTTTCATATAAACAAATTTAGGCCTTCTTTGTATTCTAAGTAATGCGACAGCGATAGGTTTACCCCAGGGACTCTAAATATTTCACTCTCACCAACAAGAAGACGAACAACAACAACTTTTCACAGCTCCAGATCTAGGCCTGTAATAAAATGGCCGAATGCACGTGTAAAGAGACAACTTGACGTATTAACAACGCTAACTTTTAATCCCAAGGTATGTTTTTCTTTCCGTTGTATTCAAATTTAATGTAACATAACTACCCGGTATGACAATAATAGGCTTTGCACATTGAAAATTATTTTACTTCTGTCAAAACATTTTGACTTCTCAGGTGTTTTGTAAGGCCCAATTTGCTCATTTCATCTCGTGTTGCTAATAAGATGTTCGTTACTCGCCAAGGTTGTTTTATTCGCTCAGTATGGGTGGCTACAGTTAACCTGCAATGATTGAGCCTAGCTTTACCTAGTAAAACGTCCAATTTTGGTTCTAATTTCAAGAATATTTATATAAGTATCTTGGCTGTTTGTGTCGAACTTCGGTCATCAACGGCCATTTGTTTTTGTCCTTTGCGTAGCATTGTAATGATTTCTAATGATTTAAGTTTTATAAAGATTTGCAAACTGTTTGTTAAAAAAGGATGATGTTTTGAAAAAATATTTATTATAAAAGAAAACTCTTTATCAAAAACTAATCTTGACACACTGTAGTCTAGATGTGTTTTTGCATCTCTATTTTAGTGCCCTCCCCCAAGTTATAAATTCTGATCCTCGTGGAAATAGTTTTGCCTACATGGTAAATCAGTTAGATACAGTATTTCCTCGAATTAGCCCCACCTCGAAAAAGCCCGCACCGTAGAACTACAAATTGTCAATAAGACCCCCCCCCCCGAATAAGCCCACACTGCTACCATAAATTCTCGAATTGGACCCCTCACTTTGATGATTCTTCCCATCTGAGGTTGCCTATATGGTGTTTTATTGAATAACCATAACAAATTCATACTTTTGGTAGTAATTAATTAAATGCTCATAAAGAAATTCCTACTAAAATATACGAGATATTTTAATAATGTATTCTTAATGCCTGCAATAATTTATAAGCCCCCCCCCTTCTTATAAGCCCCCTAATAGGCCCCCATCCAAAAATATCAAAAATAAATAAGCTCCCAGGGGGCTAATTCGAGGATTTACGTTATTTAAAAATGTGGTTTGGATCAAGGCTCAAGATTAACCCTTCCAGATCACTGCCAACACGACTCTAGTATTATTCTCCACCGCTTTATTGATGCTTTCTGCCAAATCGCATACTGCCGTCATTTGTCTGATAAGAAAAAACGTGTTTATCATGGAGACTTTGTCTGTAATAATTTTTGTGTTTTTGCGGTTATGCATGTATCAATTTGTGTTGCTTAATTTATATGACATTATTACAATAGAAGCCCGTCAAAAAAGCGCCAATGACAGTTGTATAGAATTTAGACATACTTTGTACTGTTGTTAAGGATTTTGGTCTAGAATCAATGATTTGGACTTAAATTGTCTGCCCACTCAACGTATTTCAGATTTTTTTTTTTAATTTGCCTTCAAAATCCATATTTTGAGTAATTTGCTATTTCGTGTCCCATAAATAAAAAAGACGCGGTACCTTTGATAGAATTTATCGGTTATCTGCCGAAAACTTTGACCTGATAGCACTAGCAACGGATAGATTATTTCCCTTTGTCACGTGACATTTGTCTTGTCGCCATGATCACAGTCAATTCTATTGACTATGCCATGATGAATCACAACCTAGCCTTGGATACACATAGCAACGCATAATTTATGCCATGGGGATATTGAACGATAGTTTATCTTTGCCGATTTCGAAACATTAAAGGCCTCTGACACAGTTAAAAGTGGCTTACAGCCACTCGACCACGAGCGGTTGACCAATCAAATTGCGCACAGAGAAAAACACGTGAACAGTTTCCGCCTTTCTGCAAATCGGTGAAAGATGAAAATGACGAATACACTCACGCGGTAAGACTGGGATCTAATAAAATTTGAAAACGGCGGGAAAATTTCGAGGGTGGGTTTTCGTCGAAATTTTCCCGCCGTTTTCAAATTTTATTAGATCCCAGTCTTACCGCGTGAGTGTATTCGTCATTTTCATCACATAAAATTTGTAATAATGGTCAATTATCTTTGGAAAATCATGATTGAAATTACTTTGGGCTGTTGCTGAAATTTTTCACTTTTATGAAATCAATTTCGATTCCAGAGGACAAAGATACATTTATTAAGTTCGAGGGTGAATATGAAAGCCTTCGTGCCGTTGTGATAATTACATAGGCGATCACCGCCGAATCTAAGGCTGAACAGTGAGTGCATCCATGACGGGATTATGAACCATTCCTAGATTTAAGGTAAATATATAATTGATTTTGTCTAAATGTGAAATGTCTAAAGCGCTTTGGGTGGGGAGAGGTAAAAACGTAATTTACCTGAATCTCGACACGAAATTTATCGATCATTTGCAAGGTGTTTTTTATATTATTCTTTGCGATCGAACAGTGGCGCCAATATAGGTTAAATAGCAACGCATGATGATGAACTGGACAAAAAATAAGGTGGAAATTCGCTCTGTAAAGGCGTGCAATGTTTTTTGTAGACAATGTGGTAAAAACACGCTGAAATGGCGAAAATGGGCCTAATTCTAGCTCCGAAGCTGTAGCCACTCATACTTAGAACATGGTAGCGAACAGAGCTCTCAGCCAATCAAAGATTTGACCGCTATGCTGGGTTCAGCACCATACAGTAATATACTTTCCACCTTTACAGCACCACACAGTAAAAGAAACGTCTTATCTGACAATACTCTGGCGTAATGGCTGCAGTCTCCATCTTATCATTTAAGAACTGTAGAAGAATTCTGATCAAGTTTATAATGAAAGTTTTAGCGGCTCTGTTTGGTAGTTTTTGTAAAGTTAGCTATCTCGTTTCAATGCAGCCTCCCCCCATACAGAACATTGTTAGTGGAAATATGGCTTTATGATGCCACAATAATTTTTGATTAAGTATCGTAAGGGACAGATCTTTAAGCATATTTGAAAATCCTAAAGCATGAGATAATTTAGCTCATAGACATTTCGTATTCTGATCCCAAAGGAGGTTTTCATCAAAATGTTTCACATTTTTGGTTGTCATCAAGATGGTTGGACTACTAGATGTTTCAAATTTTCAAGAATTTCAATTTTTGTGTCACTGTTAAGTGTGATATTCAGATCACTGATGTTTCTCGCATAACATCAAACGCTTTAACGTAAATTAGCGTTTATATAAATCAGAGAAAGAAGTAGACCAAGACATGAATCCTGTGGTACACCGCAATCGACCCTGTGGTAGCTAGAAGCTGAGTCCGCAACCGGTACACTAGTAGCCTGCGTGCAGACTTTACTTTCCGTTGCGAAGGAGAACCAATACGGAACTGTCCTGGCTCTCCTTCGCAACGGAAAGTAAAGTTTGCACGCAGGCTAGGAGACTAACTTTCAGAAAGAAGTTGGCAATGCTAAAGAATTTGGTTCCTGCTAAATTGAGCAGAACAATAGAAGATTTCATTAAATCCACGTAAATAATATCAGTTTCTAAAATCGGCGCACCGAACTTGAGCTGGCGAGAAGGTGTGTACAGGGGTTGTGTGACACGCCCCCAATACTTCATGAATTGGCTGGAATATCTTCAGTTCGTCCACAAAATCCTTAACTCTGTCGATAAAATCCTCTATCAGAAGTTGAAATAGCACCTAAACTTGTCTCCATCTATGTCTTGGTCGGTATATTTTTCAATTGATGACTCTCTAGCCCCCACGTCTGTAAGGTCAAGCGATGCCACTGTCAGTATCACCTAGGGGGAGAGGTACCCCCACATGTTAAGTGTAATACCGCTACTCCAAGCGCTAAGCCTCGCTCTTACCTGCCTCGTTTGCGCATTTCCTTCGCCCCATTCATCCACTCTCCCAGCGTTAGTCATACTTGTTTGTGCATACTCTTTTACGTCAACTTGCATCGCACTCTTTGTTGCATTGCGTATACTAGTAGGAACACTTTCACTAAGGAAACCCACCCTCTATTATAGTATTATTTTAAGAACTACACTACGGATTGACTCAGCTTATACATACGTATCTAGACACTTTCCTATTGTTTTTTAGCTTGTTTTTCCTCTTATGTAGACACCTAAGATTAGCACATTTACATATTTTATTTGTACAAGGAACTAGTTTAACATATATATATCGTTCTCTACGAATCCTGAGTTAGTGAAGAGTTAGAGCTAGCATTGTGAGCACGTACACTTCGCTCTTGTGAAAGGCTTAGTGTTACAAGTCGTACAACGATATACGTTTGAGAAAACTTGTGTCATTCTGAAGTTTTGCCGAACATTTAGCTCGGAACCTGCCGTATTTAGGAACCAATTTACATAAGGATAGGGGCGCTCAGGGTGGGGGTACGAACCATCAACTCGAAAAGATAATTTTTAGAATATTTTTCATCCCAAGAATTGAATTCATCCCAACAAATATTTTTTCATCCCAATGCACAAGAATGGTTGCAATTTTTCTCTATTTCTTTAAACTTTTCCCATTTTCAAGGCCTTAAAAAAAGACAAAAAAGTTCGTCAACCCAAAAAAGAAATTGTACAAACGACTGCCCCAAACAAGTAACTTTGCTCAAATCCTAGACCTAAAAAGTAACATGAGCACCCCTATGCTAAAAATATGTGAGTACCCCCTGGGCAGTAACTCCCACAAAGTCCCTCATCGGGGGACAATACCCCCTTTCCCTCCTGGTCTGCGTTGTATCAGGTCACCATAATGTTTTTCGAAGCCAGTTAAACTTCGCTTAACATCTCTCAACTAATCACCATTGAACAGGGAGTTCAGAAAACGCTTTCAACATTTCACTGCAGATTCAATGTAGAGCACACCTCGTTGGTAGAGCATGATCCGATCAAACACGGCTTTGTCCAACTCGACTCCCATCCCACATCTTTTCAATTCTATTGTGATGTCATTCTAAATATATTTTTGGAATTTTTTGACTTCGGACCAGGCAACTTAAAACAACACTGAAATATACCTGTAAACTGTGAAAAACAGCTAAATATGTCAATTATTGGGTGGGATACGGCCAATGAAAGATTGGAAGTTTATAACAAATTACTACTATTTTTGTTGGTCAAGCTATGAACAGCGACAAACAAAATAATAGTGATTCGAAGGGGAAAGAGTCTTTGCTTATGTGGCCATATCGCATTCAGTTTCTAATACATTTAGCTGACTTCGCAAATTTATTGGAATTTTGCGATGCTTTTGCAGGTTATGAGATCCAAATTTCTAAAGATAGACTGTTATGACGTCATCAATTCTGTTCTAAAATCATTCCATTACAATAGGCTCTTACTGTTATAAGATGTGATATCACAATAAGATATACGTCGGCTTCACTTTTAAGATTCTAGACTAAACAAGAATACATCACAGCTTTATCTAAATCAAAATATTGACTATTTAGATGTTTATAGCTCGTAAGATCGGAGATGATAGAGAAGGGTGGGCCATCTTGACCAGGGGCGTCACCAAAGGCACATAAAAGATTTTCGTCGGGCGAAAGAATTGTTTTCACCCTATAACATTTTTGCAACAATTGTAATGTATTAATATTTCTGTAGCAGTTGAACCCTCAAACTACACTCTTTTTTATTAGAACAATTTTCTAAGAACACAAGCCTCAAAATTGGTCAAAAGTTAAGAACAAATTAAGAACAAGCTGAGGCTGAGCTTCTGCAAAATGCAATTTTGAACAACGTTTTTTCTCAAAATCGAAAATTTTTAGCGATATGTGGGTGCTTTTTCGATGAATACTCAAATTTGTCAGCAAATTACGGCTGTCTCACTCACTTTGTTCGCAAATAAGGCTTGAACACCTCTCTAGAGCGAAAAAGCTAGCATTGGCACTGCTTACACCCTATTAATTTAAGAACAAATTAAGAACAATCCAGTCTCAGATTTTCGAAAATATTAAGAACAGTCAGCATGAACTCAAATTTACTGGTTCTTATAAAAAAGAGTGTATGGCACTAAGATATGAAGTTTGAAATAGCAGCACATAAAAGAATATAACATTGCTTATCTTGTGACCACACCATTAAAGAGCGAGACACGCCCTTTTTGTTGGCAAAAATCATTTCTGTGCCCCTTTTAAAAACGGATTTGCCCCTGGTCTTGACGACGGTTACAACAACGCAAATAGTATTTAGTCTATATTTCTATTCATTGTTGCTCATGTAAAATATTCGATAGTATACAATTTAACATCATAAAAAAGCAAAACCACACCAGCTAATAAAAACCCGGTGAGACTGATGGAAAGCCTGGTCCAGTTACTACATATGGGTTTCCAGGGGGTCATTTCAAATAGTCTAGATCAAAGGGAATTAGCCAAAAAGTGACTTTGGAGTAGCGAGTGTGTTGGAGGATCTTGGCAAAGCTACAGAAAATATGATATCTAATACAATTATAAGAAAGGCCACAGATAGTACACCCTATTTCCGCATTCAAGCTTTCTTGGCTCGTCACCGGTTTCTCTATCAAATATCAACGATGTCAATTGTTAAGCAGCACAAAACATGACGTAATATTATATTAGCTTAGCTATAATAAACAAACAAACAAAAGCATTTCATATCAGAATGAGGATCTAATCGTCGTTGATTTTCAATAATGTACAGTAATCAAACGTAATTAACCAGTGAATGATATAGGCATAAGAAACTTTAATATGGATAAGCCGTAATAAAGTACGTAATCAGCGTTAGCACTATGATATAAGAAAGAGGACGCGGGAGTAGTGTCATACAAAAACCTCAAGAGATACAAATGCAAATTGAAAACATCGCGCCAAAATAATACTACCGTACAGACCTCTAAGCAATGAGCCAAAATATTCTAAAAGAAGGTGTAGATGTAGTAGCAAGGGCATGCGAACTGGAACATCGCATTCTCTGTGAGTGTTTTGAGCACAACCAAAGGCACAACCGAACCAGCGGGCGGGAGTGATAAGAAATTTTAAAAGGAGTAATCTGTTTCGAATCTTTAGGGTAAAATAACTCTCCATTCTAGGAGGCATGAGGGGAATTCGCTAAAACTACATTTCTAAGGCAGGACCTGTTATCGTACTTTTGTGTTAGCCTCTTAAGCTTGAGCAGAAAAAGGTTCACTGGGAAATAATAGTTTCGCGGGGGCTATTTAGATATGAGTAGGGTAATGTGGAGATGTTGAAGAGATTTTTCAATGGCAAACCGAAAGGGCTCTGACATGGATCTAAACGATGGCCAATATTCAGTTTTGACGTTTTCTATTACGCAGTTCATCTATTAGTGCTTCTACGCAATCTACAATTTCATGAGCTCTAACAAATGTTTGTAATAAATCTGTGAAAACACAGGCTTTAGAAAGCAATGAAACAGAATACTGAACTCAAAAACCACTAGGCCTGAGTAACATGATCCCAAAAATCTACTTTGGTGAAGATGCCCTTAATATTAAGCACCCCGATTCTGTCTATGAGTGACCCTGCTTAAAATTAACGGAAATTTGCAAAATAACATTAACTTTTAAATGATGGTTAGGCTAGGAAAATGTTCTAAATAATACAGGACATATAAATATATCATTATTGGATTTATCAACAAAACTACCAAAAAATATTCTTAGTTAGTATATCAAAATAGAATTATAGCAATAACTCAAGGGCTACTTTGGCACAATAAAGACGCGACAGTCATGAAGAGGTCATAGACCAATACAAACTTCAGGGAGTGAATTTCCCTGTCTACGACCTACTCCTCCATTATAGCGAGAGCAGTCATTTGGTCATTTGTATAAAACATTAACAATACTGATGCATAAAATTCAAGTATTCATTCTGGCAATATGTGAAGCCATTCTTGCGCTTCCAGTCTATGACTCCTTGTGAGTATTTTGATCAGTATTGCAAAATTTTTAGTGAAATGGTTGAACCTTAAATATACAAAAATTACACTACTAACGGCATCAGATCTTCAACTCTCGCGACCTTTTCAAGTCTATTGCAATTCTAGTAAATAAAGGCTCCTCCATCACTTTGTACGTATACTGCAAAGATTGTATTCTATTTAGCCCATCAAGGTCAATTCTCTGCTTCCGTGTTTTGGAATCATGATACATTTTTTGGCTGCAAGAAAGATGTAAGTGTAAACGAGGCAGGTGTAAACGAGGCAAGTAAAAACGAGGCATGTAAAAACGAGGCAAATGAAAACGAGGCAAGTTTTAACTAGCAGACACCAAGAAATTAAACGACTATCGAAAATGTATGAACAAATAAATAAATCTTAAGGTGGATGGGCAGCTGCAGGTTTTAAACAACATTGTAGCCGGTGCCTTGGGCATATTCTAAATTCCCAACATTTCCTTTGCGAAGATGGCCTATCCAAGGATTCGTTTGAAAAGAACAACTTGATTCCAGTTCCAGAGACATCATGAACCAAACGACTTAAAAGACCGATTTTCCAAGGCATTATCAGTCAGTAATTAAATTCATTGAGGACAATGGCAAAAAGGACACTTACTTTGCTACAGTCCTCCCATCACTTCTGAAATGGTTCACTTGATTCATTGTGTACCGGCCCACAGCTTGAGGAGGACGATACAACTTATAACCCTTATGCGCAACTCTGAAATAAAAGCGAAAACTGTTAAATTTGGTGTGAAAATAAAGGAGGACTTCGTTCCGTATATAAATATATAAATATATATATATTAACATCTAATTTGTCTTGTGTCACCAGCATAAACGACCCTTTAGAATTAATGCCCAAAATAAACTTTTTAAATGCAACAAGTTTTTAAAAAACGCCTAGGGGTTTCAAACGGGAATTTAACTGGTGTGTTGAGGTGTTTAGGCCATCGAAGACTTAAAATTGGTTTTTGTCACCATTCGATAAAAATGCCAGTCATCCATCAAACATTTTCAGTACAAACTATATTTTATCCGGAGAAGGTCACAATAGGTTTTCAGACCCCCATCCTTCAGACCCCCATCCTTCAAACCCACCTTCAAACCCACTATAATAACTTGTCAATTTGCCTGAAGCCACACTGATTTGATTATACCACGATTCGGTCAATAGCAAATGATGAATTAATAATTTTTCGCTACGATGGGTCATTAACAATTCAAGTTTATTCAAATATTCATCAATAGAAGCGAACATTCCTATTGACAGTTGAAAACTTCATCAACTTTTCATTATATATATAGACATACCAGGTTAAACTGGTTGGGATTGATTGGGATTGATTGGGGTTGAAACTAACGCTGCGAAGAGTCCAGTCAGTTCAGTTTATAAGATACGATGGAAGATACACACAATTTATCGATGGTTGAAATTATACGGTACCAATCGCATAAACCGGGGGTTTTGTGCCTCGCATATTTGTTGCCACGGGGGGTCGTTTTGGTCTTTATTTCCAAAAGTTTTTATTGCCTAAATATCATGACATGAATAAAAAGATACAAGGTAGAAAAGGTGCAATGTAGTCAACAAAATGAGAATGCAACAAACCTCGTATAAAGATCGTCATCTTCACCACCCCATCCCCAATACATGTTTGAAAATCCATTGATGGCAATGTACTCTTCAGTTGAGAAAGCTTCGACACCCCCAAATATGGTCGGGTATGGTAGCCTAGGCAACATATGATGGAAAGTTATTGCAAGGGCAGCAAAACAGATATCATTTTGGTAATGACGGAAATACAAAGAACCGCAAAGCCTCGAATAAGAACCCTCCCCCTAAAACAGACTTACACACCCCGATCAAAAAAGCAGCTCCTTCAAAAGACTAAATCTAAATTAGAGCTTCCTTCAAAAGTGTGCCCCAACCCTGTGTTATTTATGTCATCTATTTAACAACTCAAAACGTCTTCTAGAATCAAGGTAAAACTCTATGTAAAGAGTTCCAGTCTCATTTGTCATTTATTTGCACTAAATCTCGTCTCGATGCTTTCACACTGTTAATACATCCTGTCTCTATTTGTCAAAGTTCGTGGCATTTTGGAAATAGATAAAACACGAGAAAATGTACTTACTTATACTTGAGGGTGTCTACTGCAACGGACATATGAGCCGGAGTGAATGGACATCCATAATAGTTCTTATCGTTTTCTGCCAGCAGATCGATGTCGTGGAAAATATAGCAATCGTAGTCATCAATTTTTCTTGTCTTGTCAAAACCAATGTTATAAATGGATCCTTTGTTCCATGAGGTTACGCCAACCTTGAATAGGAACAAATCAAGATGAAATGAGGATACCAAATAGAACATTTTTCATAATTATCTCTACAAACAGAGTGTTTATGTATATATAAAACATACCAGCCTTGTATGCTATCATAAACTAACGAGATGTCAGTTGATTGTGGACTTGTCTCTATTATGTTTCGTGCTTCAGAGGGCAGTTGAAATTTATTTCACTCTACCCCTCTCTGTTCGTCTTCTTCGCAGGTCCAATATAAGAAAGATATGGCAACTACACTCCCAAGCATGAAATAAACTCGGGGCAAGTCTAATTCTATAGTATATATTTTTTCTAATGATTTTTAAAATATTTCTTTTTAAGCTTTATACAAGTAAAACTTTTTCTGCACTCAAATATTCTTTCTTTCCTAAATCTCTTAAACTTTTATAAACCATTTAGCCGTGGGTCGTGAGAGGAGGGCAATGCTAATGCATACTTTTTAGTACAACTCTCGATTCTGTTTTATTTAGTAGTTCTTCTAAGCTCAATTCCTTCCTTCATATGGCGGTTAAACAGAGCTTTAAAAGCACAATTGCGGCACTTATAGGCCAACTCCACGAACCTCGGTTCCGCTATTTTTAGCGTCGGTAAAGTGAGGCAGTAGCGAAACAATTCATGGAGAAAGTTCACGGTGCTTGCGCATTCTAAGCGAATTTGTATTGACACTTCTTAGGCTTGTTCACCTTCTTTTTTATTCTTATTCATACCTTCATATTTAGACATCTTAGCACATGCATCCTCTGAATCAGTCGCAATATTAAACATTCCTTAATCTCTATTTTTTACTTTCGCTTTTTGGCGTTATTCACTTCACACGTCTCAACACGCTAACCCGTTCATTTGTTTTTCCAACATAACTTATGCATATAAGTAAAATACTTTGTAATAAGTCCAGTTCTACAACCAAGTTCGTCGTTTTTTACAATAACATATTGACACATTTTATTGTACGACACGCAAGCTAGTACATTCATATTGCCATAAAAGTTTAGACCAGCAGCGCTGGTAGCGATAATGGGAAAATATGACGCTCTTAAAAATCCAATGGGTGGACCTACTTTGTTGCTGTTGCTAGAGATGACAATATTTTACAAACGGAAAGATTAGAATTAAACCTTCACTGGCCTTTGTAAAGGTTAATTCTAAAAAGACGCCGATATGTTATTGTTTTGAATGGAATTTTTTTCCAATAAATATTAGTGGTAACGAAAAAATTCGTGTAATTTCTATCCCATCAACCGAAATCGTGGTATTTCTATGCAGACTTAAACTAAAGAAACTGATTAATGCAAGGTTACCCTGTCGCAAGAATATCAAGGTTCTTTGCAGCAAAGTGTTTGAGTGTATCACAAAAGACGTATTTGTTTTCGGGAATGGAAGAGATTTGATAGTAATTTCGAGACCTTTCTGAAAATCAAAATGACTATATTCAGAAAAAAATTCGTTGATTGCAGGTTTTTATTCAACGGTTTGTTAAAATCATACAAAGGTGTACTAGTTGTGCAGTAGGTTCGTTTAAGCTGTGAACAGTAAATTAACAATGGTAGATTAAATCTCAAACCTTCCCACGCACCGAAAACCCTGATAACAGGAAAATGAGCACTTACATCTAGGAAGATTTTATATGAACGTGAAAGATAGGATCCAAATCATTTTATTGTTATATTGATGCATAAATTCAAATATATACCTGTTCAATCACAAATACCCTGTACGATATAAGTTGACGCTGGAATATCGGGTGCATGTGCAAAAGAAATGACTGCAGTTGCACTTCTCTGTTCCTATAGGGCAGCATGATAGCCACCTGACGAAAGAGAGAAAAATTCTTGTCATCAAAAGAAAACCATTTTAAACAAAAAACATATAGCCAAAGCTTTCTAGATAATCATATAGCATCTGAGCTCTTAACTCCTGTTTTCGGTTTATCATAATAAACATCTTTTTACTTTGCTAGCAGTTACTTTCATACAGGAATCTTGTTGGTAGCAGTACTTCATTGTATTGTAAAGAACCTATCCGGTATACAGGGTCAATTACCTTGTAAGTGATATTTGTAATTGTATTTTAAGTCGAGTTGAGAAAGAAATGTTTCCATCATTATTATTATTTGTAAAAGGAGCAGTTCTTTTTTTACAGGCTACGGTGGGCTGGGCTTTCAACGCTTTTCTTGTCTCGTTTAGGATGTCCTAAATTATTTCTAACTTGCACTTGCTTAATAGGTTAACTCGTCAATCATAAGCAACCATACCACACTGTATTAATTCAAGCCCTACCCGAACTTGTCTTCAACTTCTGCTATTCTAAATATCGTTCTACTTATACAAGAGTTTCATAGGGTGCATCATGGCAGCTATGTAGTGCAAACAATGACCTAGAGCTGTCAAAGAAAAGGGCTCACTTTGGTTTCTAAATAATCGAAATACCAATTCTAGATTGCTATAAGAACCTTCTTTTGCTAAATGCTTGCAAAAAATTGGACAAATTTAAGTTCCCTCACCTTCGTTCTTGGTTTGCAATGCTTGGGCTCCCACCAGCCTCCAAACTCTACCAGCCCGCCATTTTCTACAGACAGAGTGTCTACCAGATGAACTGAATCTACCAGTTGCTTCACATTTATTTTTTTTAGTCCCTCTGTGAAGAAAAAATTGATGTTGTCAGCAGTTTCAAAAAGGTATAATTTAAACAGAAACGAGGAAAACAAATGAGAGTCATTTGTTCTCTATTTAAAAATCTGGCCCGAGAAAAGGATGTTACGAGGGAGCCGTGGCGTTTCAATTTCAAATGGGGGTGGGGGTTTGGCCAAGTGACCATTTTTTTCAAAAACTTCTTATCTTAACATTATAGAGGATTTTAGCATGAGCCTGCAAAAGAGAAGAGTTTTAAAATGATGTAATAACATAACTTTTTTGGAACTTTTTAATTTGGATCACATACCCTGAAAGACCGAACGAGCCTCTGAAAGTGTTAAAGAATCTAGATGCATTACAAATCAGCTTGAAATGTGGCCATAAAAGTAAAGGGTTTTTACCCGTAAAATCACTCTCTTTTGGTCTATATTCATAGCTGTATTATGAACAGAGCCACAATTATAGTAATCCTTTAGTTTAGTTAAAATCGCTTATTGGCCATTCCTCAATTAATCATTATCATATGGCTAAAGGTATTTTCATTCTCTGTTTTTGTATTTTAATGCCAGCAAGTCAATCATATTGGTGGATTTCAAGGAATTTCCGAGTTCTTGCCACTTCCAAATTTCAATAGCCTCCTAATATTTTTCTTGCGAAGAATTTCTCTGCGAAAAAAGTTAAAATGAGTTCAAAGGCTCTTGCGCAACCGACACGCTTAGCGGCAGTTAGGCCGTTGTTTTCAGTTAAACAAAGCGTGCCTTCAACTTTTTTCCCTTTCGCTGGCGAATTCCTTCCGCATACAATCATATGTTAAGAATTATTATGGTACTGATTATTATGATGACCATCATTCTCTTGTAAAGGCATTGAGTTTTGCACACGGAGATGAACAATATATAATTAGCACGCTCCATTAACCATTTGTATTTAGCCCTATTGTTTACTAGTTTTGAGTTCTGTTCGTGATGAAAATTATGAGTTTCGGGATGACGAATATCTCTTTGTACTTCTGAAATTCTAACATCATAATTCGCATTGTTTTGGCAGGTTTGAAAACTTTGCATTCCAATGCCGTGAGGCCAACCAGGTCCGTCGAAGTAGCGCCGTTACTCCACTCCATCCACTCCACCAATTGTTAACTTTACGCAAACAGGTCCGCGCTGACATTTTTAGGGCCTCGGGCCCAGGTATTTACGAGGCATGAGCTTTGCCTCTTGGACTCGAACAAATACATTTTTACTCTGATGAAGCCCTGTATGCCGGGGCGAAATGTTAGTATATTTCTTAAATTTAATTTATTTTGAAAATTTTATCTCGTGACATCGGATTCTCGTCGTCGTATTGCTGTGTTCCTTTCGTAACGTATATCTTTCAAAATTTTGGAATATGAGTGATTCCAGTTCACTGGAAAATGCGTCCTTGCTCTACTACCATACATACAGGCTGCACAGCGGGAAGTGCGGCCCTATACGCAAACCCATTAATCTACGCCAAATTACGTCAGTTTTTGCACCAAGAGTGCGCCAGACGCCAGTCTTACATACGCACATTCCTATCTGGGTGTAGTATCTAAAGTATTTTGCTCTTTTCCGCGCGTTTCAGCTCTGTTCACCCATGAGCAACACCTAAGTTGATTTAAGTTATCGGATTGCATATAACATGATAACACCGATCTTCTGTTGTCTGGATTCCAGACTCTGGATACAAAAAGATCTTTACATTTCAAACTTCGGGAAGTCCAGAGGCTGGACGGGGGCTATTGTCACCCGAGCGGAGAATTTACCACACCAACTCTTATTGATGAAGTTTTGGGCGTAGATTATGAATTTGAATGTTCATCAAGTGTTTGAGGGGACTTTTCCGAGAAACAGGGGGTCAAATCCCAAAAATTGGGGGTTAATTGGTTTTTCAGGCACTGATTGCTTGTGGTGATCTTATGTCAGTTAAAACATTATATTACTTATAATTAGCTCTTTATAAAACGAATTTGGTCATTATAAAGCCGGTTCCTATTTTTTGGCAGGCCTATGAACTTTTAACATTTTATCTTGTCGGAAGAAAAACCTACAAGATTGCATTTTTCAAACATTTTTAAGTGAAAATGCAACTAGAATGTATTTTAAATGAATCTGCTAGAAAAAGTCTCCAAATGCTTTATGCGGTTTTCCAGTAAAGAAAGAAAAATAGGAGCTAAAAGATATAATTTTTCATTGTTTTCTTCATCAATGAAAATCAGTTAATGACGTCGTTTCTCTTTACACTTTCTTAGGCATTCACCGCATTGTAAAATGATCTCTCTTTGAGCTACATTCTTTTTTATAAGAAACACTCAACTTAAGTTCAGGCTGGCTGTTCTTGAGGTTTTTCAAAGATTTGCAGCTGGATTGTTCTTAATTTGTTCTTAAATTATTTGGGTGTAAGGTGTAAGCCGTGCAATGTTGGAATAAATCGCTTCCCTTTTCCTTCACAAGTTCATAGGCCCTCCAAAAATAGGAACTGGTCATTTAATGACCAGATTCGCTTGATATAGAGCTAATTTAAAGTAATATTATGTTTTAACTGACATTGAAATCATCATAAGCAATCAGTCCCTGAAAGACAAATTACCCCCAATTTTTGGGATTTGATCCTGTTTCTCCAAAACGCCCCCTCAAACACTTGATCAATATTCAAATTCGTAATTTATGCCCAAAACTACATCAGAAAAAGTTGGTGTGGTAAATTCTCCGCTCAGGTGACAATAGCCTCTGGACTACTAGAAGGGTGATTCTAGTAGCTTTTGTCTGAGAGCATGGGGCCGTGAAATTATTCTGCTCAAATTGTATATGACAGTAGCCTGCGTTCAGACTTGACTGGTTTTCCCAGAGATCTCTGGGATATTAAAACAGTTTTTGTCTTTGAGTCAAATCTCGACATTGTAAGAGATTTTGAGAAAAAGACAATATGTCTCAAAGTTGAGACTAACTGCTCATTATCTAGAATTAAAGGCTGGCTAATTTGGTAAAAATATTATCCTTATACAAGAAAGATATTCCAGTTTCTGCTTAACGACAGGCTCACAGCTTCTAGGTAATTCAATACAATTCAACACAGCCCAAAACATTCAACACAGTATGTTCGTTATCATGTTGGCCCAAATAATTATATTTTATGCTGTAAACAATGTGTTCCTTTATTTATTGTTTTGTTTTTTTATATTGCGAATTGTCTTATCATGAAAAGTATGTTAGTATTTTCTCATAACATTGTTGTAGTTGAAATGTCATTTCTGCAATAAGGTTCAAATTCATCTTGGCCAAGATACTTACAATAAAAACAGAAAAATTATAAAAAGGGCAAACATGCCAGGGAGTTCTTTGAATGTATTAGTGAATCACATTTAGATGGGGTCAGGGAATGCACTGAACACTCTTTAAATGAGAACCAAAAAATTTTATTCAGGTTAGATGTTCTTGTTTTTTTAATGATTTTAAGCTCAGTTGTTCTTTATAATGTACTTATTTCACGATTATTTTTTCTACATTTACACACTCTGAATTGTTTCTTAGATAACTAAACAGTTTTGAATTATATTTCACTTGAAAAATTCCGGTAAAATCTCAATATAAAAACATAGTATCTTATCTAATCAGGGACGGATGCAGAAAAAAATCTGACGTTTGCAAAGTTTCGACCCCCGGACTAGTACATATGTTAGGCTTCTAACAGTTGTCACCATCAACATCCGTTTAGGCGATTACTAGCCGCTTTCCAAAAATCGACATAATTAGCCAATGAATCATTGAAGCTAGCCAACCAAAGATAAACTCACAATTCCAAGAAAACATTTGCGTAACATAAAGAATGACATTTTTTTAACCTAAACTGACGTAGTAACGGTCGACACTTCTACTGTGATGCGGAAAGGCCTCCTAGGCAAATGCGTTGGTGTCAAACAAAAACGGTGTGATTCATTACATCGTTATTTCAAGTAAAAGGGCATAGCAATTGGCATTTAACACTGATGATATTGGACACACTGCTACTACTCATTCCTCCTAAACAGAGAGAACACACTAATTTAAACAAGCAAGGTTTTTGGATTTTGGATCATGGTCAACGCACAATTTTATCATGCTAGAAAACAAAGTTGCTGGCCAATACCGGTATTGGCCAACTACTTTGTTTTCTGGCAAGATAAAAATTGTGCGCTGCCACAAGCATTCAACGACATAGGCCTGAATGCAAATTTTCGACTAGAAAAGAGACTTACCTAGCTTATCACCTCCTTCAGGGCAGTATTCTTTCATCGTAATATTGACCTTCGATCGCGTAGGTTTCCTGTCGATCTTAGGCCCATCTTCCAAGCGCTCATCCTTTGGTCGTAACAACTTGGTGGGCACAGCCCTAATATTATTTGACCGTTGCGTGGTTGAATCAACCGTTGCTGCAGACTGAGTAGCTGGTCTTCCATCTTTCTTGAAAGTCTGGCTATTTATTTGAAAACTTTCATCTAACAGCAAGTTATGACGAAACCCTTTACCTTCTTTGCTGTAACCTTCTAATGTTCGTAAAATCTCAATGTTTGATTTCAGTCTTTTTTCCTTATCGCTGCTGAATATTTGGATCACAACAAACGAAAAGTTTGCCACGATAGAGAGAATCAATAGAATTTCTAAACGTCTTTTATTCCCCATTGCCATTATGGATGTACGTGAGTCGAAGTGAAATCGCGAACAGCAACGTCCTGAGCGCAGCTACGAAAGAATAGTCTGGTATGGCTGTGATGAGGGATGTCAAGGTACCTGTCAATAAAACAACAATGAACTCGTCGGTTGAGCATGTTGCTATGGCAAAACCCTCGCACCTGCGTTTGGCTGTTTTCACCCGGGACGATAATGACACGTAATGACGTACTTTGGAAAACATCTTTTCGATTACTTTGGAATTTTCGAATTTGGACCAAATAGCTTGAGTGTTTCCAGTGGCTCTATTCAGGGCCGCGGACAGGATTTATAGGCCCCGGGTCAAAACGAAATATAGAAAGCAAGTGGTCCGAGGAAAATTTTTGAGACGATGGTTGCTAAAATTGCGGCTATTTTGATTGCTGAAATTGCGATAGTGGCTATTACTTCTTTGGTAATTGAAAGGGGGCCTATTATAGGGGGGGGGCAAAAGCCGCAAAACCGTGCAAATTAAGCGCAATGAAATTAAGCGCGAAGACGCGGCCGCGATAGGAAAAGAGCGCCTATTTGGGAAAATTGAAATATGAAATAATTAACGTTTTCGGGGAAAAAACATAACTATTTAGATTTTTTGGTTTTGAAATATGAAATAACTATGGTTCCCAATATGAAATAACAAAATAACTGAAAACATCTCTTAATGTTGTGTTAGAATTATCTATTTGATAACAGCATTGACTCAAGTGACTTTTGATATGTAGAGCTGTTAAGATGCCATATTACGCCTGGGTTGCTCTTTTAAAATTTTCAAACTTTTTTGAGGCATTTTCTCAAAGGAGGCGCTTTAAAGAAGAGGCGGCCTTTCCTACTTCACGATTAGTAAAAATGCTAGTGGCATAGAATCTACCGCAAATAGTTTTTGCTTATATTATCTCAACAAAATAGACGGGAGCATCAAATGGCATCATAAAAGTGTTTTTATTTACATTATTTGTTCCACATCTTTATACTATGAATTCTTTCTCCACTAAAAAACAGTTTTGTAAACCATTTAAGTTGCAGGGTTGATTTGCTGATAAAATCTGTCCTCTAAATCTTCAAATCTCTAAACAGATATTGCTCATTTTCAATTTTTTTTATCTGAGGCTAGACATGTTTCCCGCGAAGTTATTCTCATTTTAAACAAATTAGACGAAGCACGCAATACACCAATTCGACTTACAGCCTCATTACTGCGTTAAATCTACAATACAAGCACAAACAATATGAAAAAATTGTATCCAGCCTACAATTATGATGATAAAGCCAAATCTGAGCATAAAAATGTCGTACATACTGAAGTCTGGAGAAATTTCCTAAACGAGGCCGAAAGTCGAATTGGTGTATACTTGAGAGAAGCAAGTAACCGATCTCTCATAATGTCAAAAAAATTGTTTCTGACCATACTTTTTAATTCAATATGGCGCCAATGAACAATGCTAAAAATTGACAGATATTATGTTTTTGATGCAAGACGAAGTAACTATATTAGATCAAACTATAAGGAAAGATTATGAAAAGCCACGTGAAGGCAACCGTAAAGAAAATTTGGCCCACTACAGCTCCTGTTTTTTCACACTCGATGAATACCCCTTGAAAAGACACCTAAAATGTCTACTCTTTAGAAACATGTAGTCAATCTCTAGCATTTATAACGATTTCTTCTTGAGAACACCGAAAGAGTAGATTTTGCTTAGTTTTGGCTTTTCATGAACTTTATTTTAGCATTTTTTTGCTATCTTATGCATCCAAGACTGCAAGTAACTAGAAATAACAGTACGACTGTAGTATGAAGAATTGATTAAACAACTGAATTTACTGGTTATTAGGGCTCTTGGCGGTTAGTAGAGCCAAAGAAGATATCCTAAAATATCCTCAAAGTTAAAAAAGTTCAGTTTTATCTGTGAACAAGCATAAGCATTTGAATTTGCAACGCTCATTTCCCAATCTTTTCATTGCATTAAGTTTGTTTCTGACTTTGCCTTCTAGTGTTGCATCAGGCGAAATATCGTTCAGTAAGCTCAAATTCATAAAGTATTATCTTCGCTTTACCATTGACCAAAACAGGCTTAGCTCACTGGTTTCAATGTCCATGGAAAATGAAATTGCCGAAAAACTTGACTATAGCTCCATAATTAACCTTTTTACAGATGCAAAGTCTTGAAAATTGTTTTGTTAACTATCTAGACAATTACCAAACGCTACTAGCTCTGTTAAAGTTACATAAATGTGGTAAATACTATTACTGCTTCTACCTTATTTTATTTTAAAGGCTTTTGGGACTATTGTTTCTACTGAAAGGTATTGATAATGAAGAAGCTGAATTGCTACTTATCAACAAAGTTATCATCTGTGGGCCCATTAAGTCATGGGCCCCCGGGTCAGTGACCCCCCTGACCCCCCTCTCCTCAGCACTGGCTGTATTATGTGTACAGTAAATGCTGATATTTGCTTGCTTTTTGAATGTTGCTTTTTGCCATGTCATCAATTTTTGCCTTGTAAAATAAACCAATCAGAACAGCATTGGAAGACACCTGACTTCTGTTTTGGTTTCAGATGGCCTACGTCTTTCCGCATTCTTTTTCTAAAACATTCTCGCCTTTAAAACGTCAATAAAATAGGTTGGTAATTATCCATTTCCTGTTCCTTGTACACAATCCATGTATGTGGATTCATATCAGATTATTATTCAAACATTTAAAGTTCAAATTGACGAAAACTGGCTTGAAAGTTTCATCAAGCTTCGATGGCGACCTTTGAAAGTATTTGAAGAAGTTATCCTGGTCTTATAAATGTAAACGTAAATCTCTCTTACCGAAAGATGGAATTCCCCCTTCTGAAGACGTCCTGAATAAATTTTTCCAATCCAGTATCGCTTTTTGCTGTTTTGCTCGCTTTTTGATAAATTTAAAATTTAAAGCTCTCTGATAAGAGCACTCTTCGGACAGTCGCTATATTCTTTTGTAATACAGTGAATTCGCATAAAAATTTCTGCCAGTGTAAATTGAACTTCGAATTCGAGAGAAAAATTCGCAGCTAAAAAATTCGTGGCGAAAAATTCGCTTCGCGCGAAAAATCAGCCTTTCCACTAGCATTTTCTGAGTGGCTCTTTGTTGTCCTGGTTTTGTCAAAGCCAATTTATTTTACGATTTCTATTGTTCTTTATTTTGATTACGAACTGTCCCTTTGGCAAAATTATTGTGAAATGACTTATTGCTTCTGTTGCTACGTACTTTTTTGCGTACGAAGAATTGAGTACACTGTGTAGTGGGTCGAGGGGAACGCACACTTCAATATACCTAATGAACTTAATGATCTTGATACCATTTTTGGTAGTTCTGGCTTTTGGAATGTCAAGGGGGTTTTTGAGTCGAAGGTTATGACCTGTTGTTTTGGGTACAAAATAGTCTTGTGCCCAATATTCATACTCATATACTATATTCAAATACTATCGTTTAAATATTTTACAATTATGAGCTTTTGAATACATATATATAAATATGTACCGTGGATGACAAGACTTCTTATGCAAGTACTCAGGGATGTTCCGGGTGTGGTAAAGCTGTGCAGTATGTTGGTAGCACTAACACGTCCTTTAGATTAAGGTTTGATAACTATAAGGCCTGTAATTGTAAGTTTAGTCAGGGATCCTCAGTACCTCAGGCGGAATTTTTCAGGCACTTTTCTGGAGAAGGCCACCGGGGGTTTTTTTGCAGGATATAAGGGTTAGTATAATTGATAGGCTTACTGGGGGGAATAGGATGCGAGAAAGCTTTCGGCAATATAAGTAAGACAGTTTTACTTCTAAGGGCTTAAACACTAGGTATACTGGTTTTAAGTTACCTCTTTTTTCTTTTCATTTTATGATTTTATGTCTATTTTGGTTTTTTCCTCTTCCACTAGCACATGTTTTTTCTTTACGTTCTTTGCGTATCTATAATTCTTATCTAACCGATGTTCTTTTTTGTTACACATATTAATTGCAGTCCCAGTGAGACTTACACTGCCGCTGACTTTAGCAGCACCTTCTCTTGTGCTTTCTTCTAGTTCTCCCACTGAGTTACACTTTTAACAATAACTACTGTAATAGGCAATCTCCTTTCACCTCCTCATTGTATTGACTCTATTGTACCAACCCAATTGTATTAACCCTATTGTACTCAGTGACGGATTTAAGGGGGGCAACTAGGGGCACTTGCCCCTCCCTCAACGAGTTGAAGCAAGTTTGGCGCCCCTTTTTGGAAATTGTGCGCCTCTTTTGAAGAATAAGAATCAGAGAACCTTTCACAAGCGTTGTCATGAAACAAACGAACTGAACTAATTGTGTTCGTATCTAAATACATGAAAGTACAACATAATGGTATGACTCAAGGGACAAATAAATGATACGCGAAGGTCTATTTAAAATCTGCGAGGTTAATAGGATTAAAAGATATAATGTCGAGAAAATACAAATGTGTTACTGAGTTATTTGAAAAACGTGAATGTAGAAAAACAAACAAAATGTGCTTCAAAACATGTTTTCTGTATGACTTTGTTGGTAGCAACCATAAAACTAAAATGCTGAGCAACACAAGTAAGGAGTGGCGGTGCGGTCGCTGCGTAGCATTTTTATATTGTTGTTCAGGTTGGAAACATTAAAACACAACATCGTTTGCTATATCTTTATTTATTAACAGAACATAACATTATCCGCCCTCCATCTCTAACTACATTTAAATATCAATCCCTGGAGAGCTGGTAACGAGTAATACATAATTATAATTTATGCAGCTAAAGCAATCGAACATAACACTCCCCCCGTTGGCTACCCCTGTAGTCAACTTTAACACAAAAAAGCATACAATTAAGTCAATACATTTGATTTTACCTCTAAGGGCACCAAACATTGTAATGGACGTACTAAATACGTAGTTCCGTTATCCGTAGACACTTTCAATTTTACTGAACGAATTTTACCGTCTCTACTAGGCTTCAATTCTACCACCTTTCCTATTTTCCAAAACGAACGCTTAGTCTGTTCATTTTTTACAATAACAATATCACCCAACGATACAATGCTTTCGTTAAGTTCATTTCGATTTGCTATCTCACGAAGACTAGGCAGATACTCATTTTTCCATCTTTTGGCGAATTCTGATAATAACTTTCGATGGTATTTGATACGTTTCGTTAATGTTTCTTGAGTGCTAATTACTGTTAAATAACTATCATTTGGCGACAATGTAACATTTCTACCATAAAGTAACTGTGACGGTGTTAATGGATATGTAACCCCTTCTGTATCATCATAAACGTATGTTAAAGGACGAGAATTAATTACCGATTCTATCTCAACCAGTAACGTATTTAATTCATCAAAAGTTAGTCGCGCTCTACCCACCATTTTATGCAAGGTACGTTTTACCGATCTGATTAATCTTTCCCAGGCTCCACCCATCCATGGGCTTTTTGGTACTATGAATTCCCAATCGACGCCTTTATCTACGATCATGCTTTTCACGTTTTTCGAATTAAGAATCTGCTTTACCTCTTTAGAAGCAGCCTTAAACGTCTTAGCGTTGTCGCTATATAATTTACGCGGCAATCCTCTACGAGCACAAAATCTACGAAATGAAAGAAAAAACGAGGGTACATTCAGGCTATCTACCAATTCTAAATGGATGGCTCTAGTTGAAAAGCATGTGTAGATACAAATATATGATTTACTTAATTCCTTACTTGACGGATTCTTACCCTTAATAAGCAAGGGTCCCGCAAAATCTAAACCCGTGTTAGTAAAAGGTGGTCCATCATCTACACGTGAATCTGGGAGGTCTGGGGCTAGAGTAGACTTAATTGTGTGCCTATCAATCCATATGCAAACAGTACACGACCTTTTAAATTTCTTTACTGCTTCTCTACCTCTTAAAATCCAATAACGTTGGCGAATTTCGTTTAACGTGTCACGTACGCCACTATGCAATACAATAGCATGATATTCTTTTATCACCAACTTTGAATACCAGTTATAGGGACGTAACAAAATTGGCGTTTTCGTAGAATCTGGAACAGAAGCGTTGGTTATCCGAGATCTCGCTCTTATTACGCCGTTGTTATCTAAAAACAAATTGAATTGCTTAACTTTTAAAGGAGGCTTGGTTACCATTTTACCACGCAAATATTCATACTCTTCTGAAAATTCTTCTCTTTGAATGTAACTTAACAATTTGTATTCTGCTCGTTCAATTTCTTCGTTTCTTAACTCCTCATTTAAATCGGGGGTTTGGTTAGTTAACGATGCCTTACAGTTTCCTACGAATCTGAAAACCCAAGCCAGGGTGCCAAGAAGCTTACGTTTACTCCCAAATCGTTCTATGTTTACTAAATTCTGTATACTCAAAACATCCGTCGAAGTAGACAACGTGTGTGTTATCATGTGAGAATTGTTGGCTTCCTCCTTCAAGGCAATTTCGTGGGCTTCCTTGTCAGTTATATCAATGGATGGCCACAATTCAATTCTTTGCTTCAAGAACTCGGGACCTTCAAACCAAAACACATTCCTTGAAAGGTCCTTTCCGCAAAGCCCGCGCGAGGGTAAATCTGCTGGGTTTAAGACACCTGGACAAAACTTCCATTCTGACCTGTCTGTTAGTTCTAGAATTTTGTGGACCCGGTTCCTTACAAACTGTTTCCAGGGCTTACTGTTTTTTATCCAGCAGAGTGCTACTAAGGAATCCACCCAATAAAAACTTGTGATTTTCGCCGGATCTAATTCTTCAAGCAAAACAGTACGAATTGTATCCATCAACTCTGCTAATAACAGGGCCCCCATCAACTCTAATTTCGGGATAGTTACCTGTTTGATGGGTGCTACTCTTGCTTTCGACACAATAATTCTACAATCTACCTCTCCGTTTTCATATTCTGTGCGCAAATAAACGACACAAGCATAGGCTTGCTCGCTAGCGTCCGAGAAGCCGTGAATCTGATATGAGCGTACACTCAACCCGTTGATAAGACACCTTGGTATTCTAACCTTACTTAACTGTTGTAGCTTGGAAAGAAATGCATTAAATTCTAACCTAGCACTTCCCTGTAATTCCTCATCCCAAGCTACTTTCTGTAAACATAACGATTGAAACATGGCCTTCATTCTAACCGTAAATACGCTCAAAATTCCTAACGGATCGAATATTTTAGCGGTTAATCTTAGCAGTGAACGTTTAGTTGCTGGAAGCGTTTTAGCTAATTGCGTAATCTCCGTAAAATCATAACAGATTTCATCCGACGAGGAGTTCCAGTGCAACCCTAATATTTTCACAGTTTCATTATCTGCACTAAGACCTATACACGATTGTACGTAAGACTGATCCTCTTCGCCTAACTTTGGGTCTGACCCCCCGGTTGTTGCTTGACCTTCAGATTTTCGGATGCGTTCTATTAACTCCTGCGAATTCGAATTCCATTTACGAAGGTTAAAATTTCCTTCCCTCATTACCTGTTTTGACTGTTGATAAATTTCGTAAGCCTTGTCTACTGTCTCTCCACCCGTTGACAGATCGTCAACAAATAAACCCTTGAGTACCTTGACAATCTCAGGTTTTTTCTCTTGGTATGATGACACATGTTGCAACAAAACACTTCCCAAAACAGCAGGGGACGGCCGTAGGCCAAAGGGCAAACGCGCATAACGCAGCTGGACAATCGAGCGATTTGCAGACTGTGGCTCATCATACCACAAAAACCTGAGAAAATCACGGTCCTCCTGTTTAATACCTATCTGAAGAAAGGCTTTCTCGATATCAGCAGTAAGTGCAATGACCTTAGTTCGAAACTTAACTAGAACATCAAACAACATCGGAATCAAATTAGGCCCTCGTTCTAAACGATCGTTTAACGACAAATTCTCGGTTTCCATTTTTGCACTCGCATCAAAAACTACCCTGACCTTACTCGTAACTCTGTCCTTGCGAATAACTCCAAAATGTGGCATAAATCTAACGTTGTCATTATCTAATTCCGAAGAGGGCACCTTTTCGATTATACCTTGAGCGAGTTGCTCCTTAAATATACCATCGTACTCTCGCATCAGTTCGGGATCCTTAATCAAACGAGAATGTAACGAGTTCAACCGAGTCTTGCACTGCTCAAAATTATTTACCATATTTTTTGGCTCCGTCGGTTTCCATGGTAATCCTACTTCGTAACGATCTCCTTGTACCCTTATGTCACAAAATTTATCCGTTTCGTTACTATCAACTAACTTGTTACAATCTAACCCGGTATTTTCTACTTCCCAAAAGGCTTTCAGTGTATCAACTAATTCTTTATCCTTATCCGATTCGGTAAGCCTTGGGTTCTCAATACATAAATTTGCCGACGTAAAATTATCCTGAGAGATTTTCGACGACTCTAATTTTCCCGACAACACCCAACCTAGTTTACTCTTAACAGCTACGGGACCGTTTTCTCCTCTAATTACATCCCCCACTACGATACTATGATATTGGTCAGCTCCTATCAAAACATTGATATGATCATTACTTCCTATGTCAACCTCATCTGCCAATTCTAAACCCTGTAGATGAGGGAAAGAATTTACTTCTACAAGGGTGGGGAGCGGAGAACATAATTCTGGGTACGAAAGTGCATTAACAACAGCTAACTGTCCGTCATTTAATTCAATCTGGAAACTTACCAATTTGCAGTTCTTACTTTCATACTCAGCGCTACCGAAAGTGTTCAAGTTCAAGGTTTCTTTCATCTCCGTTTTCAGTTGTAATTTCTTCACCACATCTTCGGTCACATAGCTTCTCTGACTGCCATTGTCGAACAAAATGCGAATGGAGCATTTTTCTCCGGTGCTCGGGTTTACTGCTGTTGCCTTTGCAGTTTGCAATAAAACATGCGTCGATTTCTTTTCTTTTGATATTGCAGTAACATTAGGTGGCATTGACTCTGCTCCGCTATTATTACTCTTCCTTTCACAGATGCTTGAGTGATGTTTTCCTCTGTAAAAACTGCAAAATTTTGCACTTGGGCATGGTTTTACGACATGGCCTGTCCTCAAACAAGAAAAACATCGCCCAACTCGCAACAAATGCTCTTTCCGCTTGTTAACATCCACGATAGTGTTACAATCTGAGGCGTAATGGTTGCCAGAGCAAAAATAACAACGAATATTTTTTGTCGCATTCCTTGATACGAAAACTGACGTCGTACCCATGTTCCCAGTTGCTCGGATTTTTGTCGTTGTTATCGGTGCCTTATTGTCGGCGATGTGAATGTAGTCACGCATTTCTCGAGCTTCCACTTCATGCTTAATAATCATAAGAAGCTCTGAAATCGACCAGATTTCTTTCGAAGTATGCCTCGCAATTTGCAGGGAAATATCCTTCGGAACCCTCGACATTATAACGGGAATCAACAGGCTTCCGTACTGATCCGAACTGATTCCTAATGACTGTAATCCGCGTACATGTACGTTAATTGTATCGTACACATATCTTAGTTGCGCTGGTTTATCGTTTTGACAAACTGGTAACTTCAAAAGTTCGTCCATATGTTTCGAAATGATCTTCTGCTTTTTTCCGAACCTATCCTGAAGTATCAGCAGGGCATTTTCATAGTTTGCTTCGGTCATAGGCAGTCCTTCTATAGCTCTCGCCGCTTGTCCATCCAAGTATGATTTCAGGTAACTAAATTTCGTTATCGTTGGGATGTTCGTATTCTCGTGAACAGCTGCATTAAAACTCTCCCAGAAACTGAAAAAATTCACAATATCGCCACTGAATCTCGGTAATTGCAACTTTGGCAGTTTCGAATTTGAATTTCCATGCGACGAAGACGAACTTCCACTTTGAAGGGAATTATTTCCATTTCCGTCGTGTTCATCACTGGAAGGATTGGCTGGTGTTAATGGTGTAGTTGTAAGTAAAGAAAGCCTTCTCACGCTCGGTGGTGTTGTTGGTAATTGTCTTCTAATTCTTGTACTAGTTGCCGGGGAAAATGGGTTTGGTGGATGCAGTTTTCGCTTGATCTTTCGTATGGCATTAGAGATGCGAAATTCATATTCGTTTGCTTCCGTTACTTCGCTATCAATCTTTTCTTCTTCTTCCAATACATCGATAATTTGTCCGTCAAATAACTTCAATTCCTTCAATTTCGAGTCCAATAATTCCAAAATCGTTTCTAATCGACAAATCCGTTCATCGTCTCCGGGCTCTCCAGGTTCGCTGAGCAGCTCAAGTGCTTCTCGTTCTAATTTCGTTGCCACGGATCGGTTTGCTCCACGAATCTTAATCAGTTTATGGAGGGATTCCATGTTTCAATACTCAATTTCATGCCAACCACTTTGGGCGCCATTTTATATTGTTGTTCAGGTTGGAAACATTAAAACACAACATCGTTTGCTATATCTTTATTTATTAACAGAACATAACATTATCCGCCCTCCATCTCTAACTACATTTAAATATCAATCCCTGGAGAGCTGGTAACGAGTAATACATAATTATAATTTATGCAGCTAAAGCAATCGAACATAACAAGCATAACATGTGTTGCGAGGCAAAGTACAAAGCAGTATTACAAAAAGGGCAAAGCAACTGGGTATATATATTTTCTAGCGTAGAGTTTTCGATCTATGTTCTGACGAAAGCTTTAGTTTACTAAATCTTTGCTTTTTTCAAAGCCATTTTTAAAAGGGCATTTAAAAAATAATGCCCAGCTACCAACAGTAATTTCGTAACTGTCATTTTGTTTCGATCTTCTGTCGGTATCTTAAAAAATCGGCTAACTTTTGGCATAAGAAATTTCTTTACAAATTTCGAGAAATTTCGCCATAAATAAGGCACTACAGTCAGGAATTCATATGAATCTCATGGATCTCCGACAAAAGGCCGGCGTCAAGGGCAATTCTATGAAAAGGGTATTTAGCCCCCCTTGCCCCTCCTATCGAAGGCTAAGACAACAAATTAAACCAATCAGCTAAAACCACGTAAGAGTAAAGACCAAAAGAATGCGTTTTCTTAGTCTGATAGAAGAAACATCGACAATTAATTGCTAAATGAATGTCCTGGAAAAAGTCTTGCCAAACATTGTCAAAATCCTTCGACAGCAAACTTCTTCAACAATATACAAGATTAACAATTTGTCTATCAGAGAAAAGGCAACATACGTTATCTGTGAAAACGCAATTAAAATAGTAAAAATATAAAGAAATGAACTTTTCAGTGCACGAGAAGTCTCCCTATTGTATTGTATTGTCATCATCATCAGGTACCATCTTCTATCAGAAGGTTGGCTACCATGACCCTCCAACTATCCCAAAATCTGAGTTTTGGTTTGTTGTCATGGTCAAAGATAAAATTGTATTGTATTGTAGATTATTCAATGTTAGTTTTTACAATAGTGAATATACACTAATTAAGACTAACATGAAGCAATTTCAATGATTGCATAAGACAGTTCATTTACTGCAAAACGAGCATGCGCACTTGTTTTCAAGGAACCAAGTTTTGATCAAATTCTTAAATTGTCTAGTATTTCATGCTGTCTTTGTTGATTCCGGGAGTGAATTCCAGATTTTAGGCCCTTGAAAACGTAATAATCTGATACCATTATTGGTAGTTCTGGCTATTGGAATGTGAAGGGGGATTTTGAGTCGAATGTTATGACCTGTTGATTTGGATACAAAACAGTCTTTCATGAAAACAGGATTAAGGTTGTTAAGTGTCTAATACCCTGGAAATGCCCTTCTTGCAGGGGCGGCGGGCAGTGTTATTACCGTTATTACTGTAATAACACTTTTTCCAAAGTCTTTATCAGTTTGATGCATTCGTCTGCTAGACACAACCAATGACGTAGAAATAATATGGTATCTGTCCTCTATTCATCTGAAGGGGATGATAATTACCTGCTAATTCTTAACCACAGGAAGCCTATTATGTTTTTCAATGGTATTTCAAATCGTTCAAAAATAGTTCGAGGCTCCCGGTCTCATTATTACTTTCGCGTTTCTAATAACGGAAACAGCAAAGTCTTTGTCACGGGACTCACCGATGACGTAAAATTCAATTGTTCTTAGTCCTTGAAATAAAGGAGCCTAGCAGCCCCGTTATTACTTCTGGGATTCTAATAACGCGGCCATTTACCTTTTGCCAGTGCTGTTTTATGATTTTGCTTGTAAGTTAGCTGTTTCAAAATGAATCGTGTTGTGGAAGATCAAGTGAATGACCATCGTCTGGGTGTTCAAAGTGTTATTATTTTGAAACGGGTGGAATTAACTCACTAGCAACGTCTCGAACTGAAAGGCCGTGCCAGATATCTCTCCTCATGTATTTTTCTATAATAAATATTTAGCCTGCATCCTTTCAAATTTATTTGTACATTTGTAAACTGTAGCTATTCAAAATGTTGCAAGTTGCTTATGTAAAGGCATTTAAAATGAATGATGAACTGAACTGAACCTTGAATGTGTTCAGAGGGCTTTCACGCAGCGGTTTCCGTTATTACAATCGCGATTCTAATAACGGGCCCACATGGTGGCTCAGAGGAAGTGGCCGCCAAATATTTTTCACGACTAATCACCGCTCGCAAGCCCTTCTGACAAATGTTACAGCCCTCCAGTTTGTTTAAAAAGACCAACAGGAAATCAGGCTCTTCATAGATTTCTTTTTGATATGCGAGCAAGGAAGTATCTGCATTTATTTTCTAGGAGATACAGCACTAAAATTGCCAATTAACTTAAAACTTTCAGCATTCGCTCAGATTCTTAGTTGCTTACAAAAATGTATATACCCGACCAATTTATGTCTTTTAGTGACTTTTTGTTTGTTGTTTAGAGTCAATTGAAGATATGCATATTTCCCCAACGTATGGCTAGGCCAAATTTGGGGGGGAGTGTTGTAAAACCCCTATACCCCTCCAGCTGAGGAGGTTCAAAATTCCTTCATAAAGAAATTGTTAATTTTCCTTTTTCATGCATCTTCCATACGTTTGAAAAAGTAATACCAAAAAAAATTTACTCCCAGCCGCCCCTGCCTTCTTGCTATCATTCTAGGAGATTTTTTTGCAATAGCTCCAATGGAGGTCTTTACGGAGGGCGAAGGGGGCAGATGACATTCACAAAACTAAAAACGAAAGGAACTATCACCGAAAGAAGATTGGTCGGCAAACAGGGGCGGATAAACCCAAAGGTACTCCAGATATTTTCACAAATTTTCCTAATACCGCCACCCCCTCTCCCCCCCCCCATTACAATGTTGCAAGTTGTAAATCAATGTTCCTTTCATACGAAACACTGCTGAAGGAGAGAAGGGGTGAAAATTTGAAGTAGTTCAAAAATTTTTATCAAGGATTGTAGTAACGACCAATTAAGTTCCAAGAAGTGCCATTTGATTGGTTCTTTGCACCCTTTCCACTTAAGTTAAAGGGTCTAGAACACAGGCTTTCTTTCCCACAGAATAGAGATGACTCTATTCTGTGCCTTCCCGTAGCGTTGAGCCATTACAGCGATTGAGCCCTGTTCCTAGATGGTTCGAAAGTAAGGGCAAGTCAATTTTGAATCATTCTGTTTAAAACACCATAAACCCATTTCAATGAATGCTGCACTCTGAGATCCTAACCGCTGGAGAAATATTTGTTTCCACTTATTAAAACATCAATACGGCTGGTCAAACACAGACTTTGCAAATTGTCGTCTTATACATTAGATTCTTTAAAGAGTTTGGGTCGTTTTTCGATACAGAAATCTGTTCCCAAGCATTGTTAGCTTAAGCTGAGATCATATTTAGATAGGCCTACGCATCTTTTTGTGTATCCTAAAACTATCTCAAGTTACCGACCTATTAAAGAATATATTTTCAATGCTTGTTTGCACTTGTTCAAATATACAAATGGCCGGGATTGTGATTCAAAACAAGAAAAGCCATAGAGATGCTTCGTACTGTCTTCAACTCGGATGTTACCTGTTTCCTTCAACTCTGTTCTCTATAACCTTGTTTGACCCCAGAGTCTGCACGCATGTGAGGCCAGAATGAGTTTTGCTGCGTCAAATGGTACTGCGCAGCGGCGTGCGCAGCGAATTTCAACCTAGCACGTCAGCAATAGATCGAATTAGATTGGAGGAGTGAGTAGAGAGATAGGAACACGCGCTGATGTAAAAGTGATATAAATATATATTATAGTTTTCTTGATATAAAAGGACGTTGTCTTACTGAATTCGGCATAGCCCGGTCCACGGTTCAAAGTTTATAACAGAAGAGGATCACAGGAGGAAAGGATTTGACCTCTTTTTTATATGAACAATTTGAATGAAACAACAGCCTCAAATCTGGTCAGAAGTTAAGAACAAATTAAGAACAACTGAGAAGTAAGAACAATTAAGAATTAAAAACAACTGAGGCTTTGCTCGAATAAGCACTTACCACCTCCATCTTAAGAAACGGGCGCTTAATGGTAACTTTAACCAAAATAGTTTCTGAGACGAAGGTTTGAGTCTCACAAGAACGGTGAAAGCAGTTAGCCAAAATGAGTAGAATTAAACAACAAAGTTTGTTCTACTTCTCATCATTATGAATCATTACTTTCATTTTTACATAGCAAGGTTTTTAGCACACTCTTATATATTTATTTCGATGATTTCGACTGATTTCGATGATGATGGCGATTAAGGACAATTTTGCCTTCAGAATTTTATGCAGGATTTGAACTTAAAAACATAATCAAAACACAAGCCTTCTTGATTTAAATGTACCAATCCAGTGATACTGGAAAACACTTAAGTGCTAATACAATTGAAACGAGACTGTCAGATTTTCATACAATGGTAACAACATCTTCGAAAGGATGTTTTGTAAAAAAGCCCCAAAAATTATCAGCTAAAGGGACTATGGAAAATCTGATAACCAGTCCTCTAGACTACAGGTCGAGGTGAGATCATATCAAATCCAAATATGTCACAAGATTTCCAACACATTAAATTCCATCGATAAGAACATAAGACTGACAAGTTCCGTTAAAAAAGAAATACATAAGAGCCAACGATGGAACTTTTAGGACAAGAGAGCTTAGAAAGGTAATCATGAAGGGCTCTAGATCAAAAGACAATTCTAATAAAAGTTGAAAAAAAGGAAATTTGCTTTCTTTTAAGAGACAGAGAACCTGTGTTAGGAGCCAGCGACATAATAAGAAAACTTGGGCCCAATTTAAACATCGAATTTCTGTCGTGACGAATCAAATTGAGGCAGTTGATTTAATTTAAAGGTCAAATAAAATTCTTCTGCATTCTCCCAGTCAACTTCAGCGCATACGGTATGCGAACGTTCTCTAACAGAAATGCAAATCGTTTCCTTGGCAAATTAGACACCGCTTTTCTGTTGTACATTCTAGGAATAGTATTCGGTAGTGCTGACGTCACCAAAATTTATTTTTAGAAATTTTCCCCACCAAATCACTGTATACACTCTTTTTATAAAAATATCGAGGCTCAAAATCGCTAAAGTTGAAGAATTGTTGAGAATAACGCCAGGCTCAAGCTCCGTCAAGACATAAATTTTCTATTTATCTTAGTTTTCTCACAAAGCAATACAACCGTCACTTTCAGGCTGTATATATGTTTCGAAATGCTCTGTGAGAAATTTACTCTATGGTATGACCTAGTGTAGGGGTGGGCAACCTACCGCCCGGGAAGAGAATTTTTGTGGCCCACAAGATCTTGTAATCCCAGGCTACCCTATGTAATAGAGAGGTTTGCACTTGTAGTGTAATTGAATTTAAATAAAAACTTTTCATTGTTATTACACTTTTATTTCAGCAATTGCATTCGCTTTTCTTGTTACCTTTGGCCCATTGGAAGAAAAGGTTTGAATAATCTTGCCCACACTCCAAAAAGGTTGTCCGCCCTTTTTTGGCATTTATTGTTCTGTTCTGTTATTCTTTAAGTTTATGATGAAGCAACGCATAAAAATGATTTAAATTTTTTTGTGGATCTTATTGAGAATTCGCAAGAATAATTTTTGAATAATGTTAGGCTCGAAATCAAAACTTTTTAGGAATACTGAAGTTCAGCAAAAAATTAGGTATTCTTTACAAAGGGTGAAATTTGGTCTTTCTTCAGAACCTAATGAACGGGGCCAAAATGACTGTAATCCGTCAGCAAACTTGAGATCTTTCATTGGTTATATCAAAACTAATTTTGACGATATAAATCTGAGTTTGCACATGGAGAGGTATTTTTTACTGTTTTTTCAGATAATGCGGCGAAAAGAAAGAAATAATGTTTAGATTTCACACTTTGGTAAAAAGAAAGAAGAGCCAATGGTTCCAAGGCCTGTTACATTGGCACAAAAACGATCCAGGACAGACAGGTATGTTGTAATAAAATATTTTACGGTAGTTTTTGCTATTCTCTTGATAAAGCGATGTGTGTTTTCTGCGCGAATATAAATTACAACTTTAGAAACTATTATTAGGCCTAAACCTGGCACCGAAGAGCGTTGCGAAAAATGGCGGGGGGGGGGGGCGGGAGAGCCAAAACCGAATAAAAAGAGGCTAGGCTGGTGATTCATTGGTTAATCGTTTTGCATTATGCATATGACGTCATTATGATAAAAAAAGACTGATACGATCCAACAGACCCGAGACGGTTCATGCTTCCCAGCTCCGATCTTCAAAAAAAGCACACATAGAATAAAAAAAACGAAATGAGTATTTGCACGTTTTTGAACAGATTTGAATAACAATATCGCTTTTAAGCATTGGATAGGTTTGCAGGGAGCTCTCTAACATGAATTGTGCAGCCAATGACTATTCTAACCTAGCTATAATTACATTAAGTTGCCCAGAATGCCTCTTACTAAACAACAAAATCTAAGAACTAATGCTCTTTAGTTGCATTAAAATGGTGCGAAATTTTTAATCGAGTGCAATTTCAGTGCGATTTGTTCTTTACAGGCATTAGGTGATCATCTCCTTTCGTACATAGACTTTGCCAGTTGAACATTTAAAACTGTCACCAGCGGCAACTCCAATTTTCTGTTCAGATGATACTTGAGTGAACTGAGTCCGTCCGTCTCCATTCTTTGGGCAGAGTTTTGCAACAAGTTCATTCTAAAACAAAATTAAACAATTGATATAGATACCACAAAGGCAAGAATTTCAACAAAATGCCAACTTAAAAACGATTTTTGATTTTACTAATCTTACACCTTTCCACATGAAAAGAACAGAAATGATGTCTTTCCCATTAAAAATGTGACCAGGACAATGTAGCGCAAAACATGGCTACAATTATGCTTCAAAATAGAAGATAGTGATTCAAGCGACTGCGAAAAATTTAGGTTATCTGTATTTTATTTTGCTTTTTAAAACCATACTTTTGTTGCTTAGTAACATATTATAAGGAACCATTTTTTAAGGAACTTACGTTTAGACGTCTAGACAGAAAAAATTAAAGAGCCGTTAGTACTGAAGACAAAATCCCTATCTAAAGTTTTAATTTTTGAATTATGTTCATCATTGCAAACAATTAAGAATTTGTAAGGTAAAAATAACATAAATTGTGTTGCGAATGTAGCTATCGAGCGTTTTATTGTGTAATTTCCAGTGTTTCATTTTTCGTCTTGATTGAATTTCAACTTGTTCATGTTTCAAACGTCTTGTTAGTCGTCTTTCTGTTTTTCAACTTGTTTTCTAGTTACAGTTTTTCTAGTTATATGTTTCGTAAAGCGACACTAATGCAGAATTTCAATGTATTGTGTGATATTTTCATGGCAGCAAAATTGCAGTTAAATTAAGAGACTATTAAGGTACATTTATCACTACAATTCGATCAGAGGAAGTCCAGAAATGAGGAGCCTGAGGAACTAGGCCTCGAGTTAGGTTCCTCATAATATCTAACATGCCAATTTCTTATTGTTTGGAAGACGGGCGAGCGAAGATCTTTAAATTAATGAGTCAGAGAGTCAGAGAACATGCGTACACTTTGGGGGTGTTTGTTTATAGAAACTTCTCCTACTTATTACCACAAAAATCTAAGTTGCCAAACAACAAAATCGCCTTACGAAACATATGACCCAGAAACTTAATTATGTTATTGGATTCCTTACAGTTAACAAAGCTGAGTTATGAATTCGCAAAGTCGATATGAAAATATGATATAATGGATAACACAGTAAGAATAATCAATGCTCTAAGGAGACAAATAGCTTGAAGAATGCCAGGGAAACGACACGATATTGATTGAAAAATTAATAACGAAATAACGGAAATAACTTTATAAAATTGCGTCTGGAAAACACTTGAATCGAAAGATAAAAAAATATGTTCGAGAAACTGGGAATCTTAGCTGGATTGCGTCAGAATTATTAATTCAATTTTAGATCTATCAGATATAACGAATAAAAGACACCGTTCAAATGAATTTGTTTACATTTACGTGCTGTGTTGTTGCGGCACTTTTCAAAAGATGTTCTGTCTCTCTAACATATTTAAGCTGAAAGCCTAAAATTAATAACAAAATTATATCTTTCTGAAAATTAGCCTCTCCCACCCGTCCCAGTAACAATTCAACTCAACATTAATCCTCCAAAAAACTTCGCCGAAGAGTTTAACGAGTCCGTTCCAGACCAGCTCCGCGACCTGGTGTCTCTTTGCTTGCTCAACTGACACATCGCGACTTTAATTCTTTGTAGCAGTTAGTTCGTTTTGTTATAGCAGTTCCTTCACTTTACATAAGTTTGAGATAGATTTTAGGTATTGTTAATGTTTGTAATTCCACGGAGGAGCTGTTGAAACTATAGTTAGTATTTCCTCATTCGTAAATATTAGAAGCTGTAATCTTCATTAACATTTCACGTCTTCCATCAGCCATAAATAAGGCACCCTATTAAGAACACTTTACATAAAAGCCACGCCTGGACTCCTCCGCATCATCTGCGTACAATTCTGGCTTTCCCTGTGTCTCTATTTGTACACAAGGCGTGAGGACGGCTCAGTGGCTAGTGTCACTGACTGTAGACCCAAGGGTCTGGGGTTCGGCTACGGTTCCTGACATGACCAAATTTCAACTTAGAGCGAAGGAAGTTAGCTTTCTGCAATTCCAGGGGTAGGAATCAAGAGGTGTGGTGACATCGAGAAGAAGGACCAAGGCACTGCTCGATGTGACCTCACCTTTTGTTCTGGCGAGACTTTTGAATCTGCTCACAGGCTACTCAGTGCAATTCGGTTGTGCATGAAGGACACATTCCACCCAAACGCATCGGTTTCATTGATGGGATGTTATCGTGAGTTATACATAATGCCACAGATGTTCGTGTTTCTTTCTCGTTCGCCATAGACCAAGGGTGTCCAACTTCATTTTTGGGTGGGCCATAGACAAAAATCTTATTGCACAGGTGGGCCAGATGAATAGTTACGTAAATCATTGGTAAATATTGTACTAAGCAGTAAATGGATTGATATTTACATATTTACAGTTACATGAAAAATTGCATGAAAAGTTACACAAACAGTTACACGAAGAAGTTATCAATGTGAAATTTTACATTATTTGTTTGCAGAGAGTTTATTGACATCTCACATTAAATATTTATCTGTATGCAAATAATAAATGTTTATCTGATGCATATAATAATGACAAAGTATGCCTTATAATAATGAATTTAAAAATATTGGCAGGGAAGGCACTCCATAAACATAACAAAAGGATCAAATTGTTAACAAAATATTGACTACGCGCGGGCCACATAATTTGCCATCGCGGGCCGTATGTTGGACACCTCTGCCATTGATGGAATTCTAAAGCTACAATCCTTGCCAAAATTGTTGGAACACATGTGCAAAGCTGAAGCTTTTTTTGAAAAATCCCCCCCTACCTCCCATTACAATGTTGTTTAATTCGGCTGTTTTGACGCTGAAGATAAACATTTTTTCACTGAGAAGCTGTATGAAAGTACTGAGAAAATAAGTCAACATTGAACGAGGGGAGGGGGTCGAAATTTTTGAAGCGGCATTGATATTTTGGTAAGGTAGTTTTAGACTTGCTTTGTTTATTTGCATGCTGCAATGGGAAGGCGTTCCAGTTATTTTTGGCAAGGATTGCAGTTCAAATCCCACAATTGGGGCAAAACCAGCAAAAAAATGGTGGATGCTCTTCCATTTTTATGGCAGTGAAATTTCTTTAAAATGGAAAAATACGTTTAGAATTTAGAACAACAATCTCAATTTCGTTGATTAGCTTTGGAACTTGTTTGAGCTACAGAGGAATTTACAAATTTCGATGAAATTGACCACTATGTATTTACTGCGGTTGGCCTGCACCTGTGTCATGGCGTCGCGGGCTCCGAGATTATATAAATCTCTATCGTGACTATTTCAAAACTTTCGTGAAGGTACCTTAATAAGGTTTTGAGGTATCCTGACGTGCCATTATCTTTCTTCTGAAAAGTGCAGAATTATCTGCATCAGATTTTGAAATATGTGCGGAATAATGGGTACCATTTGAAGAAACATGCAGAATTATGCGTACAAATTTGGGAAAATATTGCAAAATTATTAGGCCGGAAATTCAGCATTAACAAAATGAATGTCCAGTTAGAAATATTTAGATTTTGGGACAAAGGACAAGCAAAATTTGTTTGATGATTTGTGTTGTTTTAAAAATGTTATTTGCCTTGTGGTATAATCGGCATAGTTTTCATCATGTTTGCAGAATTTCGGGTCACATTTTCCAGACGTGTGCGGAATTATGGGTCTAAATTTTGCACAAAAATAGCACGTCCAAAACTAGGCTTAGTCCTCCCCCCCCCCTCCCCCCGAGTTTCACCCCGGTGCTTCGCTCCTAAGCCAACTCCAACTGCCTCATTTTACTTCTCATCTTCTTCGAAAAGTGTGCACTTTTCCAGAGAGTAGTCCCACTTCATTTTCCGTCCAAACGAAGCCTTTTCCTAAATATTTCTCTCCGTTTGATTAGGCATTTTAACTAAGAGCATTATCGATGTTTGTCTAATTATAACCATCCATCTTATCTAATTTTAATTTCGGCGCCAATGGTGTGATCTCGAAAAAGCTCCTTCGCCAAACCACAAAATAATGTTTCTAATCTCCCCAGAGCATATCGATCTGGCGTCACGGAAGCCAAACGGAGTGAATGTCAATCCGAAGTGGTGTAAATACTTCAGAAGCGGATTGCTATCGCTTAGAATTGGAAGGGCAAACCACTCCAGTGCCGTGTAGTTTAGGCCTCATATATAAAAGTTGGGAGGATAGCTTTCGCCTGGCCTCTACTCTTTGATCTACCTGGCCTGACTGGCGTTACTAGGACCTTAAAGGCACATGCCCCGACGCATTTCGCTGGCCGTTTAAATTTCTCATTGGTTGGAATACACAATAGCCCTATTGCTTCGTATCCAATCGGCTAATTCTCAATGTTTTCTCGATCATAAACGCGCTGCATAGCCTATTGTTAACTCTGAGCGGTTGACTGACGAGACATAGGGCCTTTAATCAGGATTTTAGATAAACGAAATATCATTACCACGTAAAGACAGGGCTTGGAGATCAACAATATAAACTATAAAAGATGGTGGAAGAGGATTGATTATAAACATGGGTTAGGCGCATATATATATATATGGGATGACAAGTCGGCTCTTCAGTGAATGATGATACTTATGCAAGTATGAGGAAGAATAGATTCCAGAATGCCTGAGTTGCATGAATCGAAAAACATTTCCCAAGAGTCGCTGCTTTGACTGTGCTATTGTGTTTGGGGCATTTTCGAAGAGAGGTTAAAAATAGGGTAGAAGAATACCTGTTTGGGTCGGCTCCATGACTTTGGAAATGATGAATCCGGACCATCGTGTACCTTCCAATGGTCATGGGTGGCCTAGTCAGGTGGAAGCCTTTGGCACGAATTCTGTGAAAAATAAGAAACAGTTATTGATTGCATTTTAACTTTTGAAATTAAATCTAGCAAAACTCTTTAAAAAAGCAAAAAAACAGTAAGGACTCTATCAATCGTTGAAGGGAAAAATTTGGGAACCTGAAGCCTGGTTCTATGTGCTCACTTTAGTCGTCGCTATTTCACTGAGGAAAATTTAGACTTATCCAATATTTCTTTGTTCCAGGACAAATCAATGGTATCAATAGAGCCAAATATCGGTGGGTTCTTTTATGCGCCATTTAATACGCCAATTAAGACGGGTAAAGATATATAAAAGAGGTAAAGATAAATAAAAGCGGTAAAGATAAATAATAGTCTTACATAAGACCTTTTAAGGAATTGAGTCATGGCAAAATAGGACTTCTCTATAGGGGGGGGGGAGAGGGGTTGTTTGGGGTGGCGGTGCATTTGGTTTTGGCGTGATTGCTGTAGTTTCATGTGATATCGTTGTAGTTTCTGTTGTTGACAACATGCTATTGATGAAAATGTTTGTTAATCAGTACGAGGCGAGTTCATGTGACCAATTCCAGGTCAACCAATAGCATTGCTGCACGAAAATCAGCGGATTTAGGTACGTTGGGTATACCCTGTCCTTTTATCGTGATACAAAGCCTTTACGCAGGGGCAATGCCTGTTAGAAATGGCGCTTCTCATATGGACTAACCGCATGAAGATAAATGATAGCCCGTTCTTTTGCCTTAAGGCCCGAGTTACACGATGTCGGATTGGTTTTCGGTTCGGATTGCCCACCCCAATCCGAAGCAGTTGCACTTCCCTTTTTCAAATGATTACACGACTTCGGATTGACTTTTGCTCCGCTTTGCTTCGCTGTTACACGATGTCGGATTTCTTTGTTTCAATGTATGGACGCAGTTCACAACACAACAAATTGAAACTATTTCTGGACATACGAAAGTTTAGTCGCCACTCTTCATCATCTTTTATAAGCCCTTTCTTTAGGTTTGACCACCAGCCGCTGCAGCGACCGGGCTTAGGCCAGTAGCGACGCTGGGCCTTGATTTTTCTCCTATTCCTGATGCAAAAGCTACAAGCAGCTATTTGTTTCATTAACAATTTTCTTCGTGCCAGATAGTTGTGAGTAATGAACTCAAATAACATGCTGTTCTGCTGCAATAAAGTGGAAAAACCCGTAGGCTTGCCAAGAAAAATTTTGATTAACAATTTGATGTCAGCCATGTTTATGCTAGGTATTTCCTTCTTCAAAAAGCGCGCACATTTTGCACATAACAGAGGCAACGTGATCTGCAACGAGGTTTCGGAGTGAGAATCACCTCAGATTCAGTGTTTATACGAGAAGGAATGCGAAGCGAAGTACTTCGGATTGATTTTCACTTCACCTCCAGAGCGGAGTGACTTTCACTCCGGTTACGCCCACCGAAGTACTTCGGATTGCCTCAGCGTCGTGTAACTGAAACCCCTATCCGAAGTGAAAAGCAATCCGAAGTGAACCCAATCCAACGTCGTGTAACTCGGGCCTAACCTTTGGATACCCATTTGCTGCTGGTTTGGGTGGAGGTGACATTCAAATCACAGGTCGAATTTAGTTTTAGAAATCTTCCACCTTCAGCATTGCAGAGCACTATGGCCCGAAAAAAACACAAATCATTACCAGCCTGCCCCTGCCAGTTAATTTTGTCTGCCTTACGTGATGGCATTAGTCAGATTTTTGACTCAATTTCTAGAAAGGTAGATTACTTTAATGCAAACCAGATATACATCAAAACAGCGGAGGGCTCAGCCCCCCTCCTTGTTTGTTCTTCGGTCAGACAAGAATCGTGTAACGCATAGAGAGCTGGGACGAACTTTTTGCTCCAGCACATGTCTGCCATTGTAAACTGAACAAGAAAAGGAGACGAGATGCAACTGGAAGACTAAGATGCATTTGCCTAAGACTCATAGAAATGTGGACATAGTTTGGCATCTAAACAAAGAATAGAATGACTCTCTACTTTTGAAGATATCTTACTGAGAACACTCAGTTACTTTCTTCTACAGGCAAGACAGGTTTTTTTACTATTTCATTTAGAAATTTGCTTAAAGTTATGTGTGTCGGAAATGTTGCGCTTGTCGCTAAAAGTTAAGAATTTGATCTTGGTTTGTCGGTAATTGTGATCAGGGACGACAATTATTTTCATAGAATTACTGGGAAAGTTTGAGGAGATTTGCTTTACTCGAACACATTTCACTGGTCAAAAACTGTCATCTTTAGCCACAAATAAGGGTGCAAGGAAGAGAAAGCTAAAGCTGTAGCCTTTTCTACATGCTCATTCGAACAGGGAAATCTTCGCAGAACATTTTTAAGACGTTGCTTGTTTTTGTTGTACTTATTTCCTTCTATTTTTGCCCAGTTTTGCTTTGTTTCAGTTCAGATTATCTTAGAGTCAGCTACTTTGATTCTGACTCTCCACATCCGAATCGCTTGCACCTTTTCCCACTCATTCCTCGTTGTTAAAATGTTGTTCGCCGTAGTCAAGCGTTGTTAAACGCTCAAAGTTTATTATAAAACCAACTCTAACTTCCTTCCCATTGTTATGTCAAAATCAAACCTCTTGAACATATTCCTTACCACATTCTTCTCACATTTAAAAGTCATTTAGCTAGAAAAAAATAATTTTTCCCCAACAATGGCATGATTTTCTCTTTCCTCTTAGCCTACATCACAATAAAACCCTAGGCAATACAGTGAAAATGACGCGGGCCCAAATAAAGGATTGTAGAGCCCCAATATTAATCTTTTACGCCAATGCCTACATCCCTAGCTATACTCAAGCTAATTAAAACCAATTAATTTAAATTACCAACGCTAGATATAATGTAAATTAAGTATAACAGATGTTGCATACGTATTCCTTGCCAAGATCACAAGTACAATTGAACGATGTAAATTCTGAGGTTTTTCTTGAATGTTTGTAAAGTTGTTGAGTGGAACTGAGTTCCAAATTTGGCTACAATTGTGTGATACAGTATTAAATCCATTCCTTTTTTAATGTGGCACCACTGTGATGAATCTGGCGTTTCTTTAGCTATGTGATGTAAATTGAGGAAAACTTATAGCAATATTCCAATAGCCTTTCAAGCCAGCTGTAAAAGTGTTCCACGAGAGACTTCAATGATACCCTTGAACTTAATTTGAATTTCGGGGCCCTTTCTCGACGAATTTGCCCATGCCCTAGATTTGGAGCCAGTCCGCCCCTGCGTATATACACAATTTTCTACCTCATGAATTTTCACAATATATCAATTAAATTGCTTCCACAATCTGTCAAGTCTTGCCAATCCTTAGAAGGTCTGTCTCAAACATTTTGTAGGAGTTGACCGATTTTTTAAATTGAACGAAGGGGAGGGGGGGGTAGCTGATGATACTTTGCTTACCCTGTGCAGCTGACTCAACAACAAAATCAGCAAATGGACAGCTTGGTTCTATACAAATAATTGCTGTCAATTTAAACCAATATAAAAATCTTTTTGATATAGAGTACCTTGCAAACAAGTCATCATCCTCTCCTCCCCAGCCCCAAAAGAAGTTTGAAAAGCCATTCACTTTCTGAAAGTCAGCCTTTTTAAATGCACCAACACCACCAAATATGCTTTCATACGGCAGCCTGAAATTACAATTAGATATAAGTGAGCAGACCAGTAGTCTCAAAGAATTTTCAACACATTCTGTGAATCAATAAAAGCAATGAAAATTACTCTAAACAGGTCTTTCATAAAACTGTTTGATACCAGATACACAGAGCTGTTTTTGATGATATCATCAAACATGAAACTCAGAGTTGCAAATGAGAAAAATCCTGTTATATACATAAAAGCAAAACATTAAAGTACATTTTTCATCTCTAAAAGCCTGTTTCACAAGAAAATCGCTATTCAGGAGATGTGATTCATTCCTGAAAGATAAATCTGAGCATCTGCTTTACATATCCTGTTCTTTATATGAAAGCGATAAAAAATTTAGTTAGATAGAATAGATGGTAGTTGGTTACATGCGTGTCATTCAATAAATGAAAATTAGCCATCTTTTAAAAGTTATAAAAACATATAGACTTTAAATAGCCTATATAGTTAAAATTATACAGTAGAAAGAGATATTGGCATGGTAATTTTCAGCAAATTTTCTATAATTTCTAAAACCAAGTCAAAAAACTTCATTTAGATGCTTTCACTGAAATTCATGAATCTAAAGCCACAAAAAAGTAGAATTAATTTCTACACTCCTTCATTTCTGCATATGATCAATGTATTGCAATAGATCCAACATGATATTTTATAATTTAAAATGAATCAATGTACAATTATGTGAGCTACAGCTTGATCGAGAGAAGATCAGGAGGGTGGAGAAATTCAAATTTCTTGGCTCCTAGTCAAACAATGGAAGGAGTCAGCCGGACAGACATCAGGAGCTGAATAAGCATAGTGAAGTCAACAGCAAACCAGATGGCAACAAGGTGGAGATTGAATGACATTACACTTGGGATGAAAGTGAGGCAGACCAAGTCACTGATATGGAGTGGCTCTTTATGGTTGTGCAGGCTTGATCCTTCAGAAAAAGATATAATGATCCACGCAGACGCAGTGGAGCTTTGGTTATGGAGGAGAGTGCTGCAGGTGAAATGGACTGACAGAAGAACAAAATGAATGGGTATGTCAGAAGGTAGGAGTGAGCTATGAGAATGGCATGGCGAGAGGGGTCAAGATGAGAAAGATCAGGAAGTATGGAGACTTGAAGAGGTGAGAGGACAGTAGGGTCCTAGCTAGCATCCACAGAGAGACAGAGGGCAAAGGAAGACAAGGTAAACACCCGATAGAATGGTTGCACAACATGAAAACTTGTGAGGGTGGACTTCAGCAAGCTTCTCTGAATGCCAACAAGAGAAGGCCAACATCCCACTATTGGCTAGGGCAGCACTACTGTATATTAATGCTGCTATGAATGTATATTGAAGACCAGAGAAGCAGCGACACCTAGTCGTGAAGAAGCGGAACTCCAATAAACAAACAATGTATAACCTCTGTTAATAACCTTAAAGGTATAAGTAAACAATTGTTTTTAGCACGCTATACAAAAAGTAATTATAACTCTAACTTAGGAAAAAAAGTCATAATCTATTCTAATATTGTCTGAATAAAGTATTGAAATCCAAGCCTCAAAGGGTGGCAACTTACCTGTAATTAAATTTGTCAATCGCAACCGACATATGTCGAGGTGATGATGGACAGCCATAGCTGTTTCTATCATCCTCTGGAAGTAGATCAACATCAGAGAAAACAAAGCAATCAAAATCATCTGCTTTCAACGCTTCTGTAAAACCAATGTTGAAAAGGCCAGCTCTGTTAAATGGATCAGTGCCTGCTTGCTCAACAACAAATATTTGATAATGAAGATTTTGACGATGCAGTACGGGGTGCATATGCTTTAAGAATATCTTGAGCTGTCGTTCCCTCTTTCGAAATGGAATAATGAGTGCAACCTAAAAAAAGCATACTTCACATCAAGAGAAATCACATGATGAAATGAGAATAACACGAAACATTTTACAGAAAGATAGAATGTATCTGAAATTTAAAAATAAAGATCGAGGAGGCTGTTCTATTTGAGAGACAGTTTTGTTTCTTATAAGACAACAGCCTCCTTGATCTTGTAGGTCTAAAAAACAAAGCAAAAACTAGTATACAAAATGTTTACCTTTGCCCTAGCTATGCAGTCCTTCGGCTTCCATTTTCCACCCTTTTCCACCCATCCAGATTCACTGATAGCATATTCTTTAATTATGTCTTCCATTTCTGGAATTCTCTGATCAATGGCCATTGCACCAACTAAAATTTGGCAAGGAAAAAACTTGTTGATCATTGCAAGGACTATATTTATTTATAGGTCTAAGATGATGAAGATAAAAATGACAGTGGCTATTAAGAATTGAAGATGACTGATGATGTTAACAAAAACAAAACTGACAAAGAACGATAAATTTTCATCATAATGGTGATGATGATTATAATGACCCAATTCCAATTCAAATTTTAAACTTCTCAGATTGAATACGAAGGCCATCAACTTTGATAGGAACAATGTAAATGACTTGAATAACATCTGTTTCTAGATTAAGTAAAGATTGAATAATCTATTTATAAAACTGATAATTATATTCTATGTTTTTAACCCTTTCCTCCCCATGGGCCACTTGAGCAGGCTGACCTTGTCTCCCTATGGACACAATTTGCCACAATGTGTTAGAAAAGTTTACAACACTGGAAACTTTGTAACGAAAGGGTTAAATATATATCTTTACACTGAATCATATATTAAATGCCAAAAACAGTTATAATCATAAAGAGTCCCCATCACAACTTTTATATTTTCATTAGTCATTATTTTTTCTTTGATGTTACAATATTTTGAATATTTTGCAAATTTAATTGAAAATAAAACTTACAGTCCCCCAGATTTAATTTTTTTTCCTATTTTTAATTGTTCTCATAACAACTTACACAAGACACAATGTACAAGAATTGTACCACAGAGAGCAAGGAAGTGCATAACAACCCTGTGACCATTAGATAGTTACCTAAAATTCACTTGAAGTCTGTTTCAAATAGATGCAGTTTGGGTATTAGTACTATTTTGAAGAGCAGGAGATCTATATACCATAAATAAACACCATTGAAAAGTTCATACAGAATTAATTACAAAAAACAAACCCAATTGTTTGCCATCTTTTGGACATTGGGTAATCGAATTTGTCGAAACTTTTGTTTCTTTGGCTATCTCAGTTGTCTTTTCTTCAGGTTTTGTTGGTTTTTGTATCTGTTCTACTGCACCTGTTTTTTCCGCTAAATTACTTGAACTGCTAGAACTGGGTTCCTCTTTTGGAGATTCTTTTGAAACTTTTACGACTTCTGGCACAACATCTTCCACTTTTTGGTTTCTATTGAAATTCCCATGGGGGTCAACCTGAAATGCTTTTGGGTCTTTATTGAAATCAATCTTGAGAGACTGTACAATATGTATGGCAGCTTCTTTAACATTAAAGTTCTTTATGTAAAATAAATGCATTAGAATTGCAGAAAGAGAAATTAGAACTGTTATCCACAAAAGAAGCCTTAGCCTGGTCATGGCTCGTAGCAAATTGACTCAACCAAGCAATACCTACAAAAGAATACAGAAAATAGGTTACAATAATAAATAATCACTATGAATGAAAAAATGTTTTTTTAAACACACACTTTCTGAACAAACAAACAAAGTAAACAAAACTTCAAAAACCTATCTAGTTTTATGCATTTTATTCTGGTTGTTTAGTTGTTTTTGATAAATTGCATGTAGAGGAATTCAAATATATAAGTCTGGACTGAACTGAGTTGTCTAGTTTATTTGCTAATATGCAAACATGTGTTTTGCAGATACTGTCTAGGTGATATCGAGAAAAACCTCAACTTATGATTTACATAAACCATAGCGTTTCGTCATTGTTTAATCCTAACAGAAGATTGCACAGTAACAGAGTGAATACTTGGCAAGGAAAGAAAAAGGTTGGAAAAAGATTTTGTTACATTGATCGAAAGGGTTTGAAGCATCGCGATCATATCGTCAATTTGATTCTTCTGATTTAGAGCATGGCAGCTTGCACAACAAAAAATAACCCTTTTGAGCTCGACCAACTCGAAAATAAGCATGATACTCAATGAGACAGCGCCTTTATTGACAAAGAAGCGCTGATTTCGATAAATATTTTGCTTAAAAAGTAAGATGTTATTCTGCTCTTTATTTTACTCCTTATACGCATTTCATAATACGCAACTCATTAAACTATTTCGCACAATAGAAATTGAAAAGGAAACAGCTTGGCCTAATTCCCGTCCAGTTGTAATAGCTATGTTCAAATATAATTTGAAGGTAAATACTCACTTCCCAGCTTTTTTCAAAAGCCTGTTAAATCTTGTACATTTTTCAGATGCCGATAGATCTGTTTTACAAGCAATTACGACCTTTTGTAGAGCAGCAGAATGTGAGATGCCTTTGAATGTCGAATGTCTTTCCTAAGCAACGGCCATCATGTATCTCACAAGAACAAAGATTGTTGTCCTCCTCCACAGTAACCGCATTGAAACTGACGCTCGTTCTATGAAAATAGGTTTTTAATTTCAAAGACCATTTCTTTTGATTGCGATATAAGTAAGGAGATACAAAGCCCGTTCTTGATTTCGCTTAATGCGCCCCTTCGATAAAGGCTTGTTTTTAAAGAAGTTCTATCGAGAGTGAAGGAGTCAAGAAAAATTTTAATTGCAACTTACTACCACCTTAATCGCATAATCTGTTTTCAAATTTGAACTCTAGGTGTGATTTTTATTTTTTATTCTTTTAATCAAGCATATATTAAACTAGACTAAAGGGCCATTTGTCAATTTTAAGGCTCTGTCTTTTAACAACTCTTTGCTTTTATTACTGTAGCTTTTTCATCAATTATTTCACTGCTATGGAAAAACCTATTGTACTATCGTGCCGCACCCAATGATAATGGCTCATAATGGCTGTTTTTGTCATTTCCAATAACAATTGCTATGTTTACCAAATGTTCCACACTGAAGGACAGTTTAAAAGCTGCTCCATGCTCTTTATTACGAAGTTCTCATCCCCAATTTTTTCAATTCTACAGGGGCGGCGACAAGAAATTCAAAGTGAAGGGGCTCGAATTGATAACATTTTTAGACTGAAAAACCAACTTTTGAAAAACGCACTTAAATGCTTCACGGTATTTTATGCCTATGATTTTATGGGGTACTCGTTATATGTAGCGGTACATTGGAAGGGCAGCGAGAGGTTGTCGGGGGCCTTAGGTATATCTAAAGGGGAGGCTTCCTTGCGAGAAGAAAGTTTCTGCAACCACGTCCTCTAGACTAGCTTAAAATACATTTGAGAATATTCCTTGCGGTCATTTTTTGCAAACATTTTGCTATTTTGAAGGCATAGTTTTTTACGCTCGATTAAGTCCAGTCTTAAACTGGAATTCGTTACTTTATAGGGCACCATACTGTAATAGAGCTAAAATAATGCGAGCCTAAGTATAGATTTTTTTACCAATTACACTTTGTTTTGTTTACGTAGCTACTTTGTAATGTAGATTCTTAGAAAATCCTCCTTGTGTCTTGACAACCACGTAGCTGTAGGTGTCGGCTAGGGGGGGGGGGCAAACTTGAGCAAGAACCATGCCTGAGGGGGGCAGGCTTTAAAACAGGAAAAAAGATATATAGCAAACAGATATATTTTGACAAAATCAAGGTCATGGAATTATAATTATGCCAAATTTTCAAAATATCATAGTCCAGGAATTAATTCCTGGAATTAGGTGTGGCTGTTGTAAAAATTTTCATTTGGGGAGGCCACAGCCCCCCTGCCCCCCCCCCTACAGCTACGTGGCTGTGTCTTGAACGTTCTGTTTTATTTACACAGCACCACGCAGCATTACACTGCATTCCATTCTATTGTTGTAGGATTACTCCCTCATTAGGATTACATCGTGTTGTGTAGTCATTAGTTTATTTTGGGTAACATTTTTTGCTTGGTTATGCTTTTCTGGTAATTTCCTTGTACAAATAAACATACGCACTTAGTTAGATTTAGAGAGATTTGGAGCAGCAAGGGCAGATTTTGTAACAATAGGTTCTTTGGTTTGTTTACATTTTGTTGACTAGCCCATCAGAGAGCTCTATTTCTATGGCGTCATCTGATGGTAATGGCGGATGGAGGGGTTTGCTGTGGAGAAAACCACAACCTCGTTTTTTCCTCGCGACGAAAATACACTTTTTTTAGAATTTTTGAATTTAACCACATAACATAAAATATCACCATAAATACTTCCAATTATGCAAAATTAGTCAAACATATCTAAAATCAGTTGAAATATTGCCAATTGAAGATTTGCAGTTTGCTAACGAATCACTGTTATTTTCGCTCTTTTCATAAAGTCGCTCTGTTCATAAAGCTAAGGCTTTGGATAAATCCATGAGTGCATCCAGGGATGCCTGCACAAGATTAGGGCAGGAGGGGCAGTGTTGGTGCTGAGGGAAAATCGTAGAATTTTTTACTAACATGGTTAGGGAGGGTGGGGGTAACATAACAAAATATTAACATGCATATGTGACAACTATACAGCTGAGTTGTTCTATCATCAATGATTCTAAACATAAAGAAAATGTTGACGAAAATATCCATACATAAGTGGGTATTAAGTGGCTTTGTCATTATACACAATATTTGGATTTAAAAAACTCATGGCTGTTATAAATGGGCTCGTTGTAAAATTTTGATTGCAAATACCGTTTTATCCATTTTTGGTTTCTGGAGTACTTGCATTTGCATTTACGAAAAAATGCATTTTCCTGCAAACTGGAAGCATCAAAATTCGAAAGTTTTATCTTTCGGTGGCAACCATGGTTCAGCCACAGATAGTAGTTATAGTTATATCCTGGGCTTGTTCCGATATACAGAACTAAAAGGTTGGGAGATCTGATATTATTATCATGTTAATTATTTTTGAAATCGACACAATGTATATTGGGGGATGGTATCAGCAGCTAAAGAATTTCAGGTAATTTTTTTCAATCAGGCAAATCCGTAGTAAACCCAAACATGGTCTGCCTCGCAACGGCCTTGAGCCATATTTTGAAGAAATCTTAAGGGGATTTTCCAGGATCTTCCATGAGTCTAGAGTGTTGTAAACATTTGGATGTATTTTCTGACCATCCCTAGAATGTCTTCTTTGAAATTTTTTTCAAACTTCACTAAACTCCTGAACGATCTTACCGCCCCCTTCCTACCCTCCAATTCCCTCAATAGTGACGTCCCTGGTTATCATTGTTGCGTAGTTTGATGATACAGCCGCTACAACGATGGATAGTAACTGTTGTATAGTAAATACTGTTGGATGGTAAATACTCTATCATGTCCTGCCAGTAATTGAATACCCCCTCCCCCCTCATTTGGAGGTCTTTCGGTACGCCACAGATTGAAATATCGATAGATATAGATCAGCGTGCTTCCGAACTCTTGTACTTTTCTGCACATTTTCGAAACTTTGACAAAACAATTTAAGTCAACTAAATGAGGGGCGCAATTTTGACCCTTTGCTTGATTTTGACCCTTTGCTTGACCCTCTGATAATTTTTTTGCCAAAGGAGTTTTTCAGAAACTCTGTCTTTTCGTTACCATTGATGTACTTTTGGATGCAGGAATCTTTGGTAACAATGGAAGATTTTTGAGGAAGTTTCTAATCAAGGAGAGCCATTTGTCGGGAACTGTTATTTTGTTTTAATGTAATTAAATAATTTTTATTTGTTTTTTATATATATTTATGCACATTTGTCAAGCAGCCATCTATTTTGCGAAACTTTAAGAAAAGAATACATTTTGTATTTGTATCTACAAATGTCATCTGTTTCAAGGTATGGAAAATTTTACTTGTGGCTCAAGAAGTTCGAGATTCGACTACTTGAAGAACGACTTGTCATAACTTTTTAATGCAAAATCACTCAAATGTTGCAAACAAAAAGATACCTCGGGGTAAGTAATATGTGATATCGGAGTGCCACAGGGTTCGTGCCTAGGGCCTCTTCTTTTTCTGATGTACATAAATGACCTCGGGGTAGGTTTTCCTGGCTTATCTAACTCCTTTACATTTGTATTAAAAATTTAGTTTATTGACGTCATAGAAGCTTTATAGACAGAAGCAGTAGCAATTATGAAACTGTTCACTAAAGAAAGACAGTTGGTTTACTTAATCTTTTGCTAAAGAAACATGCACGTTGTTATTTTGAGCTTTTTGTAATTATCAATGAAGGGTTACTTCATAGAAGTTAGGACCCAAAACATATGGTCCAACCATGAGTGCCGTCTCCGCGAGGACCTGAGCCCTCTGGCAATTCTTTAAGGGACTCAGCCACCCCTGGCAGTTTTTGGATGCAGAAAATATTTTCCGTAAACAACAAATCACAGCATATTTTGTTGACTCTAAGGATGAAAAATTAAAAAGGTGAAAGTCAAGGCTCTCCATTCCCAGGCCCTTTTTGACGCGTTTAATTGTAAATTCTAGTAGTCTGAACTTACCACGAGCCACCCCTGGGAAAACTAAATGTCAGTGCCTATGGGTCTAACCAAATTCATCATAATACGTCCTTTTTCAAGGGGCTATAAACCTGAATACAGATTAAAGAAAGGGTAATTATTCAGCCAAACCTTTTAGTAAACCTAGAAGAAAACCAGATTTGGATCTTTGTTCAGAGTAACTTTCTGCTGCGCTGTCAATTTTTAGAACAGTCTTGGTAACAAATACTCAGTCTTAGTACAAAGATTAAAAGCGATTAATTCTAATAAATATGTAAAAATTACAATAATATATCGTGGGAAAGAAGCAGGTTCTCTTTCTTGCGCCTCTTGCTTCTTGGGTCATAGCATCTGTGGACGTCAAAATGAATACAAATGCTTTAGGACACAAGGGGACGAAGTGGCTTGAGGGCAGGGTGCCCGCGCTTTTTGGAAATTCGAAAGTTCTGGTATCATTTAGACTTAATTTATGTTCTGTTTTGGTATTTAAGATTTTCACTGGGACATTTAAACTACTTTCCCACCCTAGAATACACCTTGGGTACCAAAGCCACAAAAAATGAGGACAGCAAAAATGGGAGCTGCGGAGGCAAAGGAATGTGAAGAGGGGAAAGGAAAAACGTTCTACTTTCAAGTTAGGGGTCTGGAACACAGGTTGCAAGAAAGCAGGTATGCTATAACCAACAATTACCATGTTCCCAATCAAAATCTAAAGCATTAACAAGAGATGCAAGCTGGTTATGGTATTAGAATTAGACGCCAAACTGTGTATTCAGTCTCTGGGAGTTTCAAAGGAATTCTGCTGTACAGATAACGCATTAACAAACTTTCACAATGTCAGGAATGCAAGAATGTTCTAGAATAGAAATTTCCCATGTGGATAGGTATCTTCACTAGGAGGTGTTCAGAAGAAAGAGTAGCAAAGGACATGTACATGCGTATATAATGCAAGAATGATATCAGATTCAGCATTTCATGGCCATCAAGGGTTGTAGCATCAGAAATTGCTGCACAGTTTGAGATAAGTAATGAATTTCAACGAATACAGCAGCAAAATTTGATCTGCAATACGTCAGTACAACAGGTCATCAAGAATTTCTTAACGCTATTTCTCTGCACAACCTGACAAAGGCTTGGTACCCCCAGACTAGTTGTATATTATTTCCTAACCGAAAAACCCACCGAAAAGGTACTTTCCTTCGGCCGATAGGCAATCATGGTTTCAGCATGATTTTTAAGACAATGACGAAGAACAAAGTAAACTGGAAAAACGCAGCTACTAGATGGACTTTTCTACACCTTATGGATTATTGTGACTATTGTCATTATTCGTTAACAACATTGTTTTGGTTTTTCCTACGGTGATTCTTTTTGATACGATTTTCGAAATAGTAACTGTTGTCACAAAAGGTCTCTTTGGTAACATTGTAAAAAGTCTGATAACTGCACAAGTTGGCTATTTTTGCACCTTGAAATAAATCCTGAAATGAACAAATAAAAGAGATCGATGACGATACGATAACTTTTAGGATGAAGATGATGTTTTGTGATTGTTTGATAAATTTCATTGAAAAAAAATGAAACTGTTTCACTTTGTAGCTAGCTTTCACAATACGCTCCCTTTTTTGCTCAATGTTTGTGAGCAAAAAATCCACTTTCAAACAATGATTTGCTGTGATCTTCTAAAGTGCAATAAATTTTGACGGTAGAAGCATTGGAACACATACAATTTTGGATAGTAAAAATTTCGGACGTTAACTGTTGGCGTTCAAGGTGTGGTAGGTGTGATACTAGCTTGAGGGACTAAATTTAGGGCAATTGAGGCCCTGTGCTAGTTGAGATGAGGCCCTTTACTTGGGCCCTGAAAGAGATGGGTCTAGCATGTACGTGTTCATAGCCTTTTCGAAGGGAAATTATTCATGTTCGTTCATATTTAGAGAAGGAATATAGCCTATTGCTTAAAACAATTGAAGGCCACTAGGGCTGGCGTCATTTTTTGTTTAAATAAATAAAATCATTTTTGCCTTTTTATAAGATCAAATACTGTTTTTTTTATCCGGCGCCCCCTTACAGCAAAAACCCCTCAGACAGCTACCAGGTTTGGACTTTCTACTGCTTGAAACATGACTTCCTTGGTTCCAAATTGACAGCAACGCAACCACGATTGGTCTTTTCTTGGCAGTGATACTGCTACTCTTTCGAAACTAAAGCACTTTTCGTCCGACACTCTTTACAGTATAATTCAATTCAGCTCAATTCAATTCAATTGCAAATCATCATTCAGCAACATTATTACAATTTTAAGGTTTCAGCGACTAATGTAAAATTATAGTTTTCAGCTTACATGCACAAATATGTAAGGTAAATGTAATCAACATGTTGTTTAGGGTATTGAGAAGAACCATCGTATGATTACCATATCCAATGCCCTCTATATTTTTATAACGTGATACAATATAAGGATTCGCTCATTAAAATGTTGAGATGCAAATTCAATGGAAAGGTATTTTTTTAACTAAATGGGAAAACACAATTTTATCATTTTAGAAGTAAAGAAAAAATATAATAAAGAAAGAGAATGAAAAAGAGAGACACTGAAATTTTAATTTTATCAGGCAAGGTAAAGGGATAAAATTCTTCAGTTATCAATTTACATCAGAGTAGCTTTTTAGCACAAATGTTTTGAAATGCTTGTTAAATAATTTCTTATAGATTTTTTACGAACTTCAATTGGTATTTTTTAAGTTCCAAATTTTTAAACTTTTGAAAGAAATATAATTTTGCTTGGCGTTTGTTCTGGCTATGGGGGAAAAGAGGTTTGTTACTGGCTTTCGAGTTTCATATTTATGTATGGAGACGGTGTTTTGGAACAAATTTGTAAATTAATCTGAGCTGTTCATTATTGTAAATTTCATGCATATATTTTGCACACTCAAGTATCCACAAAATGCAACAATTTTGAATATTGAGTTTGACTTAGTTTTAGTTCATTCAAAACACATAACTCTAATTACCTTTTCTTATAATCATCGGATAATTACCGAATGTAAGAGCTTGGTGGGTTCATTGATTTTAACCAATCAGCGACCGCTAACCACTCACCTAGTCGAAGAGTCCAAGAGAGTGAGAGAGAAAACGAACTCTTGCTGTCTATACAAGTCGGAATCCTTTGTTTTGATTTAAACAGATTCCAAAACTCCTCAATGAAAAGACGACCATGCCTATACAAATCTTCTCTCGTCCATCAAAAATAAACATGCCCTCTTTATGCCATTTGTGTACTTCATGACGCAAATATTGAGCAGCATCAGTTGAATCAAAGAGAATTTTTGTTTGTTTTAATGCAGCGTTTTCGGCCTCAATACCTGCATGATTTTTTACAGAGTAAATCCAATTTGAAAGCATCTTTTTACACGCAGCATTGCAGGTACGCGTATAATTCAAGTTCATATGTATGCTTTTATTTGACACTTTTTGAAATTCATTAACTTTTCATTTGTATTTAGGGAACAAACTGATCTGATGATTCCGTGGTGATTTTGTATTTATATCAATTAATTAAAGTTCTGTCTTTTTTTGAGAAAATGTCCAGTGATCTTGCCAATATTTAAAGGCAACTGTTGTTGAGGTGAAAAGAGGATAGAGTGGCCTAATAAAGCGACAAGGGCAAGACAGTAGTGTAAGGTATACAGAGAAAGGGTTCAGGATCGGGAAATAGTCAAATATTGTATTTTAAAATCCACTTGCTAGGGGTGTTTCATGTGCACCGAAAGCATGGTTAGTCACGCTGGTATATAGAAGAAAATCATAAGAAAGTTACTTAAGCCATATTCCAGGCCACACCTAATTTGCGTAATTATTGGTCACAAGCCAAATTTTGCGTGTCAAACACTGAAATCATACGCTTATAAACGATGTTTTGAAGAAATTATTGTCAAATCTTTTTAGAAGAGAGATCAGCTGAATATGCCACTAACGTCTAAATTCTTAAATTAGAAGAATGCGTTAAGAAACACTATATGAATTGAAATTATGACTTATCAATTTGATGTAATTGATTAAGGATTATCTTAAATATTTTCTTTATACTTCTAATCTTCATATATCTTCAGCTCAAATTCTTTTTTACTTTGTTAAGACTCAAGATCACAAAGAGCGTTGTTGAGGATTGTAGAGAAACTTCAAGGATTTTGGTAAGCTGCCAGTAAAACCACGGCATTATCCTGCCTTTGGGACGTCCTTTTTCATTTCAACCGCTCAAAAATGTATGAGGATTCCTATAAGATACGCCTCTTGTGAATTTGGCGATTAGGAATCTAGGTGTAAAAGTCTTACAAAAGATAGTCAGCTTACCCTGTTTGTATTCCTATACAAATTAACTCAACCCAAAACTAATGAGAAAACCAAAGCTGCTAAACTCAAAGAGAGAATGCTAACACGTTTATATTATCTAACAATTAGCAGTGCCGTAGTCTGACCTTCTCGCTTAGGGGGGGGGGTCAATTAGCAGTGCCGTATTGTGACCTTTCTCGCTTGGGGGGAGGGTCAATTAGCAATGCCGTAGTGTGACCTTTCTCGCTAAGGAGGAGGGTCAATTAGCAATGCCGTAGTGTGACCTTTCTCGCTAAGGGGGAGGGTGTAAAAGATGCAAAACCATATTTTATACTGACAGAAATTCTTTTGTTACATTAAAATAAGTTGTACATAGGCGTTTCTTAGTTTTTATTTGTTAAGATTATTCTAAAGATTTCAAAGACTGAGCTTCTTGGTGCTTTATCGCGATTCTAATGCATGGGATTTTTCTTAAATTAAGTAAAATATTTGGCATAAAAATCATTTTGCTATAAATGTTATTCTACTGACGAGTTCTCTGAAAGTTGGGGGGTATGACAACCCCACACACCTCGCACGATTTCTTTGCTTAAAAGTTTCATACTTACTCAGGGCCCCCACCTACATTCCTGTAGTGACAGGCCTGTACTTACTCGACAAATGTTGAAAGTGGCCATAATTGAGCCATTCGAGCTGTGGGGCAAGTGCAGTGAATTGTCTACGTTTAATATTTGAGCACCCTTTACCTACCAACATTTGGGCACCCATTTTCGAGTATGATGTCAATTTTTTTGCGAGGGATGACCATAGCCTGTGGTCCAGACCCCTAACTTGAAAGAAGAGGGTCTGTGGTACGAGGATTGAATTGAATTCTTTGCATAATTATCATAGATCTGTGTCATTATGCAAGAAGAAGCAGTCATATTGCAAGCGTGGCGGTACGATGTAGATTTTTTGTTGGGAGAAAGATTCGAGGATACTGCTGAGCTATTCATTTTCGAAAACTCCGTTGTGACCAAAACCACCAAAATGCAGCATTGAAGGGGTTGTCGGACCAATGTGATTAGGTGGGGGGGGGGTGAATCTACAGCAGAAAATGGAAATAGAATTTACTTGGAAATCAGTCGAGTCGATTTTATACGGGTTAAGATCTCGTGGTAGATACGACCACGAAAAACATGATTGTCGGAGTACATAAGACAGACAAGATGCTTTGCCTTAAGCAGCAGAAAATTGCCTCTACATTTCAAAAACTTGACAGACAGTGAAAATCACTACTAAAGATTTATGAAACATTTAACATATGTTAAGATAAGGTTGCCTACCAAAGTGGACTAAATTTTGGGCGCAAGGAAGGTTAGTAGGCCTAGGCCTTGTACTTTCGGGACATGCTAGTAATTTCTTTTCCATTAAAACACAAATCTCCCAATTTTGTTGTTTGAAATTTTGAAATTCTGGTGTTTAAAATTGATTTTGTAACCTCAGTTAACTTATCAACAACAAAGTGTGTGTTTTGATCCAAAGTCATCTTCTGGTTTTGAAGTGTTTCGCACTGGACAACAATTTTCTAGGCGTCCAAGTCTTTCAGGCGTCATTGTGAAATGGTCTAACTTCGAATATGAATAAATAGAAACTTTGAATACGCACTCATTTCTTTTCGCTATTTGAATGCGTAAACTGTCACAGCAAACCACGCTCTGTTTACGCCATTGCTCATTTTGGTCATGTAGATGCCGCATATTTTACGCATAATTAATTTTCCCAGAGATCCTGCGAAAACGCTCGTACACGAGTTTGTTCTAGGTTACACAGACCCTCTACTTTCAAGTTAGAGGGCTGAGACACAGACTAGATGACCATTTCTCCCGAGTTCCACATCATTTCCGCTTCTGATTGTTGACGTAGTTGTTGTACCCATTCCTTTCTATGAAAAGGGTCAATGTTATTAAAACTATTAAAGAGACAAACTTGGCTTGAGAGTGTTATTTTTAAATTTAAAGAAGAATGAAATTGCTATGCCTTGAAAGACTAGGCTTCATCAACCTTTTGCTAAACTGTGCCAGTTAAAAAAATAAACATATGCGCTTGTGCACACTTTATTGAGATATGATCTTTTGCGTGGAATTAAATAATCGATAGCTGGGCCAAAGATCTTTAAAGTTTTCGCTTGTAAAACGATTTTTTCAGTTGAAAAACATATATAAATAAAGCAAAATCTCAAGAATATGAGAAATGTGTGTCTTGTTTATAGGAGAGTAAGGTTCACCAAAAAACTGGCTGGGTGCAACTTCAATAATTTAATAAACGCATCAATAAGGGCTTTCGACTGCTGAATACGGGCGGCTGAATTTTTTTGAAAATCTATCATCAGAAATTTGAGGGTTTCCGCATGCTCAATGTAAACTAACAAAAGTTAAGGAGGATCTTGATTTAGCTGTTAAAAAATTAGCTGCGCTTCTTTTATTGTGCATTATTGTCTTTCTTCCGTACATTTCCCGAGAGTACCACAAGGCTCTATCTTCGCGCTTTCTCTACTTGCAAAATGGCTGTGGCCTCTACTTAAAGATTTGTAACCTCCTTTTCGTTCTATCACATGTTGTCAACAGTATTGAAAACAAATTCATTACAAAGACAATCGTTGAAGCTGAAAAAGTCATTAGCAAGCCAAAAGAAATGACCATAGATTAAAAGCTAATTATATTCGTCTATGATATAGTGAAAACAATAAGAAAGTTTTCGCGGCACCAGAATTCTGCTCGTAATCTGAGAAGAAAGTGAAGAAGTTGTTGCTGAAGACTGCAAATGATCAAAGAAAACACAACTCAGGTGATTGTTCTGCAATCTAAAAGCGCACATGGCTTCTCCTCAGGAAAATGGTGTGGAAAGCAGCTGCAGAGTGATCAGCGGTATGCAAAATCTAATTGAGAGAATAGATGATTTAACACGTTGTCGCTGTGTTTTGTTAGGCTGCACGCAGTTGCAAAAGACGTCTGTCAGTGGCTTTTTTCATTGCGCTGCCTTGGACGAAAGGAAACCTCCAAGAAGGCTTTTGTGCCATCAGAATTTGTAGGTAGCAGAGCTACTGATGCCAACCCAACCATTTTTGTATTGTTTATGCTGGTCTGCAAACTATATCTTGCAGAAATCATAGCTAATGGTGCATAATTAAGGTCCCATTGGAGAAAAAGAATGCTATCATCACGTCAACCCTCAAAACATTGTTTTTATTGAATCAAGGATCTTCCCCATATGACTCATTCAAAAAAAATAATCCATCTAATGAAAAATATTCCTTTCTTAAACTTCCTTGAAAATATTAGTCTACTAGTTTTTGTAGTGAACAACTTTTTTTGCAATTATAAAAGAGTTAAAAAGAAATCCTAAAAGAGAGTCAGATAAAAGAGTCTCTATAGAGAATAGACATTGATAATAAAAAGTGATTTTACAATGTGATTACAGGTGAAAAGACACAAAATGGAGAGCCAAAAAATAAAACATCAAGAGTGAGAAGGCTCTCAAAGAGGCTTTCAGCTTACTTTTGTGAGTATGAGTTAATTTGGAACTTATTTTATAAACCCTGAAAATCTTAGAAACTGAACTATTGCTCCAATAAAACCCCGTGGCAAAGAATGTGGATGTATTGTTAGAGCTGCAACACATCATTCGTGATATGTATAAATATATAGTTATACCAGATCGAGCTGTCTTTTCTGACTTAACTGTGCTCAATGTGTATTAGCACAGAGCAATTGATATAGTAGAAAATAGGCTAAAAATTAGTCATGTTCTCTGTTACTCTGAGTTCTGTGCTTGTGCACTTGGACTGTATCTGTTTATTTTAGTCTGATTATAGTCTGTCTAATGAGTGTGCAAGCACAAAACTCTAAGTAACCAATAACATCTCTTATTTTTTGCCTGTCTTCTACTATACTAATATATAATTATATATTTCACTAGCAACCAAACGCTACAAGATGAAAATATGATGTATTTGAATCTTCTGGTCTCTTTTATCAAATCTGAAAGGCCTTATACCAGGTAGATTGAAGACCTGAAAAAATAGGCAATACCCTTTTTAGAGCTGCAACACACCACTTGTGATAGGTATAATATATTATATTTCACCAGTGACCAATTTAGAATATACATCTGCATGTGAAGCTTCTGGTTCCTTTGTAATATTATGAAAACTGAAAGGCTTAATGCAAAGTACTTGCATCCTAAAAAGTGAATTTTTAAATATAAAGACATCTGTGGCAAGACTACGCTAGCTAAAGAGTTCTGTTGAATATAGTTTATTCTCTAAAAAGATTCAGTAACAGCTCTGCATTATCTGTTCACCATTTCCTTTATACAGAATTTTTCAGGGTAACTCATCTGCAGTAGCAAATCTTCAAATCACAGGGAGAGAGGGTTTTTAAAGATTCAGTATATTTTTTTGCTTTGGTATGAAGAATAGTACAGTAGTTAGTTTTAGTACTGAGTTTCAAGCTTAATGCAATCATCAGACAGCTGTAGAATATAAGTCTTAAATTTTATTTCAGCCTCCTTAACATTCACTGAAGAGTCCAATGAGGTATGTTGATTGACTTACCAGTAAAATTCTTAAGTTTGACATCATAAAATAATTAGTTTTAGAAGTTTGACTTTAGTTACTTAGTGAATTTAGACAATATAATGTAATTAAAGAAAACCACAAAAATGTATATAAATGTGCAAAACCAGTTAAATATATTAAAAAATGGGTGGGATATAGACATTGAAAGATTTTGAGTTCGCTAACAGATTACTGTTATTTTGGCCGGGTTTGTTAAGTTATGAGCAGAGACAGAGACCACAGGGATTTGATGGGGAAAGAGTATGTACCCATGTGGCCATACCTTAGCCATTTGTAACATGTTAATTCATTTATATAAAGATATTCCATGATGCTCAGTCAGTTTATGTTTTCCGAACTGAAAAAATCAGAAAAGGGTTTTTGTGAGGCCATTCTGTAAGAACTCTCTTTTATTTTTACTCCATGATTTTTTTTGCGGTTTTATGACTTCCTTTTGTAGGCTTGTTTAAATCTAGATTTGTGAATTGTTGAAACTACTTATTATACACATATTAATGCATGGGGCAAAACTACTTATAAATCTGATACTAAAAAGCCGAGGGGCAAATCACTCAAAGAAAATCTTGTACACCTTTAGTGAAAAACCTATTGTTTTATCTGAAAATCCCCAGAAATCCTTTTGTTTCAGGTAATATCTTGCACGCTATTTGCAAGAGTGAATTGCCCCTTGCTAGAAGCTGCCTGTTATGCACATTTTGTTACCTTATTCAGATGTTGCAAAAGCATGTGATAAGAAGAAAAATAAGTTCATTTTTTCTGCATCTGGGGCAAGTATGATATTTCTACCACCCCCCCCTCTGGTCGAGTCAGTCCACTCCTTTTACATAAAATTTCCACTGCTACCCCTGAGGGAAGACCTCTTTCACATAACTATACTGCCACTTCCTGTATTATCATTTCGAGACAGTCTTCTTCCAAGTTTGAAACATGAGGTCCTTTTACATTTTCTTAGGACCAAGTCCCCAAACCCTTTCAGAGGGGCAGACAGGCATCACATTCCAAAGGATGCTGATGCTTTGGTTACACAGGCTTGTACTGTGGGACTTAAGCAATGCATGTACCGCATAAAGGGTCCCTGAATGCAAATTGAAGGTTGGCTTGAGGCATGGTAGCATTTCAAGACCCCTTGCCTGTCAGCCTCTGATCCTATCTTTATAGTCTTTGAACCACCTCAGCCCTTTTCAGTCATGAAGAGCATTCCTATCTCTGTGTTCTGTGCTTCTTCCTTGAATGTTTTGATGTGTGACTGCCGCAAGAAACTCTTACCTGTTCTCTTCATCTACCACCTTCTGTGCCCCTCTCGTGTTTGAGCCATTTAATTACACAAATGGTTATATACAGAGTCCTTTATAGGATAGTCACTTTTTCAGTAAAAAGGCTGAAACTGATCATTTGAACATAGTTGATTACCAATAAACCTCAAATTATTTCTGAAAGCCAAGATTCGAGACCAATCTTCTTCTCCAGAAAGTCTGACAAGAATCGACTGGAGTCTAATGTTGATCCAAATTTTTTTCAATCCTTCCTAAGGCATCATATGTATGTGCATCTATGACTTTTGTGCACAACAAACCATATTTTGTACATGAAGTTACTTTTGCAAAATTTTCCAAACACTCGATCCCATTTATTTCATTATAATACAGGGCTCATGCAACCGATTCGGCATTTTTTCCTATAGGCCGAATTCTTCAAGATTTAGCACACTATTCTAAAGATTTCGATTCACTATATGCAGTTGAATGTCATCAACAAAGCACTGAAAAACTAGCTCACTTGGTAATCTATACAAACTGTGCCTCGTTTATGCTTCCTGATACACCTAACGAAATGCAAATTGCCCAGTGTTTTTATTGAATTCGAAGAAGCTTCTCGTTCACTTGAGGCAGGATTGGGTGCTAGGAATTTTCCTTTTTTTCTCTCGCAAGCCATAAGGAACTTTCAAAAACTTTATTCTTATTTCATGATGAAGTAACTCTGCGGATGTTTTTGCCAAATGCAAAATAAATTCATTGATTTTACAGTAAACATCTTTAAACAAAAAAGCCAAGCATTGAAAGATTTAAACAATTTTATTTGTTAAAGCATCAGAAGTTTGATAGGAAATGTTCCTTATCAAAGGCACACGCTATCAATTTGCTGTCAATGTAGTTTCATTTGAAATCACACATGCTCGTGAGGAGAAAGACTCTTCTTTAAATGCTTACGTCAAATATCGTTGTTTGAAACAGTCTTATGCTATTGTTCTGAGAATGAATTGCATCATTAGATGAGTTTAAGACCTGTTTTGTAAGTCAATTCAACTTGCGAACACCTGTCTTTGGAGGCCATATGAAATTTGATATACATCGTTCACATGCATGTGAGCTTCATTCCCAAACAGATGCAAGCCCAGCTACTCATGTTAAGAAACATGGATCCAAGAAAACTGCTTCTTAAAAAGCTGCTGCAAACTGTAAGTCATTTGCTATTTCGCCGTTTGAAGCTTTTGGATTTCCATCTGCATTCATTGTTGGCTTCATCTTCATTTTAAAGGTCTTGATAAAAGCCTCCCCGTGAATTGTTGCTGCGTCAAACTGTTCCTCATTTGCAAGTCAACATGCACTTGCTATTCTAAAACAGCTGCACACACCTGTATCTTTTGTAAAATGCCATGAATTTTGCAAATGCTGATTTTTCGTATTTAGTGCACCTTTACTGGACAGGTTTCGACAATTTGAAATGTAGAAATCTAACAGTATAAATGTACCTTATATCAAAACTTTTACAAGAATGTTTGCCAGTCTAAAAGGAAAGCATTTTAACAAAGTTTAACACTTTTATGTGCTAAAAAAATGCTATAGGATGTTTGAATGATTCTTTGATCAACCATAGTGCATTTCTTAATTCGACATCTGCGCCCCTTTACCCTCGAATAGATGTAAGTCAAAATTGTTTTTTTCTATTTGCCAAATGTTTACTTTAATATTCAATAGGTTTTTCCTTATATCCTCTCAATAAATCGCATTCCTGCATTTTGTTTGTTTTGAGGCCTGATGCTGCACCTGGTAAGAAAAAGATTACCATATAGATAAGCAAAATAGAAACATGACATCCAATTTGTTGCTGAGCAAAGTTGTCAGCATGATATGATAAGTCGTCAGCTGAATATTTTATACCTTACTAACCCGACTCACAGCAAATTTGAGGTGATATTGTTTGATTTGAACCTTAGGATGAAAATATTTAGCCAAGAGCAGATGGAATCATCCTATAGCAGCGGGTAGTGTTGTAAACCTTCTTTTAAAATGGTTTTTTACAAATCCTGATCAATTCTTTATGACGTAGCTCTTCCCAGGACATGATTTGAAAAATTTATGCTCTATTAGAATTTCACTTTTAATGTTGTTATTTTTGATGGAAAACTGCAACAGATGTGTGATGTTTCATAAAGTTTTCTGGTAAGCAGTAAGCAGTAAACTAAGATGCCAATACAAAGGGGATAGAACTGGCGTCACAAGTCACTTAGTCACCTAGTCACCTAGTCACTAATTCAATACAAGTCACCTCCTCACAAGACAGATGTAACGTGGTAACGAAAGATATTAGAATAGTTTGTAAAGAGTTAAAGAAGTGTTAGAAGCCGATAAATACCCTTTTCTTATAGAGGTTGTAGATAATGCGATTGAACCACAAAATAGGAATAGATATTGGCAAATAGGAATATATCTTAATTTTGGAAGGGCAGCTTTCTATTTCCCAAAACGTGTTACTTACGTCAACTGCTGTATTAGAGACATTTAGGTATTTCAGTTTTTTTACTGTTTATGGACCAACTGAATAATCTATGCCCGATTCCGAAAGGGAAAGCGCAAGAATTGCGGAAGACTCTCTGCAGCTTAGTTGGCCTCGATTAGCTGGCCTTAATTAGTTCTAATTGGCCTTAATTAGCATTTTTAGCTTTTCCAATTAGAAAAGCCAACTTTAAATGAATTAATTATAATAATAAAAACTCCAGAACAACGCTAGCGTCACGCTGAGCTGTCGTTTCGATTTTCGACGAAGGCCTTCTGAATTTTTCGGAATGATTAATTTTCGAATTTTAGGCTACGCTCACACAGCTCCGTATTCGTTGATGAAAACGCTGTCCGTTCACACTTGTCCGTTTTCAAATAAATACGATTTGAATACGGTAAGTGTTCACACTACTCCAACAAAAACGCTATTGGTGGCCTCATTTTGAAAAGAGGCGTTCACGAATCCTCAACAAATTGGCGTCAAAGGTGAAATTAAATACAAGCAAATCGTGAACAATTTCGTGTAGCAGTTACCAGTCCATTGTGAATTCTCAATTTCAAAATTTTTGAGATTTGGTGTGCTACAAAGCACGTAATTTGTTGCCGATGTTAGCGTATTCAAATGTCTCCGCTTTTGGTGTTCACACTGAAAACGGAGCGTATTCATGCACCATATTCAAAAAGAATCCGTTTTCATTTGCGTTTTCATATGACTCCGTTTTCGTAGCAGAGTAGGTGAACGCAAGGCAAAAACGGATTAGTTTGACTCCGTTTTCATTTGAAAACGGAGTAGTAGTGTGAACGGGCCCTAAATGTCAAGGCTATGCAAGAACTCTTTGAGGCCAACGAATTTTGAAAAATTTTAAAAGTTATTTTCACGTTGGTTTACATCACTTTTTTTCCTAACGGTTTTTTCCACGAACATATTGAATTTTTTGGGGAATTTTTTCAAATGGTCTTATTTAGCTTCTAGTCATTTGTCACTCAAAACTTTCATCTTATATTGGTAAGAAACAAGCAAAGAGCACAACGTTATTTTACTTCAAGACTGCTTCGTTTTTAAAGTAACTGCCAGGGACGGATTAATCGGTGGATGTGAGGGGGCGCGACACCCCTTCAATTTTTTGGTATCCTTCGGCAAATTCTGCTTCGATTTGGTAAAAAGCATTTTTTGTAGCCAGTAGTAACGAAATGGGACAAAATATTTACTTTATTTTATAATCTTCATCTTAAAGTTAAAATGCTGAATTTTTAAAATAGGCGTTTCCATCATGTTCCAATCGCCTTAAGGGTGTGGCACCAAATCATTCCATAATTACCCCCCCCCCCCCTGACTTGCTGCTCAATTCTGTCCCTGGCGTCTGCATGGAATTTTAATTCAATATCAAATCCCAATTTTTAAGAACTAACAACCATTCTCTTGAGAAATGCAGTAATGAATTACAAAATGAAGGCTATATGCTTGGGGTACTTCAATCTTGTATCTTTGCATTGGAACATTCAACCCCTTTAATAATTTGAAGGCTGCTTCAATCCAGATGGCTCATTGCATGAATCGAATGAATCTGATGTGAACGCGATTGCTGCGCAGTATTGACATACAGGGCTCTTTGTTAGTTATTCATTTTAGTGAAAATCTCGCCACTTTAGACAGATGACACCAGACAAAATTTCAACATTTTTTCTCATTTTTAACAAAGAAAGTAATTTGATAGTGAAATATAACTGTACCGAAGTATATTTATTTCTAACATTTGTTCTTGAAGATAAACCTGCTGTTTCAAGAAAAAGTCTTTTGTATCATCTGTGAAACAGCGAATGCTCCATTGCAACCCCCCTTTTCCTTTTCCGTTCCCCTCACACCTTCACCTTAAAAATATTTTTATCGAAAACGAATTTCCCCATCTCAAGGAGCAAGAGATGCCTATATTGATAAAAACTTTCTTGCGAGCTAAATGCCAACTATAAGATCTTCTCGAGCGTTTTTTAAAGTTTTTGGAAGAATAAAGTTAATTCAATTGTTGAATCCCTTAATCGGAAAATTGCAGACCAAACCCTACACTAATTCCATATTCACAGAGCTAAAATCCTTTTTAAATGTTAGAGAAAAGCGGTTTATTTGTTGTAGAAAGTTTTTCAGGTACAATCAATTCCGGGTTGCAATTTGGTAGAGAAAGAACATACTTTGTACTATGTTACGTCATCGCATAAAAGCGTTTTCCTTCTGGATAAATTGAAGGATTTCCTTCCTGAGGCTCTGTCATTGATTGTTTAATTGGCCAGAGACGGACATATGGCCTTTTCAGCGATGCAAATGTATCTGAAAAGGATCTGTAGTCTGACACGTGGCTTTTTTCAAATTCTGTGGTTGTTGGTGAGGTTTATCCACGTTGGTTTAAATATTGATGCTAAAAACTTTTCTTATTGTGAAGTGACGTTTAGCGATGTTCTGCCTTTCTTATAATGGTAACTATTCTTTGGGTTGATTGAGACATGCCTTCACTTGAGACAGTGACGTCATGGCGAGTGCAGGTGCAGTTTTGAATGGAACTTTGCTGTTTATTTCACAGTTAATAGTTTTTACTGTTATTAATTTTTTTCTTCGACAACAAGATAGATAGAAAACTAGATATGTTTAAGATTTGCATACTCGGTTTTAAAAGCACAATTATGTCTCTCTGTTCCTGCCAATGAATAAAAATCACTCCTTGTACTTTCTTCTTGCATTTTAAATTCAAAATGAATGCTGCTGACGTGATACTGATTTCGTAGAAACCGCAGACAAATGGAGATTCTACGTCACCACTATGCAAAGATGGAAGAGCAGGATTCTACGTCGGTACTTATAATGCACCGCGATCACGGGCGATGTCAGAATCGGATTCAATGAGAAGAAAACTTATTGAAGAAGACATAATGAGTGGTAGCAAGTTGTGTGGGTTTGAAGCCGCTTCAGCTTCGAACAGCAAAACAGAGGGAGGCAAGAATTATCATCAATCCGTCAGAAGAGTTTCATCAATGCCAATCACGTGCTCTCCTTCTGTGAGTATGCAGACCCTTTTTTGCAACTTTCATTAGATTGAAGATGCAAGAATCAACATTTTGTTTTACTTTCCACATGATATATACAGAATGACGATTTCGTATCGCTCCGGGTTCCGTTCAGCTCCTGCATTCAAAGCAAGGGTCAATGGGATGTATGTTTAGGAACACTTTTTGTTACATTCACATATCAGTTTTCTTTGTAGCTTATCAAGTGCGGAGGGCTCGATCAAACTTATGTTTGTCTTTTGGCATCCCTAGACAGACACCTAGTTTAGCAAAGATTTTATCAATAGCTTCATGACTGATCTTTCATCACATTATCATATGGTAAATAAATTGTCTTTCACATTTTTCTGCAAACTCTTTTAAAGTGAAACGAAGAGATGTTAAAGCAAAAACAATTGTTTATTAAGTATATAATTCATTCAGTCTCGTTGAAGTTTTGTTTTCGACAAAAATATATTTAGATATATTATTATCTACTTTTGGTCTTGCTGTTGGTCAAAGAAACATGAATGCGACCTCTAAACTATTTTTTGCACTTTTTCGCAAAATAGCCGCAAGATGCTTGGTTTGCGACTGCAAGCAAGAGATTGTAATTTTTTGTGTTTGTGTACACGCATATTCTGTGAATTTTTTAACCTGGTATTTTTACGTCGATTCCTTTTTTGTCGTTGATGCTTCTTTAAGAATCGAAACAGGTTTATGGTTTCATGTTTAGATTGTATTGTTTTTATAGTTGTTGCTGCTGTTATTTTGTAGGCTGTTGCTGTTGTGGCTGTTAGTGGGTGTTCTTTTATTTGTTGTTGTTGTTATTGTTGTCACTTTTGAAGCGGTTTGTTCTGCTACACCCAGCCTCGCTATACTCTATCTCGTTCGCATCTTCGCCCCTTCCCTCCGCTTAGTCACCTTCGTTATACTACTTTGATTTCCTTTTTGAATATTTCTAGAGCTAACATTTTTCGGCTAGAGCTAGCTGTTTCACACGTTACCCTGTTAAAAAGTTAATTGAAAATAATCATAGTTTTTACGATACCGGCATGTGAAATTAAATTATGCGTATAATAGCCTAAATTGTTACCGAATGGCTTTATTGAAGGTTATTAGGGAGGGAGCCGATAATCAGTTTGTGCATGCTCTTTGCGACAACTTGGATTGCTCCCTCGGTGCCATTGGGTATATAGTTAGTTCCTTCTCAAATGCTTTTTTGTAGGTAATTAGGGAGGATGCCGATAATTAGTTTGTGCATGCTCTTTGTGACAACTTGGATCGCTCCTTCGGTGACATTGGGTATATAGTTAGTAACTTTTCTGACCGACTATTCATTGACTAACTCATACACACATTCATACGTATTCCTATAACATCCTAGCTTGTTTTTCCTGCTATGCCTGTTATTCATACAAGAAACTACCTACCCTTCTTTACATAACTTCCCAATATATCGAGAAAAACGCCAAGATTTAGATCGTAAACGTAGCGTTTGTTAAAGGCTGTACTGGCGATTAGACGCTATACTTTTGCAAAAATTATTGAGTCTGTTCTTGTTTCGACCTTGAATTTTCGCGGATCGTCAATTACTGTATTTCAAGCCAAAGTGACATTGGTTTTTTGGCTTTCTTGTTGTTGAAATTAAGGCAGTTGAAATCTGTTGTTGCCTTGAAATCTTTCATTTTCTTCACTGATGGCGAAACTTTGGACGCTGAGATGTCACCGCGCATTGCCAGTGCATAATGTTAGGTAACAGATATTCCCTCTCTTCCTCTAAACCTTTTTTATTACTTTTCCTTCTCACATAGCCGCCTCATTGAAGCTACTAATTTTTTGCCAATTCTTTCACCATCTGGCGATGTTATTTTTGTTTCTAATGCAAGTTAGTTTGAAACGCTCGTTAAAGGCATTTGACACAGGTAAAAGTGGCTTACAGCCATTCGACCACGAGCGGTTGATCAAATTGCGCACAGAGAAGAACACGTGAACAAATTCCGCCTTTCTGCAAATCGGTGAAATCCTAGAGCAGCGCGCAGTGTTTTCATTTTTTCATTTTCATTTCATTTTAAAAATCTTTATACACGAATTCCCTTTTAGCTATAATATAGATAAACTACTTCTACTACAAATTAGTTTTTTAATATATACAAAATAAAGATGTTGCTGTTCTACCTAGGGATCGTGTTTTGTTTTGGGAATTTATTAACTTTGTAGGAATCCCTTTTGTAGGAAACTGTGGGGCTCATTCTGATGTTTCTTGGAATCTCATTCTATGTTTTGGCCCCAGAGTGAAAGAAACTTCACATTGAGAATTCCAAATTTTGCCTTGGGATGTCAATATCAAGCTGATTCCTTGTCGAATACCTGGATATCTCTGATCTAGTGATAAATTCACCTTTAAGGCTGTCAGGGCAAAGACCATTCATCATTTTGTACGTCATTATGGCCATGTCATATCTAATCAGGTTCGAAACTGAAAGCCACTTCCACCCGTCCGCAAATTTAGCACTTTCGATTAATGTTTGTGCCCTGTCTTGAAGACGCTGAAGATGTTCAAGCTTTATAGCGGATAGACTTCCCCATAATTTTCCTCAACGAAGAAAGACCACTTTGAGTTCACTCTTAAACCTCTTGTACTGCTTGTTCCAAGACAGGTTTTCATCGATAGTGACTCCGAGATATTTTACTTCATGGGCTCGTTGGATTTTTTCTCCATTTATTTCCACGTTTATCTCCCCCTGGATATGGTTAATTCGTCTTTTATGACCAATGACCATATATTCAGTTTTTAGGTGTTCCGACTAAGCTTTTTTTTCACGTGAGCAGTTTCCTTTCATGTGCGCATGCTCTGTTCAATTTGGCTTCTGTTCAAGTTATTTTTGGACTTATGCATGTCAAATGCCTTTACGCTGTCCAACCGTAATCATAACCCAGATATGCCTCTCTTTTCCGCCTTTTCTCGAATGTTTTTGTTTTGTATTTAAGAGTGTTTATGTTTATTAAAAAATTGGGCTATAAAACTTTGGTCTCTACCAACTTTTATATCAAGCCTTGTACTACCAGTTTCAATTTTTTGCATTAAAGATTTGGCGGTTATGTTTTGCTGACCAACGCTACCACACAATGTGTTACAGATCCGTATGTTTTACAATAGCGTAGCCAATGAATTAATCGATTACGTAAAGGGAGTACCCAATAGTGGATAATTGTTGTAGCCCTCGGCCATTGTGTTTGATTATCGATACTAAGAGGGCTATCAAGGAATGACGTTTTAAAGCGAGACCAAGCTATAATCATTGCAAACCAAAACAGTACCTATGGTAATTAATAATTGAAAGCCGAGCCCGCAAGCGAAGATATATGTATTTAAATGAATGATTTTAACGGCTGTACATGATAAACGCATTTTGTCGGATAAAGCAACGGGGAGTGTTTGGCTACGTTTTCATTGTATGCGAATGGAGTGATAGGGGAGACAGGAGAGTTCTTATTAAAAATATGGGTTACGAAAACATCATCCAATCAATTTTCCTATTCAAGCCCAGGAAGATGGTAATTGCTATTTAATTTTATAATATGTTTGTGAGTTATAGTATTTGAAGTGGCAATTTAAAAGGCACTCTTTTACTGTTATTTTTCTTTGCCAGGGCTCTGAAATTTTTTCTGAGATTTGGTGTCATTTTTTGGTTACGGTTTGCTCACCCCTATATCAATATTATATGAACACGTAGCAATGTAGTTTTGAATGTCGTCTGTATTACCGTGACTCGACAAATTTCTTGTAGACAATTTATTTTATTTAAATAACAATCAATTCGTACGAAATCTTATTCATACACATAAAAAATACACCATTTTTAAGCATTTTTAAATGAAATTTCAACCACCGCTGTTTTCCTAAGATTTTGCTTTAGTAATGTTAGCAATAAAACTCTCAATTTCTACTGTAGTGGCCATTTGGACAAGATGTTATACCAAATTTTTGTATTTTCGACTTATTATGAACCATTCAATGTCACATATTTTTGTGACCTTTCTTCTGTATTTACAACTTAGATTGTGAACTTGTTATCATTTTCCTTGATGCTGTTTAGGGAAGAAAAACGTTCAATTTTGCTACCTTTTTGGTTTTTTCAAATTGAAGCTTGCGCTTCTAATTAATTTTTCGAGTGGCAATTATAATCATTAGTATATTCATCATTTTGTCATTAATATTCATTATTAATAATAATGTTTCAACGTCGTAGAATGGTTCACACTTTCTTACTTTTTTAAAGTGGTTTAACAACGCCGGTTTAATTCACTTAGAGTGCAAGTACATTTTTATAATGTGGTTTCATATTTGAACTCTGGTCCCGGAAAACATCGAGCCCTCAAGCCCTGCCTTACTTTTTTGTTGCTAATGACGGTTTTCAGTTTGCGGGAAATGTCAAGTGGAAGGATGAACACTTTCTGAACTGAACACGATTCTAATCGAATTGTTAATTGCACTGACCACCATCAACAGTATTTGAAAACGAGGCCATCAAAAGGAGGCAACGAGTGTTACCCATTAGAAAGTTACTACTAAGGCCCCTCGACGAAAATTTCGAAGAAACTTTCAACCTTTACCTTTGCTTCATAACTGTTCAATATTTCAAACGTAATTGTGATACATGAAAGATGGTAAATGCTATAAAGTCGGATTTGATAGCCCACTGAGCAGTGATGCGGGGGGCAATGAAGAAAGAAGATAGTTTGTGTGGAAAGAGCTTAAAGGATTTTTTGCTTTGTTGTGGCGAAACGGCACTTTGAAAAGAGGAAATCGAGCTAATTAAACGATTAGATATTTAAATTCGTGTTTAGCTGGGCAGAAAACAGAGTTTTGCTTTTTAAAACTGTTGCGCAGAAACAAGCTGCTTCTTAAGATAATGAAAGTTACAGAGTTCTACCACCGCAATATCCCTTTATAACAACATTTTTACGGAGCAATCTTGAAATGAAATCCTGGATTGTTTTGGGAACAGTCCTATTTTGCTAGCATACTTTGTCTCGATATTAACACGAAGTGAATCATGATCTTACTCAAGACAGTAACGGAGTATTTTATTTTCTGTTGCTCTGTTAAAGAAAGATTCAAAAAGGTATTTCAATTTACACTGGTTCTGTAGTGCTCAGGTTTAGCGTTGTTTTCATGTGTTTATTGCTATGTTGATGACGCAGTACTTGCAGTTTATGGCTGCGTTTCCACGGGACCGCTTGGAACCGTATCAAAGTGGGTACGGTTAGGCCTCGCGTTTCCACGAGACCTGTTCCGTTTGGAATTGATTCTGAAGAAACTGCAAAGCGCCCCATTCTTTTTTCCTTCAAGCTTCGTTCATTTAGGCCAAGACAAAGCAATCAGCATGGCAAGCCAAGTTAATTTTTTTAGCTGCACTGAAGATGAAACCACTCCCCTATTTAGATTACCCTCGACTACATAACTGAAAACTGTGCTGAGGGAAAAGACAGGGAGACATTTCTTTACTGCAAAAGACTTTAATGCACTGTTTATAAAACACTGCCCTGTTAGAGAGGTAGAAAGGGAGGGTTTCAAAGATCCGCGATTCCTATATGTACCCAGTTGGAACCGTTCCACCCGTTTCCATGGTACGGTTCCAATAGGAATCTAATTCGTTAGTAGACCCATTTGGGTACGGCTAGCAGTTCCAAATGGAACCGTTCCTTGCGGTCATGTAGAAACGCGAGGTCTATCCGTACCAAAATCATTACGGTTCCAAATGGAACCGGTCTCATTTTTTTGTCCGGATGTGCTATTAGATTTCAGTCTTCTCTTGATTCGATATACCAAGTATGCAAAACTGGTGGAAAAATTCCCTTTAACCCTTTAGATCTTTCTGCTATTTTTGTGATTTTGCAAAATGTTTATGATTGACATTAGCTCCTCTTTTGGTTTCGAAGTTTATCCAAGCTATAATGTTCGCAAAGGCTTCAAGTACATAAGTGAAAATAAGAGCAAAAGTTAGGCAGGAAAATTCAAATATTTGCGAGTGAAGATGAACTGCAGGCAAGTAAATTCTCGATAGGTTGACAAACATGTTTTTTCGTTTTTCTTGGCTGTATTTTAAGACAGTCTGCAGATGAACCAAAGATTTTTTCGATTACGTTTCATGAAATTCTTTTTTGTTTAGTTGTGTTTCGTTTCTGGCTGACCGTAATGCTAGTAACTGATTACGAAGTTTACTAATAATTCTTTGTTGCTATGAAAATTGAAACGGCCTTGAAGAAATCAAATATTTTGAAACCTGCTTAAGCATTTTGTCTGACTCTCTACAGAGCATAAAACTTCAGAACATAGATCGAAAACTCTAAGCTAGGAAATATATGTTCCCAGTTATGGATCGAAATAGACCAAGCAAAATCGTGGGTACATGACTGCTAAAGGTTTCCAATCAGTGCCGCTTGCCTATTGAAAATTTTACTAATAGACTCAATTCAAACACCTACTTTTCAAGGAGTTGAAAAATTTTAACCAGTGTTCTGTATATTTTGATTGCAGCAAACTACGCCACCATTTGACCGTCTGCATCTCTATGAGAAGCTGGAACAACTTGGAGAAGGATCTTATGCAACTGTTTACAAAGGAATAAGCAAGTTAGTATTCTTTTTTTCTGGGGCTTTTAATTTCGACTTGTAAGCTTGTCATAACATCATTGCTGTCAGATGATTTTATATAATTAGGAATTTAAGTAAAATTGTACTTGGAAAAAATAGCGAATTTATTAACGATGTTTCGAGCATAGCCCGTTTTCAAGACAAAAATCTAGCTTCCAATCTTGTTTTCAATCTAGTTTTGACTGTACCCAGAAGCTGTACCCCGTTTATGTAACTCCTTCACTATAAAAATAGGCCTTTGTAGTGCAAAGATTCAAGGTTTCCTGAAAACGGCAGCATTTGGTGCACACTGAAAGCATTTCTTATTGTCCTCAGAGCCTGAAACGTCTTCGGTGTCCTTTCTCCAAGCCGAAATCAGTGAAATCGCAGCTCTAGTTAAGATAGCATAATTCTTCAGATACTATATTGCAAAAAATTGTATCCGCTCTGCAAGAATCTTGTTTTTCAACGTGTGAAAGAGAAACATGTGCCGCATTAGATAATAAATATTTCTACGGTTACTCGTTGGTGGCTTTCAGTGAGATCAAAGTACAGTCAACATGCTGATATTTCTTTTAAAAAGGGTCTTTCTCATGATTCGCTCTATCTCTTCGACTTATGTTGAGTCTTGTTTTCTCTCTTTGGTGATTTGAGTTGACGCAGTCATAAGTCAGCAATAAATAATACCTCAACAGACAAGTGCCTGTTTGTTTTTTTGCAACGCTTCTGTTGTTTTTTACGAGCAGTTCTGTTGGTGCCGAGACACCTTTTCAGTGCAGAAAAATAACTGTGAACAGCTTAAACATATTGTAGCCTTGTGTTGTGAAGGGACTGGCAACTTTGTTTTGAAGAGAGTTCCTCAAATAGAAAATCTGTCAGGCTGCCGTTTGGTTCTCACCTGTATTGTTCTTGAATCTTATCTGTTTTTGCAAGAAACACATGCAACTGATTAATAATAACCCTTACATCATTTTCCAGTTTTGTCAACCTCGTGTCTTCGGAAGCTCTTTCTTCGTCGCGACTAAATGTTTTTGATACATAGCCTTTAATACAGTAAATCAGCTGAAGGGGGGGGGGGGGGTAATCCTTTGTTTATATAAAGATTAAAACAATAGCTTATTGTTGAAACAATGGAATGTCATTGGGGCTAGAGAGGGTGATTGCCCTCTAGTTAGTAGCAAAGCTCTTGTTTTGCATGAAATGTGTCTTCAGATTGAACCCAAATGAACCCAAATTGTACATACACTGAACCCAAAATTGTGAATTTTTAGGATTGTTTTAAAAAAATCAATTAACAATATGCTTAACAATTTACAGGACATAGGAGAAATTGTTTATACGAAATCATTTATATATTTTATGATTGATGATGAATAAGAAAGTGAAAATGTTTTCTTGAAAAATTATTTAATACTACACAAGTACCTGCAATTTTAAGAAGCCGTAGAGTGAGATTTAAAACATAACAAATCCTGTCGTTTCAAACAATTAATCGTCATGCACCAAAGACTCTTCTAATTTCACACATACCATTACATTCATATGCATCCTGTTAATTTTTGTACGTGAAAATTGTATAAAAAAGCTCTTAATGAGCACAATGGTTGGTTGAACTCGTGGAATGAAATATAAATCGTTTTAAGAACTGAAAGAGACAACTGAATAAGAGTATATTCAGACAAAATTAGAGGCATTTGACCCAGGTAAAAGTGACTTACAGCCACTCGACCACGAGCGGTTGACCAATCAAATTGCACACAGAGAAAAACACGTGAACAGTTTCCGCCTTTCTGCAAATCGGTGAAATCCTAGCGCAGCGCGCAGTGGTTTCACGTGAGCGGTTTTCAATATCTTTCTTGTGCGCGTTCTCTGATCAATTTGGCCTAAGTTATTTTTGGATTCGCTGTACTTATGCATGTCAAATGCCTTCAAGGTTTCCTATATGTTGGTTTTTACTGTATTGATGTACTTGTTATGTCAGTGCTTTTTATGATATGTAACTTATTAATCAGATGTTTTTTATATCCGCACTTGCCTTTCATAAGCATATATGTGTATCACAATTGCCTGATGCCTTGTCAGATGCAGTGGGCGTGTCAGTCGCAGAGAGGGCGAACTAGTTGCCTGGGGTGTACCAGGCACAGGGCGCGTGTGAATCACAGGGGGTGTTCAGCCACAGGGAGGCGTATCAGCTGCAAGAGCTTGCTAGTTCAAGGGGGTGTGCCAGTCAAAGGGTGCGTACTAGTTGCAGGGGGTGTGCCAGTCAAAGGGTGCGTGTGAGCCACAGGGGGCGTTCAGTCACAAGGGACGTGTCAGTTGCAGGGTTCTTTCAAAACCGGAGAGCACAGCAACATTCCTCTTCAGTAACGATAAATTCTATGTGTTATTTGTTGCTAAATATCGTAAGATTTTTGTTAAACCATGAATTATTAAGCATTGATGTGAGTTCATGTCTGCTTTCTATTGAAAGGGTAAACAAAATGTATGTTGCACTGAAGGAGATTCGTCTTCAACAAGAAGAGGGCGCCCCTTTTACCGCCATTCGTGAAGGTATGTTATTGATTGTAAATGTATGTATATTTGCTAGTTTTTTGTCAGTTTTTGAAATCAAATCCCATTTTCATATCGTAATGAGCCTGTAACAGTAGACTTTTTAAAGCAAGTTTTTAAAAGGAAATACCTGCATAGGTGAATAGGCATTGTAAGAAAAATTAAAAACACGAGACGATTCGTAAATTTCAGTGGCGGCTCGTGACTTTCACAGTTGGGAGGGCAGACCATCAATATTGCGATAATCGATAGAAAGGTCGAGTTTGCAAATTTTTCACTGTATTCATGGTTCGATGTTGATCGTCATGGAGCGCAGAAGAAAAAGCATATATAGATGTGGTTGTTGTTTAGCGATGATGTCATTTTATGGGCAAAATTTTTCTTGCCCCGAATTCCTCCAAATAAGCCAATCACAGGCCGCGTTTCGCAATGCTCGAGGTCGAAAACTAGCTTCTGCGCATGTCGGCTAGGGGCAAAAGAAACTTTGCCCGTAAAATGACATCATCGCTCAAGGCACTAGCGGGCCAGAAGCGAGGCTAAGGACGAGACGGGATAGCAAGGAGCTTTTTCTAGAAGAGATACAAACTTATATAATTAACCACAGTAAGACTATCTTCAAAATTAAATATGAATATCATAGATTTCCTTTGAATCTTTTTGAGGGGGCATTGCCCCAGATGCCCATTAGCAAGAGCCGCCACTGGTAAATTTGTAACATAAGCCCTGTGATCATTCAACTTGATAATTCTAGTTTCATAAATAAGAAAACTTCCTATTTCCTTAACCCAGTAATATTTCACTTATTTGCTTCTGCAAGTTTCAAATCTCTGTTGCTTCATCCGGCAATTTCTTTTTGTAATCCAAAAAACCATGCCATATCTTGTATGCGGTATCCTTTTGTTTTAGCCTCGCTTCTGAAGCAACTAAAGCACGTCAACGTTGTCCGCCTTCATGACATCATCCATACAAATAGAAATTTAACATTGGTTTTTGAATATCTGGTATGTTCTGTCTGGCAGAAAGCCTTTTTAAAAACATGTGCCTGTTTTTTGGCTCATAGTCTCGTGCATTCACTGTTATTTCAGTAAGGAATCAAGAACAGTTTTTTTGTGTCAACAGAGGATCTCTGTAGCCAATCTGTTTCCAATTATGTGTCAGGAAGCGGAACATATACATATTTGGAGTAATATTCTTGAAAAAATATTGATGACTATTGTTATGTAAATTATCTGTGTTTTCAAATGGGGAAGGGGGGGGGAGGAATCGGAAGATCAATACTCAATTAATCATAACTTCCGTGTCTGTCTCTACGGACTTTTTAAACCGCAATCAGCCAGTTTAAAATGGATGCATGTAATAAGCCAATTTATTCATGTCAGACCTGATGAAACTTTTTTTGATTGTCTGGTTTTCGGAGAACCATTAGGATAATGGTTTATTATGTTTTTCACATGAAGCCAAACACTTTCAATGCGGTGCAAATCTGGTCTTTATGCTGGCCATGGCAAGAACTTCACTACTAAGTTTTTGGAGTGTTTATAAAATAAAGATCTTTCATCTTCTCCATAAATAGCTTCAGCACACTAAAAAGGTTATTTTTAACAAGGATACACCACAAATGGCTACACTCATTTTTTTTATAAGAAACACAGGTCGATGTTGAGTATTCCAGTTTCTTAATGTTCTGGAAATTTCAATACTCATTGTTTCTTGTCATGAATGATGTTAAGAAATGTTCGTGACCTTTTTTATCACGTCAAGCGATTCGCTTCCGTTCCGATGCTGTATTTAGATGTGGGAAGTATATTTTTATTCCTTGTGTCTCAAGTTCTAGGCCAACAGGGCAATCTTGTTCTTGGATTTTACAAAATTTCGTTGTTCTCAGTTTTATCACGATTTCATAGTTTCTTAGTTTTTTTGCTTCGAGTACTGAAGTTTCTTAATTTTTCTGACTGTCCAGTACTCGTTTCTTATAAAAAAAATGAGTGTAGTCTTTCAACTCTTTTTTGTCCAAAACATCCCCAGAACATTGCGAAAATTGTATTGCGCTTGGGACTAAACCATTCTCAAGAAAACTTCTAAAAACCACCGCATAGAAAGTAGAGGGTCATAACTTTCAAGTTTTGAATCAGGAGCACAGGCTGCTGTTGTGTGACTGGGCAAACTAGCTCGTGGCACTTTTTCTCCTTTAGACATTATACCCAATTCTACAAATAAAAACTTGTTTCTTATTTCATACTTCTCTTACTTCGTTTACTATAGTGTCAGCAAGATTTTCAAACATTGCTCAAATTCGCTATTTATTACGTCTGTGTTTTCTAATTTGTGAATTCAGATGCTTGTTATATTTGAAAGTCGACAAAAAGTGCCACCATTTTTAACAATGTAATGCAATATTTTTGGAATGGCAATGTTTATGTGAACATATGAAGAACGTGCGTATTCTATTATTGAATGAAGACATAACAGTTAAGGAACATTACATAACTTAATAGACATCAAACATAACCTCATTTAGTTGTCGAAAATAGCTGCTGTAGTATTACATAACAACTCTCTTTTATCAAACAAACCTTTGTTTTATCAAACAAACCTTTGTTTGCAAATGTTTTTTTATCAAATAAACCTTTTTTAGCACACTGACCTTTGCCAGTATCTTGAAAAATATCCAAATGGACTGCACAAGCAAAACGTAAAGGTATTTACCTTCGACCTGTTTTACCATGATTGTAAGTTGTTTTAACAACAAATGTACGTCTATGGTCTGGTAGCCGACATGAAAAATTCGCCAATTTTCAGGTGCAAAGTGATGTCGGGGGTAAAAGAGATAACTCGAATAAAAGGAAAAATTCAGCGGTATTCTTCTCTTTGCAACCATAGCTTCTAAATTTGATTTATAAACACTATTTGTCCAATTTAACAAAGTGGGAAGTTAGAATTGCCACCATTTGTAAAGAACTCTTTGGCTTTCAGGTGGAAAGGTTGCCCCTTAGAGAGAAGGTGATCATACAAATTATTCGATTCACATAGCTATTCTGCTATGATTTTCTTGCTGCTACCACTGCACCAGTCAATTTTCTATGCTCGATGCGGATCCATGTAGCAAGAGGGGTAGGCACATTTTCACCTGAAAAGTCTTTCCTACCCTTTTTTGAATAGAAAAGAGACTATTATTTACATCTTTATTTTCAGCTGTTCCTGTTTCAACTTCTGCGTGGTTTATCGTACATCCACAAAGGAAGAATTTTGCATAGGTGAGGATGATTGCAAATATTCCTATTACCGTAAAAGCCCTATTAAGCCCCCGGAGGGGAAGGGGCTTATTTTTTTCGGTCTAAGTGGGGAAGCTTAAAAGAGAGGGGGCTTTTTTCAAACTTTTGCTTGATAAGGGGGCTTAATAGAGAGGGGGCTTAATAAAGAGGGGAGCTTAATAGAGAGGGGGCTTAATAGAGAGGGGAGCTTAATAGAGAGGGGGGCTTAATAGAGAGGGGGGCTTAATAAAGAGGGGAGCTTAATAGAGAGGGGGGCTTAATAGAGAGGGGCGGGTTTAATAGAGCTTTACGGTATCATCGACAATATCAGTCACCATTGTCATAATAATCATCCTCGTTATGGTCGTCATATGCATGCCCATGTGTAACGAATACATTCAATGGGATAAATAAAAAATGAATTGAATGAATGAACATTGAATTGAATGAATGAACATTGAATTGAATCAATGAACATTGAATCATTAATTTTGATTAGGATTGCCAATTTGCCATCTCTTATTACTCAATCTTTTTAACATTTTAGAGATTTAAAGCCACAAAACCTTTTACTGAGTGAGCAAGGAGACCTGAAATTGGCGGATTTTGGTAAGGCTTTTTCGATGTTGCTTAACATTGTCACTATTAAACTGTTAAAATCGATGAAAGAGCGAAATAATCTCTTCGTATGGTTAGCTAATCCGTTCCTGAAACGTCTTTGCGTATTGCTTCATTTTATTATTCAAAAACTGATTTGCGATCGTCGTTTTTGTTTCTTGCTAATTTGTCTTACAAAAGGGCTTGTTGCAAAGCAGTGGTTGATGGAACTTTCCATTAAAGTTTAAAATTACTTTGGAGTACTTTTCTCACCCGATATCGCACAAGTAGAAAAAAATTGATTTTGCTGTGGTCACACTTTTTTGGAAGCTTAAATTATGTCTAGATAAAACGAAGCTTTTTTATTTTTCAATGTGTGTTATCTTTGATTTAATTTTTCATTGTCTAAAACACCCAAAAATTTTAATCACAGTCAATGAAGTAGAAACAACTAAATGTTCTACATTTGGTTAACCGAACACCAAGAATATATGTTGCTCAAGGAACTGTATAACACACTGAAAGAGGAGGAGTAGGAGCTTAATATTGAATGGCTGGGAGTCGGTTGTTTCACCGAATGGTTTGATTTCAGGTGTGAGGATGCCTTAGTAATTCGGGAACTACAGATTTAGGGGTCTGGGGTTTGAGTACCTGCCGTGACCAAACTTTTATTTAGAGTGAGAAAAGTCGTCAGTTCTCTGTTATTCTTGGTGAAGGAATCATAAGGTATAATCAAACCGAAAGAAAGGACTTTGACACCGCTCGATAATCATCGCATCCCAGTCATCGAAAATTTACTTCGAAAGCTATGTAGCAAAGAGTTTACAATATAAGGTTACAGCCTTGCATCATTGGCTAATTTCAATTTTGAATGATAGCAATTCTTCTATTTAGTTTCTTTTTCTCTTTTACCTAAGGCCTAGCAAGATCGAAGACCGTCCCATCAAGAACATACTCCAGCGAAGTTGTGACCTTATGGTAAGTTTACCAAGGTGCATTGACTGGCGGATGCTCATTTGAATTAAATGTTCTCAGATATGCAAAGTAGGAAATGGAATATAGGACTCAGGTTTTGATTGGTTGAAAGCATACGCTTAGTCATATGTCTCTTGTCGCAGAACCAATCAGAGAGTACCTTTAACGCCGTCATTCAGAATAGTGCTTATTCGATTTAAGCATCGTTGTCTTCATTTTTGAAGTCATCAATTTCAAGCAATAAACTCAACGTGTTATTCGTAGGTATAGGCCACCAGACGTGCTGTGCGGCTCCAAAACGTATTCTACTTCATTGGATGTTTGGTACGTATCTTTAGATAAACTACTTAATATAAAAAAGATCTTCAATGCAACGGGATTCTTCCAAGCTGATGACTTTTTCGTTGATAGGATGATGTCATAAGAATATATTTTTAGAGTTTTGAATATCGGTCAAATAGCCTGGCGAAAATCGTAAGGTTCCTAGTTTTTTATTTAAGTTATTTGATCGAATGTAAACAATTCTAAGAATATGTTTTTCTGACCTAACACTTAAAAACTCTAAAGCATTTTGATAGGTATACATTGAGATTTCTGCAAGCATGGAATCCCCGAGCTAGCTTTTGTTACCAAACTGAGTTGGGCAGCATTAACAGACCCCTGCGGTGAAGAATTTTCCTACTATGGGGCGTTGTTTCGAAAAATCAAATAACCCAGGCATTTTCCCTTGTTCCCATTTTTGTCCCCAGTCAGTCTCAAGCCACTTTTTCAGAGATATGTCCTACCCCCTGCCAGCCTAAGTCAAGTTTAGCTGCCCTTTCCTTATTTACCCCATATCCCCCGTGAAGGAAAATGCTCGTTAGGCTGTATTGTAATGTCTTGCTGTTCCAGGCAGCAAGCTTGAAATTCCCTTTTAAACCCTTGTGACGCCTTACTTTTCTTTGCAGGGGCGTCGGTTGCATATTCTTAGAAATGATTACTGGGTTTCCCTTATTTCCTGGAACAAAAGGAGTTAAAGATCAGCTGGATAAAATCTGGAAGGTTAGCTATAAGATCTTATTATTTCGTGTTGTTTATGACATTTATCTGTGACAGGTTTTTGTGTTTCCTGTTGGTACTGCATGTGTTTGGCTTTCATGACAATGATAGAAAAGCAATGAATATTTTCTGAATCAACGATTTGCTTGTCAGCTGTTCTCTAGTAATAAAAAGACCTTTATAATTCAGCTCAAGTGTCAAGTTTTAGTTAATTGGTTGGACGCTTCACAGAATTCATTCTCCTTTCGAATACTTCCGCGTAAAAGGACTGGACCCATTTTTGAATGCCTGCTATGAAACGTCAATTCTAAGGAACTAAATATTTTTTTGGATGTTTTTTTGAATGGCTAGAAATTTTGGTTATGTGAATGTTCATTTTCTTTATGTTTATATCTATATGTAGGTTTGTGGATCCCCTGATGGAGAATGGTATAGCACTTATAATCTGTTTACAACTGGTAAGTTTTGTTAAGTTCACCTTTTGATCATTGCCATATATAATTTCTGGAGAAGGTTGGAAATGAGCTCTTCATGTTAATATACAATTGTGTAATGCCTTCAGTTTTGTTTTAAGTTAAATCCATCAGCACTCATATTTGTATAATTTTTTCGAACTTCTTACGGGTTAACCAAACTAAAAGGTTTGACTCAATTTTTTGCATTCTGTTTGAATCACTAGCCGCTCCATTTCCCTACGCTTTTTAAAACTCATAATAAGCTGATTTGCACAAATAAATTTACCTGCATCCTGGAAGATTATTTTTATTGTCATTATCAAATAGTGATCCAACAAGAGTGTCCTTTGATATCGAAGATCTCGAGCATAGGCCTCCAAAGATCATCAGCCGAGTTTTTTGTAGACTGCTTGTGAATTTTACTGAGAAGAAATAGGTTGGCAAAGTTTTGTGTTGAAAAGGCCAAGTACAGAAAAGGCAGCAAAATCTTAGCTATTGTTATCAATGACATTAAAGGCTATCGACAGATTTTGAAGTGGCTTAAGCCATCATCAGTCAATCAAAATTGGCCAATCAATAATCGTAATACCACTCACACGTTTAGTGATTGGTCGAAAGTTTATCAACAGACAGCTCGAGCCATTTCATTATCTGTCGATTGCATTTAATTGACTTATTGTCTCCACACATTTATCAATATGCTTTCACATTGCAGAAGACTTTGATAATTATTCCGAGAAAGATATCAGCGCCTTTATCCCAAGGTAATCATATATTTTTTCCTATTAATTTACACCAATAATCATTATTGTCTAATACTCAAGGTGCGCTAATGATTTACGATGAAATTATTGTGGAGATCGTTCATTTTTAGAAATGATAATTGACATCTAATGTTGCCTAAAGATTGCTGAAAAGAGAGACTTCTAACTTGGCGACTTTACTATTAGAGAACTGTAACCGAATAAATGAATAACAGAAAACGAGTAAATAAGAATACGTAAGGACGGACTATTAACATAGGCAGGGGGTATACTAGTCCAACACTGATAGTAGAAAAATGCCATTCAAAGTAAACCCACTTGACTCTAATTAACTTTTCATAATATCTACCATCCACATTTGCAAGTGTCTTGTATCGTATTTCAATAAAGGCTTTGTTTTAACTTTCCTAGCCTAGCATTCCCTTTACATTTTTATAAAATTGGTTAATGTCTTTGTTATAATGAAGATTTTTTACCCCCACTTTGAATCGTTACTGCCGATTTTTTCCAATTTTCTAAGTTCTCCAGCACTTGAAATCTAAAGTAAATTGTCGAAATATGAACATTCATCGATCATTTGACGTTTTCAGTTATCCACTCCCTATGTCAAATTTGTTTATGATTATTTTTATATCTTTGATTGCTTATATGTTTTTGTTCTGTTTCGTAAAAAAATTGTTGTCAATTTTCTGGGATTGCTTTACTCTTCTCAACAAAAGTTTTTTTTTCTGTCCAGGCTTAACGAAATCGACGGAGCGGAAGATATTGCTTCAAAAATGATACAGGTTTTTTGTTATTTTATGTCACTTTCTTCTGTGTTTTATACTTAGCTGAAAACCTTTTAAATTTTCTAGCTTCCAAAGAGCACTGAATTCATTTTTGAGGTTTTCTTTTTTCAGGGTTTAGGGGGGCTACTTTTTCTAAATCTCAACTTTTCCTGTTGTTTTTTGCAACATCTTGTGCAAGAGCCCTTCTTGTTATTTCGATAGCACTACGCCATTGCTTTTAATCACCTGAATTGATAAGAAGTGTCAAAAAATTTAAGTTTATTTTACAGCTACGAAGCCCAAAAAAGCTCCTGTCTAATATGTTCTGTCAGCCCTGGTTGACAATCCATTTCCTTTTGGTCCCATGTTTTACGAGGGATTAGATCGATCGCTATATATTTTCTTTACGCATTTTATTTTTAGATAATAATAAGTCTCGTCCTATCTTGCCCAGCTCATAACAATGCATGTAAAGAGGAATATATAATACAACAGTGTGGGAATTATTAAAAGCTTAAGATTATTGAAAGAACAGTGCACCTACAGTGAATCTATACACTTTAGACTTTTCAGTGTAAATCTCTAATATTGAAGATCCAATACCGATCTACTTTTGTATTGTTACTTATATATTGATACAATTGTCCTATCCAGTGTCACCCAGAGAGACGAATAACTTGCGACGAGGCATTACGTCACAGCTACTTCTCGGACTTACCAAAAGAGGTTTATGTTTTGCCTAACTGTAAGTTCTAACGTTTTGTTTTGTCTCAGTTGAACATAATGTTTGTAGTTTCTTGTTGAAAGGTCCAGTTTTTTATATTTACTGATAGAAAGCTATTTCCCCTAACCACATGTTTAAATTCAAACTTTATCAATCCGCAAGCTTGTAGTCAGATTTTTGTTAGTTGGGTCGTCTCATCGGCAAAATTGGCACCCCATGTTCTATTATGTTTTTATATATAGAATAAATATGTTTTTGTCTTGTCTCAGAGTCCAAATGGAATACATCTGCATCGAGTGCGCCCCCACCCCCCACCCCCTTCGCCCTCCTCTAAAAACGGGCATCGATCAAAGTCACCTCGAGAGAAAACTAGCTGCGGGAGCAAACCTTTGTTTATATAAAGAAGAGGACATTAATCTATTGTTCAAAACAATGACAAATGATTAGGGCGGGAGAGGCAATTACCCCTCCATTTATTAAGTTAAGAATGGCCCTGGCATTGAGATCTGAAAGTTATCATATCAGTTTGAGCTCGGAATAGTCGGTAAGATTGTGAATAGGGTAGAATAGCGCTATCAAGCCCCATGATCAACCCATTCGTGTACATTCCCCATGTGTATGCATTAGATTCTGATGTATCATTTGATTTAAAGTATTTTTGTTTATTTCCCTAGCGGCGTCAATATTTACAGTTAACGGTATTGTTCTTGAAAAGGAAATAGAACGGTAAGCTGTGTGTAAAATTTTGCTTTATTTGAGGTACGGTTGATCTTTATTGAAGCTTGATTTATACTGGCAAGATTATGGCCTAAGGTCCCATTTATACCGTATTCGCCACGAAATTCGACAACCGCATGATTAAACTACATCTCATTAAATTCAAACTTATTTCATTTCATGATACGAAGATATTTTTCTTCTTGAAATGAAATTGGAGTAGGAAACAAGGTCGTCCGCCAATTTCCAAAAACGAAATATCCAGAAGGAGGGGGGATAGGGTCCATTGAATCGTTGAGCAAAGATCAAATAGCTTTAACACTCTCTATGGGAACAAGCCGCCTATTTTGCTAGGGAAATTACCTGTCCAAAGGTTGCAATCCAGTCTTAACAGAGCCTTATAACTGAGTGTACCCTTTGAAAGTCTTGTTATAGCAGAAAGGTATACAGGAACAAAGCAATACGACGACGAGAATCCAATGTCACGAAATAAATTTTCAAAATAAATTAAATTTAAGAGTATACTAATATTTCGCCCCGGCATACAGGGCTTCATCAGAGTAAATGAAACGAACGCAGGGTAGGCTTGTTATGACATCCTACAAAACAGATTTGCTGCTTTAACAGATTCAATGAAGACTTAAATGTCGCTAGTGTGCAGAGCAATAGAATGTCATGGTAGTACAATTGAAATCGTTCTTCATAATATTTATTTTAGTTAAAGGACTTTACACAGGTATTCTCTTTATCATATTGGTCTTATATATCATTTATAAGTTGCTCGTTATTTTCTAGACCTCGTGAGACGAGAGGTGGCGTGGATGAGTCCTCAAAAGGGTATATGGTTTAATGATTGTGGCAATGCGATGCTGGTGCCATTGGTTTTCCAAGTAGAATGTCAGCTAGATGGCCGATTCTCTAACAAACATTATACCATCCCATAGTCTCTAATGTAATTCCGTTTAATTAGAGAGAGGGGGAGAGAGATGTAATCCTTTCCTTCAAAGTCGCTTAAAGCGAAATTGTATTTGCTAGAAGCAAACAATATTCATGAATTTAATTGAAGTTTTCTTTATTTTGCAGCTTGCTTAAATAAGCAACCTCTATGTAGGTCAATAATTTGCTTGCTCTTGCTTTTAATAGATTCATCTTTGCTTGAGCCGTGTCAGACGCTTTTTAGAAATTTAGTGTACTGAATAGTTTTGTGGTGTTTTGCTTTTATTTCCTTTTGTTTATCCGCAAGAACAACCATTACTTTTACGTTGAAGATTGTAAGAATCGGGAATAAAAAAATTGATTCCAATCGTGAATATTTTCTCCTTCTAGTGGTGGTCGTCCAGCCAATTTTTTCAATGTTGACAAAACTTTGGGCCTCTCAGAGAAGTGATTACACCTTTTTAAAAGCAATGTCCCTACAATTAGCTTTCTTCAATGGGGGTGTAGCTCGGTTTGAACCAATCAACGTACAAGAAGGTTGGCCTAAGCCAATCAAATCACAGATCTGTCGAGCTCAATTACGCATTTCATTGGCAGTTTTAACGATGTATATGAACACACTGCCTTTACCTTTTTAGCAAACGAAATAGAAACATTCCCATGTCTTTATGAGGTGTAAGCTTGGTTAAGCATTTTGTCATTTATTGTCATAGGATATTGTCATTTAAACCTTTGACAATTCATATTACGGTTACTTTTCCTACCAACATTTCTCTGTTAGTTGGTTGGTAAACTGTTTTAGGTTTACCTTTTCATTTCCCAGAAATAAATTTGAGTTCTAAGAACTTGTAGTTGCAGATGACTTGCTTTCTTCTAACTCAGGGTTTGATTTAGTCGCTTATTGCATTTGTAAATAATTATTTGTAAATAGTGTTCGCGTTGATTTCATTTTTTCGGTTCTAGCTGCTTGCTATAGACGAGCTTTTCAATTTTGCGTAGAATCTTTAGAATGAAGATATCATTCATTTGTACAGAAAGGTTAGATGGTATGGAAGCATTTTTCTCTCTTATTCTTTTTCTCGTGCTGCGATGGCTTCTGTTGACTTGGAAGTCACTAAGTTAATCATGCACAAGATATAACGTTGCTGAGTCATTTAGCTCTTAAAGGCAATGTGTCTCGTTGTGGATTGGTTAACGAGAACAATAGCTGGAACAGTAGCCTAAACACGATTCCAGCGCTCCGCCATATTTTTTACAATGCGATAAATTAAAGGGGGACTGGAAACAATTAAAATCCCTTTGTTCTTATAACCAATCAACGTCGTGACAGATTGCTTTTAAAGCAAACGTCGTTTGTAGCATGTTCGTTTGCTCAAGCAATTTTTAATATTTTCTAAACAAACAGTAGGGTAGTCATGGATAATGCCGGCCGCTGGGCAATCACGGACAAACCTCCTTAGGAATATTTTTTGAATCTGTCATGAACACTAATAGAAAGATTTTTAAAAGCATGTTTGGGTACCTTTTTATGTTTACTTTTTTCTCTTTTTGAGCCCTTTTGCTGTGCGTGCTAATGAATAAATTTGTTTTGAATGCATGTCAGTGAAGTGAGTGGGCCTAAATTTTCTCGATTTTCTACCCTTCGAAATAACCCTATTTTTCAACGCACTGAAAGCCTACTGAATATTTTTTCCCAAAAGGCTCTGTATGCCGGCAGTACATCATTTTTTTATGGAAGTTTCTTGTTTCTTCTTTCAGTCAAAAAATGTTGAGAAACTTGTGGATATTCAAATTATTGAATAGTTTTTTATGTAGAGTTGTCCTGTCGAAAACTGACTAAAACCTTAGCAATAAAAAGTTTATGGTGTGATTACTAAAGATGATCGTTAAACCGCATCAGCTGAATAGACCATGTTCAGGTATTTTCCCCCAATTGAATTGCAATATGTTCTGGGTAAATTTTAAACGTATTTAAAGAAAGGCAAAATATCCCATTTAGTTAATTTTTCATCAGTAAACAGAACCCTCCAAGACTAAAATTTTTCCAGAATATATATTTATTATCTCCTTTCTTCCCCCTTTTCAATTTTTCGCTCGTCTCTGTCGAATCCTCGTCGCCCTATTTTTGTGTCCCTTCTTCCTTGTATTCTTTACTTACGATGTTTAAATTTGCCATCGCATAATCAAAAACTATTTGGGACATTGGCAGTGGTGTAGTCGTAAATATTTAGAAAGTGTAACGAAAAAGTCAGAAACAAAAACAACAATTTATTAGTTTTTTCTTCAAAAATGTAAAACTTAATTTTTTAAAACAAAGCGAAAAAATACGTTTTGTCTTTGCCCACTTTCTTGTTTCCATTTGGGCGACATTGCCTGCCCATTGCCAGTTTAACTTTTCTAATTTTTCTACACCGTCAACAACTTTAGTGTGTGACCTTAATATTTCATTTCCCACTTGTCTAGGCTTGTGACGTTAAGCATTGCTCATCCCACTTCACGGTATTGAATACGCTAACAGCAGCAACAACTTGCGTGCTTTCTAGACATCTAATTTTCAAACATTTAAATGTGATTCTGTCTGTATTTCTCAATGGACGGTGGCTACTAAAAATATTTATACAACTGCATCTTTGCGGAGTTGGATTGCATTTGTCAAAATAAGATAGTTAAAATAAGAGAGTTAAAATAAGACCCCTGTTTAAAGGTGAAGCTACCAACAGTATTTTTGTTTACCAATTTCGCCAACGTGAATGAATAGGAGCAGCTCTTTTGTTTGGTTCACCTCCTCTTTCTCGTTGATGAAAGCGGTGCTTTTCTAGCCTGCGTGCAAACTTTACTTTCGGTTTCGAAGGAGAGCCAGGACGGAACTTGTAAAGTTCCGTATTGGTTCTCCTTCGCAGCGGAAAGTAAAGTCTACACGCAGGCTATATCTTTTCCATAGAGATATTGTAAAATGTTGCTTAAATCGATTGATTCTCAGGACCTTTTAAAAGTCAGAGGATGGCCAATAAATGATGCGACGTAAATCGCTTAAATCTTTCCTTCTTTTTTTCGATAAAATCGTCCCGGCAGCTACATAACTTGCATGCTAACAACGGCATAATAATTAACGCGTGACATGGGCATAATCTTTCTCAAGAACTATCCCAGAGGTCTTTCAAAACTGATACAACTCCTACAAATATCTCAAAACGACTAAGAGCAAAACGAAGGCGACAAGATCTTTCACAAGCATCTTGCCCCTAAAACGGTGCATGCCTAAACTGCTTTCTCTTGCTGCTACTTTTCCATAATTCTTACTGCCTAAGATGAGGTACGGGGCTCCTATATATACTGAACTAAAAACAATAGACATTCGTAAATGAAACGGTGAAAGGAAGTAATTTACTTAGTAACGAGCGGGGTGGGGTAGCGCGATATCCTTAAATACTGGGTTGCTATGGCGATCTACTTAACATGCTGATAATTGACGTAGGTATGAATTTACTCATAATAATACAAAGATTATCCTAATACACGTGATAGAAAAATGCGGAACGAGCAAGGAAAGTTACAGATAAACAAGAGTGATTAGGTAAGGAAAATTAAACGAATGGACTAGAGAGAAAGACCTAAAATTAGCAGTATTACAATATCCTATCTCTATGGTCTTTTCACAGTGATCCCTCCCTCTTTCAAATGAATTCGCTATGAACACTGAAAGTTCCATTCAACAAGAGTTCTAATGCGTCTTATGGTAGAGGTCTTGGGAATTTGAAAAAGAAAGAGGTTTTTACCTATTCTATCTTTCTTTCTGTATCATCTTTTGAAGTAAAGATACTTCCTGCAATGAGGCTTATTTATCAAAAAGCGTGACACATACGCACTGCGGAGGACTTTCCCTCGTCTTTAGAGGGAGGGCAAAATGCAAACATTTAATTTGTGCATGGAAACTGAAGTCAAAAGTCAAACATGGAATATGAGGTTAAACATGGTAACGTGAAAAACAGATGCTTGCGTGAAGAAAATGGATAACGTTGTTGATAAAAAGTTATCAAGGCTTAGCCGTGGTATTGGAACACAGAGTGGACAGCTTATCCGTGAAACTCCTATCTACAGCAGCGAATCTCCTCATGAATTTGTAAGTAACTTAATTTTAGGCCTTTCCTGACCGCCGTCACCACAACATAGGCTGTTCATTCTAAGATTGATGTCTGATCGATTGGTTTAAGAGTCCCCTCGTTGTTCATTTTACAGCTGAAACAGTCATATGAAAGATATCGGAAATTTTCTTATGTGTATGTAACTTTGATTTAATTTCTGAGATAAGATTTTACATGCTGATATAGCATATTTGACAAACAGACTATATTTGCAGTTTTGCATAATTTTTTGCCATTGAATTAGCTCTTCTGTGAATCCTGATAAGCGTTGAATTTTTCATTTTATACTTATGTCAGGACCTATCAAGAGAAAGAAGCAAAGATTCACTTGATGATCTTTTCTTACTGCGAATAAGTGGCAAAAGTACAGGAAATGTTCCTCAGTTTAACCAGCAACTGCAAAAGCATCCAGGACATGGAAAAGGAGTTAACATTCACAAAACGTTTTCAACAAGATTAGGAAGCCTAATCTTGTACACCGATAGTTTTTACCTTGGCAAAAAGCAGAAACATAAAAGAGCAAAGAAGAAGCAGCATAGTAAAATTGAAGAGCTCAGTATGACGGAACAGTGGAAGAGCTCACAGATTCAATTCTAAGATTTGGAGATGTAAGTGACTTTAATTGACCTTTTTAAAACACAGTTCATGCTCAAGATTGGAAGCAAGGGGGGGGGCTTATTATGAAAGGGGCTACATTTTATAGAAATCAACAAACTGGAGCACTGGGTGGAAATGGTATTAATCCTACTTCTGAGTTAATTTTCCTTTTTTTTTAATGCTCCTTGAGTAAATGCTCCAGATTGGTTGTAAAGCCTTTAGGAGTAAACGATTGAAGATTGAAGAGCGACAATATAGGTAGGCATTTATGGAGTGGAATCAAATTCCTATGGGTATTGCAAATGTAACCAACTTATTTGGATTGTGCAAAAGTTAGTAATTTTATTGGTAATTTTGTAGCACTTGCATGGTTTGAGTGCTTCATCCATGAATTAAGGTGATGATAGTAATGGTATCAAAAATACTTTGAAGTGGTATTTTCCAAATGTATTAGTTACAATTTTCCTATGTGGAACTAAATTGGAAATTTGATAATCTTGTTATGTTTTGCAATGTGTCAGAATGTTGCTTTATTGCACCTTTGCCTCATAAATTACAGTCCATTGTCTATGTAAAATGAGATTTGTAGATAATGTGTTATCACCATTAGTTCCATAGAAATTTTTAGGCTAAAGTAAGCTTTTTATTTGCTAAAATAAGCCAAACTGGAATTAACTATATATACTTGATATTTTGATTAAATACCGCAAATCCTTGAAATAGCCTCCCCCTCCAGAAACTTATTTATTTAAACAGTTTCAAGATGAGAGCTAATTCAAGGGGGGGGGGACTTATTTAAAAGGGGCTTATAAAATGATGTCCAAGTTACATTAAAAGAGCTTTCAGCTTTCTATCAATTTTCAAGTTCATTTCTTGCAATTTTGCTAAATAACTTTTTCTGAAATACCTAATCATAAATCCAAGCATTAAAAAATTTTCTTTTCCATAATATGGACCCCACAGGAGCTTATTAAAACATGGAAATTAGCATGTTCAAGGTGGGGGATTATTCAAGGTTTAGGCTTATACAAATCAGAGGATTTACATTAAAAGTAATATTATAGTTGGTAGCTCCTTTTGTTCAAATACAGAGATTTTAAACGAAAGTACCCTTTAGAAAGGTGGGAGTTGATATGCTTAGTACCCCCTTCAAATTAGCACAGATTTAATACATACAGCACATTTATATCCCTTTTCGGATAGTCTGAGTATAAAAGGCAATTTGGGGTGTGGTAAAAGGTGTGGCACCTATAAGGACCAAGCAAGTTAATATTGGCAAATTCGGCTTACTGCTATTAATTTTATTCTGTGAAAACTAGAACCAGCAATGACAATCATTTTCTTGGAACAATTATTTTCTTGCAGTTTAATATAACCTATTTTTCTAAATTGCATCTTCAGTTGTTTACATTGAAGAACATTTGTAAGTTAATTAAGCTATATGTACTTTACTCAAATACTCTTTTTTACCTTATTTGAAGTATCCTAAACAATTGGCCAAAAATTTGTAATTTATCATTCTATTTACTGAACAACTTGAAGCTGAAATTAGATTTAAATTTTTATCTTATTGCACTTGTTGTTTTACCTTCCAACTCACTGTCTTCATAAAATTATGCAAACAATTCTTGTGTAAAAAATAAGAAACAGCGTGGTGAAAAGCAAACATACAACGAACATCCTCAAACACCATCAACGAAAAGCAAACATCCTCAGAGTATGTAACGTCAGAATAGGTATAAAAATAGGCCAATATCGTTCACAAATCGAAAAAATTTATCTTAATATCATTCTTTTGATGATTTTTTCAGGGGAACTTCATTGTTTTTTCTGGCAAGAAAGGCATGCGCGATGAAAAGTTGGTGTCCGTCAGACCGGGATATTCGCCAATACGTTACATTGCGAGCGTTTCTAAACTATGGAACCCTGAAAGAGTTGAGAAGTTACTGGAAGAAAAGGCCTTGAAAGAACACCACCTGCAACGATACAAGAAGATAAAGCTACCCAAAATTGACATTGTCCCTTCAAGTGACTATGATCCGCTGTTACGAGATCGACCGAAACCTTACACGCATACATCGTTGCCAGATTTATTTCATCCCAGGGATCCAGCTCCTAGCCGAGTTGATAATGACGAAGATCAAATGGAAGACGCCTCGAGTGGGTATGCAAAGAGCTTTATATCTGATACTAGAAATCTGGAGAGACGAAGACTTGTGCGGAAGAAGACCATGCAGATGAATCGCCTGGATATCAATATGCCAAAGAAAGACACTGACAATGAGAAGCATCGCAAAATTTTGGAAACAACCGAAGAGCAAAATGATGATTATGATGATGATGATGTGAGTGATAGTATTTCCGATTGGGCAAAGCTTGTTGAGAAATCGAGAAACGTAGTCGACAAAACATTTGATGATCTTTTTGAAAAACGAAAAGAAGAGGAGGATGCCTTACAGGGGGGTGTTTTTGGAGAGGTCTATGATGGTCGTGCAAAACACGGGGGTCATGCTGACAAAAGATCGCCGTCGGACGGTCTACGAGATGAACAATCGCTTAGTAGTGTAGACTATGCTTCGTTAAATCCACAGCAAAAAGCGGAACTGATTTCGCATTTACTATTACAAGGAATTGGGAAAGAGGCATCGACAGTTGAGCAACTAATGAGCGATGACCAAGAAGAGAAGGGCACTGTGTCAACCGAAAAGAAGATAGATCTTTCAGAGCAAGTCTCGTTCCCAGCAAAGCAGAGACATGGCTCGTTTTCGGATTCAGGTAGCGTTAGAGGGTTCAGGGGCAATGCTCTACACAGCAGCCTTCCATCAACAAACTCAAAAGCAAGCTCCAAGCCTAAGAGTCTTAAAGATAGTCTTGTGATATCATCTTTGAATAAGTTGCCCCCGATCAAATCTGAGCCTGTTACACCGAATATCAATGGGAAAAAGGAGAGCGCAGGGGATTTGCGCAGCTTTAAATTGCCTGTGATACCAAAGAGAGGAACAGGCTTGCTTAACGCGAGAAAGTCACATAAGCTTGAGAACGAGAAGGATGGAGAAAATCTGTTTGTTGGTGGACGGGGAATCGAGGTTAACGATGTCAGAATTGATATCAAGGATGCTCAAAATGACGACGAGGCTGACAGCGAGAATGATGATGGCGAAGATCTCATCAAGGCCTTTAGAGAAAAAGCGACGGTAGAGGAAGATCAAAGAAGACTTCAGGCTGAAAATGAAGGGTCACCTCACCAGATGGGTTAGTCTTTGAATAATATTAATCGTTTTCATATTATTAAGAATACACAGTATAACGTTTTATTAATTTTCGTTTTGCTAAAAAAGAAAAGGTTGTGTGGAGATTCAAGATATATTACCCAATAGTCGCTATAAGGAAGTTGAAAATGTTTTGAAAGCTTCCCATTAACATTACGTTCTAGGAACAATTTCGACGGCTGCAGAGCAATGGCGTTTATGGCAATCAATATTTTGCGTAAAATGTAACTGCCCAGATATTTTTTGTAGGAAATTTGTTAGATAAAAACAGTTAGGGAAATAACCATATTTTGTGCATTTAAGTTAAGAACTGTGGCCTGTGTTTACATGGTATCTCTTTTTTAGCCCCTCCAGCATCAATTGAAAGTTTCACCGGGAAACAAACTCCGGACAGTGGCCGAAGTAGTGGAACTGGCCTCACAGGGGTCAGTGACCTTAATGCTGCACAGCCCGAGGAGAAACCTGCTAAAGAGCCTATGACCCCTGTGGCAGAGGAATCTTCAAGATCATCTAAGGCGAGTAAAACTGTAAGCAGGGCGAGCACTCTAAATGGGACTAAGTCTAACGTAAGTGGAAGGCAAAGGAGTTTTGAAAGAGAAAGAAGCAATCGCATAAGTTCTTCAATATCTAAAGAAACTAGAGATGAACGTGTTGATAAAGAATCATCAGATTTGGTTGGAAGTGACCATCTTACTGAAGAAAGAGTTGCCCTGCCGGAGGAGGATGAAAAAGAGAATGAGGGGGATGTGTCTGTTGTTGATAAAGACGAAGATGTTTTAAATAACGTCGACGAAGAGACTCTATCAAGGGCTCGAAGTTTTCAGAGTCAAGATGGTGAGATTCGTTGATTATTTAAATCTCATTTGTTAGACTTCTGTTCAGGTCTCCACTGAATTCTGTGTGTTCTCTCGTATGCCTTGAGACGAGTTAAAATAGCAAAATAATTTAAGCAGAAAACAAAATGGCTGTCGCACGAATGATTTTGCGATTATTATAGAACTCTTTGGTATATCAAATAGCCTTTTCTTTGATGTTATGTGGCTTTATTACCTAGGCAGTTTACACTTTCAATTTATAACATTAATTTCTCTTCCTAATTAAAGTAAAAACATTAGTTTGCAAAAAATATTGCTTAATGCTGAAGGCCTAAAATCCTTTTTTTTAAGTCAAAGCATTGCGTTCTAAAACTGTTTTCTCTAAGCACTTGTTTCCAAATCTGATTATTGCTTGTTGTACATAATTTTAGTTTTTGCTTCTTCAGTTGCAGAGAGCGCTTCTTCATTGCACGATGAAGGTGTTTACGTCGAAGAAGAACAGGCAGATCTTCTCATTGAGACAAAAGGTATTTTCTGACCTTTCTACATTAAATTACATACCATAACCAACACCATCAGACATTATCGTCTTATCAATCATCCCTGATAAGTATAAGCTTTAAATTTGCCCCTTAATTTGATTTGAGAATGTCAAGTTGACGAAAAAAGGAACAAGCTTAAAAGTATGGTTTTTTAAATGCCAAAGTAGTGTCAGGTACAAGGAAGTTTCGCCAGTAGTCTCGGTACATTTTTTATTCATCATCACTAGAAAGTTAAACAGGACATTCTCTGAAGTTTAATTGAATGATATTGCTTACATTTGGTGCCAATCATATCTGTACTTTTTGTCCAAAATTTGGCACAGATTGGGAGCTAAACAAAGCCAATAAATGCTTTTGTAACTTACCACGAGTGTGATGCTAATTCGAGCGTTTTGATGAAATTGTTTGAATATCCATAGCCTGATTTACCCTGAAATCAAAACATATGATACTGTACAAAATCCAGAATGGCACATTCAAAAAATTCGTATGAATTTGTAGCTTTTTCTGTTTTTATGGTTCCTAGCATGGGTAAATAATTCCATGATATTGGGCTACTTTCTCAGCATTTCGCCATTGTTTGGCCTAGATATAATTGATCACATGTAAGAAGGAAGTTATGCAGGATAATTAAAATTCAGTTTTCCGGTAGCTTTGCTTTGTATGTTTAGCACATTTTTAGGTATTCCATGCCCTGGGATGTTGGGACTGGCACCAGAGGCCCGTGGCTCCAATTCGGAGAAATGTGGCACTTTTCATAGATGTGTCCTCTGAAGAACACTTGGAGTGCCGCTTTTTGCCAAGAAATAGTGCTCCATTCTACCTGTACCGTTGAAAATTTCAAACGCTTCAGAAATCCTTTCCCTTTCCTAACACGATCAAAGTTTTTAGATTACCCTCATTTCCTTAGAATGCCAGATGGCGTATTATTTGTAGATGGTAAAGGTCTAAAGGAACCTAGAAAGAGCTCGATTTTTATTTGTTTTTACATTTAAGATGCTGAAAACGACGATGACCAAAATGACGAACTGCCTCATGAAGCCACGTTCACAGACACGAAGACTGTTTCTGACTCCATCGATATTGTGATAGAAGAAGATATGAAATTTGATGATGCTAAAACAATTACTGAATCCTTAGCCTCGAGAAGCAGTTCAGGATTTTTGCAAGTGCAAGCGAGAACGGCGGCTGAAGCTGCTCTTTCCAGGCCTCGATCTGGCATGGATCTAATCGAGGATATGAAAATAGCAGCCAGTGAATTTGGAAAGTTGTTCAGTGATAATATTTTGCGGGGTAAAACTCTTTCGGAATTTTTTTTATCTTGAAATCATTTGCTTGCAGAACTTTGAATTTTGTTTGGAAACTTGTATCTTGGAATTATGTTAGACGCGCACAATAACGACCCGGAAACGAATCGAAACGACTCAACCAAGCAATACACTCGAAAAAAACACACAACTTCTTCTGCATCATTTAAGAATCAAAATTCTTCTACATCATAGCTCGAAAACTTCTCTCTCTACGTCATTTAGCATCCTTTTTTCGTGTATGTCTCTTCTTTCTTCTCTTCTATTCTGGGGGTTAAACTCCCCATTCGTATAGAAGGTTTGTCTGTTATGTAGTCTGTTATGTAGAAGAATTATGAAATGAAAATATTCTTCTTCAATGTAAGATTTGCCTTATATACTTTTATTTTGTTAGTTTGTTGACAAGAGCCTGAGAGCTCGGTTCAAACAGAAAGTTTTTACACGTTCCTAGTAATCCTGGTTATTGAGCCGTTTCTAACCAGTTATTCTTAAAGCGTAATCCAAAAATGTGTTATAAACGTTTCTGTATCTACTTGTGTTCAGCTTTTGCTTTTGTCTGTTTACAGAGGCGAGTAAGTCATCGTTGTCACGTAGAAGAACGCGATCTGACGCTCAGCAAAAGATCCCCAGACTGAAAAACAAGAACAACAGATCCCAGTCGATTTCAGTTCTTTCTCAAAGGTCCAGCAAAAGAATGGGTAGGACACATTTTCGTTTTCAAATGCAATATGAAGCCGAGTACCAATTTATTTTTGTGTCGTATGTCGTATGATGTTTTCGGAGTTTATTTATTAAATACAGTTTAGAGCCCTTTTCGACTTCTTGGACAAAATTGATAGGAAGTCATTTCATTCTCAAATAAAAGCAGCTTTTAAGACAGGCCAAAGAAGTTGATCAAGAAATTTAGTATTTTTGATTGCAAAAATTTTTATCAGCTGATGTTCTTAAAAGTATTCAAGTAAAAAGAAATGGAATTACTTTGTCATTCATTGTATTCAGTTAATTTATTGCCTTCGATATTGTTTCGGCTCTACAGTTGAATTATACGTGACTTAAATATATAGTGTGTGCTTAAAGTGTCCTTGTACCGTTATTTCTTTTCATGAATCTGTTTATAATCTTTACCAAGATGTATTCTTTTTTTAAGAACCTGTTGATATCGATTCATTGAAAGCCAACGTAACTGGTCTTGGTGCAATGATTGACAAAAAGATTGTTGATACTAACAGACCCTCACCCTCTTCAAATAAAGAAGATAAAGATTTGGAAGAAAAAGAGCCTAGTCAAGGTAATTTGTGTTTCAATTGGCACTCATGCAGCTCTCAAATGTTTGCCTTATTATTTCATTTAGGTACTTGAATACTTAAATTTTATTAATGGGTTTTTTAATTTGTTATTTATCCATGCATCAACGATAAATGATTGTTGCTTTACCATTTTTAAGGAATATATTTGAAAGTTTTTGTTATAACCAGTGATATCGAAATCGAGTAGCATCCTAAACAGTGAATCTTCCTTGCTTATGTTCAAGACCCGTTTGTAGTTCCTTGCCTTCCTTCTTGTGGCTATTGATCCAATGAATTTCTCTTATATGAAATATTTTCTTTGTATATAAAGAATTTTACGTTTTTGTTGTATAAGTAATAGTGGTCTAGGTTTGAAAAGTAAAATGGTCTTATTCACCCACACTGTGATGCCTTTTTTTCTGCATCATTTGAAACCTCCATCTGTGCAGAAAAATATTTCTTAATCTATCTACAAACGCTGATGCCTTTTCCAGCTGTGTGAATTTAAACTTTAACGAGTTCTGCACATAGTTTTTTCTACGATTCGCTATTAAATTGCTGCTACCTACCATACGGACAATAAAGGATGTTTCTGTTGGAAAATGATGTTCTCGGATGAATAACTTTTCATGGTTTACCATCGCGTACTAATCTTTGATTGTTTTGTCATGTGCTTCTCAGAGACCTCTTTATTCCCTTATTTCTGTTGATTTGTCGAAGAAAGTGTCTCAGCAATTGCACAAAAACAGACAATGTTTCAAGTTTTTAGAAATTGATGGAAAATGATAAATCGGCAACGATTCATCAGAGGAACCTGCAGTTGTTTTTGGTAGAGATCTAAAAAACAAAATCAAATCTAAGTGCTAGCTTGATGGAGCCAGTTTTTGAGGAAAAGAAATACCTTACAATTTATGGTGTTCCGATAAGCCACAACTACCAAACCTAAAAACAACTTGCCTTGGAATTGATACTGTCAGATATATGGGGGAAAAGAATGCGAGACATTATCATGGGAAATTAAAAAACCCTCAAGATATTCCAAAGAATTATTTAATTCCAAAAATGCAAAATTCATATCTGCAGACTATTTAAGGTTTTGTCCAAATTAAAGTTTTTTGTTGTAAATTTTTTAATTTTAACTACATCTAAGTACTATACTCTCAGATTACCGGTGGAATATTTTTTGAAACCTTCAAGGAATGTTATTGTCATATTTTTGGTTTCCAGGGAGCCGTGGGGTTATTGAAGAAGATCATAATTCGTTGGTATCATTTCCAGCCGTTTCCTCAAAATCAGATACGTCACCAAAAGATATTCAAATGGACATTATCAGTTATGTCGCACCAGATCGAGAGGGGACTGGGACAGATTTGGTCATACATAAGGACACTGATGTTGTGGACGCGCCTGACGCTAATGCAGTTGAGACACACCCAGACACTGACGAAGAAGAATTCCAACAAGCATTGCAAGCTATTGTGGAGGAGGTTAAGGACTTAAAAGAAAAGAAACCTCAAAAGGGAGGGAAAAGAATTCGGAAATTGAAACCGAGTCCGGAAGAGAAATATAATATAGTTCGTGACAGAATGTCCGCATCTCCGCCGTTTCTTGCTGGGAAAGTCAAGGATTCTAAAGCACCAAAAGGATTAGGCCAGATTGAGGAGACCAAAAAAAAAACGAAAGGGAAAGCAGCCAAGAAATCGAAGGAAACAGTGAAAAAATTAAAAGTTAAGAAAGATAACCAGAGGAAGAAGAAGGTAACATTCAGCGAAAAGGTCCATGTGGGAGAAACCAAAGAACCCAAAACTGAAACAACAACAGAACAAGCAAAAGAGCCTGCTGCAAAAACAGATGATGAAGACAAAGAAGAATATTCTGCGGAGGAGACTGCGTATGACAAATATGATGTACCAATCACCATTAAACAGGCTAAGGTAAAAGAAGATTCAGCTACTGAAGAAGAGAAGGAAGAAGCCCAAAAAGAAGATGCCAGCGAAGCAGTACGTAGAAGCTCTCAGAGCTCGAAAGAAGAAAAGCAGGTGGAAGATGCTGAAGCACCAGGCGTTTTACAAAAGTCGTTCACCTTCACCAGCTCGACTGGCAATGAATCTGATGCCTCGTTAATGGTTTCTGGGAACGAAGAGGGTGTCGGTACAGACAGGCACATGGATGCTCGAATGCAGAAAAGGAAAATGGAAGCAGAGAGGAGGAGATTGAAGGTTGAGCAAAGAAGAAGAGAAAAAGAAGAAGCTAAAAGAAAAATGCTAGAGCAAGCTGAAAGGGAAGAAAGGCTTAAGCAAGAAGCTGAGCAAGAGATGATACGAAGGATGGAAGACTTTAAACAAAAGAAAATGTCGGAGGAAGAAGAACAGAAGAGGAAGCAAGAGGAAGAAGCTAGGAAGCAACGCAGGCTTGAACGCGAGCGTGAAAGGGAGCGTAAGGAGAAGGAAGAGCTAAAAAGGAAGATGGCCGCTATGCAGGCTAAGCTGAAATTGGAAGAAGAAATGCGACGTGAGCAGGAGAGAATCGCTAGGGAACACGAAGAAGAGTTGAGGCGCCAGGAAGAAGAGAAACTCAAAGAAATGGAAGAACATGAACGAATAGAGTATGAAAAGAGGAAACGCGAAGAAGAAGAAGAGCGTTTACGGTTGGAAGAAGAAAGGAAACAGATAGAGAGAGAAAAACGACTTAGAGAAGAAGAGGAACATAGAATAAAGATGCAGAAACTGGAAGAATTCCATAGATTATTGCTAGAGCGTGCGAAGTTCTGGGAAGGGATGAAAAACAGCAAATGGTTTTTAGAATGGAATCAACGACTTACCGAAGCTTTTACGTTCTCATACTTTGATCTGCTACCTGCGATAATGTTTCAGTTTACATCACTTAGGCCTTTTACGCCCAGGGAAAACAAGAAACACGCTACGCTGCCTCCGATTAAGGAAGAGAAGCAAGAACCTGGGTCATAATTGTTACAGAGAATGAGATAGAATGGTAGCTTATTGGAACTAGAGAGCATCCTCCGTTGTCAACAAGATGAAAGTTCCTCCGTAGTTATTGGAAACAACCAGATCAGAAAGCACTTACCAGATCTGCTGTACTTATAAAAGGAATGGATGCTTGCAGAGGTACTCAAGTTTGTTTGGAGAGCCATTCAGATCATTTAACAAGTGTGGTTGCATGTGGGGATTTCCCTCACCGTATGGTCATTTTGTTGGGTCATCCCCTTCTCTTCTCTCATCTAGATGGAGGTATCGCTTGTCCGATTTAGTTCTTGATTAGAAAGAGAGACTCGATGAAGTTCTTAATTATTTTGCCCTCTTCTGATATCTTGGTATCTAAACAATGATTAGCTATGCCTTTTTTCCTTGATCAAAATATCTAAACCCCTGAAGATTTAACATTTCTTATGTTACACATAGAGTTTATGTGAGATTATTTTTTATCTCTAAACGTAGAGGGAGATTTCTTCCTTGCACCTCATAGATCTCTAAGGCACGCAAAATATGATTGCTCTGTTCAAACGTTTTGTCCTTTAAACCAAAGTTGACCAGAGTAGATAATAACAGATACCTTTTCTTACAACGTGGTTGAAATTTAAGTTACCAAAAACTGAAAGGTTACCTTTATTCCGGATCTTTTAATACCTGGATTTGCACGTTAATGCAACGCTATCCCCTGAAAAATGCCGTTTAGAAAAATGCATCAACATTTTACAAAATCTGCTCTTCAATTCTTTCTAACCCGCTAGACATTATCCCAATCAAATTGCCTTTTTGGCACTGAAAAAGGCAAAGTAAGTGAATTTTTAGAAGAGGCAAGCTGAGGAGTCGGAATCTCATTTTATGTCGGTTGTAGAGGCATCGATTGGAGTCAAAATCGTAGAGGCATCTTTTATGTGTCAATTAGAGCTTTAAAGCATATATGAACATTTAAGAACATCAAATGTACATTAGTATTATCTACAAAAAGTAGAATCTTTTTTGTCAATAACACACAAGAATTTATGAAACCAATCTCTGCTAGAAAAAGGTTTGGGAAAATTTGAGATGTCTAGCCCCTTCATGTTTTGTAAGTGCCCCCATCCTAGTTTATCACAACAGTTAAATTCCCACTTTATGATAGGCGTACCCCTTTGGGTCAAAACCTTTTATAAGAACATGCATGTCATTTTTATACCAGATTTATCCATTCACTAATTACGTTTCTATTCAGATAACGAATATAATTTTATCGTCAAAGATTCTTGATTTGTGATTATTGAATAGTTTATAGTTAATAAAAAGTAGAAATGTTAGGGTGATTATCATGATTAAATCATGTCTTTAATCAAATGTTTATAAGTATTATTAATCATTTTGATGTATAATGAATGTCAAAAATTGTTGTTATCTTGGCTGCATCCAGACTGCACAAAACTTTTGCAAAATTGTGCGAATAAAGGAGAGGCCACGATAGCAGACTGCTCGACGGACTCCGGAGGAAATCTTGCGGCGAAAAATCGATAACATAGTTTTGTATAAGGAACACCGCAACGCGACGAGAATAAACAACAACAAACACACAAATCAGCGATGGCTAATATTTCGTTCGGGCATACGGGGCTTCATCAGAGCAAAAGTTTTGTAAAATTGCTCTTTCTCATTGCTCTTTTTTCAAAATACCAACAGTTCTAAAATCCAATTCCAAAATTCATTTCAATTTTTTTAATGTCTAAAGATTTCCAAGACGGGAGAGGATCTGAATTCTGAAACCCTGAAAAATTGATCAAAAAACGATATATTTGCAGAAATGTGAATATTTCATTCGATAAAGCTTCCACCGGTCCCTTCCTCCCCTGCCCCCTCCAAGCAATGTTGTTTGTTGAGATTTGGTGAAATAGTTGTAAATCATGTGTGCAAAGACCGCATACAATAACAAGATCTCAACAACATTTCTTGAAGGGGGAGGGGATCAAATACAATCCTACTAGATTACTGTCAATAAATTTGTTTTGATTTCATCATTGGTATCAACATATTTCGTGAAGGATTGTAGATTGATCAATATGTAGATTACAACAAAGACATTGAACAACAAGAGGCCCACAAGAAAACGGCTTCAGCGAAATGATTGCAACAAGTTGGACTAAAGAGGGAAGAAAAAACTTTTTTTACGTTGTTGACCACCCCTCTAGTTTAGGATTGTATTGTATTGTATTGTATTGTATTGTATTGTATTGTATTGTATTGTATTGTATTGTATTGTATTGTATCGTATCGTATTGTATTGTATTGTATAGATTATTTAATACTAGTTTTTACAATAGTGGACCCACACTAATCATGACTAATGTAAAGCAATTCCAAGGATTGCATAAGACAGTTCATTTACTGCAAAGCGAGTACGCGCAACTGTTTTCAAGGAACCAAGTTACTGTCTTTGTTGATTCCGGGAGTGAATTCCAGATTTTAGGCCCTTGAAAACTTAGTGATAGCATTCAAGAATACTTTCATTTTTATAATTCATAAAAGCTCATTAAAAAAATACCGTAAACTCTGTGCTGACCATTTTTCGAGAGAGGGGAGCTAATCGATTTATCACGTTACCTACCTCTTTCAATTCAGGAAAGTTTCTTATAACGACTCATCCAGTTAAATTGTTTAATTAAGTTAATTGAACAATGACAATTAAGTTTTGAATGAAGGAACCCGGGCCTTTATTCGAAACGAAACTAAGATGTATTTTATGAAGCTATTTTAAGACGAAATAACAACTCTCTGCAAACCCTTATTGTTGTCCATGATTAAATTATTCACTCATCATCCTCCGTTTCCTGGTTTTTGGGTTACGAAAGTGAGCTCGGTCTAACGGGTAAGGTCTGTTGAAATCGATAAACCATTCCATTTTGAATTGTTTAAATACACATTTTCCCAGTTAAATGTTTTATTTGAAAAATCAATATTTGACAAGGATTTACGAGACCGCACATTGACGTTTCGGTTTTATTGACACTTGACAAGCAGGACATGTCAGTCAAAAAATATACGATAACTCGGCTTGCAGTGTTGTCAAAAAGCCTTGACATGTTAAAAGCTTCTTTGTCTACAAAGGTTTGCGTTAATATCATATCTGATACGCCAATTTTTAATAATTTTTAGCCAAGGTAATACGGAATTCAGACTTTATATCACTTCAATATCAGCGCTTCGCGTTGTTAAGATGGCTGACTTAAAATGACTTTCGGCGTAAGCCCCCTTTTCCCGACAATCATTGTTTGGTATTCTGTTGTGCAGAAGGTCCCGCTCTGGCCTAGTAACAATTCCTTTGTTTTTTCACGTGTACAGTTTTTTTGTTATCAAGGAGCTATTAAGGCAACAATTGTTTTGTTTTGAAAATGTTCTAAGCCGAAACGATTAGTTTGATGACCGAGTGAATACTACCTGCCTGGTCATCACACACGCCGCTCGATGCTGCGAGACAAATAAACATGCAGGACGTGCAATTGCAGCCTATATAGTCCTAGGAGTCGTTGCTTTAAAATTGGAGGAAAAGTTGGGATGTGACTTGAATTTGCCTATCCGTTCAGCGCCCTTGATTATTTACAAATGGCCTCTGTTTCTGAAGATGAAGAAAGCGGTGCTAGCTTTTGGAGCATAGCAAAACGAGCCACGAAAAGGCCCTCGAATAAACGAAGCAAATCAACTTCGGATGTCAGGAAAAGCCCTTCAACAAAAAGTTAGTAACATTCCTTTATTGTGATTCAAATGCAGTGATCTGGAAACCGAATTATCAGCCATGTTTTGATAACAACAAGGCGGCCTTAATACTGACAAATTAATATTTTGACTTATGACATTTGATTTATGCAGCAGGAAAGGATAACGGGTTGGCCCTAGAAAAAAAACGTTTTAAATGCCAAATTGGGTGTTTCCTTCAAGATAGTGGGTTTCAGAACTGAGTATCGTAATAGACAAAATGAAACCCAATAGAGGCTTTCGTTTTAATCGCAACATGTATCAAAGTATTTGTGTAAAAAGGAAAGGCTTTGAATGGCCTAACTCGGCCCAGCATGGCTCCCACAGCACAATCTTCCTCATTGTTTCTGCCAAGGAAGTAAGTCCGTGTTAATCAAAACGAATCATGGGAGGTTTGTGCTTGGATTTTCAATTTGAACCCCGAGGCCGCTGGGTGCATTGTTTAGAATGTTTACTGATCAAATAAAGTTGAATCAACCTGCAGTCCGGCGAAGAAAAAGCATCGATATTGTCAAAAGCAAAGATTGTGTTTTAGTTCAATAAAGATCGTTTAAAAAGTACTTTTTGATTGAAACTTAATGAATAAACTCAACGATGGAGACTGTTATGTGCTGTCAGAGTTCTGGAGCTGAAGATGAAAGCGAAGTATCATTTATTCAACCAGGTTTAGAAACTGCATTTCAATTTATTGTAAATCGTTTTCGCTGAATGTAGAAATTGTATTGTCATAAAAATTTCACGTCTGCATTCGTATTTTTGCATTTTGCAAATCATTTTTTTGCCAATTTTTTACGTATTTTCTGATTTACATAAACTATTTATCTATGTATTCCTCTTCTAGTGGGGAGCTTTGTTTCAAGCCTGTTGGTTGGAGCTCTTTTTCCACATATTTCCCAGTATTTTTAGTTTATTTCGGAAATTCAAAATAGCATATATCCATGAAGAAATTTCCAAGGCACAAATCAGGGCATAGTTTTGCAAACTCAAGGAGAAAGAGCTGAGTTTTGCAAACTGCATTTGGCGATGTTGATTTGACATGTAAACTCCCTGAGCCCATGTTAAATCTTATTAATAATGGATTGGCATCAATCGAAAGCTTTTGATTGCTAAGTGCGGTCACCAGACAAATATATTCCAATTTTCCTAATGAATGCACCATTGCCATTTCAATATTCATCTGGTTTGATTTTTTTTTATATTTTCTCGTTTCAGAAACTCTGTCCGCAAATGACTTGAAAGCATCTGTTCTGTACCACATATTAGACCAAAGGCTTGCATATTTATCAGGTGGGGGAAAACCTTTTATTTAAGCAATTAGCTTTTGTTAGGATGAAATTTGTTTGTGCAGAGTTCTTGAGATTTTCCAAACAGATTTGCTATAAGAATGGCTATAATGGATGATATGAGCTCATCGTTTCAGTCTTTCATTTGTTTACTTTGTTTACTTCCTCATCGTTTTGGAAAGAAGATGCCAGGAAAATGTAGTCCACGTTTCCGTTAGGGAGTGTTTTCTCTTTTGTTTTAGTTATTATTTTTTATGTTATTACGTTACAATTTTATTTTCTCCTTATTTTTAGAATAATCCTTTCCTCCTGTCAACGACCCTGTTTTTGCTTTCCTTTTTAAAGTCTAGAAAATTAATTTTTGGAATGTAATCTTGAATGAAAAATGTTTTTTTTAAGTTGATTTTTTTGAGCAACATCTGGAAAAGGTTATAATCAAACAAAAAAACAAAGAGAAATATTAAAAACTTTTCTCGTATGTAGCCGAGTTTTTGTCCTTAAATGCTCCGCAAAATATTTAGTGCTTTTTATACCAATATTGTTAAAAATTTTTAATGAAAAAAAATCCAAAATATATTTGCAAAGATTCCCAAAACATCTCTTTATTAAATCCATAATTTTACTTAAAATAAATAGGCCTAGCAGCTATTCCTCAGCCAATATTTTAAGAGAATAACGAAAATTCAGAATAAAAGAAACAGCAGTTGTACAAGATTAAGTGCACCCCATTGTAAGCCGGAAAATTTCATGCTAGTTACGAAGGTTGCTCCATATGACTACAGGTTCTGCTGCTGATCAAGCAGGGGATTGTGACTGATTTGTCAATCTCTTTTCCCATTAACACAGGACCTCTATTCTCCTTTAGCCGAGGACCTCAGTTCTCTAATGCTTTGATACCTAACTAACATGAAAATAAAAGGTTGATAATATGTCGTCTTGTTGTCTTGTCGACAAAACGTTTTCGCGCACATAGGCCTCATTAGGTTTTTGTAGGATGCATCCCAAGTTAGGCTGGGTTGGAAAGAATGGTTAAATTGAAAAGAACGAGGCTGGGTCAGGAACGTTTATCTGGAGCAGGGTTCTCAATTATATAAGAACTTCGTCGAGGAAATATGGAACGAAATAGGGGATGGCTTTTGAAGGGATAGACATCCAAGGCTAATAGCCCCTCGATTAGCAATACGCTACTGGACACGGTTTCCTTCCTATACTAACAAATATAAGTCATTCTTTGCTGGTTTTGTGGATCTTTCCGTCCGTAGAGAGTGATAAGGTACTATTTAAAAATAATGTAATTTACTGTTAAGAATGGCCAAGAAACTTTCAGAATTCGAATACGAAAGCATTCAAGCAAAAAAGATAGAATCATGTGGATAGAATCATGAAGTGCTTGGATTGTACTCCTCACCACAGCTGCGTCATCAACGCCCTCATTGAATTATGTTATCTAGAAGTTTCGTCAAATTGTTCAAAATTACAGTACTCCATATTGATACGTTTGAAAAAATGTTGTTAATATCCTTAGAAATACCCGTAACTAATAACCCACGGAAGTAATAACCTTAATCGTTATATCATCGAAGTCTGTCCAGTCAAGCCAAACCATGTGTCGTTCATTCTCAATTTCATAAGTTTAAAGAATTGGTAACTTATCTCTTTAAGGAACGAAAACTATCAATTAAAGCAGCAATAGTAGAAATAATCAAAATTTTTGAAAGACCATGTTTAGGACCTGGTTATCTTCAGCATTTTCAGTTAAATGTTGATTCCTTTTTTCTGATATATTTCATTAATTGAGATGTTGTGTTTGTTATTCAAGGGCAATATACTATAGACGGGAATTTTGTAGATCTAGGAAAAGGAAGAGAACTGTTTCATAGATGACTCTTTTTAGCTAAGTAGAGTCACATCGTATGAGAAGTTAGAAGGAAATCGTGCGTCCTCCACATGGATAAACGCCTTAACATTGATATCCAGTGGGAAGGAATAGATGAAAAGTGAAAAACTGCCGAAAATAAGCTTGACCCAAAATACATACTCTTCTCATTTTGACAATTTATGTCTTTATTATCGTCTTCCCAATTTTATTGATTGATATGCTTTAGTATTATAGTGTGTCAGTGGCAAAGAAGACCAAAAGAGGTGCTCGCTTGTATCCTTTGTCGTTGTCAATGTCCTCTATGACTATCATTTCACTTACATTAGTGTTCATTTTTTTTCTAAGGTGGCCTAGATAAACATGGACGATGCATTATTACGATTCTTGCAAGCAGAGAGCAAAGAAGTCCAGTAGATGCAACCGGACCAAAATACGAAGAGCTTTCAACCACTCTACAGTATTTGAACAGAATACCAAGGTAATCAGGTTATATAATAGCTAGGGTTCCTAGAGGTGTTTTTAGGACACTGAGAAGCAATGCGTATCGAGCAGTGTCCTGGCTCTTCGATATGACCACACCTCGGGATATGTACTCTAGAAATCACAGAGATTTGTTGACTCACCTTACTGTCAGTGGAGGTATGGTCATGGCAGGGACTCAAACATCACACCCCTTGATCTGTAGTCCATGACCTAAGCCAGTCCCTCACCCCGATTGGGTATGGTATTCGTGATACGGAATTACTTAATTTTCTGAACTTTTTCGTAGTTGCTATTTGAACGCTATTAGAATAACCGCAATTTATTTTCCTATCCATTCATCTTCTTTCATACTTAGAATAACAAGTTTAAGATTGATTTTGACGTTTCACTTTTAAAACCTGTTATATTCATAAAGAAAATTGATAACATCTTGTATGAGCAAAGTTATAAATATTTTATGATTTTTTGCAGCCAAGATCACAAAGAAAAAGGCTTTACCGTTATCCTTGACCTTCGAGGAAATGCGTGGAAAGAAACAAAGAACCTTTTGAGACTTATTTCTGTAAGGATTTTACTGTCTTTTACGTAATTTGGCACTATTTGAGGTCTTCGTTATATAACTCAGAATTTTCGATTAAAATAAAGCAATATGAATTATAAGCCTCTAGGCCTCTGTGGGATGGTCTTTTCACTCTTTCTGTCACCTTTTTTCTCTTTCTAAACTTCTTATCTTTAAAAAACAATTTGATAGATACTGATATCGGAATTCTGGAAGCTTGTTGGGGTTGAAAACTTTCCCGTCCCAAATCTCCCCCCCCCCCTAAAGAGAAGTTTCGGGAAGACTGATGACCAAACCTGACAGTACGGATGCTAAGTTTGATTTCCGACTTGAAATGGCTGCAAGTCTTGGAATTGTTAATTGTTTTGAGATTCCCGATACCCCCAAGTGGCTTAACAGCTAGATATAATAACAACCCAAGAAAGAGTAGTTTGACAGTTGCCTCATGAACCACCGCTTAAAGACTGAATCTCGGAGACACAGAGCTGCCTGTTCTACGCACCAAAGCGGGTGTTCTATGACATTCTCAGGGGAGCCGTTATTTGGGGAGAGAGGGTGTGGTGTCAATAAAACCTACCGGACAGGGACACTTTTAATTGAAAAACGTTTAAGCTACAGGGTTATTATTATTATTAGTATTATAAAATTATTTACAGTAGGCGAAGCAAAATTTTTTAGCTAATACAACAGCTAACTAAAGGCTACTATTTATACTACATTTACAAATCTTAAGTTAATTACAATGAATGGATAAAATGATATAGGAAATGTACAAAATTAAAAGGTTGCTATCCAAAGGTTGCAAAATATTTGCAGGTAATATTGTTTATATTGTAAGCATATATTCATGTTTTTGTTTTTCCAGGAATCATTAACCCGTGTTAAACAGGTCCTTATCATAAAACCGGATGACTTTTGGGAAAAAAGACGATCCAGTTTCGGTTACAAAATACAGCGATCCGGTCTCGGATTCGATGTAAGTTATGCAAAAGAAGCCTTTCGGTGCTGCCAGCATTTTTGAACTATCTTTAATAATTATAATTTAATTCATTTTTCTGTAACGCTAGTGAAACGTGTTCTTATTTAATGTATCTAAAGTGTTAGTCAAATATGTAATATTAACTTCAACCTAGGGCATTGTTTGCCTTTAGAGTTTTTTGTTTTCGGACTAGAACAGATCATGGACAAAAAATTGAGACTTAAATTGATTTACTTAACTAAGTTGATTTATTCTCTTTTCTTTCCTTGGAAGAATAACTCTTTTCCCTTCCCGCGATTCAATGTTGAATGCTTGTTTTTGAAGCAAAATGATAGGACTACTTATCCAACAACGATTCGGAAGGACGGGGGGGGGGGCGAAATTTAGTGGGGCAAAGTAAAGTGAAAAGTTGCAAATATTGCATTTTGTCTCACAATTTGTCCTGGACTGTAGCTTTCAAACAGCCGTATAGTTGCTACTCGCAACTTTCTTCTTTAATTTTATTTGAATTTTGTCAGGCCCGTTGAGGTGCAGCGTATTGATTCTTGGTTCGTTCTTTTGTTTTAGACGGTATTGCTGTCAACAATAGCAAAACTGTTCCAATATTGCGAGCAAACCGAGGTGACGGAGGAGCTTGGAGGGTTCTTACATTACGATCATAAAACCTGGATCCAACTGCGACTGGTAGCGTCTCAAAGTTTTTATTCAAATATTTTGTACTAACTCTTATATAGGGTATTCTAGACAGAGGGAAAAGTAGCTTAATGTCCTGCTCAAGTAAACAGCAATTTTATTAGAAAAAATGAAAGGATGAGTGTACTTCGTGATGTTTTAGTTCAACTCGTTAGATTATTAGGGTCGAAAAGATGCCATGTCCAAATTCTTATAGAGCATGAGTACAAAAAGGGATGTAAATGTCGTGCAGCGTCCAAGGAATCAAACAGCATGTTCCCACAGGTATCAGACAGAGAACGGTTTAGTGAAAGCGCTCTAATCTTGTCAAGGATGAAATGGTTTCTAAAGTGCATTTGATTGTATAAAAGTAGTATCATTTGAAAACTGTTTAAATTTGCCAGAACAAGAAACAAGACCTGTGTAAAGGAAGGAGGCGCTACAGAGTACCGAAGTGATGACGTCATGATCATCTATTTTTAGAATTTTCTATATTTGATCCCGGAACGTGAAAGAGTATCATAAAATGCTTCTAATAATGCAAAAGCGTTACGAATTGGCTGAGATATGGCTACATAAGCACAGGCTCTTGCCCCATCAAACCTCTGTAATTTGGTCTTGGTTCATAACTTTATGAACTGAGCCGAAGATCCGAAGAATCCGTTAGCAAACTTGAAATCTTTCTTTGGCCATATCTCGCCCAATTTGGAACATATCTAAATAATTTTGCTTATTGGGAGGTATTTTATGCTGTTTATTCAAATTATGTGGCCAAATTTAAGAAATTCTAAAAATATATTTTTGATGACATCACACTTCGGTACTCTATAATTTAAGGATGTTAATTATCAGCATAAGCCCAGAATTATTTAAGATATTATGAAGATTCAACCAGATAGGAACCATCAAGCTCACTCTGAAAAGTAATGACGGATCATCATTGAAGATGAATTGGCAGCCATGTTGTATCTATTTGCATAAATATGCTGCAATACCATGTCAATTCCAAAGAATCTATGACAAAATGTTTGCTCCTAGAGATCTGATAAAACATTCAGTTCCCACCTCCAGTTTTCACTGTTTTCAAGGATCTAGGAGGAACATTTTTCGGGATAACATTCTTTTTAATCTAATTCAAAGGGATGAGTTTTGCTGCTGGCAGAACTATGGTCGGCGTTTTTAATTAGCTTCAAAGGTCAACGAAGGCCTCAACCTCAATTTGCTACATTTAAAAAGATTTCTACTCTGTCTTGGCCACATGTATTAAAACGAGCAAGATAAAGCCAAATTAGGGGTCTAGCCGTTAAAAATGGCTTAATCTAGGAGATTTGCAAACCTAAGGTGACATAAAAAGGTTAAGAATTTTGTACCCACGCATTCTCTCAGCCAAATAGGTTTATGAGATTTAGGTATGGATTTTTAATACAGAGATATAAGCGGTTAAAAAAGGAATGTGCCAAAGAATTCGAACCCCTTAACCCAAACACGAGGGAACACCAGGGACGCCTCAAATTGGAAACCAAAAATTTACGCGGTAAAGGAGGGGTCAACGTGTGCATCGATAATTTTCCAAATATGCCTGTTTTCTTTGTATTTTACAAAGGCATATCTGGCGCCCACTGCCCCCTGTGCTGCACTCCCATGACTGACCACTCCATTTTGGATGATTCTCTTTGTATTTGGTAATTGATTCAAGACTATGCCGCTGAAAATCACAGAAACCAGCATCTTTTTGAAGAAAGAAGCAGGGCAGGTCATGCCAGAAATTAAAAGAAGGACGTTTGCTACACAAAATCTGTTGTTTCAAATTTCCTGAAAAAATAAGGCGCCTTAACGAATGTCATATCAAGAAGCTTGAATTCAATTGCTGAAAGATGTTACGGAAAGGCATTTGCTAAGACAAATTGCCTCCTTTGGCAATAGATCTTACGAAAGAAATACGTATGCCTAGAACAATACGTGATTGGAGCTTTAAAATTCCATATAAAAATTCTTTTAGGATCTCAAGCCGTTTGAAAACAATGTTTTGCTATATATCAATTATCAAAGGCCTTGATAAGAACGCATACCTCTCACAAAAATGTATTGCCACAAAAGATTGTTGCAATACAGTAATAGGGATTCTCTTTTGGTGCTGTATTAAATTTTTGATATTTTGATACTTTTTAGTATAGTCAGATAAGGTTCAGTTTTATTGCTAGAAAGTGATAACAGCTTAGGCCCTATTTGATTAATCGAATTTTTTGTAGAATTTCGAGAAGTTTGTGGAAAAGCATGCGGTGACAATGCGTCAATTGAATGAAATACAGTTCATTCTGGAAGAGAAAAGCATCCCTGATGATGCTGAGATTTGCAGAGACTTAATGGCCGAGCATGACCTTCTTCAGATGAAGATCTTTGAGCTGATTGAAAGTATCATCCCTCTAGGAGGGAGTGTTTTAGCGGAATTGAATCTTCCTGGTGAGCCCTTGCCAGGCGATCCTGTAGCGGCTTACAGCATGGACAGTGCATTGATCGACGTTGAGATAGCAATGGATGGGCTGAGGGTTAAGGAGAAGGGCATAATGGAGGCCTGGCAAGAGAAGAAGCGAGTGCTGGCTCAATGTTTGCAGTTTCATAAATATGAAGAAGGATACTATAAGGTTTGTTTAATCGGCAGCTATTCCTAAACCAAGCTAGATTTAAGTGAAAAGTTTCGTGGGCTTATGGTATTGGGGAGACAGGAAGCTCTTGACCCTTTCTTGAGCAAGTGAAATGCCTCCTCTTCATTTGTTGTTTATAGTGTTGTCTGGCATAGATTCTTCACAGCCCATGTCAACTTGATTTCTGTTTTCAATATTATCCTTCTCTACGATTAATGATGATGCTAAATATTACAAGCTGAATTTATTAATAAATATTTGAAATATCAGCGCCAGGTACCAAAGATTCAAAGAAATTCATAGAAGAAAATTTAGTCTTTTCTGCCTTTAGAAGGCCATTCCCAGTACTCTTGAGTCTTGAGTTTTGACAAAAGATCGAGAAAATTTTGCCATTTCTAAGGAAACTTTCTACTGTCATTATTCGTGTATCAGTTGCACTTTGCTCTCTAAATCTGCTTACTTTTGAATTTAGGTACTGGATTGGGTGACAGGTCCAGGTTTTGAGCTTGTCAGTAGCAATTGGGAAATTGGGGATTCAGTCACAACCGCAGAAGCTGCACGGAAGAGACACGAAGAGCTGGAGAAGGCAACCAAGGTATTCAATTCAATTTCCTGACCAATCTTAGAAAATCTCAATCATTATCTGTTATAGTAACTGCTAGAAAGGAATCACATGTATAGATAATGTAAGATAATGTATAGATAGTGCCTGAAACAAAACAGTGTTGTTCAGAATTGTATGGGTTCACAATTGCATGAGGACATTATAAATCAAGAAAATTTGCTGCTTATTGAAAAATGTTATCAAATTGAATATTAACCTGGGCCTAAGGGGTTTGGTTTTCAAGAGGCATCGTATTTTCTCAAATGTGAAATGGGGATTCTCATCTAGTTTATATTCTTTTGGGGGATTGATTTAAGGGGAACATTCTCGAGGGATGCGCCCTAAATCTTTTAATCAAATTTGACTCCTTAAAGTAACTTTCAATTGTTTGCAAAGTTTCTATAAAGTAGCAAAATATACAAGTACAAAAAAAAAGAAATTTTTTAATCCGACACTTGTACTGATTTTCACAAAATTAGCGTCTTAAGACTCGTAAAAGCTGTTTTAAAAACCTTTTGCTCTGTTCTTTTTATTAAGTTTGTCTTTCTTGCTTACTTGGGGGTGGTTGCATTCCATGGGCGCTTTTTCAAAGAAGTAAGATTTAAAGATTGGTATTTTGCACTGATGTATTAAAAAATTATTAAATAGACACTCTAATCTAAATTGTACCATCGCTTTTGAGAACCTTCTGTTATCTGTTGCTTGCTTTTTTCAGCAATACATCGATTTGTTTGGAGAGCTGAGAGAAGAGTGCCGTTCTTTATTGCACGAGGACCACTATGCTTCAAAGGAATTAAAACATCGTAGAAAATACTTAGATATGATTTGCAAAAGTTTTGCAGATTATATGGAGAGAAAAAGATCTATTATTTTGACTTCTGTCAAATTCCATAAGTATGCAGTAGAGGTGTGTGATTTTTTTTTAATCAAAACTGTTTAAGCATTTTTTTAATCAAAACATTTTATGCTGAGAGTGTGCTTAGAAAAGCCTAGGTCAGTTGCTGGATATATGAGATTAAATGAAAGACTGACTGCTATTCAAGTGACGATAGTTGGAAATATTTGCTACATATGTAAGTTAATGAATTACGACAAAGCAGATTTACGGCAAAAATTGTTTCTTCAAGTAGTTTGAAACGTAAAATTGTTACGGCAAGATAGCATGTTCCATTTACGACAAGCCAGTTTTCCGCATGCAATTTTTAACTCTGGTAACAATTCTTGTTTTAAATTAATTTTAGGGTTGAAATAGATTATATTTTACAAAGAAGACCTTTTTTCTGGCTCATCAACTTAACTCAAGCAGCCTATCGTCTGTGTTGAAGTTTCAGCAACTCAATTTCCTTCGCATAGTTTTTTTTAGAATCTCAAAGGTCCTATTATTACTGACATGTGTTATTGCTAGTCGAATAAACAAGTGACAGTAAAAAGGCCTTATAAACTAACTTTAGGACGATAAAAATTTGTTTTTAGTATATTTTTTCAGGTTTCTTTTAGTTTTTGTCTCTGTCATAGTTTGCTAGCCGACAAGATGATTTGCTGGATTTTCTTTGTACAAGATCCGATGTCATGGCGGACGATTTCTCTAAAGCTGAAGATGTCATGGTCGAACTAAGAGAAGAAATTGCAGGTTAGCTTAAAACTCTTGCATGATTCGATCGATTATTCAAAATCGATTTCCACCTACGTGCATAAATATCGCCCTGTGGAAATCTGGACCTTCATACTGAGCTGCAATTACTTATATCTGTATGAAAAATTCATAATTATATATATTATTGCCTCTATGATGACTCTATTTAAGATCTATGTGTGTTTCTAGCTTTTCTCTCAAAGATATATCCAAACAAATGTGTATATAACAGTAATTAAAATCGAAAGTAAAAATTGTTTTGTATTAAATCTTCATAAATACCATCATTTTTGCTGAAGTTGATTGTAGTGTGCCTTTTTAAATATATTTTAGCCACTGTTATTCGCCAAAGCTTCTTCAGTAAGTTTATGTTATCATGTCATATAGGGGTGAATGACGTCACTGACCGTACACTAAAAGAGGGTAAAAAGATCATAGCATTGGCAAGCGAAAAGCTGTTTAGTGCTACAGGTGCAGATATCACTCCTGACTTTGCAAATGTTATTGAGCATTGCCAGACTGTGCTTGCAGAGCTTAAAGACCGGAAGCAACGATCTGATGAGTTGGCAGAAGTGAAGAAGCTGAAACTGCAACAGTGCTTACAGTTGAAGACGTGCGAAAGAGATGCTGAACAGGTAATGTTTAAAACTCTGGTGCAGGTTTGTGATGCTGGGAAAAGGGAGTTATAAGAAATGGCAAAAGGGAGAGGGAGGGAGACACTTTCCAAGTAGATGTTCTTTAAAGGCATTTGGCACAGGTAAAAGTGACTTACAGCCACTCGACCACCAGCGGTTGACCAATAACATTTCGCAGAGAGAATGACATGTGAACAATTTCCGCTATTCTGCAAATTCGCAAAATCCTAGAACAGGGCACAGTGGTTTCACGTGAGCAGTTTCAAATTCCTTTCATGCGCGCGTGCTTTGATCAATTTTGCCTAAGTTATTTTTGGATTCGCTGTACTTATGCATGTCAAATGCCTTTAATGTTTGATAACCATCTTCTGTCGTATTTCTGGATGATATTCTCCAGAGTGTCATCATTGTTTAAAGGTTTATATTTGATTTGTGAATTTTCGTTTTTGACTTTCCACAGGCCGTGATATGGATGAAAGAATTGTGTGACGTCATGATCAACACCCAAACAGATTTAGGAAGAAATGAATTCGAAACGCAGTATTTGCTGGGAGAACATGAAAGATTTGAAAAAACAGCAAGGGTAAGTTCGTCGATATTGTATTAAATCATTGATATTCTATGCAATAGTCATCATATTTTACATTATGGAGTACGCTAGCACTAGTTACGAGTATTTGAAAAGGTGAATGAAGAATCGTGGGTGCAGTTTAACGAGCCACGGGATAACGAACCAATGCCTACACGTGACCATCACTGACGCTAATGACACGGATGTCTCAATGTCATTTAAAAATGCACAAGAACTGTTTGAAATCTCGTAGATTTGCTAAAGCATGCTATCAAATGTGAGTATTTGCTGATAGGCCCCAAAAGACAAATACTATTTATTATAGGAATATTGTCTATAAAAATATTAAGGCTCAAAATCGCTGACATTCAAGAATAGTTTTAAAATAATGCAAGGCTTAAGCTTCATCAAACGTTAAATGCTTTGTTTATTTGCGTCATTTTGGAAAGGAAAACAAATGCGAGTTTCACGTTATACATCTTGAAATAGACGTATCCGACCTTGGAGTCATAAACACTATACTGCCACTCAGTAACACCTTATGTTGCTTAAGATTAATTCAAGAATGATTTTAGGCTCAAGATTAGAAAATCTAAAAATATTGAGGCTCAGCAAAAAGTAGGTTTTCTTATTAAAAAATGTGTAGAACAAATAACTTTCCCAACTCTTAAGCCGTAAAAATTTAGAACAGTGTCGCTACCGATGGTCCTGAATAACTCAATAAATTAGAACACAACCTCCTGGAAGATCAGCCATTATTCTAGTTATTTGTGAGTCATTTTCTTAAGAATAAAATTTGAAACTCTTATAGTTTAGAAGTAGCTGAAGGAGTATTGTGTATGATATTATTAGATGAAGTGATAATGATCCGTGTGATTAATAGCCGCGCGGTGTACAGCCGCGCGGTAGTTAGCAGGGAGGTAACAGGCCAGGTCATAGAATATTGTCAAACTATGTTTAAGCACGTTTTTAAATACAGCTAATCAGAGATTTTCAAAATAGGGTAATTACAAAACATATATTCAATTATAGTTATACATGCCCGTATGTGATTGCGTATTTTTCAGGACATGTGTACTTTTTATGAATTTCCATTTTAATGTACCTAACTAAATTGCAATTCTTCAGTTGTTTCAACTATACCAACCTCTTTTTTGGTTATGTTAAAGGGGACACTTGACTATGGGAAACAGTTGCTCTCAGCTGCTTTGGTTTTGAGAAGGTCTTCTCGGTTTGACACTGAAGCAAACGAAGAAATGATGACAGAACTAGATAGAATTTGGGAAAAATTCGAAGTTGGTTTGGAAGAAAGAAGAGGGCGATTAGAATTGGCCGAAAAATTTCACAGGGCTGTCGCAAAGGTAATCATTTATGAAAGACTGTATGCTCACATATATGGTTATTAATTGCGATGTCTTCCACAATAGAGTTGTAACTCTTCATCTCTTATGTATATTTTTTTAAATTAAGTAGCCAAAAGCATCATGAATGGTTTATTGAAAGGGATGATTCAAATTGTTAAAATATTGTTGAAAAGACTGTTAGAAATTTCTCAATTTAGGCCATGCACTGTTTTGAAGAAGTTGCTAATGGAGGCTGTCAGTCGAACGAGGGGACGCTGGGGGAGCTGGAAGATTTAGCAAATGATATCCGGGAATCTTTATACGAGATCTGCGAACAGGCGTTATCAATTGGCAAGGTCCTCCTCGGCCGGCTTTCCTACCCACTGACGGGGTTTGTGGAATCTGTAGATGCAAGGGGTACTATTTCTGATTTGGAGGAGATTCTGAATGTAATAAGGATCAAGCAGCAAGGAATAGAAGGGCTTGTACAGATGTTCATCCGCAAGGAAGACCCCTGCGCATATACGCCTCTTTACCAAGCTTCCGGGGAGGACAAAGGCGTTATCGAAAAACAAATGGTTTCTGAAAGTACAGCAGTTGTTGAAGTAGAGGTTTTCGAAGAAGAAATGCCAGTTGAGTTTGCAAATGAGCGATTGGAGACGACAGTGGACAAGGAAGACAAATTTATAAAACAGGTGAAAAATTCTTTGGATTGAACAATGTTGACAGAAAGTTAGCTCTTTGAGTGGTAAGGCGACAAGAAAATTAGCTCTGTCCTACTTCTTGTCGTTTAAGACTTCTACGTACTTTTACGTGCTTTTCCATTTATGATCTTTAAAATATGTACTTTGATACAAATTGCCTCCCAAATGTTCCTACATGATTTTTGCTGCTAATTTTTTCAGTTTATTTCAGTTTAAAGTTTTATATTCTATCTTTTGTTTACTTATTTTTTATTCATTAAATGTACTTTTTATGATATTTTGGATTTGACTTGCTTGTCAAGAATGTTTAATGGTAAACAGACGAGTTAAATATAAGAACAAATCTGATCTGACCTTCGTATCCAAGTATTGAGAGGTAATTTAGGGCAAATTGCAAACTCATTGTACCTTTAATTGTTATTTGCAAAAGATGATGCAGCTCCATCCACGCTGTTGCCTTTTTCATCTTTGTTTGTGCATTTTATTTTTTGCTTCCATTAAAAATGTGCAAATATTGTAGCTATTAATTAATTAATCATATTTTCAAACCGAATTTTTTGAATGTTTACTCATATAAAAATATGTATATTATTGTTTACAAGATACTTTCAGCTAATGTTTAATAGTTCATTGCAACGTTTCTCATTTTAGGCTTTGCTTAGCATTGACAAAACTGTTCGAAAATCTCTAAACCTGGATGTCTCCTTTGGGGAAGATCTCGACACAGCGTCCATTTTGAGTGAAAAACACAGAGAGGCAGAGAGACAGCTGCAGGTATGCTATTACTTTTCTTTATATATTCTCTCTCTTTATAAGTAGGATTGTCAACTCTGTTAATGGATATGCATTCCCGATTTACCAGCAATGCATGGTAGTAATAGAAAATCCACTGGCTGCAAATTTTTCCACACTAGCTGATAATGTTTATTTTTGGCTAAGTTTATAATAAGACCAGTCTCTCGAAAAACATCGGCAACGCCTATTTCGTTATTTTGAGTCTATTTTAGAATTTTTAAAAAAGAAACTTTCTCAAACTCTCTCTTTTTTTTCGTAACGGGCGCTTTTGTGGAAGAATGAAAATCGAAATGGATCTGATCAACCCCTTTCCCAAAATATTTTAAACGGATTTCGAGTAACTAGAAAATTGACCTCATCGTGGTGACAGTTATTAAATCACTAGACGTTTTATGAACAATTAGCGACTTAAAGGCTCAATGAAGTGGCTATAAATAATCTATTTTGTTTAATTTTTGCATTTCATTTTGTTTCATAGAATAATATTTCAGAGTATAAGAGTTTTGACTTTGCATTTTGTGAATGGGAAGCAATTTTATCGAAATTAACATATTTACATACAAGTTCCGTCTGACGTTAAAGATTTCTAACCAGATTTGCAACTTTAAGTCCTGATTCCCGTCATAAATCGGTAAAAAAATTTATTTTCTATTTAGTACAATTGTAACCGAGTTGTCTAGGTTTTTTGCGCCCTAAACTAACTGAAAATGTCAAATTGAAAATTAAGTGTCCAGGAACCTCAGGAAAGGCTAAGAATATGAATAAAAAGCAAGGCCGGTGGTAGTAAACTGTACGCGATTCCCAAAAAAGGCTGTCGTCTACCTAGAAGCCTATATTGGCTGGCATCTGCCTAGAAGCCTAGAATGTCTCTCGTCTTGCCTCGTTTGCAGATTGTCTCATTTGAAAACTGGCATTTTACTGCTCTCCTGCATTAACTGCATCCTAAGACGGTATACTGTTTGCTTTAATAAACTTCGTTATAGACAGGTAAACAAATTGTAAGCAGAGACACAGGGAGAGTTACACTATAAGCCAAGCACCCTAATAACCTAACTACTCCTTTCTGGTATTTCTCGTTTATGATGCCAGTATGATATCCATTTTATAGTTGTAACTCTGTTTGATGTCTGATGCAATTTGTTTGCTGGCTGTTATTGTTCTGTAAACTATTTTCTTGAGCTTAAATGATAGCAACATTCCATCTACCCTTGAACTACATAATAGTGAAAAGGTTCTGATGTGTTCAAAAATTAGCATTTTTGACACTTTCTGGACTATAGTGTATCGAGAGGAGGGGGGGGGGAGGGGGGGGTGATAATATGAGGCTCAGTTCTCTCACTTCTAAAATAATGGCCTAGGGACTTTTCCAAAAGTGCAAAGAAAGTTGGGGCTGAGGTATGCTCAGTAGGGTATGGGGGTATGGGGGTATGGAGGTATGGGGGAATGGTGGTATAACATACATTTTGACGTCACTCAAAGATGATTAGTAGCAATTCAAGCAAAAGATTTCAATATTCTCAAAAGGATGTTGTCGCCTTTTCGGGTTTGGCTACGGAGATTTGTCCTTGGGATGTTTTCCAGGGTTGTTTGAACATTTGAAGAACTTTTTGTGGAAGAGTCTGGAATAATAGAGAGCCAAGTCTACTTTGGAATCAAGAGTACCCGAGATTACCCTGAAAGCAGAAATGTAGTGGAAATGAACAGAGCCCAAATACTAAATCCGGCTCGGCCGATCCTTCATCGGTGATTGGTGCAACCCAAAGCCCAGTTTTGCAGCCCTTTTCATGTCTTCTAGCTTTGCCGTCCAACACATGTGCCTTTAATTTTTAAAACTCCTTTTTTGTCCTCTATCAACCATGATCTTCAGCAATTTTTTCCCCTCTCAGTGATGACTTTCGAGTTAATTATAATCGTTTGAAACTCAAAATCCTATAAGTCAAAATCTACGGCCCTTCAAGTAAAGTAAATATTTTGTTTAGCAGCCGAAATTTTTCGTCAATCGATCTTTTAGTCTTTTAGGCTTTTAAGGATAGCTTATTCAAATTTTTCTAGAGACAAAAATAGAACTATAAAGTAAAAAAAAGGAAGAATTTTCTGAAGTCTCGAAGCCTTTTATTTACGCCAAAAAATTCAAAAAACATAAACCATAAATACTGTTCAGGCCTTGAGACGTAAACATGAGAGATTTTAAAATCCAATGCTAAATTACGAGAAACTCTTGCAATTTGTTTTTTGTAAGAATAACGAGAATAATAATCGAAAAAGTGCATCAATTGTCGGTTGATCAATGATTGTAGGTTTTTCGGTATGTGGAAAGTTTTTCCGTGCAAGAGCAGTACCGAAGAAGTTTTCGACGCCGAGAAACGAAGTCTTTTCTGAGAGGACTGCGAAGTAATAGGTTTAAATCCTTACCAGATTTCTTATTGTCATGTAGAAAGCAGCTAAATCTAGGAACAGAAGCAAAAAGCGCATGCAGATTTATGGAGAATTGGGAATGAATCTGTTGTTTGGCGCTAAGTAAGGCCGATCGGTGTGGTTTTGTAAACATCATATATGCGATGAAAATTGATACAGATCCTGCTGGAGTAGCTCCATCAAAACGCGATTAATATATTTGCATTGTGTGTGTTTGCTGTTGGAGATGCAAGCACAACCGATCAGCTTTGGTGCCGTCAAGGATCTTCTCCTAACGGTTTTGATCCCATCATCAAGTGCTGCGCATCAAGATCGGCTTAGGTGATTATCTTCACAGACAGTTTGCAACATTCAAATGTATCGATCTCTCCTCTGTAGTATCATGCCTCTATTCTTACGATTTCCTCTACATTTGCGCAGGAGACAGCAGAATTACATTAAGCTCAAGGACATCACTGAACTTTTTGCTGAGTGATTCTCCTTTGAAAGTTCTTTGTGCGATTCACAAATCGGTACTTAGAGTGTCGACTATATTTCCTCCAAAATCAACCGACCGCCGTTTATTCAAGGTTTTGCGACTGCGGGGAAAATACGCAAATACTGAGAAAAATGAATTGAATAAAAAGCAACAACCTAGAGCTGAATCCAATGCTTACCTTTTGTTGATTTTCACCTTTATGTTAAAGCTCCTTCGCATGTTTTCCATTGTGTATTCCTCGCAGGACATTACGATGGCCGTCTTACTTTGTTTTTAATGTAAAAGAACTACGTTTGTTTCCTTCTAGTTCGTAGTCATTGGTCTACGATTGTCTAATTTCTAGCTTTTGCGACAACAAAGTTCCTTGTGGGGCAACTTATTTGGGATGTGACTGGAATGTAAGAAACCCCATTTAATAATTAAACCCCTGTACATTCCTTTTTAATAAGAACCAGCAAATTGAATTTCAAGCTGACTGGATTGTTCTTAATTTGTCCTTGAAATATTCGGGCGTAATCTGTTCAATTGCCAGCTAGAGTTCTCTAGGGGGTACCCAGACCTCATTTGTCTACAAAGTGAGTGGGACATCCTTAATTTGCCGACGAATTTGAATATTCACCCAAAATGCACCCCTAGATGACAAAATTGTCAAAAATCACATCTTATAATAGCTCAGCCACAGTCAGCTTGTTCTTCATTTCTTCTTGACTTTTGACCAGTTTTTAGGTTCTCGTTTTTATAAAATTGTTCTTATTAAAAAAAGTGTACCTTAAATGTAAAGCATTAAAGCATACTTTCTCTCCAATAAAAATTCTAGCATCCAAACAAATTTGCGCGCTTGATGTTTTGAAATTTTGGAGGCAAATAGCAAGAAGGTCGTGAGATTGAATACTCACCTAAATAAAACGAAAAAAGAATCAATCTTTTATTGCTAAAATCTTTCTCTGTCATTTATCCTTGTCCTCTGGCCCTTTTGAGCTTCAACCGCGTTGGGAAAGAGCCCATCCCTGTGGACGGAGGCCAGAGGGTAGCGGTCATACAAAGGCGGCAAGGTCCAAGGGACATTTGTAAAGGCGAGTGTGTGTTTTGAAGGAACGAAAGAGAGAAAACAAAACCCTATTGATAAGATCGCTCGTCTGATGGGAGGGCACTCAAGTAGCCAGTTATCAGCTCTGCATGCCCAAGTACTCCTGTTTATATTTGTGAAATCAAGTATTACCACAACACAAAGTCAATAGGTTGTTAAAATCTCAGCGGACAATCGGTTGTCGAGAAAAGCCAAAGGCATTCCTGGGGCATTGTGTTTTGGTTTGTGATCAGCATCATTTGCAAAGCTGTGAAATTTGTGAAGTTCTTGTCAGTTCACCACCGACGCGGCAGTTAATAAATTGGAAATCTTACAGTGCAGATAGTGGAATCTCCATTATTTGATATTATTTTTAGTGAGTATCGGCACTTTTAATTTTTGTTGGTTTTTTGCCTACTTTTTGTTTGTTGATGTTGAGCATGGGGCCCGTGTTAAAGAATCTAATCAAATACACAATCCCATCTGTTGTACAGTTGGCACCTAACACCCCGTTTTGGGATAAAATAACATATTGTTTGTTGTGGTTAAGATTCTAATTCATCATTGGTAATTAATTATTCATGGATTTGTATCGGTGGTAGTAAAATGTTTCATTCCGCTTATCTATCCACGACGTCAACGTGCCCTTCTGCGATAGGCCTAACTGTCTGCAAGTTGCCTTATCTCTGCACAAGTTTCATCAAACTAAGAATTTTATTAAAAAATTAGTAAATTGAAACACTAAAATTCAGTGATTTCTAATAGAAGCAACTCTGCTAGATCGATATTTACACATTGCTGAAGCACTGCCATGCAATCTGACGCCTGAAAAACTTTATCGTCCCATAATAAATTAACTTCGTTAGGGAAACCAAAGCTTTTATCTTTTTAGGCCTCGATTTCCTAATGTTTAATTATTTGACTCTGTGTTTCCGTCATTCTGAATAGAGTTATTTGTTTTTTCTTTATCTGTTTTCTCAACATTGAAAATATTTTCAAGTGTAATTTAGGTTAAACAAAAGTATTGCATGCCTGAAGCGCTGATACAAAAATATTTTTAAAATGTCATTGGATTTGAACCAAATCATTGTTTGCTTTTGAAATGCTTAACTCTGTAACAGTGGGCTGTTTTCTAAGTATTCAAAAAAAGTAAAAACAAATATTGTATCCTTGATAAGTAACAGTATTTATACATTTAATTTTCGTCAATATTGAATATGAGTTGATGTCAAAGGGAATCTATTTCACAGCAAATTTCATAAATAGTTTTACTTGTGATAAGTGTAATTTTGTGCTATTCTTTTAAGATCAAAAATCTATTAAATATCTTGTTTGTAGGGGATTTGCTTTGCTTTTTGAAAATGGACACCCATAAAATGCTGAACTTCAGATCCTTTGTTTTCCTTACGGTGATTGTAACTTTTATCATTGGTAAGCCTACATTGTCTTTCAGTGACAAGTCATTTTAAAACTATCCTTGATCTATCAACATTTCAAATCGAGTCAATTACCAGTAGATTGGAAATAGTTTTTCCAATCTACTGGTAATTGTCTTAGTTGAAAATTTCCAATGACAAATTTACATGAAATATGATCGCTTTGTTAAGTTAAAACGGCCCATTTTAGTTTCAGTTTCATTTTTGAAACAAATTAAGCGGGCAAATAAGATGGCATTTGAACAGAATCATGTACAATATGTTTATTGTAGCAGCATTCCGTGACGTAACCCTGCAGGATTCCATCTTGTTAAAGGAAGTCACAGGAACTTGCAAATCACAGCCTATCTGCAAACGATTTTTATCTTTTATGGTTACTTTTTCTAAAGCTAACTTGCATAGAACAACCCCTTAAAAATAGCCCTCTGTAAATTCTATTTTACATCAATATTATTTTTTGTTTAGTTTTCTGTTATTATCTTACTGCGGAACTTGAAAATTATGATCCACGAAAGTTTTTTTTCTCTGTCTGCCATGTTTACAAAACCACTAAGCTTGGTGTTGTGAAGCAATTTGCATGCAGGGAGGTTTGTTTTGTTGACTGGCTTTTCTTGATTGGAGTTTTGACAATAATAGGATGTTGCATTTCCTTCTCTTAGCTTTTTTTCATAATAACAGAAGTGTAGATATTTTTAGTTGTGTACTTGATGATTCGTTCGCAGGAGATTTAGAGGGGACTGGCTGGGGAGAGTGGGAGTACCCCCAGTTTATGCGATTAAGTTTCTGTTGCCGTTATGTGCTCGTGATCTCGTCTTTGCTACAAAGCTAGTTTTGCAGCGCTGATGTAAAATAAATTCATGAAATCTAATAGTTATTCATTTCAAATGCACTTTGACCGTGATTATCTTAACTGTTGACAGCATCGTGTCAGTTGAAAAGGTCCATGCTTTTTATTAACTCCATGTTGGAAAGTTTTATGGGAACAAAATCCTGGTTGTACATTGGCAAAACTATCAAGAGCTGTGCTTTATGTAGAATGCTCGGCCCGAGACACCCACTCATTAATTTAGCCACCTCGAATATCATTTTAAATAGTTATTTTTAAGTAACAGAGGTCTAAGACATCAATTGAGTTTAGATGGGTGAGCAACCAGTCAAGTGATAAACGGCCTAATCACTTCCCAGCTTTCTGTATTATGGAGCGAATTGAATTACGAACTGGCACACCCACTCCATATCTTTTCTTCTCTCCCTGCGTCTTCAACTCTGTCTAATCCCTTTACACACAACTTCTGACCTGGCTGCAACAACCACTCCTAGTGCGGCTTCAGGCCGCCTGAGATGACAACAGTCAACAGATTGCCGACTGGCGGCTGTCCCGTTGACCCTGCAGTTGACCCTCTGATACATAAATGCTTTCTTTTGCGAACAGCTAATCCGAAGTGACATAAACCTCAACATTTTTTGTAAAAAAATTTTCTCGCCTCATTAGATATAACTGATATTACATTTTGTAAAAGGCCTACTGTAATCCGAGCCCCCGCTAAATATCTCTTCCCCATCGAATAATTCTAGCCACCACCGAAAATTCTATGTTTTGAAAAAGCTATTCTTTGGGCTAATTCAGTGCTTTAATGTATGCAGTTATTATTTGCAAAAGAAAATAAATGGGGTTTGAAGGGGGCGGAGGCCAGCTGCATCACAAAAAATGAACTTTTACCAACATGTGGCTCTCGAGACCTATATCAACAGTAGTTCTTTTTTGTTGTGTGGAACCCTCGTCGTCAATTGAAATTTAAGCGACGCGTTCCATGACTTTCTTTGTGGGGTAATGTAATTTCGAATAATTCATCACATTTTCTACCAGTCTTTGCCACTAACAAGACTTCATGTTAGTAAACAAAACACACATTTTCACTAGAACAAATCTACTTTAGTTGCACTGTTTACTTTTGATTTTATGATTTTATGGTTTTATGGATTTTATGGATGTCCAAACCAATAATCATTTTTCATAATTTCTTTTTTTAAGTATTTAACAATAATAAAGAAGTCTCATTTGGAAATTGTCTAGGTATTGCATCGGCGCCTTATGGTGGAAATTTTTTCAATTTCATCCGTCCGATGGGGCGAACGCATAAACAAAAATGGCTGATTTATGATGATGCCGAACTAATTGACTTGAGCAAAGCTCTTTGTTTGTGGCCTTGTCAGTGATATATTCGCGTTTTCTGTCTAACAACTATCCATTATTTTGTCAGCAACGGGATCTAAGCCGGAGAGATAAAGACAAAAATTCACCCATATGGGAATTTTCCATTGCTTTGCGTGTTCTCGGTGAGTTGGTTTATCGGCTAAGTGATTAACCTACTGGTCTTTTATTTAGGAAACTGAGGGCTTAGTCGAAGAACTGCGCTGCAATCGTAAACTATCTGGCGAAGACGAAGGCACTAGAAATGACATCAAAAAAGCACTGGATGAGAAGCTAGGAGAAGCGGGAAAAAGAATCAGGAGAAGGAGAGAGTTACTTGACTCGTCAATACAATTTCACGAAAAAGCAAAGCAAGTAAGTTTTGATCCATAGCCTTTCTTTTTCTCTAAAGTATGAAATATGTGTGTGATACTTTATAACAGCTGGCAGCCCCTATGAAGTAGCAGACAATATCCTTTGGGCATGATTAAATATACATAATTTCATTTGCCTGGTGATCGCATTAAGCGTGAAACTCGGAGTAGCATATTAGAACCGTCCTGTTCTATACATCAAAAGCGTATAATTTCATTTGAAAACCCAGTTCTAACTTGCAACTAGTTTCTCTCTAATTTATCCTGGCTATCATGATATCATTATATTTCTTTTCGAATGCTGTATGTTAAAAAAATAAGATAAAAAGCTAAGTTCATTTTTTTGCTGTAAATAAATTTTATGATAAAAAAGCATCACTTATTTTATACCCCTCTTTTAAGCTGCAATTAAATTTTTTTGCCAGAAAGTGTTTTCCTATACGTTTGTGTAATTTTATCATTGTCACATGATGGTGAAGTATTTTCTCATGAATTATTCAATTAAAGTTACTAAATTTGAACGCTTGTCGGCTCCAAGGAGGTGAAATTTCCTGTTTCAGAGAGTAATCAGTATTTTCCCCTGTCTTCTTTTGAAGATTTTGTTAGATGGCTAATATTCATCTTAAAAATGCTCCACCAGCTGGTTTATAAAAGTTCTTGCGCTTTCCTCTCAGGCCATTGCATTACAGGCTGTTTCAGCCTACCCTTTTCACTTTGCCTCAATAACCAAATTTGCCCAGACGTCATCACAATTGATGTAATCCTTCTAATCGAAGATGTTTTGTTATTCCTTGATATAACATTACACGAAATTTCCATATTTTAAGCGTGCGTACCAAATGGTTTATTTCCAAACCCTAAAGATTATATGAACGATCATCTTGAATCATTCAAAGATGGAATTTTCAAAATACAATCCGCTTGACCCTCAGGGTCTTTCTTAAAAGGTGCTTAAAAGTCGAATACCATCCCTGCTGCGGTTTTTTGGTAATAACCAACGACCGCATTAACTCTGTTAGCCTCTTGAGGCATCAAGGATGTAATCCCAACCCTTTTTGCCAGGTTCTAAGATTGTTATCCTCTTGTTGCCATTAGGCTGGTAACTTAATGCTCGTTAATGATATCTTTTCTAATCTATTTTAAAGAATAAAAACCGAACTTTGCAGAGTTTACTTATTAATGACAATTTCTGGATTTATACAAAAATATCTGATTTCACTGATACGTGAAATTGCTATTTTCCGTTACTTTTTTGCAAGTTTTCAAGGAAATTTATTTTGGGGGATTTGTTTTTATTTTGTAGTAACAAACATTTTGATGAGCCCATCAGGCTGAGCTTTGATTCCTTTTAATTATAAATACTTTTTGATTATTGTAAACAATTGTTTACTGTATTTGTAAAGGTTATTGCTCTTTCGATGCTCTATTTATATGGATGTATCTTATTGTATTATACTGTATTTATAATATTTATATTAACTTAGAAGGTATTTAAATGCATGGCCCCCTGTAAATCAGTTTTTCTCTAACTGAGGGGCTAAAAAATTGAAAACGAAATCAAATGCTATGCATCATTTTTGTGATTTAGTTTGAGGTTCTGATTGATTCTGCTATGGATAGTCTTGGATCGGATAAAGAGCTTCCAAACGAATTTGCCAGTGCAAAGGATGAACTGGGTCAACATCAGGATCTCAGGAAAAACATTTTGGAGTTATCAATGGAAACACTAAGCAAGGGTCAGTTGTTGCTTGAAAAACTCCGTGAAGCAACGAAGAGAGCCGATCTTAATAGCAGGCATGCCGCAAAGTCTGCGTGTTATGGTATCGAGAGAACGTTGGAAGCTTTACAGGGGAGAAGAAGGAAGCTTGAAGAAGTCTGGAAACATCGGAAAAAGTTGCTAGAGCAGTGCGTTAGATCCTGTAAGCTTGACGAAGAGATTAAAAAGGTACTACAGTGGTTTTGTATATTTGATATTCCTTTTTTGTGGTGTCAGTGCCCATATAAACTGCCCATGCAGATTATAGGCAACGCCTGTCAACAACAGTTTTGGCACACTACACTAATTTTTAGAACATTTATACTGCATCCCCCCTCTACTTACCTCTACAAATAGATATCCTACTTAACTCTACAGAAAACATTGTTTTGGGAGAGAGTGGGAGGGGGGTGCGATGTTGGTCTTTTTGACGGAAAAAGTTATTTTTTTCGAAAAAACCCTTAAGCAACAGGGTTTTCTAAAGACTTTTGGCATCGGTCATAGCTTTTTACTGTTGGAACCAAATCATTGAGTGCGGAATCAGTAGGTTGTTACTTGGTACTGCACAGTTTGTTACTGTATTTCTATGAAATAGCCACTCTATTTGCTGTGAGCTTGTTCAAACCTTAATCGAACAGTGCCAACATTCTCTGACAATGGTTGCACCACGCTAAGTAATTCTGGTATTCACAGTTGCAAGAAATATTGCTATGAATATTGCTGCTCTAACACGTTGCATTATCTTTGCTTGGTTAATTAGCATTTAGTTGAAGAAGTGCTCTGTATTTTGAGTCTTGATGTACTATCTTAGCGCTGCCTGAAACAATTTCAGTTTTTTCTTGATAAAAGCTTTGATCACGTTTCCATTCACCTTAGTTACAAGTTGATTAAGTGCTGGGGTGATAAGAAAAAGCAAACAAGTATTTTTAAGTTTTAGGAATGTGGCATGTTATTGTTTCTTGCAACGATGCTTAGGATTGAAGATTCCAGCCCGTCTCATTCTAATTTGTGTGTGTCGAGGCGGTGTTTGATGTTTTTAACTCAACATGGATTGATTTCAGGTAACCGAATGGCTTCGGACTGAAGGAGAACGCTATCTTGAAACCCACGTTAGCTATGGGGAGAATTTCAACCAAACTGAAGTGTTGATCGAGGATCATAACAAATTCGAAAGAAACTTCAAGGTATGCTGGTTTCTTAAAAGACATTCAATATCAGTTACTCTTAATCTTTGTCGTTGATTGTGCGGCGTTAAATTGACTCTGCGTTAAAAGTTTTCTCAGATTTTCATTTGAATTTCTGGCTTCAAAAGGAATCCGCAGGTGGTTTTGCCACTGCCAGTTTCTATCAACTATTTTCTGTAAATACTGCAGTGCGTTCCAGTCTCTTCAAAGCAAAAAGACGGAAAACACACCGTCTCTGGTTTGAGCTTTGTTTGAAGTTAATGCCATAAGCTCCAGGTGTGAATATGGTAATAAAACTTCGTGCATCGTTGAAAGAAGCTAGAATTTCTTGCTCCAGCGTAGACACACAGTTGCTGTGACACTACCCTTTCAATTCGTGTGCTTAAAGTCGATGCATTGCTCTGTTATAAATATTTTCAATAAACCAACAACTGAGTGATTATCAAGAAGCCAAATGTTGTTTGCCAAACGATTTGCATCTTAGTGTGTTTAGCACTGTTGCATGTTTACAATTTTGCTTGTGTCTTGCAAAGATCCTGTGTGAAAATTTACGGCCCTTTCTGTTAATTTTCAAAGGCATAAATATCTCATGTCCAATTTCAAATTCATTTCATTATGCATATTGTAATGAATTAATCAAAAATACCTTTCCATGGATCTTGGAAATAGAGGTCAAAATTAAACGAATCTCGAAACTTTAGCGAGAGAGCTTAGTCTTCTGTAGGTTAGACTTAGTTAAATGATTCAGAAATAGGTATACTGTGGTTATTAAATTACGCCCCCTTCTCTCTATTAAGCCTCATCTCTATTAAGTCCAGTCTCTACTGAGCCTTTTCTCTTGAAGCAAAAATTTTAAATAAGCCCCCATCTGTATCGCGCCCCCTTCCTGTTTTTGGTTGGATTTATCAGTTGATCCTGATGATTCTGATGAAGATGAGGACATTGTCATTTTATTATACTTTGGAAGCTGTTTAGAAGCAGCTGTATTAGTTATTTTCCATAGATGTATGTAAAAATAAAGGCACACAAAATTTTAAAATTCTTACCCTTGAGTTTTTGATAGACTCTCCTCTAATAGGCACCCTTAACCCCCCCCCCCCCCGGGGGACTTGTTAAAGCTTTTCTGCTATTTCTGATTTATTGCACTTTTTGGCAATGTAAGAAAAAAGCAAAACATTCTTGTGTGCTTTATCAATGGTGTTTTGCCAAGTACATACCAGCATAGGAACCAGTAGCTGGCAACAAAAATAAGACTGCACGTCTAGCCTGGTAACCTGAAGCGAAATTGGAACCTCGATATCACAGACACCAGTAAGATCAGCATTAGTCGTCTAACGGAGGTGCTAACTGTCTGGAGGCTTCGTCTACTAATTAGGCTCCAAATGTTCTTCATTAATTTGATTTGTTCTATATGGGGAGGTTTCTAGAAACAGGAGGTATCCTCTAATCGAGGGCTCAATGTTCGTTAATCAAAGGAGATAAATAGTCCTAATAGTTCTTCTAGGGAAAGGTTATGTATTGAGATCCTACAGGGGCGGGCACTTGGTCCAATATTTGGGGGGGGGGCAAGCCTATTGTTTTGATATTTCCCCATTGTTTTAGAGCAAAAGACGATTGTCCTCCAAAGTATTGGGGGGGAGGCAAATGCCCTCCTCGCCCCCAGGTGTCCGCCACTGATCCTGGAGGCGAACAATTCCTGTCTGTGAACTTCATTAATGCTAAAAAGAAGAGCAAAACTGTAACGTTTAGATAACCTGTCTCCAAGAGGAGGGTTATTCGAATTTCAATTTTTCGAATGGATAAAATCATAGATCATAGACTTAAGATCATAAAATCATAGATCATAGACTTAAGATCATAAAATCATAGATCTTAAGTCATGTAGTTTGATAAAAATCACCTCATTTTCCTTTCTTTAGAGCTAACTTGCCTGCCTGTTTAATGGATTATTCAAATTTATGAATTTCATGCAATTCTTTGGTTATCCCTACACTAAACGTCCTAAATTCCCAAGGTCTCCACTTGGTTTATTGATACACGAATGCCTCTTAATATGTCAGATATCGTTTACTCGTTTATACGGATAGAAATCAGCTATTTTTTATGTAGATTCTTCTACGAAATAAAATGGTCACATAAAGATTGAAACGCGGAGTTGCAAATTGGAACCTTTATGTTCTATACTTTTATGCATAACCCTTTTTATATTTTATTTGTTGATGTACACGTAGTAAATTCGAATGAGCCTCGCTGAAAACAAAGAGGAACCCTATTTTGTGCTTGAATGACTTGAAAATGCTCAATGAATAGACTTCGTGCTTATTATCCCAAACAGGCATCCAACTGCTGAGGTAGTTGTGACCACATATGGTTATTTTATTTCAGGAAAAATGTGATATCGTGCAAAAACTGCAGCGGGATGGGCAGAAGCTGGTTAATGCCGGGCATTTTGCTGCAGCGACTATCAAATACAAAGTCAACAAGCTCGATGAAATGTTCAAAGGATTCTCATTTCAGCTCGAGCAGCGGAGAAGAGTTCTAAATCAAACACATGGGTTTTATCGAAGCAGCCAGCCAGTACGTGTGTGATCTTTTTTGTTTTCATTTTAGTTGATCCAGCATCTCCACAAATCTTCCATTCATTTTTAATGTCCTTCATTTTTTCTTGCTCTTCCTGTCAGCTCTTTTGCAGGGGTCACTTCATTTTCAGCTGTATCAGATATATGATTTTTCGTAATGCCAGTAAAGACTAAAATCTAAGTGATAGTGCATTGCAATTGTTTCGTCAACGTTTTAGTTTAAGCGAAAACTCTTTCTGATAAAGTTGAACAAACATTCTAACCATTTTAAGCAGTTTTGCTTTAAATACTCTTAAAATAAAAACAAAAATTTCGACATTAAAGAGCAAATTGACTTTCGCTACTCGTGCAGCCGTGAATTTGGTTATGTTTTTCTCATAAATTTACGTAATTTGACAAAATCTCCGATTGTCAAAATTAAAAAGGAATTGGCCTTTAATCCTATCACGCATAAGTCCATTGTAATTAATTAAATTGCCTCACCATGCCAAATCATTTCCGAATTATATAAGTGTCCTTTGCAGCCAAAATTATTTTTAAGATTTGCTAGGGATTTAGCTAACGGTATTTCTTTTGAAAATCTTTGCTTTTCAAAGCAGCTAAAATATAAATTTTGTAACAGCTTTCCTTTTTAAGACACTAATTTCGTTTTTGTAAAGTATCTAAACACTTTTAACTCATTAACAGTCTGTTTTTATGATATTTTTAAATACTTTATTTAATACTTATTTCTTGAAACTTCTGGTGTCGAGATGCGAGTTGTTTATCTTGTAATTTTTTTATAGCTGCTACTGTAAACAAAATATTTATTGAAATCCAGGAATTGTTTCATTAAAATACACTCAAATGAGAATTTTGATTGGAAAGAATTTAACGTTAAAGAGTTTTTGCACTTGGTGAATAATTCTCGTTGTTTCTATTGACTTAGTTAACATTGTAAATAAATTTCAAAGGTGTATTTAATTCCCCTTGTTAAACCAACACCTGTAAAAGCAAGCATTAAATGTTGTTATTAATTTTATAATGGAATATTGCGAATTTCAAGAAGAATTAACATCATTATTTCATGAGTAGACGTCTAATTGAAATTAATTTGCTAAAACCTATTTGTCTGAATTACAGTATGGCACGTAGGATAAGACCTTTCCAAGATAAAAGTTTTTGTGAAGCATCTTATTGATTCGCAGAATAGTATATTTATAACAGAAATAATTGTCATTGCCTTTCTCTAAATCTGTGTTCCCCAGTTTTTTGTAGTTCCCCAGCTCATATATACTGTGTTAGGAGAGCGGGGGCAACTTTTGTAATATTTCAACATCTAAAAGTAAAGAATTGACTAATCAGTGCAATTAAAGTTTAGTAACAATTATATAAACATTTGTTAAACTTGTAGAAAAAATTATGTTTACGAGAATTATTGTTTGTGGCTATTATAAAGGGTTCTAAACTGTGAAATTTTGCCTGTTATATCAATCAGGTTTTATGTAATTGCTAATATGTGCCTTGGAGTTTGGCCAGATCTTCATCTTTCCTTATTCATATAAACTTGGAACGTTCTCAATTTATGTAATTCGTAACTTCATAATAAGCAACTAAAAGTGATCAATTTGTAAATGGATTTTCTCAACTCTGTTCTTAAATATTTTACAAAATATAAATGGAATTAAAATGTATTTAGCCGTAAAATTTCAAACATTTGAGACATAAAGTAACGATTAGAGTGTACAGTGACTTATGTTAAAAATATATTTAAAAAAGGGAACAATTTTGTAATTTAATTGATGTATAATTACTTTGAATTTTGCTGCAATGTTTTTAATGTATGAAAGATAATCTTATATTTCAACCATTACGTCAATTAAGGTGTGTTTATATGAAGTTAGCATTGTTCCTATGAGGTCATTGTACCACCAATTATCATCTCCGGATCAAAATAAACTTTGCAAACGCAATTTAACAAATTCACTGAAATGTTTTGGTCTTATGGTTTTGTTATGTTCTTATGATTTTGATATAGCAAGGTTCTAAGAGAGATTAATGGCTTGCTCATAGTTAGGTGGAAGGTAGAATATATACTGTTATCCGAAGCATACCACAGCGGTTCCTACGCTTGCGATTACACAATATTTTTATGTCGAATAAAAGATTATGAGTGCTAGCTCGATTTTGAATTTGCACGAAAGTTCATGAGTGATATTTATGTGTTCAAAACTGCAGGAATTTCAGATGAAATTTTTTTAGAGAATGCACCAGATAAGTTTCCGACCTCGTTTTGGAAATTACTCCAAACCTCTTTTACGTTTTTCCTGAGCTCAGACTGAGACCATAACTTTAGTTTCGAAAGTCGAAATTTTCTTATCAAGAAGTTTTAAGTATTCTTCAAAATGATGCCGTAAATTGAATTGGTGTATAAAATGTTGGTGCTGTTGCTTGCGCTATCAAAACATGCACTATGAAAATTCACTAAAAACTCGCAAAACTATGACATATTTGAGTCACGAAGCCTTATTTCAGGCTATGTATTTTGGGCTATTAACTTTGTGTCATATTAAATGGCAACCATTGGGGATTTTATGACCTTTATCTAATCAGGTGTTGGGAAGGTATTTAGTTCTTGTTACGGGTTGTCTGTCAGTCATGCTATTTAATATCGAAACACGCTGCTGTATTTTCTTTCCTATTAAAACATATCTATATTACCGGACAAGGAGAAAATACCGCTTTTATCAAGCTGCTGCCAAAATATACATAAACAAAGCTACTAAGGCGGAAGGGTGAATAACCAAGAAGTAAATTTTTGCTCAATAGTAACCTAAGACAGACTCTTAAAATAATAAGAACGATTTTGATCTTAGAGACCTAAGAAAGACCATTGAAAAGTAATGAAAAATTTTGATAATAGAAATCTAAGAAGGACCCTCGGATTAAAGATAAAAATAGATGATATTTCTTAGCTAGCGAAAGGATGAAGTCATGACCACGAAATATTGCGCCAAAGAAGGTTTCAGAATTAAAAGACATACTATCCAAATATAAAGTATCCAAATTTTCCAGACTTTTCCGGTAACATAGTTACTTTTGGGAGATATATACCTCCCTGTTCCCTCCCCCAGCCACTGCGTCCCTGTTACTTGGTACTTTCCGATTCAAGATTTTGAAAAGTTAAATTTTTTTCTCATCATTTTCGACCAGGGTGAATTTCCCCGTTATTCTGATCATCTCCAACGGCTTTCCGTTCTGAGTTCTTTGGGAAAGCACGCCATGGGTCATGTTATTAATTGCTTTACCTGTCAGGACATATTGTAAAGCTCTATTGTTTGCTTGTCTATTGATGAGATCTGTTTGGATTTAATGAGAAACAACGAACTCACAAAAGTACAGCAAACAGGATATTTGTTAACTAGAAGGAAGTCAAATGCTCATTTTAATTAATTTCATAAACTTAATTTCCTAAAAAAATTAATTATATTAACTTTGATGTATTACAGTGTGGAGCGCAGGTGCAGAATGTGAGTTTAACGAAATCGTTGCTTCATAAATTTGCCATTTTTTGTTGTAAAAGACTAAATCTCAAACTTTGTATATGAATGTCGTAAGAATCAGGTGTTGTAGCGATATCAAATGAAATCCCAACTTTATGACATAAATCTTATACTTATGATTTTGTTTTAGTTATAAGTTTCTCTATGATAAATACTTATAAGTTTCTGTTTTCATTGTTTTACTTTTATTAACTTATAGGAAGTTAAAATCCTAAAAATATGCTAATAGCACTATATTTTTAAAAAGCTGCAAGAAAAAGCATATGCGATTTCAGTAACTCTGACGTCATCAATCTAATAGCGTTATGAAAGGGGATTTTTCATACAGTTTGTAGCGCAAGTTTTGTCCAAATATTGACTTTTCCATGATGCCTCCATTTCCAATTTGTTTTCCTATGTAAAACATTTTGGCTTCTTAGCATGAAAACTACGTCAGCAAGTAATTACCTGGTGTATGCAGACACTGCAAAAGGATTACAATATATAGAAAACCTTCTAAGCTCTTGGAGTTAAAACCAAATTTTGAGTTATTTTGTAAATGTATTTTCTTCTACAAAAAGTGGTTAGGTAGATGTTTGATTTAAGCCAGTAAGTAACAAATAAACTAACGGTTGGCGTGAATTGCCTGATCCTTGCAGTTTGTTTTCGAAGAGAAATTCAGCTGCAAGGAAATCATTTCCTTCTTTCCAGCTCACAGGATGCTGTTATGCTGGTAATTCATCTTTCATATGTCAATCTGTAAATTATTTGATATGTATAAATTGTTAATCTCGTCTTGATATGCTTAACAATTGAAGAATCAATCTAGAATTACTGTTGATCGAATCCGCCTGCTTGGAATTCGTAATAAAATAAACTTATCCTCAGCCAGACATTTAATCGTATGATCTCAAATCGTCATTAAAAAATTCCAACTTCACACAAAATCTAGTAAGCTTGTTTTGATATTTGTGAGAAAGTGAGAAAGATTTTTGAGAGTTCTGTATAACTGTGGAGATGAAAGCTGGAAACTTGTTTTAGAATTGGGTGGACAGGAATCAGGATCTCAAGGGTTCTGCTGAAGAGATGAAGCCTGTTATATGACGGAAGGGTCAATACAAGGGGAGCTTTGCGCCCAGGTTGCCATTGCATCCCAGCATCCTTTGCCAGTCCACGACTGGCTGCTACAACAACCGATTGACAACTGGCGCGAAAGGGTTCTCAAGACAACGAAACTTAAATAGATTCATCTGTAGCTGAAATTTCTATGGAACTCATGGTGCTAAATTTTTACGCTCTAACAGCCAGCCACTGATAATGGGGTGATATTTTCTTAAATCTAATTCGGTAGTGTAAGTATGATTTTTTAAGAGAATTAACTCATCTCAAACCTTTCATTCGATTAAAGCCTGTTTGAACAAAACCTGGGAACACTGTCCATGTGTGTGACAATCGTTACCTGACAACCTTCAATCCGTTTTGTGGTATCGTTGATCAAAGAAACGACACGCCCTTGATTGACGAAAAAGTTGAAACAACTGGCAAAGGACGCAAGTCCATAGTTAAATAACTGTATCTTATTTCACCATGGATTGCTACCGTTGATTTGTATTGTCATTTGCTGTCCCTCCATGTAACGGATTTTGGTCAGTTGGATTTAAGAGAATATGTTAATGCGTTGAGATAGATTCGTGCAAGATTCTGTATAGTGGATTTGGTAGCAATGCATGTATACAATGCATACTTGTTATGATGTCGCAGGTTCACTACCGGTGCATTTATGCTGGCAGAGGTTCTTGGTTTTTATGTTTTGTTAAAGGCTTTTGTTTCTGTCAATCATTTTGTGGATATTGGGATGCATAAAGGTAAGGACAGCAATTCCGTGGAAATACAATTTTTATTCAAATGAGCAAGAAAGACAGGCAACAAAAAGTATAATACAATAGTTGGTTGGTTGTTATGATAACATATATTTTTTATGAAGTGAGTTATCTGAAGTGCAGATATTGAAGAGGAGATATCTTCGGAACGTAGATCGAAAAGTTGACAGAAAGAGCCTGCAAACTATCACTAGAACGAATAGCAATATGTTTAAACATCATCAGAAAGTTTTTTTGACCCTTGCCGTATCTTTGTAAAATTTTATGTTTCTCTGGCCAGGTATTTGTATACTAGCGGACTAAGAATTGGTTTCCAATTATGTCACTTAAAATGAGACTTTGTTGTTAGTTCTTCATTAACAATGATAATTCACAACTCCATAATCAATTTGATAGTACTTTTATTATTACAATACTTTGTTTATGGTCATGATACTCAAAGCATCTAGTTTGTTTTAGAACGTTGAAAGTCTCATATTTACTTTAATTCTTCATTCTTTATTTTGTTTTGTATGTAGATACTTTCTCTAAATCTCTGCTATTCAACTAAAATCATATTGCACCACAAATGTTCGTGTTGGTTTCTTGACGCACTGATCGTTTTAACTTTAACAAGCTTGGGTCGTTACCAAAGGAGATCCATTTCTATACCACAAAAATCAACTCTCCCATTAGCAAATAGCACCTTCTGCTATATTTGATGACCAAGGTCTCTGTTACGTTGTTAAAAAGAAGGAAAATGTGTCTGGTGTATTTGCGTGTATAGGCTCTCTTTAGACCGGGTAATACCCCCTTCCCTTCGATATAAGTCAAGCAATAGTTCTCCTAATTCTCTAGCTAAACTGTCTATTATCGAACGGAAAGAAAGGGGGTATGGTGATTTGGTGGTTTTTCTCGCCAAATACGTTTTATAGGAAAATTGGAAAATTGATTTGATAAGCAGGGGCTGCGTCCGTATCTATTCACCTCATCACTTTACTCGTGAAAAAGGGGTTGTAATTAAAATATAATTGTGTTTAAGTTGTGCAAAAAATTCAGCATTTTATGCTGAGCCGGTTGGGAGAAGGTGCTTATGCCACAATCGAGATTGAATGATGTTGGTGTTCGGGTGATCGATCTTAAATGGGTTACTTCATCATAATGTGATTATAGCAGTGATAGACATTAACATAATCATAATAATCATCATAACCAACCTCATCATCATTGTCATTATAATCATAGTCGCCATAATTGGTATCATCATCACAATCATTAGCATCATCGCATCAGCGTGGATTTTTTAATTATTTTTCACCAGCCCAATCATCCCAGTCTGTGCGTAGCCCCTCTCTTTCCATCCCATTACACCATTGAATAGAATCGTTTATCGTTTGGCTTCCTCAGTAGGGCCTAAGTATTTACTGGTCTCCTGTTAAAGTTACTGAATCCTGTCGATTCAATCATATTTACTTCTTAAACTTCTTGTGACCATTTGATCACAAACTATATGACATTTTTGCCATCAGTGACCCCTTGTTGTTTTAAAGATTTAAAATTATTTATGTATGTTTCTAAAGCCTGCATACTTTCTGTTTTTAAAAAAGTTGGATTATCTTAAACACGTAGCGATTTTTCTGACCAAGTAATCTAAACTTTAAACAAAATCTAAACTTGATTTCAATTGATCGAACAATTCATTCCAAAATCCTTTTGTCATTCATTTTGTTGTTGTCAGCTATGATGCATTCGTTCGATATTGTGTGTAGAGCACTTGTAAAACCAAACTTAGCAAGGCACAGCTTCTTAAGCCAAAACAGACGAAGAAACTGCTGGTCGACACGCGATAATTTCTAGAATCAGCAGGAAATTGTTCGCTTAAGCGTCTTACACACTTAAGATCAACACCATCACACTGTCATATCCTTTTGCTTTAGGTATATGATATTTTTGTTGCATGTATTTCTGCAGTGACTTTTACTTAAGGTCAGCTGACGAAGGCAGAGGATGTAATATTTATTAGGGTCAGAAATGATTGTGGACTTTTCAATTGCCAATGTAAGCAAAGTGAAGGTCGCTTTGCTATCATTTTTGTGCCATTTTTAGTATTGATTCACTCTTCTAAAGGAAAACACAATTATATATATTGAGGTAAGTGGAAATCGTCTGAATATGTTATCTTATCATAGATTATGTCTCTCTCCGGTAAAGATTGAAACAACGTATATTTAGGCCTTACAGTAGTCCACAGTTGCTTTATCTACGGTATCCTTTCACCCTTGACTTTTTTAGGCCCTTGATGTGTTAGATCGACTGCTCGCCCGGCTGGAAGCTGCGAAGGACGACGGTGAACGTGTGAGAACGAGGTCGCAGGCAGCAGAAGCAGCACAACCAGAAATCCGGGAAGGGAAATTATTGCTATCTAGAGTGGATATGGCAGGAGTAAAAGCGGTGCTTAAAGAAATAGAGCAGAAATATTTCAAGGTCATGAAAATGACTGAAGATGTCAGCTCAGACGATGAAGAGATCGTGAACGTCAACAGAGAAGTTGAAAAGGTCCTCTTTTGTTTATTATCTTGAGTTTTGGTCAAATGTTGGTGTAAAACCGGGCTGTGCTAAATTAAATCTACGATTATTGAGAACAGCAGCTTTTAAAACACTTAAAATATGAACGTCTTTCACGGAAGGGGAGAGAAGGCAAGATATGTTTCCCCTTTTTTTTAATTAACAATAGAATGGCCTTGTTAATTTGGGGGGGGGGGTATAATTTCCCTGTTACACATTAAAAGGAACCCTTGGTCGACCATGTATAGTATTCGCATATAGCGATTAGGTGGCCTCCAGACTTTATTTATATTTACGGCAGGGTCAGAAAAATATTTAGTAACGGTTTTTTCTGTGCTTTTTCGAAGCATGAATTTAGACATACATAGTCAGGAAAATGCACTCTTTTTTGAAGGAGTCAGATAATTTTTGAAAAGGTGCTCGATATTCTTAATTTTTTAATAATCTGAGGCTTATGTGTTTAAATGTTGTTCCTTTTTCAACATCGAGTTTCCTACAATCGTTGAGTTGAATTGTTTTTAAGAATACTAAAATGGTTTTGTGCGAAATCTTTTGTAGCACAGTCGATAAGCTGATTAAAACATCTCTATTTCTTTAACATAAGAAAGGATTTTCTCCCTAGATTGTCAAAAAAAACATTTTTTACTTGTTGCTGGGCGTGTTCTTAACTTGTTCTTATGTTTTTGGCAAATAAAGGTTCTGTGTTCTTATTAAGTGCGTTTTCTTTAAAAAATGCTCATTGTTTTAAAATCATATGGTTATTTATGGAAAAGGTATTATTTGTCGACATCAAGTGTAAGGTATAGGTTATAGAATGTGAAAGGCGTAGGTTATAATATTATATATTAATATGGATATAATAATATGGTATACACGTTAGCTATGTAATAGTCTCATTTTATGGAACACAAATCAAAGGAATATGTATTTCTATAGGCTACTCCTATGGTTCCGTTTTGCAAATTGTATCACTACTTTTTCCTGGAAGTATTTTATTTGAAAAAGTTTTGCTAAACAGCTCAGATTTAAAGCTTAGTGAAAAAGGAATGCAAAAAAACCATCCAGAAAGTTAATAAGACTTTGTGGGGCGTATACAGTGACGATTATCGACTGGATTTTCGCTCAACTCGTCTTGCAGTTATAGAAGCAAGGTCCAATGTTAATTGAACGATTCCAGTATAAGAAATCAGGTCTCTTGGTAAGAATTATGAATCAAACAACAGAACCCTTGTCTCGTTTAAGCTGTCTGAGGATTGTTCTTTGTTGTGGACGAAGAATGTCTGAGTACGTTATTTTACAATTCATGGTGTTTGTGTGTGAGTGGCAAATATTAAGTCAAAGTGGAATCCAAACCCGTAGCCTGTAGTCTACTAAGACTTTTCGGGAATTGCAATAGCTAACGTATTCTCGCACATTTAGGTATCAAGTTGGGTTACGAATATTGGCGAGGAGTTCTTGACGGTGCACACGAATCTCGGTACGACGTCCACGGCGGCAAAAGAGTTCTGTGAAGACCATGGCCAGCTCATGGAAGAGTTAAAGGTGACATTTATGCTACTTTTTGCATGCTTGTCATTTCTCATTGTCATTGCCTCCTCATCATTATCGAGTGTGTTATCATCATTATCCTAAGGCCTGGTTCAAACGTCGCACTTCTCATGTGCCGAACCTAACTCTGTTTGGAGCGACACTTGAACATATTTAGCGCGACTCCCGTTTCAAACGTCGAACTTAATCATGTCGCGCCATATGGGTTTTAGGATTGTTACATGAAGTATCTTGGTTAAGGCGCACAATCTCAAATAGTTGTTTGAAACGCATGCGCCCTCCAAGAAAAAAATGAATTCTGTGAAGGAAAATAAATTAAATATAATTATGCATTGAGTTCGGTACATGACAAGTTCGACGCTTGAAACCGTGCCGTGCTGGAGCCGTGCAGCTCGACAAGCTCTGCCGATCCAAACTAGTCTGCCGCTCCTAACTAAATCTGCCGTACCAAATTGATTCAAACGTCGCGCCCCTCATGTACTTAATTCCCGAGTTTGGTTCGGCACATGAGAAGCGCGACGTTTGAACCAGGCCTAAGCTATCATTCTTTGATATCCATCTCCATTTTCGCCAGGTGCACAAATATCAGTCTTTGTCATTGTCATCAGTTTTGATCATCATCAACATCATCGTGATTATTGGTCATGATCACTAACATCATGAATCACAATCAACTCCATCAACAAGCATCAATCAACCCCATCAATCTGCATCAGTCATCATCAGTAATCATGTTTCATCGTCCCCAGTCATCATCCTTCCTTGCTTTTTGTTACCACCCTAGTAATGCCTCTACAATCATAGTTCCATAGAACAAAACTTTGCAAGGTAGAATGGTTATCTTCTTAATTGACAGCGTTGTACTGTATCATGTTCTCCTAGAGTTTTGAATAATAATTCTGCGAATGTTTACAGAGAGGAAGTCCTCCATCAACTTAAAGCTGAAATATAGATGGACCTGCTATCAATAAACAGTTTATTGTTTGCTACTATTATTTTTGAATTGCTATTGTAACTTTCTTTATGTTTAGATTTCCTTCCGAATGTTGCAAAAACTGTGAAAAGCTTAGATAACATTTTTATTACGATCCAATTTATCTTCTCTTCTTCCGCCGCTACTCACATTATATAAAGATATACTGCGAGTTGATGTCACATAATTTTCCTCATTCGGACAAATCCCTGCAGCGTGTTAAGGCGCCAGTGTGAAACGTTTAGCTCACATAAACTTCCATCAAAGTTTATGCGCACTGCGAGTTGCTCACGTGACAGTAATTTGTGATTTCTGCAAATTTCTTTTTGCAATATTTGAAGAATCCGGGCGACTATCCTGTGTTATTTAGGCCGATGTAAACAAATGCATCTCGACTTATTTCCTCGTCCCTTGTTGTGAATTGTGCTTTGCACGCAAGAAAAACATTTGTAAAGGCTAAACCTTTGCGGTCGCGGAACATAGCGGCTAAAACGGTCCCATTCTTCTTTCCTGAAAATACTCTGGCACTGTTTTTAAATAATCTCTTGTTCTTACTTGACTCTCAAAACATCACTGTAATTCTACAAATCTTGCCATAACTGACTGTTGTCATTGCCCAACAGAGCACAATTGTAAAAGTCCACGACATCAAGCAGTCTCTCTCGAGAATGAGCGATTCCAAACGAAGAACTGCCAATAACCCTCGAACGAAACTCGAAAGGATGGAAACAAGATGTGTCAGTTTGCAGGAAAGGCTCGAATATCGACTGCAGCTTGTTCGATCTTATCTCAACTTTTTAGAGCACTCTTGCGAGGTAATTATATGCCTTATATGTACTGGTGTTTGCCTGATTAAGATTTGAAGGCAGATATCTTATCCACTTGAATGATGTCATTAATCCCTCTATCCCCCCCTGATATGTAGAATTTCGTTTCCCAGAATGCCATTTTTCCATTCTAAACTGTTTTAACTCAAAAGTTGCCCGAAAGTGTTTGATTATTGTACTGAACATTGTGTTTTTGAGTATTGTATTTGTAGCATTTTGTAATTTTGGCAGTTTGCATCTATCAAACTACGCTCAACATCCTTCTGTTCACCTTCAAATGCCTTCTTTTAGAAAATGCAACTTGGTTCGAGCCTATAATATGCCTGCACCAGCGACGCAGCACATGTCTGTTTATTCAACAGATGGGAACTATAAAAACATTCTACATTGAAATGACGTCACATAACAGAAATTGACGCAATTTACATAATTTCACAATGTCAGTTATCGAAATGGTAGTAGTTGTTATGCGTGTAGGTGAAGGCCAAAACTCTGAAATAAATGCTCTGCAAGTTTAGGGTGCTTTTGACTGTCTTCTTTAAGTGCAATAAACAAGAGCAGATCAGCTATGGATTTTAAGCATAGTATATGGTCTTGCAATTTTCAATTTCTGTGCTGTTTCGAAATTCTTTGTTTGCCAGATTTGAAGTTATTTTGATACTAAAATTGCTGCTATTCTCTGTCATATGTTGCTTATTGATCGTATGTTTTCCAGCTATTGAAAAAGTTGAGACAGCTTCAAGAAGAGCTAACAAGTGATGAACCATACGAGAACTCAGAAGCGAGGCCGGAAACGGTAATGAGACAAAGACAAGAGCGGGAAAATATCAAGTCGAAAATACGAGCAGTCGAGCGAGAAGGAACTTCGGTTTTAGAGGAGTTAAAAAGGGTATGGTAATCTAGTTTTTTTGCTATGAAAATGCTGAAGTTGATTGGTTTTAGATGTTCCCTTCCCTACCCTTATAACTACAGCAACCATTTCAGAAAACACACATGTTTTGTCAAACTGAAGCAGGAAAAGCAGAGGAAAGTAGTAGATAGTCTGTTCACTAAGGACTGATTTCTTTGTGTGCAAAACTGAACGTAAATTTTACAACTCAGCATGAAATAGAAGGCCTAGAATTTATACGTAAGTCCTTTCAACGACAGCGAAATGTTGTGCATAGTTTCTTTTCCATCGACAACAAAAATTTATTAATATTCTTTGCTACTGCTTATTTCTTTCCACGAAAAGTTGGCTTTGCTTATCTCAAGCTTGAAATTTCCATAAAATCTACATATTTTAATATTCAAGTGGTTTTATCATTTTCAGTTTTAGAAAATTTTCTTCCACTTGACATCTACATTTGTGTTTCTGTATTTGAAAAGTCTAACTTTGAAAAATTTAAAAGTGTGAAATTTCAACAAAAACATTGACCCTTGATAACTACACAATTTTCACCTAGTTTATGTTGCAGGGTATCGTTTGTCTAAACTTGATTCTCTTCATCTAGTGTCCACAAGAAGAGAGCCTGGACCGAGATCTCCCTGCGCAGCACGTGATCAATCACCTCAGCAACATTGCGGAGCACGCAGTACACCTTGATGAATTGTGGGAACAAAGAGAAATGAAGTTGAAATCACACAAAAGATTTAGCAGTCAGTTCTTTGATTTTGAGAAAGAAATCAGAAAGGTATTTTTTTCAAATAATAGTCTAACTTACATAATAGTTTCTCTCTCATGTTTTGATATGTCTCTTAGTTATTTATTCGAAGTAAGCTAAAGGAGAGACCATTTGCTGCAGCAGTTTTTGCATGTCACCATTTTCTCCAATCCCGATAAACATTTCAGACCTTTTTTTCTTCATCCTATTTCTGGCGATGATGGCCAAAGAATGTACTTTAGAAGAATTTGTATTCAGGAATCAATCGTTCCTTTTGTGAAATTATGGTATAAATCCCTAGTCTTTGATATGTAGAAACGTTTATTGGGCAATGGAAGCAGCATTTTTTAAAGATCAAATACTGTTTTGTAGGTTATAACTTGGATTCATGAGCAAGGCGAGAAGCTTTTCCCTATTCGGGTCGAGTTTGAAGGTTTGATTACTACCCAAAAAGCATTGCAAAGCACTCTTGTTGAATTTGAGGAATCAGCTCAGGTAGGCCTTGAAAATTATTCGTTTTCAGTTGCTATCGTCATTATTTTTTTTCACAGTGCTTGATTAACTGTTGGATAAACTGGCTTCTTAAACGTCTTTCCAAATACCACCTTCAGGGTATTTCCCAATCTACCAGTTCTAATTCTACCATCAAGCATTTCTGTTTCAACTGAGCCCATTTATGCATTGATTAATGTGCTCTTTCTCTCTTAGTCTTGTCTTTGTGCTCCTTTTCCCTTTGTATGGACGATGACAAGGGGTTATTTATCTGGGTAGGGGGGTCGAGCTAATCGTACCAGAGACCTATAGCTTTTAGTACATATAGCATACTTACAAAGAATGGTAAATATAATCAGGAATCCATTTGATCCTAGCGAGCGAGCAAAGAAGTCGAAGACCACATAACAGCAGCAGAGGGTCTCGCATTGATGAATGTTGATGACAAAGAGGCTGTACAGATAGTCACAAATGAGCTGCGAATGGCACACGAAAGATTTAAAAGCAAACTTACCAAGCACCAGGCTTTCTTATCACAGTGCCTAACATTCTACGCAAGTGCCGAGAAGGTAAGCGAATAGCTTCGATCGGGAAAGACTTGCGCCATAAATCCTTATAGATTGCGAAGATGGCTCAGTTTGATATGCTACATAAAATTTTGGTATTGTGTTTGATAGAATCTCTTCTGGTATGGTATACAAAAACTTTTATTTCGTTTCTCAATGCAAAGCTCATTACTTTCCAGCTTACTTCACATATAAACAAGACTCTGCGCGACTTCGCAAGTGAAAATCTGCCTCACGATTCAATATCAGCAAAGCAGATGCTACAAGAACATATCTCCAGTTACAAGATTGTGGAGGAGCTTTTCTCCCAAACAGCTGATCACGGAAAGGATGCATTACAGGCCGCTGGAGAGGAGGACAGCTTTGGTTATCAGAAAGAGGAAATCGAAAAGTTGATTGCAGTCTCGCATGGAAAACGAGACGAATGGGAAGGCCTTTGGGAGGCACATCGAAGGAGATTGCAAGAAAGTGTTGATATTTGTCATTTTGAGCAAGATATAAACCAGGTTAGAAACATTTTTAAGCTGGTTGCCTTGTTCTATCAAGTTAATGAGAAGTTGCTATGGGTGGATATTTAGAGTCTGTTTTTATGATGTTGATTGATGGCTACAGTCCTGATAAAAAAAATTATGAAAGTACAATGTTATGAAAGGTTCTATCTAAATTCTTGTAATATAGCTGATATTAACAGCTGGTTGCAAAGGTTATTTAAGGGGTTTCCGAAAGCTTGATATGTTGTCCTTAAACGCTGATATGAAAAAATACAGTGCCTCATTTAGTTGGATATTTCCTTCAGGCAGTTTGTTTTAAAGAAATTCTGATCGTGGTTTGATCAACATAATAGCTCAGATTACTTCAGTGAAATGTTGTCTTGCTTACAGAAAGCACTACTTCTGTATTTATCTCCTTTAAGGAAGCTCATTTTTTATGAACGTCCTTTGCGTAAAGCTACCATTTTCAGTGAAAATAAGTGGCTTTTTCTCAAATGCAAAAGCCTGAAATTTAATGGGATGATTAAAGGACTATTTACGTGCAGGTAAAGATGCTAATGGAGGAGCAAACACGACATTTGCTGGAAGTAAACAAAAGGTTTGGGAATTCTTTGTTGTCAGCAGTGTCACTGTCGCAGCAATCAGACACTTTCATGGAAGAGTTCAGGGTAAGCAGAGTGTAGGAATTAATTGTACATAATCGATTGATCCAGATACTCACAATGATAATTGAGAAACAGTTTGAGAAGGCATAATATTTCTCTTCTTGAAGATGTAATTGAGAATGAACTGAAAAGAGAAGTAATGTTCATCTCTTTCTTATATAAACGCTTTTAGATGCTTTTGTATTTCATTGTATTCATGTCTTATTTTTATTTAGTTGACAGAAAAGCGTGTTAAAGATATCCGAGAACATGTCAATCATCTGACGAGCAGCCATCACCCCGAAGGAGAGCGTTTGAACCGAGAGGTTACTGCGTTGGAACAGAGATGGGCCAAATTGCTGGAACTTCTGGCAGAGCATCGACAACTGCTTGAAGTCGCTGTTGATTTTTACCAGTTTTGTGAACAGGTTGGAAGCCATATTGCATTTTGCTAAACCTGATTTTGCTCGTCTTCCAAAAGGGAAAGTACCCCTCACCTACCTCAACAGAAAGGCAAAGTGATGACCCTATTAAAATCGATGAATTTAAGTGAATTTAAGTATTTCGGGACATATAAAACCAAGAAATGTTTCGAAATGTGCACAATCCTTTAAAACCCTTACAAATTGACTAAGATACAGCCCAACATGAGCAAATGCTATTTCTATACAAAACCACTTGGAATTTTTCATTTGTTTTTTAAAATTTATGAATCCGGTCAAAATCATATTTTGAAAGTTGGAAGATCTTATTTAGCTCTTTCCATGTATCCCAAGCACTTAACATTTAGTGTGAAGTTAATCATTTTATTTATCTCGATTTATTTTATAGTCGTTAATTCCTTAAAATTTGGGGTTAAACTTGAAAGTATTTCCAATATTTTTTGATTTATCGGAATACATATTTTGCAAAATAGTTCCTTTCCTTTTCCTGTCCCGTAAGGATCCACAGGTTAAGATCTACCATAAATTTTGAGCTTTGGAACTTGACATTTGGATCAAAATTCACATTTCATCACCCAAAGATAAATTCAATTATGTGACCATTAAGGTCATCATTCATATCATGTAAAAGCCATGTAAATCCCGAGGTTTGCTTTTAGGGTGAAACATGGCTGAAAGACGCCGTCCATTTCTTGAAACACACTAGACTCGAGGGGAAGAAATGCCGATCGAAAAATGACGTCTTGCAGCTAGTTGAGAACCTGGAAACATTTAGACGAAGTAATGTACAGATTCAGGATGAGCGTCTATCGAGCATAAACTTACTAGCGTCGAAGCTACAAAATTCGGATGCAAAGAATCGCGCTACAGATCTTATAAACAAGCAAGATAAGATTGTGAAAAGGATTGTTAGTCTCGTTGAAAGTTTGCAGTCGAAAGCGGTGAAAATGGACGAATTGAAATCAAACGGATCCCATAATGTGAGTCTGAATTATTGCCTTTCTAATGCACAAAGTACCCTCAGTTCGTGATTGTTTAGTTATGAAAGAGGGTGGAGAGGGGGGAGGCATGGGAGAAACAATTTGATGAATACTGTAGTCGAGCATTTTGGTTTTATTCCCATGGCAAAAAACAGGTCCGTTGCTACAATGGAAAAAATTTTATTGCAAAAACGAAGAGTTTTAGCCATGTAGGGGTGCGTCGTCTGCCGATTTCTAGGTTTGTCGTCAAATAAGTGATGGCTGACCCACTTTGTCGGCAAATGGGGTCTGAGCACCCCCCCACCCCACCCCCATAAGCACAAATAGGTGTGTCATGCATCTACCTAAAATGTATTTTCCTATTGAAGTTTCGGTTGAAATGCTTTCCTGCCAACTTTCAGTTTAAGCTAATATCGAAATTATCATAAGAAATCATCAAATATTGTGCGGTATTTAAGAATTTATGGTATTCCTAGCACTCAAGGATGCATTTTCCAGCAATGTGTCATTGTTTGATGTCGCAGCTTGAGTGCTTTTACACCCATTTTCGTTTTAATAAGACGACAAAGATCTCGATCAAGCAAAGAAATTCGAATAACGCCATTTCATACTTTCAGTACATGATTGCTTTACAATTCGACAAAGTTTGCATTTATCATTTTCCTTTATTCGCGATGTATTCCATTTGAACAAGCCATATGAATAATTCTACATGATTGTTTTCTGACAAGATTAAATCAAATGCTGTTAGAAACAGGGGGAAAGACAGGATTTGTGATAAGCAAGTCTAAAGATCCCCAACCTATCTTCCTGTTATTATCATTCTTAAATCTTTGCACTGTCAATAAACATGGTTACTGTCTTTAAACTAAATAGGCCCAATAATAGGACAATTTAGATGACAGTTGTTTCAGAAATCTTGTTACTTTAAACTTCATGTTTCTGCAAAAATATGTTTCCTTTGAAATCCAATTATAGCTTTTATCAAAAACACACCCTTGTGGGAAAAGATGTCGCATATGTCAGACAAGGTGTAATTTAATCTTCGTGTTTTTGACTGAGAAGGGATATTTGGACTATCATATCTCCGCAGATATCATAATTATATTGATTAACTTATGGAGATTATTTGGTTAAAAAACGCAGAACATTCATTTGTTGTCAGTATTTGCTGGTAGATGACCAACGCCCATTTGTCATGTCATCTTGCATCTTTGTCTAGCTAGGGTTTTTCCCCTTTGAGAAATAACAATGAGTAACGTCTCATTACCTTTAATAAAGTCAATTCTCTTTTCTTTTTTCAATCTATAATTTCACGACAAAAATTTATCTGCTTTCTCAGACTTTCTGAAACATTTAAGTTTAACTTTAAACAATATTTTGTTGGTAAAAATTGACAATGGCTTTGAAAAAAGCTTCAACATTTCAAAACATGCTGAAGCTTTCTTCTGACACTCATCAATGTATAAATTGTCAGAATGATGATCGAAATGGCAATGTAAAGATAGAAAATGTTTTTACCCAGTTGTGTATCGACAGGCCAATCTGACACGTGAACCCATGAAAGATAAGGTTGCGCGAACAGTGCTGCTTGCCTGTAAAGTTATTACCTGTAACCAAAGGCGCTTACATACCCTTATCATCCCCCCGTTAAGTTGTCCCATTATTTTGCCAGACATTTGTTAAGAATTCATCTTTATTCGAAAGAAGCCCCAGTGCATCGATAGTAAAGGCTTAACGAATTAAAGGAGCTCATATTCCTGCCAAAGCCCCCTCCTCCTATCACATTATTTTTTATCTTATAGTATAAATAAGACCCAGTTAAATTTTCCCAGCCTTGAATATTTTGTATTGGGTGGAGTTCCTTTTTCCGATATCTAACCAAAGTCTTTCAAGTGATTCGATAGCTTAGCTATAATAGAGTAAAATCGAATTTTATACGGGAAAGTGGTGACATGTGCAGAACACATCAAAGTTGTAAGAGTAATCCATTTTTTATTTTGGTCCAACCAAAGATTATCATATCTCAAAAGTCAATGGCCGCAAATGGCGTCTGATCGATAAGTCACCCAAACATAGCCATCACATTTTCTGCAAATTGAGGGACGTGCCCTGAACCAATAAAGTAACTGTAATCACCGAACCTAATCAAACAGACTATTTTCATGTGTTTGTTTTTGCTTTTGTCTGGACGTGCGTTTAGGCCGTAAGCACGTCAAGTCTTGTCCATTCAAATCAAGACCCTTTGCCTTGTGGATGGCCTCTCTACTACGGAACTAGTACGCATGGACACCTTGAAGTTTAAAGTTCTTTTTAAAACACAGGTATTTCGTATCTCTGATTGGATTTTTTATCGGATTCTGTGTCCAGGTCAATGCTAGACTGCCTTTTATCGCTAAATCAGTTTTGGGAATTTTCAATAACGTAATGTAATATTTGAGCGAATATTTGACACGGGGAGAGAGGTTTGTGCATCTTTTTGTTTCAAATGCAATAAAGATAACTCTAAAGAAGTTTCGTTTTATCCATTTGATGACGAAGCTAAACCATTGGCCTAAGTAAATGACAGAGACTGTGCTTTGTTTTGAAGTAAACATTCATTGCAGATTGTTAATGTTGCTACTTGTTTTCTTTAAACAAGACTGGAGTTGCATTCGAATTTTGAGTTTTGTGGGATGTTATAGAACGCCCTTGAGAACTTCATTCAATCTTCATTTTGGTTCTTTGCAGTCCAAAAGACCGATTAACTTTTGGTACTGTTTTCTTCTATGTTAAATCAAATTGCAAACCAAAAAAATCTAAGACCAGATTCAGAAAACCTGACGGGAGGTTGTTCAAAAGGGGCGGGAGGATGTGGATTTAGATGCAAAAGACAACAGTTAAAGCCTCTTTCAAACATGCCCAAATACTGCCTTCTTTGTTTTGCAAATGTCTTCTTTCTATATTTCATTTAAGTTTTAACCAATCTTTATGATTGTATCGACATAATGACATTACCGAGCAAAATAAGCGTATTAAAATTTGTATCGATTGTTATTACAATTCAGTATCGAGTACTCTCGAGCTCGAACTAAACGCCACCGCTTATTGATTTTCGAAAAAAAATCAAGCCACGACAGCTTTATTTCCGAACTTTTCCAATTTATCAATTATTATTTTGTAAGGTGTATACAACAAACTCGTCGTAGCGTAAGAAGTCGCATCAAGACCAAAACGAAAGAGAAGGCACTATTAAAATTGAATATTTTTCTGTTATGTTTTAAAAACGTTATTCTATTTTTATAAACCAGCGTCATTTTTGAATTCCTTCTGTTTCCAAATAAAAGGGACTCTGGTGCCATTCACCTTGTTAATTATTATTTTGAAAATTTTCCACTCATCCCTTTTATTTCAGATGAAGGGTTATTCTGCCTTGCTTCTGTCGCCAAGTCCTTGCTGTCTCTTAAAAAGTGGCTTATTTCCTTTTCCAGCCTACTTTGAACTTTCCCTTGGTTTTTCTGCACACTTTATTATCTTGTCGTTGCCTTTGGGTGTTTGGGCTTTTATAACTCACTAAGTTCGCCCTGAAAATACACGATATTTTTCTTACAGTGAATTATATTGGATCACAAGGGATGCCTCAGAATCCTCTTATAACTTGCCCACTCTAGATCCTCATCATGTTTATCATGTTACGATTTAAAGGTTCTCCACAATCAGTGCTTGCCTTAGTGTTCTTTTGTTGAGGATACCAAAATGAGTTTAATTTTGAATAATTCAAGTTCCGTTCTGTTTAGTAAGATTAAAAACCTTCCTGTCTGTCTGTCGTTTTTAATTATTTAAATTTCCAATCAGTTTTAATGTTTTCAATTTTCGATGTTTCTACCAAACCCCTTACAGAATGTCTAATTTTTAAACGTATTCAAATTTTTAAAGTCAGTTCAGAATTTTAGTATCAGAAAACTTACTTATCTCCAGGTTGTTTTAAGTAAACAAGCTGAAAATGTTCAGTTTGCAGGGAGCTGGTAACTCCATACTTTCCTGCTTCCCCATAAATTCTTGTCGAAACGCAGAATCATTTTTGTGGAGCAATTAGCATTGCTCTCTAACAAGCGCCTTCACTCTCGTTTAAATATACCCCATTAATGTTTGAAAAGGGTACCCTAGGAAGAGTAAACCGCGCGGATTAGTGCCCACAGAAAAGGCTTAAAATCAACCGCGCGGCGTCTAATTAATGCAATACTTTATTGGAATATCAACAAAGGTTGATTGTTCCCCTCTTCAGAACTCTGTTGACAACATTCAAAGATGCAAGCACCACCCAGCGTAATAACGTCTTGCCTGCAGCTCTTTTTGTTTATGTTTACCGCAAGAGGTCATTGTTTTATCAGCATTTTTTTAAAGTTTCTGCCAATTTATCCACACCAACAAGATTATAATTCTTTACATTACAAGATCAAAATGCTCGAATGCATTTTTCGGATTCTTTTTCGGCAGTATGCTAACACAGAACGAATAATCGAAACTCTGTTTGAATATCTGAGTTTATATCTAGTGTGTTTATTCCTTGAGGTTTATTCTCATTGTAATCATCACAACTAATGTCTGAAGAGTTCTTAATTGTCTATTAGATCGAAAGTGAGGGCGAATCCTCAAATTCTGACGAGGAGTTGATTTTAGAAGACGGCCTACAACAGTTGGCAGTTGATTCTTCGTCGAACCAGATCATTGCGACGAACGTTGACTTCCCAGTCGAAGGTGGTCAGGTTATTTCGTGGGATGACGATCTAGAATATGGCTCGGTGAAGCGCCCAAGGCTGTCTGTCGCAGTCAAGAGTGGACTAGAAATATCACAAGATGCCCAGGCTAGGATCACCCCTGTTATTCAGGATGAAATGGAAAAGTTCTTGCAAAGTGGTACAGCAACATTTGTTACTCAAGGCCCGGAACCCGTTACGTTGAAAATAAATAACATTGCAGGACAGACACTTGTCCCCCTGACTCTGCAACAGCAGGGAACTGCCATTACAGAGCTGCGATCGTCAAACCAGGGGGATTTCTCAGTGCTAGGACCGTATGTGAAAAGAGAGGTTACTGTTGAGACAGATTACAATGTGGAGGCTTCACAACCGGAGCCATTGCCGATAAAAGATCCTGCGGCTGGAGGGTTTCTAGTGACAAAGAGGAAAACATTGAAAACGACTACCAAGGAAGTTACGACAACTATCAAGCAGGTTTGTTATTTTGTTTTAGTTCTGTTTTGATCGAAGCAAAATAATCTGCATATTGACCACTGCGATAGAGAAGTATTTGATCAACTGCTATAAAGAAAAGTTTTGATTGGCTTTTCTTTTGGTTCTGAGAAAGTTTTGAAAACTCTCGTTTGCTACGAAGTGAAATGAGAAGAATATATATCTCCTTTGTAGTGAAGTTGTATTTATTCATTGATGCCACCCGATAAAGGTGTCACTATAAAGTCTATTCAGAATCACTGTTATTTGTTTCCTTAACCCAACGCCGTCGTAAAGATCGAGAAAAGATGTGCACCTTTATCGCTATGCGGAAAGAAAACTATTTTTGCTTACAATCGTTTCACGAGAATTCGGATAATATAAACAATTTCGTCATCAAACATTTTGTTTTGACCCAAGGCACTGATTATACACTAGCTCTGACACAGTCAGTGGTCACGCAATTTTTGCAGCGATTTCCATCCTTTATTATGAAATTTCTCTATCATAAAGAGCATCCCTCAACCAAGAAATTTGATATTCAACCACAATCTTACCCTTGCTTGTGTCATTTGTCAGTGCTTATTTTAAGACCCCGCTTTATGGTTTGCGATTAGCGGCATTAGGTTTTTAGAGATTATTCGTTTTTGCTTCATTACATTTTGTCCAAAGAGCTAGGAATATCTGTCCCGTTTACTTTCTGTCTGTCAGGTAAGCGTTTATCCCCTTGTTTCCATTGAACTGTAAACAACAGACTGCAGAGTCTTTGAACCTGAACTCTACGTTACCGATAATTCGAGCCAATCTCTTGTTTCCCTTGAGTTATTAACGTCGAAGCTTATTTTGAATTCCCATTTATTCGAACGCGTTTTTCCCTTGGAACTTGAAATAAAGGGAAGTCGACTGTCGCAATTTGTCTGTATGACGTTTAAATACTTTGTGTTTGCTTTTTACCGTTGTATAACGTTAAGGTAATATTGTCAACAGACAGTGACGGATTTAAGGGGGGGGGGGCAACTAGTAGCAGTTGCCCCTCCCTCAACGAGTTGAAGCAAGTCTGGCGCCCCTTTTTTTGGAAATTGTGCGCCCCTTTTGAAGAATGAGAATCAGATGGAAAAGGTTCTGGGACCGATAGGTTAATTTGCTTCAAGGACTACCTCAAGGTTATGTTGTTTATTCTGAAAATGGATCTGAAATGGTTGTATACATCGTACTCTCGTAACCAATTTTTGAAATTTTTTCAGCGCCCCCACTTCCAACTGCCCCTTCTTTAAATTTGCTCTGGATCCGCCCCTGTCAACAGATTTGATATTGGAAAATCTTCACAGTAATGGGCTTTCATTACACTGGCTGGTGAAAATTCTCTAAACCAAGGAAAAACGTACTCCAGAGGGTTTTTTAAACCATCTGTAAACGATCTAGACTTGACTTTTAAAATTAGAGGCTATAATTTATTGCCTTACAGGGCTCACTATTGTAGATATTCGGGCCTTTATATTCTTTGGCGCAGATTACCTTTGATTTTGCCCAGGAAGACTTTGGTCTAGACTCATTGAAAGTGTCCCTTCCTTTGCAAGATACCCGTCATTCTTTTTGGCCACTTTATGCTCTAGATCAGTTTTCCTGAGGGGATCTACGTTAGCAGCACATATTATGAATTTCTGAACGGTTAATAATCTTTAGTGTCAAATTAAATTCAAATGTCTTTTAACAAACGGTTTTGAATGACTGGGAAATCTGATTTTTGTTATTGAGGCCCACTCCTAACTGGTGTTTAGTTACTAGGCGTATCGTTTTGAGTTCATCGCTTCCTGGTAATTTTCATTGTGTGCTGTTGTGTATCAAACCAGTGCAGATATTATATGGTAAAGCTCTGGTTTCAGTGGCTTTAGGAAATAACTATGCACGTGAAAGTGTTTTTGAGGTCTTAAACTGTATTCAGTGGTCGCTCGTATTACACCTTTTCAGGCTATTGAAAAAACTGCTAGAATTAGTAGATGCTCGATAACAGTATATCGTACAATGCACAGTGCAGATTGAATGTTTATTATCTTCTTTGCTGTTCCACACATGCAAATAGGATTAAGGCAATTAAAACTGTCTGAATCTGTGCTCGTTTAGGATGCTAAAGCTATCGCAGTTTCGTCAAGTATCAATCCAACACCTGTAGTTTTTTGAAGGGGTTGTTTCATTTTGAGACATTGTAAAATATCAGCGCTGTATGTTTCAACCACGACAAGTTCGGTAAAAATCATTGTATAACAAAACCAACTGCACATACCTCTACTGGTGGTCCATACAGAACCTGTATTTTTCTTTAAGTAACAAATGTGCCATGTGAATTACCCGCTCTAACTTGAAAAGTGCAAGTTCAAGACCACATTGTTTCCCTAGCGCCTGTTAATTTGTCAGATTGCTTCAGTACATACAGTGAAATTTGCTTGAGAGTTTTCGACCAAACAGTCTTTGCAGTTTGAATCCAAGAAGCGCAGTCTAGTACTTTGGTGCGAAATCTTTTCTAAGATCAGAAAGCCTTGAAAATTTTCTTATCGAATCCCAGCTCTGGCTCTCGACGTTACCACACCCACCTTACCAAACCCAGCTCGTGGTTGAGTTGATCTCATTTTGGACCTTCGGTTTGGCTTTGCGATTATATCTTGTGGCCAAAGATTGCTTAAGCAAGATTACCTCGGTATGGCAGTAAATTCATTAATAACAGTCACAGAGTTATTTCAAATCAAATAAATGTGATTATTGGATTAATATGAAATTTGTCGCTAGAATTATTTTCTTGAAATTTATTTTCTGGTTGTTTTTGCTTTGTTTCTGTAGCCCATCGCATTAACGTGTTCATAGAAGTCTAGATGTCTTTGCTCTGCTTCCAATAGCATATACTAGCCTTCTGTTTCTCGGTTGCAATGAGGGGGAGAGAGGATCAAACCAGTTTGCCCTTTCCATGCAACATCACTGTTATACTGTCTCAACTATTATAAGCAATCATAATATTTATACCTGGGTCAAACAGACTCGGAACTTAATGGCTGAAAACTATGCTGTGCTAAGAACACTTTTGACCACACCCAATGCCTTTTACACATATTTTTTACACATAAGTTTTGATGTTTATCAAAATCTTGCTTATTTTGATAAAGGAATAAGGAACGCCCATTTTTGTCTCTGCTTTCTACTTCTCTAGATTCTCCAGTTAGGATCATCTTGTCTGTTGCAAATAGAGCTTTTGGGTTGATAAATCCTAATTAAATTAGCTTGTGACCCAGAAAAAGATATCTACAGTTATCTGAGCGAAAAACGACCGAAATTTCTGCAAATTCCTTGGCATAGCTGACTTGAAAATCGTGATCATAGTCGGTTTCTTCGATAATTAACCGACAGAGTAGATAAAAAACTAGCCTGGTATCGGTAATTGAACTGTTTGTTTTTCTAGGAGATAAAAACTGAAATGGAGTTCGTCCATGTCGAATCTGAGGAGGACTTGCCTCGAAGGCTTGGTTTGGTTGACCAGGACACAGATAAAGTTGGCATCTCAGTGTCATCGATGTACAGTATCGAACAGAACAAGTATCAGCAGAGTGATGATAAAAAAGCTTTGGTGTCGTGTCTCGAGCAAGACATGAAGGAAACCAATGAAAAGATATGCAGAAATATCGAGGATGTTCTCTACGAAGACAGGTATTTCACTTACAGTTAATCCCACCAAAGAAGAACCTAATAGTTCAGTAGAAACCTCTAAAATGTCCTCTCTTGATTAAGCGCCTTGTTTTTAAGAATCCTATCTGCCTCCTTAAGTTTATTTTGATTCTAAGTTCATTGCCCCCTTAACTGTCTGTTGTCGCAAGACACCCCTATCGCCAGGTATCACTGACCAAGTTTGTCGTCAAAATACACTTTTAGATAAAAATTTAATGGAAGAAAACTTGACCATTCAATTACCGTAGGCATCTTCAGAACAACCCAAACCTGGATCAAGAAGATTAGATTTTTTCGGGATTTACCCGAAGTTTTTTGCGCGGTCCCCTTTTTCAAAGATGCATCTGTAGGAAGTTAGCTTTGTGTTAATGTGTTAAGGAGAACTTCTGTATGTTGAATGCAAAGTATTAATGACTTCCAAGGTATTAAGGGGAGCTGATAAAAGTAGAAGGATCTGTATAAAAGATATATAAATGAATAGGTGTGTAAATGTAATCTTTGGTAGGCTATCACAATTAAACATGAATTTGGTAGAGGTTCTGTAGGTTACCCCCATGACTTCGGTAAAAAGAACTATTAAAACCAACGGTGTTCCAAAGGCTTTCTAATGAAATGAAATAATAACTCTAAAGAACTCTGTTCGTTGGGCCTTTTCAGTTCCTTAAAATGCCTGCATAACATCCTTGTGTTTTTGGTTGAGGTTGATGATCTTAGTTAAAGTGCTTCTACCTGTTTTATCGTGGTCGAAAAGCTTGTTGCCGGCGTTGAATTGACAATCGGAGCATTGACAAAACTTGCTCCAAGGCAGAAACTTGTGGTCATAAAATCAGTCATGCGAACACGTCAATTACGAATGAAAACAACAGCACGAAGTGCTAAAGAGATAACATGACTTTAAGAAAAAAGACATTGCATAAATAAGAGTGTGTAAGGCGTTTTGTTTGCGATTATTTTTGAGCTTGATGCTGTATATTTCGCACCATTGATAATCACAAGGCAGGAGCCACTCAGATATCTGAGCATTCACGAGAGCTGAGAGAACTGTTTTTCAGTTAGTTAGGAAGTTGTTAATTGGGTTTTTTTAAGATTTGTTGAGGGTGGATACGTAGAGCGTTTCTTCGGATTGTGGCTTGGGAAGTTAATTTTGGTTTTCAGATCTTTAATATTGCGTTATTACAAAATGCTATATTAGTAATGCTATGCTATCACTGATTGCATTTATTGACTAAGCGAAACAAAGATTAGATAAATCATCTTAGGCATTTTTCGAATGTCACATGTAATCAGTCAAGATGCCACATACCTTGTGTCATTTCCTTTGAGGAGCATTTAGCTGTTCAAATTATGTGCAGACAAGGAGTACAGTATCAATCGTATTTCTTGTTTTTAATCATAGTTAAATGACTGTTTCCTAATTAAGTTAAAGAAAACAAGTGTATCAGGGCTGAAATAGCCAACACTGCGCATCGCAGAATGAAATGATTAAGGGCTGGTTAGTGTCGGGAGGGGCGATGGGGCTATCTTCTAAATTGGTAAATGTTTCATTGACTGGGATATCGTATCACGCCAGTGCAATAGAAAATCTTTGCTTGATATCGTTAGTTACTGATACTATCCTTGATGGCGGTTTTGGAAGATGAATGGTCGTTTAATTTGATTTGAGTGTGGTAGAACCTAGACATATACAGGGTGATACTTCAGCTAGTCTCAAGGGCGAGAAAAGGAAACGTTCAAATCTTTTTAAGAATAGCATGTCCAGGGTGTTTCGGATTTTGACGTCGTTGAGTCAACACTGAACAATTTATCGAAAAATTCCTACTAGAATTTCCTCTAGGCAACTTCAATTCTGCTCTGTCCTCCAAATATATCTTTTTAGAAAATATAGCGCTCGTTGAAATATTTGCCATACTGATTTAGGCTTTTTTGAAAGAGTCAAACTGTTTATCGAATGTTGCCATAAATCGAAAACAATGTAATTTGTTTCCCATTAGCAGGGGTTAGTATAGTATAGACTAAGACAATGTTTGGGGCTATATTTTGTTTAAAATTATCTTTGCTTTATTCCATTAGGAAGCTAGATTACGACCTGAAAGACGTAAGGCACCCTCCTCTCCAAGCGATACAGCCATCTGGAGATCAAGACAGTCGAAGAAAGTCGAACGAAAGCAGGAAGTTCCGTATTAATGCCAAAGACTCGAACAACAGGGATTTGCTCACAAGACAGGTTATTTCAAGCCTTTTGCCTATTCACATTTTAAACACGTGGTGAATTGAATTAGAAAAAGCTGTTACACCAGGTTCACTTTAAAGTTCAGTCTGCGAACATCCCCACAACTCCTCTTGTGTTTTTTATCTTCCATCTGCCTTGCAGTTTGAGGGACTCCTTTGAAATTCTCTGTTGAATGCTGAAATACTGTTGTGTGTTGGAAACTCGCTGTTTATGTCCCCTCTGCGCCAATACTTCTTCTTCTTAGATTGTTTTCATTCCTATGTATTTTTAAACTCAAAGTGACCATTTTTAAAATATCTCGTCTTCGCTCACATGTATAAAGGGGCTCAATAACACTTTTCTTTTGATATTCTTTTTATGCAGATACCAAAAGCTGCATCAAAGCCAGGAGTGAATGCCCTGGTAGAGGTATCATTTCGGTTGGAAGATTCGGATGCTGTTATGGTGTATGCACAAGATGATGCAATCGATTCAAAGATTGTTGCGATTCTTGGAGAATTGAAATTGGAAGAAAAGCGATATGTTGATGTTTTGGATTGCATATCGAAGGTAAAGGTTAAGCCTGATGCATTGTTGTGGTATGCACCTGCAGTCAGATTTTACTCGTTTTGAATTATAACAGGCGTGTAGGAATCGGAGCACGTATATACCTTATCCTAAAATTTTGCCATCTTTAACATAAACCCCCTTTTGTTAAAACAAAGCTTTGGCTAGTTGCCCCTACGTCAACGACACTTTTATCTCGTTGTTCATGGTTGTCTTTTTAAGATTGTCGCGCGAATTTGAATTGGACTGATTAAGTTTATTTTGGTTTCTACCAACTCGCTCGTTTTCAAAATAAGTAACAGCTATGTTTGATTTGGTTCGGAACATCCAAAACATAGATCGAACACGAATGATCCAACACTGTGTTGAAAGATTACTTTGCTAACCTTTTTAGCTATTTGAGGTTGGCCGCATGAGTGAATTACTCCTTTTTTTCTAGCATTTCATTGAACAAATGGCAGCTGCACCATTAAAACTACAAAAGCAAAGAGACGTCATTTTTAGGAATGTCAAGGATCTCCTTCTCGTTCACAAAAAGTATGTTGATTTCACCTTGATACTCCATTGTTGATCTCGTCCCTTATACCTTACCAGTAAAGTCTTATATCCTTTTCCTTTTCAACTACCTTTAGAGTCATTGCAGATTTGCAAACTGAAAATTTTATTTCGGACGATTTTTTGACTTCCTTTTGCCTGCTGAAATATTGTTTATATTGCCTTCGAGAAATATTTATCAACATATCCCCTTTCTAGGATCCGTTTATCCCTGGTCTCTGCACTTTTTATCAGAGTATTCCCTCCAATTTTTGGTGCTACCTTTTTGAAATATCCTGCAAGTTGTCTAGCATCCTTCTCAATGTCTGTCTGAGACAAAGACGTTGGTTTCACATCAGCCTCCTAACAAAATTATTGATTTTTGATTTTTGAATCGGCCTTTGAACACTCCTAGATTCGCCAACGTATTTCCTATATGTTAAATGTAAATTAATCTTCTGGGTATTTCCAAATCTTTGATTCTAAGTTTTTTAATGTTATGTTGCTGTTTTGTCGTTCTTTTAATGTTTCCTGTTTTGTGATAATGTTTATTGTCATCTATTTAGCCATATTTTACCTGAGTTAGAGACGATCAAAGAACCAGACGAAATTGCTGACGTTTTTTTGAAAGCGGTACGTTTAATTAGATCCTAGATTTCTTTACAGTTTCAATTATAATTGCATCAAAGATAACCCCTAATGAAATATGGTAGGAGCTTTTCTTGAATTTTCTAAAGATTTTTTTTGTGGAATATAAGAATTATTTATTTCTTTTTGTTTTTATATTTGTGGAAATGTCATTTTATGGCACATTAAGTATTTCATTTCGGAGCATTTTGTTCAGTTGGTTGATTAAATGTTTTGGCACAACATTTTCATCTCGTTGCTGATTAATTTTATTAACATCTCTACAGGAACCAAAGTTGAAAAAATATACGAGTTATATTTTGAAAGGCAAAGACGCCGAAGAAGTGCTTCAGTCTGTCTTGTTTTTCAAGGTAATGTATTAATATCTTGGTGTGACTGGTTCATAAGTCGGATTTCTTTTAGATTTTATCCTGGTACTTAATGAAATTTGTAATTCGAGGACTGATAACTTTATTGCGGAATAAGAAGTCTTTTCCTTCCCCTATTTAGTTTAGGTGCCCATTACTCTTCAGCCACCTCGTCCTTAGCACCTTGTCATCATTCCTTCTTTTTCTTAATCATTTTCTCATTAGCATTCACCCTTACTGCGTTTCAGTTTTTTACTTTTTTGTCTTTATTTTTTTTTGTTTTCTTCCTTCACTTTTTTTGTCTCCTCTCTCCCCGTTTCTTCTTCTGGTGTCAGTTACTATTAGCCCTTTGTATCTCAGCTGACTCCTGTGATAGCCTTGTTTTGACTACCTGCCTCGACTTCATCTTGTCTTTGCTGTATCTGGCTACCATTTCTTCAGAAACCTGTCTCTTTCTAGAAAGTGAATTTGCTGTGGTTGCAATCCAGCTAGTTTTTGCATAGAATTATTTCTGGATTAGGCACATATTTTGTGTGCCCAAAAATACCACGGTTGCCCAACTCCCTACCTTTGGTATGCCACAACTTTCCACAATAATGAGTGACCCCAAATAAACTGCAAAACTCACTTCGTTATCTTCTAATGAATTGATGAGGAATTCGCTCTTGTCATGTTCTCCTGCGAAGTGGAAGCCCACAAAAATTGTTATCTTTGATACATTTTTTGTTAGCTATCTTTCATTTTGTCTTTTATCAGATCAGTTGACCATTTTATAGTATGTTTGTCTCGGAACGAAAAACTTAGCCATCGAACATAAGACATCATTTTGCAAAGTTGGTGCAAAGTTGGGCGTGTCCTTTTGGAAGCCATAGAATAAAGCCAGAATAAGGGGTTAATTGTAACCCATTATAACCAAGGGGGCCTTACTCCTCCCTATATCTTTTCCAGTAAGCCTTTTTCCAGTGTGCCATTGTCGCAATAGAATCTCCATATGGTTTTACCTTATAAAATATCGATCATTCGTAGCTAAGTGAAAATATTATGTTACTGTGGATGTCGCGCCGTTCAAGCTATATATCCTGCTGAAATGTAATTGTCTGTTTATCAATCTACCTTTCTGTCCAAACTCAACGATCTAAACTGATTAAAACGCACTGAATGTTTATCCCGTTGTTGTTCATTTCTGGCAAACATTAACATCCTCGCAATGAATTGCAGCCGTGGCTTACCAGGATTTTTTCGATGTTCATTTACAGGATTGCAGTAAACATAAATTGACAATAAATGACCACCTGACGAGCCCACAGAAGCATCTTCTATTCTACGCAGTTACACTTCAGGATATCATAAAGTACAAAGAAGCAAAAGGAGAGAACACTGAACACTTGAAAGTAAGTGCTGTAGTTAATTATAGGCTGAAAGATTTGTCAAAGTCTTGTTCATTCCAAGGCAAATGAACCGTATTTTCAGAACCTCTCTCCATTAAGTAAAGTTTGGTTTGGTATGGTATCAAAAATCTCGTTTTCGTTTCCTTCTTCCCCTTCTTCGCGGTTGTCGCCCATGTGGCTGTAAAATTTGTTATGCTCCCTGGTTTCTCAAAAAAGGATCTGTGGGGAAGACCCAAACTAGTATTATTTGATTTGCTATCTGGTCCCCAGTCTACGTCATTGAATACAAGAACGATAATATCAAATGAAATAAAAATTCCAGTTAAGATTCTCAACAGAATCTGCAATAGTGTTTGTCGAAGCAATGCCAGATGCTTGGGTAACTTTTGGCATGCTTTCATTGTTAAAACATGTCATTTTAACCTTATCAACATTAGTTAACCTTAAAAGTTTTCTCAAATGTTTGTGCTGATTCTCTATCATATCTAAGATTTTTCTTGTCTCGCAATCAGGTCGCTGTGAACTTGATTCGAGGCTTGATGGGCATTCCAAAATTGGAACTGAAACAGCCTGATGCCCAGCCGATAGCAAAGGCTCCTTCGCAACATACTGACGCATATATTGTAAGCAAAATGTACAGCCCTAAACGAAAGGATGAAATTAGCCTGGAAACAGGAAATACTGTCAAAGTGATTGACCAAAGGAACGGACGATATTTTGTGGAGACGTTAGACGGAAATCAGCATGGCTGGGTGCCCGAGTTTTGCCTGCAGAAACAGGCAAAAGGAAACTTAAACACAAGAAATGACGGTAAGATAGTGGATTTGTGGTAATTTGTAATCAATGTGTTGTTCGCACGCTTTGTTGGATTCCTAACGTTTTTTACAGAATGTTTACATCTCTAAGTTATTCAATTCTTTTATTTAGTTAATTCACGACTTTATAACTAATCGTTTTGCTTCAGGCAAATCTTCTTATCAGTGCTAGGCCGTTCGTTGCCAAAAAATTTTGAACTGTCACTCAGGCTATATTGACAATCGTATACTAAGTAGTGTCTTAATTTGTCACATTCATCGATTGCTCTAATAAAGTCCCATTGATTCAGTTTACTTTATTCATGTTGAAGGTATTGCTCCACTATTCACAAAACCTCTTGCAAAAACGATTGCTGGTGAAGGCAAAACTTGCCAACTCTCCGTGCACGTCAAAGGGGCCCCGCAGCCTGATCTTCAGTGGTTTCTTAACGGTATCCCTGTTCGCAAAGACAGCAGGCATAGTATTGGCAAAGATGGTTCACTCACGATTCGTCGGTTAAATGTGAATGATGAAGGAATGTACTCAGTTACTGCTTCAAATACACATGGTTCTGCCTCATGCAAAGCAGAGTTATACGTCGAAAGTAAGTTTGCTTTTTCCAAGTTTTACAATTTCATTTTACAAAGTCTTTAAAGTCACATGATTTTCTCGGTTTCCTATATTTGGAGACGAAGAGTGTGTGTCTTTTCTGTCATGTGCTGAATCATCACTTTACTTGTCGCTTAGTCTTTCATTCTATGATTCAATTCTCTTTAGCAACATTCATAAAGTTTTCAATCCCTGAAACTTTTCCTTCTTGCTCAAATACACAGCGATTTGGGAAGTCTTTAAAGCGTCCAAAGGACTATAAACTGTTTCCCTTGGATACTTAAGCTTGAATTCCTAAATTAAGTTTTTTCTTTAGCTTATCTGACTCTCACAAACTGATTCCCCTCTTTAAAGTTACCAAATTCTCAACATGCATTTTTCTAACATACTTGCCATTTCATTTACCACAAACAGTTTCTCTTACAAAATCATCTATTATCAACTAAAATAGATTTACTTCGCTGTATGTTTACCTGCTCTAATCTTGCTTTATTACTCTTTAGAAACAAATCATGCTGAACCGCAGGGCCCCCCAAGAAGCCATTTACTTAATAAATGAAAATGTTCTATTAACTAATGTTGGTAAACATAAATTGCAAACAGGACTTGCGGCTGGTGAAGACCGAGAGTCTTATTTTCCTTTCACCACATATATGTTTATTATTTTCCTTTCAATACAGATAACACTACAAAGCCAAAAGAGCTGAAAGATTTAAAAATTTCATGGACGTTTATACAATCTGTTGATTTGAAGGGTGAATAAAACCCAACTCCCCCACTGCCCTTGCCTGTTGTTCCTTTTTGCCTCCCTACCTTCATCTACTTTTCAATTTTCCCATTTTCTTCATTTTATTTGCACGTTGATTATAAGTCTTAAAAACATTTTTTTAATGTTGTTACAAAATCGCCAAAGAAATAATCATTCTTCTGAACATTTGTCATTCTTACATTTGCAACCCGCCACTTTTACCAAATTTTTGATGATAGACATTTTCATAACTACCAGTATAGGGCCATATCGGATCTCTTGCAAGCCTAGTGGTTTTAGGTTGAATATCATTCAAGGGGCACTTGCTGCACTTGATTTGAAGCTCTTTTTTTCAGTCATAAACATTTTTTCTGTGGGCCTTTTTTTAATACAGCTTCCTCTAATTTTAGCAGACTATTCATCGCTAAGTAGTGCATATGAGAACGGCTCAACAGAACAACTGAATGGAAGGTAGGCCCTCTTTTTATCCGATTTATAGTTTTTCTGTCTTTAGAAGCTGTTGAATATTGTTATTTTGCTTGCACTGCGTGGGTTTCCTTTAAATCTGCTGCGGTTGGCCATCAACAGATCATTCTGCTTATTTGTAATAGGCAGTAATTAACTGTTTATTCTTCTCTATAAGTCTTGTCAGAAACAAATAATCGGCACTATTTGTATCCTATTTTAAGACATTTTGTACTTGATCGTCTATTGCATATTTTGCAAATGCTTTTGATATCCAGGATTGGCTAATTTTACTTAAGTAAATAGTTTTAGAGCTATATTAGAGGATTGGCCATATATTTAGAGTTTTTGTTGGATATAAGCTTTATGTTTGTTTTGCAGGGTAAGGGAAAAAGTTATAGAAGAAGTCTCGGCTACTAATGTGGAGGCAATGCAAGTGTATTCGACTCCCCAAGAGGCTCCGGTTATTACAAAGAGGCTTGAAGGAGCAGTTGTTCCGTTAGGTGCCACAGTTGAATTCAACGTCGAAGTTCGTGGGGATCCAGCCCCCGTTTTGGCTTGGTATTTTAACGAAGAAATGGTTGAAGAAAACGAACACTGTCATATATACGTCAACGGAGGCTTACATAAATTGTCGTTTCAAAATGTCTCTCATAGAAATACAGGCACGATAAGGTGCATTGCAATTAATGAGGTTGGAAGAGACCAGTGCGAGGCCACTCTAAGAATTGACCAATCGAGACCCAGTCAGAAGAATACAATACCGAAGTTCATTTCACAGATGAAAAGCCTTCAACTGATAGAGGGCGGTGACGCCCACTTCGAAGTGTCGTTTGAAGGGAATCCCCCTCCAGAAGTTAGCTGGTTCAAGGACTCGATTTTCCTTACTGATGATTATGGAGTTGAAATTGTCACGCAGGATGGAGAAAGTGAACTATTTCTTCCAGACGTTGGAAAGGACGACTCCGGAAAATATTACTGCGTCCTTCAAAACAGGCTAGGGAAGACCCAGTGCTTCGGAGAGCTGTTCGTTTCAGAACAGCCCGCTAGCTCCGCGAAGGAACAGGTTGTCAGTGACAGGCCAGTTTTTAGTACCACTGGACCACCTTTGATTGTTGAAAAACCAGGTGATATTCGTGTATTTGAAGGGGATTCCGTTTGCCTTGTTTTCAGGGCAATAGGAGATCCCCCATTATCGGGAAAATTTTTATGGGATGGAAAGGATTTGTCAGACGATATTCATTTCTCGATCGAGGAAAAGGACGATATATGGAAACTGACTTTGAAGCAAGCAGAGCTGTATCTTCAAGGAGTGATTCTTTTTGTCGCAGAAAATGATAAAGGGATCGCTCAATGCTCGGTCAAATTAAAAGTAGACGAGAGTATTGTTGCGCCAATGTTCACGAAAATGGCGGAGAATATTTATGTACGGGCTGGGGATCGATGCCAGTTCTCTGTCAAAGTCAAGGGAAAACCCCTTCCGCGCGTTGAGTGGTACAAAAATGGCAGACTGCTTTCTGACAAAGAGGAGATTCATATTTACAGAGACGGAGACAAGCATTCACTTATAATCAGAAAAGCTAGCAGAGAATGGGCGGGCAAGTTTAAATGTGTCGCTGTGAATAACGCCGGCGAAGCTTCTTGTTCAGCCATGTTGAATATTGATGGTGACGGAAAGGCACCCAGATTCGTCAGTGCGTTGGAAGAACAGGAGTGCTACGAAGGAGATGTGGTGAAATTGAGTGTGAAGACTCAAGGCAAGCCAAACCCTGAGATTAAATGGTACAAAAATAACATATTGCTCCGAAGTAGTAAAAGGCTGGTAATGGAATCAGATGGAGAGAACCATAGTTTGATAATAAAAAGAGTTGACGATGATGACTGCGGAATGTTAAGTGCGCAGCGACGAATAGTTATGGGTCAGTTATTAGCGAAGCATTTTTGAATGTTATGGAGAAATCAGCGCCACCTGTGCTAGCCAAGAAACTGCAGGACGTAACTGCTAGAGAAAATGGGAAACTCGAACTAGAGGTTTGCTTGGAGGAGGGGTCGCATCACAGTACACAGTGGTACAGAAATGGGGAGGAGCTCAAGTCAACTTCTACTTGTAAAATATCTAAATGGGCTGACAAAGATCGTCTTGTTATCGAAAAAGTTCTCAAAAATGATGAAGGAGAGTATGTTTGCCTCATACACAACGATTCAGGCGACTGTTCAACAACTGCAAAAGTGACAGTGACATCGCCGTCAGCGAAAGAGTTCGTAGATGATGACGTTGTCATGACAGTTAACACAACCGAAACCAATACAATGCCAACGATAGTTCTCGGAGACGGGACCAATGACGCCCAAAAGGACGACAAACGCTTTGTTTTTGCGCCAGGAAAGGCACTAAATTGACAATCAAAGAGACAGGTGATGATGGAAGCGGACAGTTTAGACTTGTAACTGCGGGGAGTTTAGAAGATGCCCGGCCAGGGACATCAGCTAGTGTGAGTGAGGAGGAGCAGGATTTCCCTCCAGAATTCATTTCGGCACTCGAAGACATCGATTTAATTAAAGGCAAAAGCGCTAAATTCGAAGTAGGAATAATAGGTCAGCCATTTCCAAAGGTCACGTGGCTTAAAGATGGCGTGCAATTGCGTGAAAGCTCAAAGGTAAAATTTGGACTTCAGAACAGGGTTCACTCAGTTACAATTGAGAGATGCGATGCTGGGGATATTGGTTGCTACGAATGTGTTGCCATCAATTCCAAGGGGAGAATATCATGCCAGGCAATGCTAAGTGTAGACTCAGATTTCGGCAGTGTCGAGAGGTATGAACATGCACAGAGGAGAAAATCAGAGGAAGGCTTGTCACCAAAGTTTCACAAAACAATTTCTGATTTGCGCATCAAAGAAGGTAGACTTTTGAAATTTCCTTTAGTACTTTAATCTTTTAACGTTTTAATATTTTAGAATAACATTTTATCATACCACTATCTTCATACAATTTCTGAGTTTTTTTGGTGCTATTTTTAAAAGATATTTATATAATGTTAACAAGTCTTTCTAATATATTAATTGTCAGCCGAGATAAATCAAAGTAAACTGAAATAGACTGGATTGTTTAGCAGTTTTTACACGTAAGCATCAATACTCATTTCTATGTAAGCATTAATACTCATTAATCCAGGAAAGTACATTTATCCAGTAAAGCTTTGAAATACCATTAATTACATTACGTTTTAAGAAATTCTTTGAAGCCAACAATTCGATGCATGTGATGCCTTTTGTTTACAGAATAAGGGTTTTACTGCCCACCCTGTTTCCATGCATCGTTTTTCTATCATACTAATACCATCAAATACCATGCTTTAATATTAAAAATGAATTTCTATAGGTGAAGAAATGCGCTTGCAAGCGATCGTAGACGGAATTCCATTTCCAACTGTGGAATGGTATCGAGAAAACGTTCTTTTGAAAGACAACGATCGAGTGAAGCTTGAAATGGACCAAAAATCTGGTGTCTGCTCTTTGACGATAAACAAGGCTAAGAGAGAGGATATGGGAGAGTATGAATGCATGGCGAAGAACATAGCTGGGGAAGCAAGCACATATTGTGAGGTGATTGTTGATCAGTGTTCGGATAGTGATAGTAAAGGAAAACGGATTGGCAGGAACAAGGAAGTGAAGAACACAGAGAGAACTGACCCGGCCAGGGGGATGAGCACTGATATGATGGAAAGCGACGACGACCCGCACTGTAAGCAGTTTGAATGATTGGCACTTTGCTGACATTGATAAAGTTCTCTTTTTGCTGTTGTCTTTGTGAATTTCTAGTAATTACGTATGCAGTCAATTTCCTGGAAATACAACGCTATACTTCCGTTGGAGCTAGTTTAGTTCATTCCTATACATCTGTCCTAAACTTTTTGTAACCAATAGAAGACATCGGACATTTTCAGCGACAACTCTCAACATGTTGGTTGTTGTTTGGAAAGTCATAATTTAGGCTGATGTCAAAACATAGCCATTCTGTCTGATTTCTAGAATTCTTCTCTATTATTTTCTTGTCACAATTTTCCTTCAAATGACACCAAAATGGATAATGTTCCACAAGACCGCATTCCTATTACCCGATACAAGCATGTCCTTAGTCATCGAAAACTAATCTTATTTGTCTGTCAATATTGAAAATGTCTTAAATTTTCCACCGCCTGGAGCTTGGCTGGGATTTTCTACAACCACAATTCTCGGTAAAGGTCAGGCTGCAGGAATTGGAGCTAACTATTACAGAAAGTTTGATATCGGTTCCCAGCTGTGATTGTGGAACTCTCTGTTGTGTTCTTATCTTTAAGTTATTGTCAAAGAATCTAATGACTGATTAATGTTCTGTTTTTAACAGCATTGATCGAAAAGACAGAGGCTGGGATTCCGCCGCCCATTCTAGAGGTTGACGCCGCGCAGTCTTCTTCATCTGATTCGGATAACGAAAAGTGTGCCAAAAAGAGGCCTCGATCAGGTTCGTTTAAAAAGGAACAGGGCGCTGGAAGTCGACGAAATAGCAAGCAATCGAAAGAAAATCAAAAGGCATATTCTACAACTTCTGGAGATGACCCAGATTTAGAATCCGATGCCAAAACACCAAAGAAGTTCGCGAAAAGTAAGAGCAAGCATAAGGATAGCGATTTCTTTGCGTCGTCAGACTCTGACTCAAAAATAAGCTCACAAGGCCCTGATTTGAAGCCAGTAGTAGAGGAAATTCAGGTTAGTGTTTTTTGACAAGATTCTTTTTAAGCCCCGAATCAATAATACCGGTTGAAATACGAATTAGCGAAAGATCTAGTCAATCTTGCAAAACCCAGCTAAAGGAATGTCATGTTTAGGGAAAATGTAAATGTTTAATCGCTGGAATTCCTGCCTGCATATTAACGAGTCAGCAATCATCTCCTTGAAATCGGATCATTATACGCTTGGTTCCAGTCTCTGGGATTTGGATCAGCAGTTTGCGACAATGTGAGATTTCTCTTTTTGAATGGTGTCTTACTATCGGAGTTGTTGCTTGGAACAATTGCGTCCCACCACAGAATTACCCACGCATTCAGGTTAATTAGAGTTGTGACCTTGTCTGTATAGGAATTTGAGTTCTAGAATGAAATGACGAAATAAGTAGAGACTAAGTTGTCACCGGCTCACAATTTGTGGTCTCTTCCAAAAAAACAAGCGAATGCTGCGGCGCAGTTCCAAATATGCTTCATAAGGGATTAAAAACTGCAAATTTGATCTTGAAATTTAAAAGGGTTTGTCGTCTTTCCTTTGAAAAAAAGCCCCAGCCGCTAGAGTAGAAATCCATAACTGGTGGAGATAATGAAAAAGGTGAACTAGGGCTTTTACAGTACACCGTTCAATCCCAGTGAAAAGAAAGCATTGATGTTATTTTTCAAGGGAAAATTCAGCCATGGAAAAAATGGGAAGCTTGAATTAAAGGTTTGCTTGGGGGGAGGCGAATGGGGGTGGCGCATCACAGAACACAGTTCAATCCCAGCCAAAAGAAAACAATGACGTCATTTTTGAAAAGGAAATTTCAGCCATCTCCCTCTCTTCCTGGAAATGATGATGGTTTGATATAAAAGAACGTATAAGATCAAAAGGTGCTTTTTCTTTTGTGACTTGTATGATATTTGCCTAGTTTATCAAAATTATTCAGGAGGAAGTGGGTGAAAGGAGTAATGAAGCGGAAAATATACAAACAGGTTTCACAAGTGATTTTTACCATGAATTGTACTTCTGTCTAAGAAGAGCTCTTTTGAAGTGCTTCAACCGTTCTTAATCGAGATCTCATCGTCTAAATGATATCTGCAACCTCTAAGCATTTTGTGAAAATCAAAAACCTTTTTTAGTTCGCCAAAAACGCCAAGATAGTTAATAGCAGGGATCTTTAAGAGTTCATAATTATGAAGCGATCAATCATGGTCTTCTAATATCAACTTTGGCAAAGTAGGATAGTGACTGCTAAGTATTTATCATTATACATTAATTAATGAGCTCTGACTGTAGAATGAAAAGCTTGTATGGAAAATTTCTAATTCACTTATTTTAGAGGTCCTTCAAAAAACAGCGTCTGCTGAAGTGCAGCTCTTCGTAAAGAATTAAATATGCTAGCAGCTAAATGATATATTTATCAGGTTTTTTATTTTTCTAACAAAAAGGGTCATACATCAGGGGTACGGTCTAGGTCAAGCATGGGGAAGTCTATTGATGATACAATTGCTGATTGAATTAACAAGATGAAAATCATGTCTGATAAATGCGATTTAATATGATTATTGCTTTTACCGTGAAATGAAGATTACTTATTGTGAAAGGAATCTAATTAAACAGTTTGACTTCTTTATAATTGCTAAATGGTGGTGTGTTTCTCAGTATTTTTCTGATATTTTGTCAATTAATGAACGCAGTCTCAAAATACCAAATAAAAGCAAAGCTCATCTGTTCATTTTTTGGACAGCCTTTCCACTAACCCGGGTTAAAACAAAACCGAGTTAAAAGTTATTCGTTTTTAAAGTGAGTCAATGGAAACGGTATTTTTCTTCGACCCGTTTTTAATCCGTTTTGATCGTTCCCACTAAGCCGGGTCAAAATCTATTCAGGGTGAAATATTCGAAAACGTACGCAGAGTTGTAAGATAAATCCGTATTTGCATCAATAATCCTTCAATTTCCATCGTTGTAGGCCAATGAAAGTAACATCGATATCGAGGTTTTTTTTTATTTTTGGCGCCATCTCAATTTTTAAACGTTGCTGTTGTTGCAAGTGGATTAGTAGTTTTCCAGGTTTCGCCGTTTCCATTAACTCGCAGGTGGGTCAAAAGATACCCAGGTTAATAAAACCGACCCACTCTGACACTCGTTTTCAAACTTATCCGTTTTTCAAGTGGGTTAGTGGGAACGCGACGCAGAAACGGATAACTTTTACCCGTTTTTGTTTTAACCAGGGCTAGTGGAAAGGCTGCCTTGGAGCAGATAAACTGGTATTCTGATAAAAGTAAGTTGAATAGTTGCCTATTGTTCTGTTCAGGTAGGCATTTGTGCCGGTCCCTAACTACTCAATTCTAGATCAGACAAATATGTAACAAGTTGACGTTTTCTAAGGTTGTGGAGGCTGTTGATGTATCAGAAGAGCCACCATTGAATGAAGACGTGACATTTCAGAAAGAGCCAGCAATTGTGACTGGGCTGAAAGACGCTACAATTGTCGAAGGAGAGCCATTGCAACTTCGTATTACTTTGAATGGGAAGCCCGCTTCTGATGTGAAATGGTTTAGGGATCAGAAGGATATTATCGCGAGTGACCGATGCATTTTCAAGCAAGATGGTAGCAGTCATTTTTTGATCATAAACGAGGCTACTCTCACGGATGAGGCTGTGTACGTTGTTGTGGCAGAAAATCAGTTTGGCAAAGTGACCTCGTCAGCAATGATAACTGTACAACAAGCTGAGAAAAAACCCGTTTTTGAAAAGAAGCTCGAAGACGCTAAAACTGTAGCTGGTTTTGACTTGATATTGAAGGCAAAATTTAAAGGATTCCCTGAGCCAAAAGTCGAATTTTACCATAACAACAAGATCTTGTACAATAGTGAGAAGTATTCTGTTTCAGTCGATAATTCAAGTGGGGATTGTTCTTTGAAAATTTGCAAATGTGAAATGAAAGATCATGGACAATACAAATGCACGATTCGTAATAAAATTGGCCAGTCAACTTGCTTTGCAAAGGTCGTGATTACAGAATCAGTTCTGTCTCCACAGTTTTTGCTAGGTCTCAACGATGTACAGTGTTCTGAAGGGAAGGATGTCACCTTAAAAGTGGAATTCTCTGGAAAGCCAAAGCCAGTTATAACATGGTATAGGAATGGAGAAGCCTTGAAACCATTCGGACGATTTCGGACAAAAACTGATAATAGCTTCTCGAGCTTGTCATTAACCAGAGCTAAGATGAATGAGAGTTGTGTGATCAAGTGCGTCGCCAGCAATGAAGGCGGAGAAGTAGAGACTGTTTGTAAACTAGATGTGTTGGAGGAAATGAAGGAACCTCAATTTATCTACAGTCCAAAAAACCTCAAAGTTTACGAGAAAGGAACCGCATCTATTCGAGCAACGTTCAATGGAAAGCCGACTCCAGATGTAGAGTGGTATAGAAACGAGGAACTTTTAAGCAATTCTAAGAATTTTGAAATCAAGACTGATGGCATGAAAACGACATTGAACATAAAAAATTGCAGGCAAGAGCATGCTGGGATATATAAATGTGTTACGTCAAACAAAGCTGGTACTGCCTTTTGTACGGCAGTTTTATCAGTAGAAGAGGCGTCTTCAAAGCCAGAATTTGTTGCAGGCCTAAAGGATACTCGCTTAAAGGAAGGTGATAATGTTGTGCTCCACGTTGAAACAAAGGGCAATCCGAAGCCAACAGTTCAGTGGTTTAGGAATGAAAAGCTTATTCTAGCAAGTGACAAGTTTAAATTTTCAAGTGACGAGAATAATCATCGTTTAGAAATTACATCTTGCAATGGAGCCCAATGCGGAAGCTATAAAATCGTTGCAAGGAACAAAATTGGCGAATGTTCATCGAGGGCAAAGGTCATTATCGATGAAACTACTGAGAAACCAATTTTCGTTGCTCAGTTGAAAGACATCGACTTGTTTGACTCTGAGACTGCCAGGTTAGAAATGGAAGTAAGAGGGGAACCGTGCCCAAAGGTTACGTGGTATCATGATAGCAATGCGGTTCAGTTTGGCAAGCGGTGCCTTGTAGAAAGATCCGGAAATAAACATACGCTTGTCATAAAAGACGTTTGTCCGAATGATCAAGGGACATATGAATGTATTGCCGAGAACGAAGCTGGACGTGCATCTTCAATGTCGTTCTTGAAGATAAAAGAGCCACTGTTTGTGCCAGAATTTGCTGTTCCACCGGAAAATGCAACGGTGAATGTCGGAGAAAATGCTACAGTCCACTTCGTAGTTGTGGGGAATCCACGTGCAGAGGTAAATGTTATGAAAGGAAGTGAAGATGTTGATGAAAATGTTAAGCTGATGATGGATGGTGTAACAGGAGAAGGCAGGGTTACTTTTAGCTCCTTTTCACGTGAAAACAGTGGCGTATATCGCATTGTGACAGAAAACAGCGAAGGGCAAACCGAACATGCGTTTACTGTCAATTGTCCTTCAACCGATAGCAAACCAATGTTCTTGAAACCGTTATCTGATCTTCGTGTTCAGGCTGGCGAAAATGCGACGTTATCTGTTGAGTTTGCGGGGAGCGTTCTCGATGTTGATTGGTATAGAGACGATCAATATATCGCAGATTCAGATAAATACGAAATAATTGACGAAGAATACCGTTGCTTACTCGCTGTGAAAAATTGCAGTACCGCTGACGAAGGGATTTATCGATGTGAGATCGGAAACGACGAAAACCATGCCTCGTCTGAAGCCAGGCTCACGGTTTCTAGCATGAAAAGGAGGTTAAGCCAGGATAGATCAAACATGGAGAGACGATCTAGCATCCAAAAAGCTGGTCCGGTTTCGCAACCGGTTCTAGAATTCAAACCGGAATTTATTGAAGCACTGGAAGATGTAAAGTGTTTCGAGGGTGAAAATGTGACACTTCAGGTTACAGTAAAAGGCTCACCGTTGCCTGAGATAACTTGGTTTAATGGCCCGCAGCAGGTCCGAAAATCTGCGCGTGTTTTGACCCGGAAAGATTCGAACGAAGTAAGAAGCTTAGTGCTGAGGAATGTGACAGCCAGCGACGCTGGGGAGTACAAATGCGTTGCGACGAACTCTCTCGGATCTGTTTTTAGCAAGGCGGTTCTGGACATCTCAAAACCGGTCACAGCACCTAAGTTCGTTAAGAAGCCACCTAAAGATTTGAAGCTAGTCGAGGGTGAAACTGCTAGTTTGGAGTTTTCTGCAAGTGGAAATCCATCACCGACAATCAAATGCCTTTTTGTAAACGAGAACAACAATGCAAAGGATGTTTCAGATTTGGTTGCCCAAGGGTTTCCATCGAAGTTTGTTTTAGCGGATTGCCAAATAGAAAATGCTGGAATTTACAAATTTGTTGCAAGCAATGATGGCGGGGAAGCATCTTGTGAAGTGAACATCGAAGTGAAAAGTGATGAAGTTAAGCCGAAATTCACAAAGAGTTTGAGCGATCTGAAAGCAGAGATTGGGAAGGATTTGAAATTAACCGTAACTTGTCTCGGCAAACCAAAACAAAGTGTTACGTGGAGCAAAAATGGCGAGGTCATTAAAGCAGGGGGGCGAATTGCCCAGAATGTTGTCGATGACGTCATCACGATGACAATCTCAAAGTTTGAAGAAGGGGATTCAGGTCTTTATGCTTGCACTGTGAAGAACGCTTTAGGAAGCGACACGACAAAGGCGGATATCAAGAGCCAACAATCAAATGCCCGCCCATCATTCAAGCAGAGACTAAAAGATGTGACTGTGGAGGAGACGTCAAAATTTGTACTTACAGCTGAAATAGATGGTTATCCTGAACCGACTGTTAAATGGACAAGAGATAGTTTGAACATTAAGGAAGGCGGGCGAATTTCATATGGAAAAACAGGTAATAAATATACATTGACAGTTGAGAATGCCAATAAGAATGACAAAGGTATGTATTGCTGTTCTGCCAAGAATAACATCGCTGAAGTCAAGAGTAGCTGCATTGTTATTGTCTCAAAAAGTTTAAAATCGAAAACCGGATTTATGAATGCAAGATCCGCGTTTGAAAATAAACCAGAGGCTGATTTGACAAAGGCAGTGGCGAAATTGAAATCACCACCCATGTCTCCCCCTGCTGAAAGAAATCAGAAAGTCGAGCTACAAAAGTCTCGTACATCTGTGACGGGTGCCAACAATGCCTTTGCACAACAGAAGGCCAAATTTGAATCGAAACCGAAAAGCGAGGAAGTCACAGAGCCGAAATTGGCAGCAAAGGTCGAAGCCAAAGTAGAGCAAGATATTCAGTCGAAATTTGAACCACGTGCATTTGAACGCAGAGATTCTAAACAAAGCGAGTATTCCCAGACCTCTTCGCGGAGGTCATCCACATCATCTAACACATCAAGCAAAGCGAGCTCTGCCCCAGTGTTTATGCAGACATTCGAGGATGCGGCCTATGCTGAAAACACATCACGTACTTTGTCTGTGTTAGTAAAGGGTTACCCTGAACCGGAAGTCCAGTGGTTGCACAACGGTAAACTGCTTTCTAAGAACAGGACATTTGATATCGAAAAAGGGTTTAGAGGAGATCATAGGCTGAAAATCAAAAACTTTAATGCTTCATTAGCTGGAACATTCACTGCTGTAGCGGCAAACGAGGCTGGGAAAGTAGAATGTGCCGCCAGGCTCGATGTGAAGGGAAAAAGCGAGAGGCCTCGATTTGAGAAGAGGCTTACTGATCAAACTACAAAGGAAAACAGTTCTGTTACTTTCGAAACGATTGTCAAAGGGAAACCAGATGCCAAAGTTGAATGGTTTAAAGACGACAAATTGTTAACGAAGTCTGGAAAAGTTTCTTTGGAAAAGGAAGGTGCCAAGCATAAATTGGTTATTGACTGCGTAGGAGCTAGTGATGCTGGGCAGTACACGTGCAAAGCAAGTAATTGTGTAGGGGAAGCGAGCCAGACTGTTCAGCTGAAGTTGATAGAGAGTGGACAGAAGGATGTAAATGCAGTTTCTGGTTCTGGTAAGCTGAGTTTTGTCAAGTCTTTGGTTGATATGGATATTTACGAAGGAAAAGAAGCTTTGCTTGAAGTTATTGTAGATGGAGCAATGCCAATCAACTGTAAGTGGGAGAAAGATGGAAGGCCGGTACGTAATACTTTGTCGACGAGATTCGAAAAGAAAGACAATGTGTGTTCATTGCGAATTGGAAAGCCAGCCAAGTTTGAAGCTGGGAAATATTCAGCCCTTGTATCAAACGATGAAGGGACAATATCATCTTCTTGTAGTATCAAAGTATTGCCAGCCCCTGTGAAGCCTTCCTTCCTCCTGAAGCTGCGCGATGTTACTATCTTTGAAGGAAAGGATATGGAAGTTTCCGCCAAGATTAATGGGAAACCAGAACCAGTGGTGAAATGGTATTTAAACAACGAGGAAGTAGAGGCTGGTGGGCGTCTTCATATTGTTAAGAGGCCAGATGGACGACAGATATTCAAAATGACTGGGCTTACGAGGGAGGACAACGGTGAATTGAAATGCGAGGCTACAAATTCTGGTGGAACAGCAGTTTGCACTTGCAAGATATCAGTACGAGGCTCATCTAGATCAGCAGTAAGTGCAGTAGCAGAGCTGAAGTTTACAAAGCCTCTTGTGGATGTTGCAATCGCTGATGGAGAAGTTTTAGAACTGAAGGCCGAAACATCGGGAGCAGCAAGTGTTGTTTGGTATAAAGACTCAAAGCAAGTGCTGAAATCGTCAAAGGTACAAATGACTTCGATTGAAAATAAGCATAGTCTCAAAATAAGCAAGGCACGTAGTGAGGATTCTGGTGTTTATAAGATTCTAGCGACTAATAAATCTGGGGAGAAATCTTGTTCTGCCACTGTTGCAGTGAAAAAGGGGGCTAATCTGCCTGTCATCAAGAAAGAGCTAGTTAAGATAACGACAAACGAAGGTAAGAATGCTGTTTTCAGAGTGACTGCTGAAGGATCTGGACTGGAAGTTACTTGGCTGAAAGACAATGTCGAGGTTAAGACAACGGAGAACATTCACACATCGCAAGTTAAAAACGAATACGTGCTTGAAGTCAAAGAAGCAGCGGTTAGCGATAGTGGAAAGTACGAATTCATTGCCATGAACGAAACTGGACGCGCAGTTACGTCAGCAGAGCTGGTCGTGAACGAGGCAGATTCGCCACCAAAGTTTATAAAGAAACTCGTTGATGCGGAAGTGAACGAAGGCGAGGATGCTGAGTTTGTTGTTGAAGTTGCTGGCCATCCAAAGCCGCGTGTCAAATTTACAAAACACGGCGCAGATATTCATTTAGGGACTTCAACTGAAGAAGAAAATGGCGTTTGGAAGCTGAAAATTGCCAAAGCGAGCGTTTCTGACAGTGGCGTGTACTGCTGCGAGGCACGCAATAGGATATCGTCTGCAAGTTGCACGTCTAGCATGAACGTCAAGCGAACGACAACGCCCCCGCGTTTCTCGACTTTTATAGATGAAACAAACGAAGTAGCCGAAGACGAGGAGTTGAGACTCGAGGTGCTTGCGATTGGAGATCCCCAACCAGAGGTGAAATGGTCAAAGCGAAGCCGGGTTTTGAAATCGACTGATAACATCAAAATCACAACAGGAGAACTCAACTCATTGGTGATACATCATGCAAAGATGGAAGATGGCGGGGAATACCAATGTGTAGCCACGAATAAAGCTGGCAGATGCGAGAAGACTTTCTTTGTTGTCGTGAAAGGTCAGTTCATCTTTCGTTTTTCAAATGTATTGTATAAGGAGCTGCTTGAATGCCAGGTTGTAGGCTGAATTTCTCTTGTCCATATTTTCCTTTTCAAAACCTTTTTAGTTTTTTTACGGAAATTTATCAAATATTGCTCAAATATCATATTTTATTTCAAATTCAATTCCTGAAATATTCGCGATTCTCGGTTAGTATTTTTCCTAACTCAAATCACAGTTGTTTTTAAATACTATGTTCTAAAATTGTTTTTTTTCGAAACCAATGCAGGCACTTCAAGCACCATTAACTTTGAATATTTTATTAGTTAATTTAGCCTGAATTTCCAGGTTGAGTTGTTCCAGTTTTTCTGAAATCGTTCGTTGAGTTTGTTCTCTATGTTTTTTATATCTTCCTTGTTGCTTTTCACAGAACAACCGAAAAAGGTCGTTGAAGGTAATAAGCCAGAAATTTCGAAAAGACTTGAGGACTCGAGCTTGATTGAAGGAGATAATTTGCGCCTTGTCGCGAAAGTGCAAGGTACACCTCTGCCAGAAGTACATTGGATGAAAGATGGCAAAGCCCTCGCTGAAGATAGACGAACCAAAATGGTACATGTTGGAACTGACGAATGGGTACTTTCTATTAAAGATGTCACCGAAAGAGATAGTGGCAAGTTTAGTTTGGAAGCTACAAATTCATTCGGCAAAGACAAGAGCACGGCGCAAATTGTTATTGCACCCCCAACCCCGAAGAGGTACTTGCCTTATTATTGTAAATAATAGCGAATAATTAGAGTGTCAGAATTGTTCCTACACTGTGATTTTCTTTTTTATTTAAACTCATTATTCAAGTGCGTTTTGCTTTTCTAATACAAATAACGTATGTTTTAACCAGAGTGTTCTTTGGTGAATCCAATTTGGAGCTGTTTCTTACCCACTTGGTCATAAAAATTTGTCGATCACATGAGAAGATTTGTTAAAACTTTGATAGGGACTGAAATGGATATTGGATATTGTTTACCAGATTGGTTAGACACTTTCTCATTGAGTTTTTGTTCTCATTTCCCTAGGAAAGGATAAATTTTATATTTGAAATGTTCCATTTGGTACCCCCATCCTTTCCAAGCATCTGTCTAACCTGTCTTGGTGTCGATGCTCCAATTACTGGCAATCGCGATACCAAAATAGCTTGATACTGGCTGCTATGCTATAGACATTCCTCTTTATTCACTGAATTTATACCTCGTAACTAGCTCTTTACCAAGTATTAAAAAAATAATTTCATTCCATGAATCGAAAGGTTGAAATAACATCAAGATTGAAAAGATTCCATTTAAGATTCAATCAAGGCTCTTCAAGATCTGGAGCTAATAAATCTGAAAACTGCAGCATCATTTTCATGTAGGCCAAGGGCGCATTTTATTTAGGGAAGCGTTTGATGAGAGGGTTTATGTAAAAATTTCCTGTTCCTGTCTATATGGGCGTTTATTTCATTGTAATGCTTACTGACATAGACACTTAACGTGTACAGTGAAAATGGAAGAAATCAAATAGTTTGGATTTGAAAAGGTAGATAATTTAATACCATATGGTTTTGTTCCTGTTTTTGTGGTTCCCAGCAAATCTGTCGAAATCAATTCAAAGATTTTAAAATTTTCCTAGGTATTAATTTGATTAATTGAAAAGGATGTTTTTTAACAAGGATTATATTTGTTTGTACTTAACGTCTCCATCAAACCAAATTTCTCATATTTAGACTTATCCACTCTGCATCTTTAATTAATTAAGCTTAATTTTCTTCAATTTTTCTCAATATGATTATCTTGAAGGATACTCAAAGTATTTTCGGCTATTTGAACCTTTTTGGCTGCATCAAAAAGGTAGCAGATTCAACAGATGAATTCGGCTCCATTATACGAACTCTGCTATTGTTGTTAAAAAATACATTTTATTTTGTCACAGGAAAGAAAAAGAAGAATTGGTGAAAGAAAAGGAAGAACCGATAAAGGAAAAAGACGCTATGGATAACAAAGCCAGCAGTCGAACGACCTCCAGGAGATCCAGAGGGGCTGCACCGGATTTCATAATTAAACCGCGTTCACGTTCGGTTCTCGAAGGATCGAACGCCCGATTCACGTGTACTGTGACTGGGGACCCTGAGCCAATGATGGAGTGGTATTTCGACGGCGAAAAATTCCAACCTGATGAAAGACGCGAATTGAAACTGCGAAACGGAATAGCGACAATCGCAATTGTCAACGCCTGCGCAGAGGACATAGGTGACTATAAAGTGGTTGCGAAAAATGAATTGGGCGAAATTGAACACACAGCCTCGCTTGCAATTGAAGGATTGACTAAACCGGACAAGAAGAAAAAAAAGGTCCCAGAGGAATCAAGGTACTAACATTAATTCATCATATTTAATCTGGAATTGATTCTTAAAGTACTTTGAAGAATCATTTCAGAATTATTATCTTTTTTAATAAACAGTTGAGACAAGCAGCTATATTTCTTGGTTACATAATGGATTAAAGAGGTAGTGTCAGGTTTTTGTCAACGACCAGAAACACGGGACATTGTGCGTTTCAACACGGGACATTGTGCGTTTCAACCCAATTTTCACGGTGCTCTGGTGCTTCAAGAGACCTAAGAGAGAGATTGGATAAATTTTATTGACTGAGCTTATTTACAAAACGTTAAATAGGAAATTACTTTCATTTTGCTTTAGTTTCGAGTTTTGATACGAAATGTTTGCAGCAATTGTCCTTGGCCAAGAAGATGATGCCTTATTCTAACGCCATAGTGAAAAGACTATAGAAAGAGACTTTGTTGTTTGTTATCTTTCAGAAAAGTAAATAATATGAAAACTGTGCAGGATGAGCCGGGATATAGAATTGTTTTTGATTCCATTTAGATTTACTATTTCAGTTTTGCTGTACATTGTTCCTATTTGTCATAGCTTCTTTCAAGTTTTTGCTCTGCGAATCAAGATGATTTGGTTATGATATGAATAAATGGAAATTTTTATGTTTGTTTCAAGGCCTGTTGAGGATGCTGGTGACGTCATTACCAATGAAAAAACTGATGAAAAGGAAGTTGAAACTAAAGCAAAGCTTTCCAACTCTACGGGTAAATAGTACACTTTCTATAAAATCAAATATAACACTCTTTTGTCCGGTATCTTGTATATAAAATCAAGTTTAACAGTAGAGTTGTTTTAACTGTTAAGTAAAGAACTGTAAAAACGCAGGCCGGCAATAATGAACAGTTAAATGTTGTATTTTTTCCAAATCGATCTGATATTTGAAAGGCCCAGCTAACTTGAGTGTTTCCTATTTCCATGTTTAGACATTAAGGTGGCATAAATCAGTTTTCTGGTATTTTCCAGTTTATTTGTTCAAACATAGCAATTAGGGTCAAGTAACTTGAAACTGAGTGAATATCAAAAGGCACTGATATTTGATCCTTATTTCCCAAGAATAGAATAATTGATCTGATATTTTGCTAAAAGCTGTATCTACGCACAACCAGAGCTCTATGAGTTAGATGCTGCATTGTTCTCCCCGTAATAGCATCTGACTCTGACGTAATAGTAACTCTACAGACTTGTTATTTTGCATTTTGTATGCGTAGCTGTACAGGCTTGCACAATAATAGTTAATTTGATAAAATAGGAAAAAAATTAATGACTTAAATAGGAAATAGGAAAAAAGTCACTGAATAGTAGTCTTAATAATTCAAGAGTAATGTAGAATAGGACTACATTTCTACACACATTGATAATTTTTTATGATTATAGGACTAAGGTTTATATTTGTTTTAGAACCAACCAAAGAAAGGGAGGCATCTAGAGAAAGGGAGGCATCTAGAGAAAGCCCCGTTTCAAAGAGAACTGTCTCAAAAGTGCAAGAGGAAACAGTGTCAGTTAGTGAGGTTTCGGAGGCCTTAGCTGAACCACCTCAGGGTGAATTGCCGTCTTCAAAGAAAGATCTAGTTACAAAAGATGCAATCAAAGACTCTTATACTGTACCAAAGAAGGATTTGATTAGCAAAGACGCAGCAAAAAGCCCCCCTGTAGTACCAAAGAAAAATGTACCTGAGAAAATCTCGCCAAGTTTCATCGAAAAGATCCAAGATGCTCAGGTCGTAGAAGGTGAAAGTGTGAAATTAGAAGGCAAAGTTACAGGACATCCTAAACCTGAGATTTCATGGCTAAAGGACGGGAAAGTAGTAAAACCAGATGATCGAGTAAGCCTTTATGAAAAAGATGGAAGGACTGTGTTGGAGATTAGCGAGACTGAACTTGATGACGAGGCTGAGTATACGTGTATTGCGAAGAATGATCTGGGAACAGCTGAAACGTTGGCGGAACTTCTTGTTGATGGTGCGCACCTTCGGGATTATTTGATAATTTTTTTAAATTTAAGAACGTTTCTTGTTCATTTTAGCTGTTAAGAAAGATCATATCATAAGTTTTTTGTTCCATTTCAAGTTAAACTAACTTCTACCTACCGTCTGTGACTCTGATCAAGCTCAGACTTGTTTTACATCTCATCGAAAATTTCGTCAAGAACTCAGAAAGTGATTCTCTTTTTCAGAACTTGAAGAACCCGAAGAAGAAGCTGAAGAAGTCAAGGAACAGACAAGTGTCTCTGAGAAGTACGTGCAACAATTTTCTGTCAATTTCGTATTGATTGCTTTTGATGCGTTTTGCTCAAAACTGTCTACCTTCATTTCAAAGATTCATTTAGTGCCTACAAAAAGGTGTCTCAATGCGTTAAATGCCAAGATTTGTCGCAGAATCGAGAGAAAACATTTTTGTACCTTTTTTGAAGTCACTGTAGCTTGAAACCTATTTATTTTGAGTTTCTCGGATTTGATAGTATGCCTCAGCTCAATATTTCATCATCTTTGATTATCTCACTGTTTTTGAAATGTATTTAGTAGTTTTTTGTGCAAAACCAAGGTAGTGCTTTGTTATTGACTTTATTATTGCCTAAAAATTATTGTTAGAAATGTCATATATGTTTAATGTTGTCTTAACAGAAAAGAAGTTGAGCTTGATATCGAAGTGCCCGAATTCCGTACAAAACCAGAGGATGCAGAAATTTTCATTGGCGAATCGATCAATTTTGTCACTGATGTGAAGACAAATGGCCCAGTGAAGGTGGATTGGTGGAGAGGTGAAGAGCTATTGGAATCGAATGACAGGATTTCTATTTCTTCATCTGAAAGTAAACACGAGCTAAAGATTTCGAATGCAATTATTGATGATGAAGGCTTTTATAAATGTATTGCACATAATGATGCTGGGAAGATAGAATGTGAATTTGAGTTGCTTGTTGAAGGTAACGCTTTGTTTTCTTCATAGCTTGATGTTATTTAGGTGTCATGGCAGGCCATTGTTTTTATCAAGCAAGCGTACTTTCGTTCTCTTTAAGACGTAATCCAAAAAAAACTCAAAGTATTTTTCAAGTATTAGATCAAGATGAAACATAAATCAGCCCCCCCCCCTCCGGTGATGATTAGCTTCAATTTCTTAAAGCCATCAATGGAGCAAAAATATTAATTTATAGATTTAATTTCTTCGATTATACTCTTGTTTGTATTGTGAATTTTGGAAATTTAGCTTGTGTTTTAGATATCTTTTTAAGCTCTTTTTAAACTATTGTTGCCAAGGAACGTTTTTCTGTCGTTAAAATTGAATGCTTCACGTTGCTGTTCTATTTTAGAAGCAGAAGTAACTGAAACTGACAACAAAGAAGCCCCAGAAGGATTTGCGCCACGATTCATCAAGGCCCTTGCTGACCAAGAAGCGCTCTGCGGTAGCCCAGCTGTGTTGTCTGTCGAAGTCGAGGGAGACCCTGAACCGACCGTCTACTGGAACGTAGATGACGAAGAAGTATTTGAAGACGAAGGGATAGCGTTTACTCAAGAAGGGCAAATGCACTCGTTAGTTTTCAAAGAGACTGTTGAGGAAGATGAAGGTATTTATCAGTGCGTAGCCAAGAATGCCCACGGCGAAGTGTCCTGTTCAGCGAAGTTTTTGATCAATGAGGAGGCTGTAGAGCCCGAGTTTGTGCACAAAATGAAACACGTAGAAGTTGAGGAAGGCAGCGAGGCTCGTTTTGAAATCGAGGTTAGTGGCAGTCCATGTCCAGAGGTCACATGGTTTAAGAAGAAGGAGAAGCTTGTCGAGTCTGATAAATACAAGATTGTTTCTGAGGGACTGATGTCATCTTTGACTGTACTCGAATGTGTGTCATCAGATGCAGGGGTTTTCCAGGCTGTTGCGGAAAATTCTGCCGGCAAAGTATCAAGTAACGCTCAGCTTACTGTTCTTGAGAAAGTCCAACCCCCGGCTATTGAAAAGCCGAAAGATTTTGATTCAGAGATTCAAGTCAAAACAGGGGATCGATTCGCTACAGAGTTCAAGATTACGGGTGTGCACACGGATACTGTGTTGTTGAGGAATGGTAGCAAAGTTGTATTTGATGATCGAGTCAAAATTGCAGAAGAAGAGGATAAAATAATTCTTATTTTTGAAAAACTTGAAGAGGTTGACGGAGGTAGTTACCAACTGGTTGTTGAAAACAGTGGTGGAAAAACAGCAATTGATTTCAGTCTGGCAGTCGAAGGTAAGAGCTCTGTAACAAAAGTAAAATTTGTTTGCAATTTACTTTTACGATAGTAAAGTATTTAAACATTTACTTGGTTTAGTTGTTCATTCTTAAGTCGTTGTTTGATCACTCTTTGAAAGAAATATATCTTTATATACAATGGATAGAATGGCTTTTTACGAAATTTTTGGAGTATCACAGTTTGAGATAAAGTCAGTGGTGTAGTGCTATCAAAATAACAAGGGAGGCTCAGCCCCCCCCCGAGCCCTCCTTTGAGTTGTTAGCCGAAGGTTTGTGTGCCTGCTCCTAATTCACTGAAGCGATCTGAGTTAAGCTTTTACAAATCATAGGATGTGAATTGTTTCAAAGTTTTTTATATTATTTTTAAACATCTCACTTGTTTCATTTTTCGGAGCCCGTCATTTCACTTGATTTTGGCCTAAAAATTGTGAATCTTAACCAGTTTTGAATTTTCGTAGAAAAACAAGAGAAACCTCAGCTTAAAGATGAACTATCCGATATGACGTTTTTGGAGAAACAAGATCTCGAACTTCAAGTTAAATATTCCAGTAAAATGGATTGCCGTGTCAAGTGGTGTAAGGACGGAGCTGAAGTTGAAGAAGGTGAAAGATTTAGTCTGAAACACAACGCAGGTCATTGCAGCCTTTTTGTGAAATGCGTAAGCCAAAAGGATGCTGGACGATATAGCTGTGAAATAGAAAATGATGTTGGCAAGGTTATGTCTGAATGCATGGTGGAGGTTGAAGAGATAAAAGAAAGTCCTGAGTTTGTATCAAAGTTACAGGCCGTACACGTAGCAGAAGGGAAATTGGCTGAATTTGTCATCAAAGTTAAAGGAGTACCACCTCCGACAGTAGAATGGTTAAAGGATGAGAAACCACTGAAAAATTTACCAAGGTATAATGTAACTGAAGAGGGAGACAATGTCCATAAGTTAACAATAGAGAATTGTCGAGCTAGTGATAAGGGGCGGATAAAATGCATTGCGAAAAACAAAGCCGGGGAGAAGTCTTGCTGGGCTGATTTGTTGATCCAGCAAAAAATAGGCCCACCAAGAATCGAAGTCATTGGGGGTTTGGTCAAGGAGCTGGATGAGGGAAATAGTGTTGTATTTGAAGCTGATGTCAGTGGGAAACCAAAGGCGAGAGTTGAATGGACTAAGAATGGAAAACCCGTTGCCTGGAGTGGAAGAAAGTGTGAAGTCAAGGCTATAGGCGACAAGCAGACGTTGACAATCGGCAAACCGACTGAAAAGGATTGTGGAGAATATAAGTTGCTTGCGACAAGTTCGGCTGGAAAGGAGGCTGTCACGTTTGTGCTGAAAAAGAAAGGTTCTTTGCGAATTTCTATTTTATTTCTATTGTTTCTTAATTAACGGTAGACTGTGAACGTCAGGAATGAAGCTAAAGCACGAAGAAGATCTGTTTCAGTTTGAAATGGATGCTTTGTTTCTCATATTTCCCTCAGGGAAGGTAGGGATATGTCTTGAATAGAAAGCTATCGAGAGCTTCATTTGAGAAAGATCGATAATCTTTTATACATGAGCTTTTTCAAGAGTGGTTTTTGGAAAAACTTACTTTCTAAACCCAAACATTAGTACAGATTTCATAACCCGTTGCAGATCCCGTGTTACTACAAATGCTTCCACAAATGGACACAAGCCCTTTGAAGTTGGAACTGATTTTGTAAATGCCTTTAATCCAAAATCCAAGGGTAACTGTGTTAGTCAAAATTGAGTCGCTTAGCGTGTTTTTATGTTCTGAACGAAGCGCTTCTTGCAATCAGCGCATGAGCCAAAAGGTTTCCTCGTCAATTTTGTTATCAAGGAGCTAGATTTGTAATAAGGAAACACGTAATAACATGGTCAAATGAATAGATGCGTGTGCATAGATAAGGTAGCATTGCTATTGTTAAATATGTGTTGAGATTTGTTATTTATTTTGTCACATCTTGCCGCCCTGCAGTCCTTTAGGCTTTCTTTAGAACCCTTTTCGCCTTTTTGTGATGCTTATCTGATACTCACGACTGCTGGGATGCTTTCTTAATTTTAGGCCGGTTTTTTCTTCCCTTTGACAGGTCCCGCAGAAGAAGCACCGAAGCTTGAGAAATCGTTGCCTGAGTCTCTTACACTGAAAGTGAATGAAGATCTGTCCTTCGAAGTGCAAGTAAAGGGCGAGCCTAAACCAGATGTAGAATGGTCCAAGGATGGTGGTCTCATTCAAAAGACCGATCGATTTGAAGTGAAAGCTAAAGGTAATATGCACCAGCTAATAGTCAAGAATGTCAACATCGAGGATGCCGGGGGTTACAGCATAAAAGCCGTGAATAAGGTCGGAACAGTTAATGCAGAATGTCGAGTAGTTGTACATGAAGAGCCAAAGATAGTAAGACAACTTGAAAAGACGGAGGTTAATCTTGGTGAAGATGCAGAGTTTATTGTCAGTGTCGTGGGAGAGCCCAAACCTGATGTGAAATGGTTTATCAACGATGAATTAGTTTCAGAGAACTCAAGGTTCAGTTGCAAGGAAGAAAAAGACGCGATTTCTCTTGTCATCAAGAACTGTACTGTAGAAGATTCCGGAAATGTCAAATGTGTTGCAGTAAATAGTGCAGGCGAGGCTTTATCGGAAGCTGCTCTCAATGTAATCGAGCCTCTGGTGGCTCCTGTATTGAAGGGAGATGTTGATCTTGAACACAAGAATAAGGAGGGAGAAGATGTAGCTTTGAGCATTGAGTACACAGGAGAAGCGACTGACATTAAATGGTTAGTTTGCGCATCTTTATGTCTTTTTGGTTAATTTTTTAAATGCAATTTCCTATTGTCCAAAGATTACGAGGTAAGAATGACTGGAGAAATAAAAGATTGGCTTTTTCAAGTGTGATATCTGCTTGCATTTTTAGATCAATGATGTTTATGGATGAATTTGATATGAAGCCATTATCTTAGTGACAATTAATGATTTTACTTGCTTGATCTAAGTCCTAAAAAATGATGACACAATATAAGAAAAGGATAATTTTGTTGGCGTACTGCTGAAGAGCATGATTTTAGCGTTGTTATGTTTGCATTTTCATATAACTTTATTTGAAAATCTTTACAGGTTGAAAGATGACGAAGAAATTTTTGAGGAAGATGGCTTTGATATTGAAGAGAAAAATCAAATTGCAACATTGAAGATCACCGGCGCGGAAGTAGAAGATTCCGGAAAATATTCAGTGGAAATTTCAAATGCAGCTGGATGCCTGAGGAAGGACTTTACGTTGATGATCGAAGGTGGGTCTTCGTTCGCAGAATTGATTAACTGTATATTGAATATTGTACAAATAACATTAGATCAATTTTTGATAATGATCATGTACAGGCCATTGTGAGCCAAACTTTCGTTATCAGGAAAGAAGAGTATCATGTTTTGCGCTTGTAGGTTTCAAGTTGTGATTGATAGCTCGTATAACTGCACATATCAATCAACTTCTAGCCCCTGCCCGCATGTTATATATAATATAATATTTATTCACTAATCTTATTACTAAATGAGTGTATTTTCGTTTTTCGCAACTCATTCTTTGTTTCTTTGCTTTTTTAGGCCATCAGCCAGTAGTTTCTGCTCCAGAATTCACAACGTTGCTACCGGAGGAGCTCAACGTAGAGATCGGTGAAAGAGTAGAGTTGAAGACTGTTGTGACGGGACAACCTGAGCCGAAGGTTTGTTGGCTTTACGATGAGGATCTGCTCAAAACCTCAGACAGACATAAGTTTACCTATGACGGCAGTGTTGCTACACTTGTCATTGAAAGCGTTGCAGAGGTAGACGATGCCCTTGTAACTTGTGTTGCCAAAAATGAAGCTGGGTCAGTGGAATGCAGTTGTGATTTGTTTGTAACCTTGAAAGCAGAAGCACCAAAGTTTGCTGAGACAGTTAAACCCGTAAGCGCGCTCCTTGAGTCGGAGGCTGTATTTAGTGTTGGTCTTGGAGATAGCACAGAGACTGATGTGAAATGGTATTTGAACGATAAGTTGATCAGAGATAGAGGACGATATCGTCTGGCTCAGGAAGGCGATGGTCGGTTTTTATTTACTATTGAGAAATGTAAATTAACTGATCGCGGATTGGTGAAATGCGTTGCTTCCAATGAGGGTGGTGAGACAACCTGTACTGCCGAGTTGATGGTGTCAGAGGAAAATTCCGCACCAGGACTGAAGCAGGTGACAAGTGATGTGTGCGAGTTTATGTCCGGTGAAGATGGCAGGCTAGAACTGTTGATCTCTGGGTCGCCTGTACCGGCAGTGGAATGGCTTAAAGGGTTCAGAAAGATCCAAGAAAATAAGGAAAAGTACCAGATTGAATCTTCTGACACCAAGAATACGCTGATAATCAGAGATTTGAAATTAGAGGACTCAGGGACTTACAAGTGTATTGCGTCGAATCCAGGTGGAGAAAATTCGCTGACTTTTACTCTCAAGGTGAAAGGTAGGGTTTTGTATGAATGTCTAATTTGTGTTGTATCATGTTTATCGAACCTTCAACTTTGCCGCAAAGTTGTGAAGAAATCTGTTTCTATTTTAGTTTTGTTGTGGCTTTTTAAGTGTTTCCCTTTATCTAAATTACTTTTCTTGGTTCCTTAGCTAAAAAGCCTGGAGGCAAGGTGCCATCCATCAAATCAGAGTTTGCCGATATGACAGTTACAGAGGGCCAAGAACTCATCCTTGCGGCAACGGTCGATGGTGTACCACCGCCAAAGGTTGAATGGTTACTTGACGACCAACCTGTTACTGAATCAGAAAAGTACAGCATTACAAAAGAGGGTAAGATTCACAGATTGAGTATAAAGGCTGTCGACACCGCTGATGAAGGGGAATACAAGTTAGTTGCTTCGAACAAGCAAGCTTCGACGTCGTTTGCAGCAGAGGTTTTAGTGAGTGAAGTGAAGACTCCGAAGGGCTCGATGAAAGTGGAAAAGATAAACGCAGTTGAGGGTGAAGAAATATGCTTTGAAGTAGTTGCAGAGGGAGCCGAAGGTATTTTCTGGTTGCAGGAGGGAAAAGAATTGAGAAATAGCAAGAAGTATGAAATATCAAGGATTGATGACAACAACAGCACGTTGGTCGTGAAAAATTGCGAAAATGGAGACAGTGGTACATACACGTGTGAGCTAGTTAAAGGGCCTAAGAAAACAAGCGTTGAATGTGTATTAATAGTTAGTGAAAAGGTGAAAGAGAAAAAAGAAGATGAAAAGGTTGATATCGATACTGAGGATGGAAAGCGGAAGACAGGTTTGTATCTTCTTTTAAGAGCTGGTTTCTTTGTTTTTTCTCTGATGATATCATTTTTCCCTGCATCCACAGGCAGGCTATAACTCTTAGTGCCAACATCGATACGTTAAATATGGTTTTGGTTAACTTTTTTAATTTAACAACTAACATGGCTTCAATAAAATGTTAATTCCTTTTCCAACTAACAGAAGAATGTTTCATTCTTAAGTATAAACGAGTCTTAACCATTAAAGAGGTTGCTCATCGATTGCAAAGTTACATATTTTCCCGATGTTCTTACATTTCTAATGAATCATCATCAGCATTGCTTCTTACTGTCTCATTATAGTCAAAAGATCGCCGTTAGAAAGAAGAGCACAAGTCTTCGAATCGGAAGAAAGTGAGATAGTACCAGAAGAACAAGCCTTGGAAGAATGTCGTCCTCAGGAGGTAGAAGAAGAGGACGAAGAGGAAGAATTTGATGATGATGAAGATGAAGATGACGAAGAAGAAGAGACTGAAGATGAAGATGCCATACTGAAACCGAAATTCATGAAGAAACTTGCTGATGTTGAAGTTATTGAAGGAAGTGCAGCCAAAATGGATGTTGTCGTTGATGGTTAGTCGTACTTTTTTTGATCACGCTGAAACGATTTTTTGTCATTCAGATAAAGACTGTATTTTCTACATGAGTTATTGCCAAACGTTTGAAATCGCCCTTTAAGTAGGTGAACTAAAGATTCATGCCTTTCCTAAGGTGCTTTGAAGTCAATGCTGTTCATGTGAATATTAACAACCAAACTTGGAGTTGCCTTTAGCAATTTTATTCTAGTTGCTGTTCCCTTGTAAATATTTATATTTTACCATTCTTTAAGTTTTTCTATTATATCGCTTTCTTGCATTGTTCTAAACTCTGCCATCTGAAATAAAATCTTCCCCAAACTAAGCAGATGCCACTCAATCGTGCAAGTGCTCTACTGCTAAATTTTTATCTCTTTGTCTTATTATAGGCCAGTATTTAGTTCTGATCTGTCAAAAAGTACATCTCCTTAGTTTGCTTTCTAAGTGTTTATGTATTTTTTTAGGGAACCCTCCTCCAGAAATCGAATGGTACTTGAATGGAAATATCATTTTTGAAGACAGTAAGTGGAAGATGAAATTCCGTGATGACGGCACATGCAGTTTGATTCTTCAAGATGCTAACCCGGACGACCAAGGAAAGATAAAATGCGTTGCTTTTAATGAGGCTGGCAAAACTTCGTGCTCTGCATCATTGTACATAGAAGGTAAAAGATTCTCGTGAAAATTGCATCGAATGGATAATTTTAATCGCTCTTTATTTACTTGTTATTATTTTAATAAGCCACTGCTAACATTGATCCTTTGCGAATCTCCAACAATTTTTTCGCGAAAATATTTCATAGCACAAGACCTTACGGACTATCCTACTGAGGATGTTTTACCAGCCGTGAACTGTATGACGAAACTGAGGTACATTGCCAGTAAAAAATTTGGATTTATTTGCACTAATTCGATTCAATTGTTTAGGCCGAGATTTTCTGATACACAGAATTTGTTTTGGGGCTGGCAAGTATCTGTATTAGCACAGTGACCTCTTTAGTGAATAAATTATCGAGCCCTTCACTAGACAGAGGCGTGACCGGGGGGTTGTAGGGGGGCCTATCACCAGATTTGAAAATTTTGTTCCGGATTTGAAAATTTATGCAGTTATATTGCATAAGGTAAAACAAGGAAGAAGTCGATCAATACCGTCGCTTTCCGCCAGTGGATATTTATTTGCAAGATTAGAAAAGGTTTTTCCCTTGGGCGGCAACCTTAGTGCCGCCTCAGGTAGTAACTCTATTTTACCTTTTTCCTAATCTATCGATATATAGAATTGCGAGATATCAGTGGCCTTCACAGTAAGTGTGAGAAAACACACAAAACAAGATGAAAATTGTATTTTGAATATCTTTCCAGCTAAGGAAAAGGCTATGTGTCCCCCCCCCCTTACACTTCATTCGCCACGACACCCCTGTCACTAGAAGTGCTATGACTAATAAAGCAGACTAGTACACTTTTGTATAACAATACTATAAATTCTGTCCAGCTTCGATATTCTTAATAAATTTTCGTTTTGAGCCTGAATGAATTCTTTAAGTATTTTAATTTTTTTAAAACCTGATGTTATTTCAGGGGAACATTGCCCGCTATTCAATTAGAACTGTCTTTTGAAAAACGAGATGTGTTCTTATAATATTCTTAAGAGTTAGATGATTCTGAGCCTTAATATCCAGTAAACAATATTCTTATAAAAAACTGTGTAAAACCACATTTTATTACCTATGTTTAGTTAGGATGGATTACGATGATTGAAACGATCAGTCACCGACAAATTGAGCAATATATTATACGTAGTCCTATTTTTTAGGCCATGGATTTGAAACTGAGACCAGCGAATCCGATATCGAGGCTACCCAGTCCCTTCCAAGGTACGCAGTATTCAGAATTATTGGGACATTGAATCGATTATAGAACTCTTGTTTTCTTCCTTGAAATCAAGCCTTTTTGGCGTGCAAGTTATATTCACAATTGTTATTTTTGAATTCTGTTTGTTATAGAAAATCGACATGCGTAAGCCTGTTTTTTTGGTGATGTAATGTGAAATTTATGAATGTTGCATTGTGGTAATTGAAAAGACTTCCCTTTTGTTTTCCTCAGGAAAAAATACTTGTCTACAACTGCAAAAAGTCATTGATCATATTTAGAACCAAATAGCATCATTAATTTTTGTAGTCTGACTAAATTATAATTTGTTCTGTATCTTAAAACACTTAGTTTTATCAGTCTAACTAATAAAATGTTCTTTTATGACAATTAGTCTTGATGATTTTCTTTAGAACATCTGACGGGGAAGACGACGATGGGTCCGAAAGTCCACTCGAAGAAGCAAGCAAGGAGCCAGAAATAATTATGCCTCTAAGAAACAAGATAGTCTTGGTCGGCGGCGAGCTTAAGCTGGCATGCAGAATTTATTGCCCTGGCAAGATGGACGTAGAATGGATGAAAGACGGTAAACCAATCCAGGAATCAGAAAGAATTTCTTACGCTGTTGAAGATGAACTGCATATGTTATGCGTTTCAGAATTACAGCTAGCGGATTCAGGACTTTACAAAGCTGTTTTTAAAAACAAATATGGCACCGTACAGACTAAATCGGATCTAACAGTCGAAGGTTTGTGCGATGTGATCTTTTTCTCAGCCTTAACGGAATTGCAGCTTCTAATCCTTATAATATATACATTTACCTGGCTATTTTCAAAATTTTCTTCAGCAGAAAGCGGAGCCTAAAAGCTCTCCAGCTTCCTCTCTTCCAGAATACTCTATAGAGTTTCCTTGTTCGCCAGAGATAAAGTATTTAAAGCAAATATCTTGCTGTTTATCATGAATTTTTAATTTGAACTTTTGTATTTTTAACTTGAGAGTCTTAAACAGTTTTCTTGTCTTTTCATTTTAACTATCGTAAAATTGATATTCATTTGTTTTATATGTACCAATGATTATCCCATTGAAACCGCATATTGTTTCTAGTATTTCCAAGTTTTGCAGAAAGAATACGTCAATAGCAATCTTTTTTTCGAATCATTTTAATTAAAAATGGTAGCTGTTTGTGGGACTAGAAACTCATTTAAATCCGCCATCATCGTTAGCATTTTAATTCAGTATAATTTAAATCGCTGTAACTTTGTGTGTTTAAATTGATTTTTAACCTTTTCATTTTTTCTTAATCTTTTACCATCCTGTTTAGAAAAGTGAACTCGAAGTTTCGAACATAATAGTTAATGATGCAAAGATAGCTTTTGCAGAGATCATGCTTTGAATATTAAGTTTATAAGTTTATAAGTTATAAGTTAATATTAAGTTTAATGAATTATAAGTTTTTTAAGTGATATTGACTTTTTATATTCTTGGAACTAGTAAAGCGAAGAAGTTCCTTAAGGTAGCTGCAGATTTATTTGGTTTTCAATAGATGTGCAATATTGTTCATTTCTTTGAGAACATTCCCAGACATAACCTACGCCAATGTCAGAATTATTTCGTTTCCTTGACAGAGCCAGGATCTGAAGATGAAGAAAAGCTTCTTCCAGCTCGTATCGCTCAACCACTCATGGACAAGGTAGCCACAGCTGGTGACAATGTGGAGCTTAAAGTTGGGGTACATGGTACACCCCGTCCAAAAGTTGAATGGTACTTCAACGGCAACGAGTTGCAGCCTGACGAAAGACACAAGTTTGAAGTTAAAGACAATGTCCACAAGCTGAAAATTTTGAATGTAAGCAGCTCTGATGGTGGAAAGTACACGGTTGAAGTTCATAACAGAGTCGGGAGGGATCTTGTCAAGGCGACACTGACGGTCAGAGGTATGATGTGCTATTCAGCTGGTATTTAAAAGCAGGTTCCAGTAACAGTAACAGGGCCTGCTGTTAAACAAATACAATGATTGCAGTTGTGTCAAGAAACATAAAATTTAATAATAAGTTCTTTTACTTGTGTTTATAGTTGAATGTTTTGCAAAACATAGAGCTATTAAATTTTCTAGTGCTATGAAGGCACCTGTCAGTGTACCAATGCCCATTCGATAGACCAAAAAGAATGTGTTTTTAGTTTAGAAAGACCAGTTTTTGTCAGGTGGTGGTTCCTTCGGGTGATGGATGACGTCATCAATTGTTTGCAGTCAGTTAAGATGATATGAAAGTACTGTCTAAAATGGCAGACGTTGTCCAGATTCACCAAGCATAGGACAATCTTTCACAACTATTTTATAGTGCATTATTGCTTCGTTCAACAGATTTTGCTATTGAGGAAACACATCCCTGAAACATCTAACAACATTTAAACACTTGTACAAAGTTTGAAACGAATGATTACTAATTTGTCACAAAGCTATTTGTGAATAACGGTTTTATGTTAAGTTTTATTCAAAGTTCTGTGTTAGAATTAGATCTCTAGTACCCAGTCCTGATTCACATTAAGGGGGAGGGAACGAACTAGCAGACCAGATAGTTGGAATAAAGCCGAAAGGATAGGCCTGTTGGCAGGAACATTGGCTGGCTTGAAGGGGGGGGGAGGGAGATGATATCATTAATAGCGTTTATGTTTGCAGAATAAAGTATTTATCAAGACTTGGTTGATGTTTTAGGTAAGTCGGTGTTTAAAATATTTGTCATTGCTTCGCAGATACCCCCAAAGACGGAAAAGCTCCACCAAAGTAAGTTTTCTTGAATATATAACACAACTTGTGTTTCATTGTTTTAACATTTCATATACTTTGTTCTTGAATTAGAGAAATTTGAAAATGAATAATGTAGAAGAAGAAAGTAACAATGAGATTTTATCATAGCGATGTTTTATTGGTTAAAAGAGCAATGAGAAAGATAGTATTAAAAATCGAATGACGTTGAAAGTGCTGTTTTTCATTCAAAGTAAATATAAACTTTTAGCATACTTTTTCTTGCTCTCGAAGGACTTCACCAAAACCTGCGCCAAAAGTTGCACCAAAACCATCAAAGCCTGCTCCTTCTGAACCCTCGGAGAACGGTATCCCACCCGCCTTCACCATAAGACCAAGAAACAGAGATATTCTAGAAGGAATGCAGATCCGCTTATCCTGTGGAGCAAATGGCTCTCCGGACCCTGTATTTGAGTGGTACAAAGACGATGCTCCACTTGAGCCAACTGAAAGGATCAAAATCAAAAGTACAGTTGGGATGTCAAGTGTGATCATTGAAGAAGCTGAAACCTCAGATGCCGGGATGTACAAAGTTATCGCGAAAAATCGCGTTGCTGAGATTACTACTGAAGCAGAGGTTTTGATTGAAGGTAAAATATCTTACTCTGTTGAATTTTTTTAATTAATAAATTTTAATTGTTGTTAAGTAGTTCTTTCTAAATTTAAAATTTTTCACGTTTCGGATTCTCAAGGTTTTGGATTTCTCAGGTTTTGGATTTGGGACTCACGGTTTTTCTTCTTTTACCCTTTTAAATCAATCGCTAGATTTATTAATTCTTATGGGGATATTCCATCCACAGACTACGCGTATTTAGAAATTTACATATTCATATATGTCAGAAATATTCATATATGTCAGAATCATATATAGATTGCTACGTGTTCACGTGAATTAACAAAGAAGGCACCAATGTTTATTACAAAATCAAACTTTTAGATGCGGCGTTTATTACAAATGGCTGAAAATGCGGCATATAATAGGGGCGGTGTATATTACGGGAAATACGGTGTATATGTTTCTCTGTGGAGTCTACAGACAGACAGTTAGTAATGAATTATTAATGAAAATAGGTTATTAAACATAATGCTGAAAGTCTATAGAAGAAGAAGAGTAAATAAACATAGTTTAATTTATTATTACGAACCATTTGAATTAGCAAGCATTTGATGGTAGTGAAACACTGACTAACATACCTCTTATTTCCGAACTGTTCTTTCACAATATTCAGTTAAACTGGACTGCCTGTATACCCCGTTCGACAAGAGCAGAATTAATCCACAGTCTTGGGTTACCCTGGGTTTTTCTCGTAGTTTGTATTTGGTTATTTACTCAAACTGAAATTCCACATTTTTTCGCAAGTGAAACGGTGACAAGATTCATTATATCTCTCAAAACAAACCAAAGTTAAGATTGACCTTTGCTTTTTATACTTATAATCGAATCAAGTTCTCGCATTCTCAATCACAAAATCTGTTTGCTCTCTCTTTTGAAATCCGAGTTAATCATTGTTTTCATTTAAGCAAATAACAAACGCTTATAGTTTTACAGAATTAATATTAATCTCGTTTCAAAAAGCGATTTATCTCAAGACAAATCCTCTGGAAATAGAATGGACTCTATCCCTAACATCGCAATGATTTCAAACTTCCCTTCGGATCAGGCCTAATGTCTCAGATTTTACCAAGATATCTTTGTTTCCTAGTTCAATTTGTTCTTCTAATCTCTTATTATCGTCAGTACAATATGTTATAACTTTCTTGTTTGTTGGTATGGTGTTTGTCGTTGCTAACTCTTTCTGCAGTCCACTTGCTGCACGAGGCACTTGCGATCATAAATCTAGGCGAAATTTGTCATCTTCATATTAGTTTGCTGGTGACCTGAAATAATAAACCTCTCATGTGGCGACTAAGGTGAGCTTTACTAACAAGGACGGCTTGGGTTCGTATTTCCTCACAAATTAAGCTTTTATTTTAGCAGTTTCGCGTATTAATTTCCTTCGGTTTTCGGATGTTGGCCGGGTTCTTGATTTTTGCTGTTATCACGTTTGTTGACAAACGCCTGCTGGTATAAACTATTTATTACAAAGTCTTCTGAGCTTGTTTTCAGTTACAGCTTTCCTTTATAGGTGCAAGGAAAATTAGGCCCCTTGGACAGAAAGTCGAGGAAAAAGCTCCTGTTGTTGAAAGTAGCCTCAAAGATCAGTCAGTTGAAGAAGGAAGTGACTGTACGCTAGAGGTGAAGTACAGCGGCGAACCAAGCCCGACTATCGAGTGGAAGAAAAACGGAAAGGAATTGAACATTGGAAGACGAATTGAAGTGACAAGCAAAGAAGGTTTAATTATGCTAAGGATACTGAGCATTCGTAAAAGCGACAGTGGCGAGTACACAGTTATTTTAACAAATAAACATGGATCTGAGAGTTCAAAGGCAAACATAAGCATAAAATCTGACGGTACGTATTGATTGTGCAGCTGTCTGTTGCTACAAATTCACTGTCCTTGTTAACCCACTGTGGTTAAGTGTGCACGAGAGCTGGATTTTTGCTGTCGCTTGCTTATTTATTTATGCTCACCACATTTTCAGCAGCTTTTTGGTTTCATATGTGGTTTGCTGCTTTTAAATTTTTCAGATTAATTATCCTGTGTGTCCGTTTTTTGTACTGATTTTTGTAGCGTTTAACCTGTCATTACATAATGGCCGTGACGTGACTATCCTACTTAAGGTACTAAGAGGCTTTCAAGGTGGTGGCCTTGTTATCGTAGGCTAAGGGTTGTCTTGATAAAATAAGTTGCTGTCAACAGATAAGTTCATTTTGTTTTGCAGAAGACTCGGATTCAGGTGACGATTTGCCACCAGCTCCTGCAAAGCCACGGACAGATGTCTCTGAAGAGGTTATCCGAGCCGTTGCGGAGGATCTAGCAAACAGGTAACACCATGAATACGGTTTGTCACTTAAAGAGCTATGTATAATCTGGTAGCTGTTGTGGAGGTTGTTTGTACAAGCAGCTGCTAATGGATTGTAAGAGTTAATCTTTTCATATGGCTTGCCTATTAATATGAACGATGTTTAGTGATCAACATAACAAATCTCGCTGGATTGTAAATAGCTATATGTGGCAAATATATTTCTGCATACGTTTGGCGTTTCAATTGATGGCGTATATTAATAACAATCTTGTTTTGAATTTCACACTTTGTTTCTCTTTTTACTTATAACATGCCAATGAAAACGTGATTTTTGCCTTGCTTCTCCAGATTCCATTGCGGTATTTTGGTTTCTCTTTCATGGCGGTATTTCGATATGCAATCCATTTTACATCTTTTTTCAGTGTTCCAGATATACCATCCATTCGGGAAGAAAAAGGATCAGTGAGTTCCCTCAGTTCAAGGGAAGAAATCTATTCTGCCGCATCGAAGGAGGATATTGAATCAGATGCAGAAGTCAGAGAAATCAACAAACGCGAAAGGCAGAAGAAAAACTCTGTTGTTCACCAGTTTCCCCGTACGTATCATGACGTCACATCTAAATTTAGAAAGACTGTATTCCCCGGAAAATCATCAGGGATCAATATCGGGTTTTTTGACGAGAATGCCTTCATTTACAGTTATTTCTTGAACCGAATAATGACCCCTGAATTTAGGCTAAAACCTTTCGGCTTGAACGCTAATTTCAATGTGCCCTCTCTAACAAACGAAAAATACCCCCTCTATATTTTTGATTTGTAAAAATATTCTGACTCGACATTAAAAGGAGCCATTATCATAAGAAAATAGTGAGAAACAACTTTAGTTTTGTGTTTGTGATTTTAGGCCTTGGCATAGACATTGTTGTCATACCAGAAACCCCACGAGATTCTCCAGTCGGACCACTCGAATCCCCGGAGATCATTGGAAAGCCGAAAGACTTGCAGATTACTGAAGGCGAAAAGGCAAGGTTTGAAGTCAAGGTGAAAAATGCGGATGGCCTGACTGTGCGGTGGTCAAAGGAAGGCAAGCCTCTCATTCAGAGTGGGCATGTAAAAACAGAGCAAGATGGCAACACCCTTATACTTGAAATCCAGAATGCGAGCATCAATGACGAGGCCTTATATGAATGTTTTATTAGCAACGATGCAGGGGAACTTAGATGCGAAATGGAGCTTCTTGTCGATGGTAATTAATATTATCGACAATTTTATTTAAGAAAATCCAGCACTTATCTACATAGCTTCCATCTAAAGAACTTGGTATTCACGCGAAAAGAGAACTTGAAAAATTCCATGTATTTAGTTTCTGGATGAAATTATTGATGGGCCAGCGTTATAAAGGAATTTTATTTACTGATAAACACGTCTTATTTGTTTTTATGAGTGTTGGTTTTTCTCGAAAATAGGACATTTTAAGAAAAAGCAGTCGTCTACTGAAGCCTGTCAGAATGCTGCTATTAAAACTTATTATTAAAACTTAAAGCAGATATTTTTTAATGATTTTCTAGATTTAGAGCCAGAAGAGCCGCCACGATTCGGGAAAAAGTTGAAACCAGAAACAGTGGTATTGGAGGGCGATCCATTCTCTTTACAGCTTCAAGTACTTGGAAATCCACAACCAACGGTATCATGGTATTTTGAAGGAGAACCTGTAAAGCAAACGGACTTCTTGAAGGTTTCTACGAAAGGGGACTGGCATAAACTTGAAATTGATGAGATACTCATTGATGATGAAGGCGTTTACAAATGCGTCGCAGAAAATGATCTTGGAACTGCCGAGACACAGACAGAAGTCCTTGTTGATGGTAAGAAGCCTTCAAGAAGTGATTTAATCTCGTTCTACCAGAGAACTGGAAAACTCACACAATTCATTCTGTTCAGCTTCAAAGTTCTTGTCTCTAAGATCTTCGCCTTTACTTTATTTGTGCTGTCATTGTATTCTCTATATCTGTCAAGTCAGTGAGAATGTGTATTAAGCCGTGCTTGGAAGAATTTTCTCACGAGAACTATGCTCTTACTTTCCCATTAATCTATTCATAGTGTCCTTGTTGCTTATAATTTTCTTTTAAATTTTGCAGATGCTGAAGATGCAGAAGAACAAAGGTATTTATATTTTATCATTGTTTCGTTTTGCATTTGATTTTCGATAAAATTAAGCATCGTATATCTTCTCAGTAGAGTCTGAAAGAGAGGCCAAAGAGATAGTGTGAATGAGTCTGGAGATTATTTTACTGCTTTGGGTTTTTATTAATCGGTTTGAAGGATGCTGTTTAAAACGAGAAGCCAGTGCTCATCCGCCGCGAATGTCTGATCAGCCTATATTGCAAATGATTCAACAGCAACGAAACCATTTTATTGAAAAAGCTAACTAAAGTCAAAATCATGCTACCTGAATCTACCGGGTTAGTGAAATTTGTAGACAGTAGTATTAATTATGCTTTAAGAATGGTAGTCAACTATGCTTTTTGTCTTTATAGCCCGAAACACGTTCCAGAGTCAGAGGAAACTGAGTCGCCATTGCCAGACGATATCGAGCCAATCAGTGTTCTTAAAGAAATGAAGGATAAAGAGGTAATAGAAGGTGATGCTATTCGCTTTGAGTTGAAAGCAACGGGCAACCCAATGCCCACTGCCCTTTGGTACATCAACGATAAACTGGTCGTTGCAAGCCCGAGGATAAAGATTGAAAGTGAGGAGTCAGGAATTTATTCATTGATCATCGATCCAGTTGAGATCAAAGATGAAGGCGAAATCAAATGCATGTTACGAAACAAAGCTGGCCGCGTTGCAGTCATTGCAGAACTGCTTGTTGATGGTGATTTTATTTTTCATATATGTAGATTTGTCATATATGTGATTGTTGAATCTTTCAGTGAACAAGGAAAGTCTCCTAATAGATAGATGGGGGTATAATTGGACTAAAATCGTTTTGAGATCTCCTTTTGGATGCATCCTGTTATGACGAACTTTTGGAATTTGATTTACAGGTAAATCAGTTGACACTCTATCTAAGGGGTGTTCTAGTCATTTTTCATAACTTTAATTTTTCTTGATAGACAAAGAGGAGCTTACTGATACAGAAGATGAAAAGTCAGATCGAGATGATAAAGACAAAGACGAAGAACCGGAGGAAGAAGAAGACGACTTGGAGCCTGATGAACAAGGACCAGATTCAGAAAAAGAACCAGAAAGAGAGCCAGAAAAAGGGACAAAGAAAAAACCTCCTCCAGCCATTCTCCCAAAGCCAAAGCCAAAAATGAAAGCTGAGGGTGATGAACCTGTTATTATTTCTTCATTTAAAGACAAAACGGTGAATGAAGGGAGCCTCGTGCGGCTGGATGTTGTCGTTGAAAATGCTTCAGATGTTACTGTTGAATGGAGGTTAAATGATGACGTCATTAGTTCTCAGGATTTTTCTCATTTCACGGTCCTGTCGGAAGGCAATACTCAGTCGTTGTTAATCACAGAAACGAGAGAAAGTGATTCAGGAGCCTATAGTTGTTTGGTTAGGAATGATTTTGGAACGGCAGAATGTTCGGCGATTTTGCGGGTTACAGGTGAATAGTTTGTTGTTTATGTTTGTCGCAAAAGAACGGTTTAAGTTTCTTTGGTTACTTTCACAACAGATGCAGCAGCAACAACAACAACAACAACATGGCATGGTTTTGAGACATCTCCTCCGAAAAGGAAGAGCACTCAGGAAGAAGCCGGTTTTTTTGTTTTCAATGTGCTATTATTATGAAATCGAAAGTGTCAATTAATCAAGGCACAATTATGAATTTGTATGCTTTAGTCATTTTTTTGATCGTCATTCAGTTCAAGTTTGCAAAGAAGATGGATCAAGTTATTATTAATGTATTTGTATGCGACGTGACTTTGTGTAAAGTACAATTGTGTTTCTTTTATTTTCTATTTTTTCTGTAGATAAGCTGCTATTGTATCTGTTGATTTTGTTTAATAAATTTCGTTTATTGTCTCGCCTTTCCTACGAGTCATAACAATCCTATTACATGGTACGGTTTATTTCAACGCTTTGTTTTTCGCACAATGCAAAATTACCATCATTTTTTGCAAATCTGATATTGATTTGGATTTGCCTTCCTTTCTCTCACCATCAAAATTGACGAGCTTAACGAAAATTTTCCTATTATGTCCTCATTCCGTATTATAAAGAAAAAAACCTTGCGATATCAATTTTTTTTAAATTTATATCAAAGTATGTCCTGACCTTTTGTGGAATACATGTTTCAAAGAATCTTTTGGCGGCCAATCAACAAGCTGTTTCTGGTCACATGACATTCTGGTGGCTTGACACCCTTTTCTTATGGCTAGCATCCACGCTTTCCGAATTGTAAACTCTTCTTGATTTGAATGCCTGTTATCCGAGCATTCAACGGCGTATATTGTAACCAGAAAAACATCAAATTGTTATTAACAATTAGGACATTGGTCCACCCTGAATTGCGTCTGCCATTCAGCCCGCACTATGATTTACTAGTATGTTTAGGCGTACGTTCGAAGCTAAACTGAGCAGGTAACAAAACGTCGCCTGCGATAGGAAATCGCTCAAGTTTCCATTCTTGTGCGGATAATTTCGTTAAGAAATATGAAAATGTAAATCTGCTACCATGTAGTCTTGTACTTTCACGCTCCAGATGGCATTTAGGAGGTACAGCCAGTTTTACTCGAATTGTTACAGTCAGAACCAGTATGGTTACGATACGGTCAGGTCGAGTTTTGCAATTTTGAAAGCTGCCAGCCAACAGTACGAAAACGAGAGAAAGGGAAGCAAATCTAAACCGCTAAAAGGGAAAGGTAAGGCGTGCATTTGCCATACAAAAAAGGCTGGTTATGAGAAAAGTCATGCCCGTAGATGACATTTGTGAAACACCGTTTTTTAATGATGATTGGAAGGCAATTCTAAGAACTTTTGTAGTCTCCTCTATCGTTGTCATATTTGCAAGAAAGTTGAATTAGATATGAAATTTAGAATATAAATTTTGTTTACAATCGTAAAAAGCAGAGGTAATTTCACAAGCCTATCAGTAACTGGAACGAAATTCATTTTTAAGGTAAAAAACTCCACGATGAGGAATCTCAGAAAACTGGAAAATCAGAAGCAAAAAAGACTCCAACGATATCAAAGCTTGAAGAAGTATAATATATTATGTTTGTTATTAACTTCTTTAATGCTTGTTGGATCGTACCATATGGTCGAACTGCGATCCCTTCGAATACTAGTCTCTGTAATCACGCTTAAAAGACAGCTTATGTTCATTGCAAGTTTAAATCTATTGAAAAGGCTTTCTTAGTAGAAAGTATTTCTTTGAACGCTGAAAAGAGGCCATGGCAACATATACGAAGCACTGGGGACTGGAATCGATTGATTGAATTTTGAGCGCCTTATTTGTCATATGTCAAATTTTGTTTGTCAAGAATGTCATTTGCAAACAGTGTATTGAAAGAGAGATTAAGTGAAAGAACACTTTTATTGAAGGCATCTGAACTTGGTGCCGGCTCGTATTACTTCCTTATGCTCTTGTAATCTGCGCTTTTTAAGCTTACGTTTTAAGTTAGGCCTAAATATTCATGTTTTGATAAAATTCATTTCTTGAGAAATTGTCCTCGATTCCGTATTACTGAAGCCATCGAACATAGAAGGACTTGTTGTATCTCATGCTTTGCATAAGGCTGCACACAACGCTCATTTAATTTGGTGTGGTTTTATATTAACGAAGAATACTTCTTGTAAAACATTATTCGTATTTGAGAGCCGGCTACAAAAAGATGTAGATGTTAGAGAATTTGTGTTACCAATGGCCTGTCTTGGGAAATCAGCAACTGTTGTATGCTTATAGCTAAGTATCTGTTGAACCAAAATGTCTTCTTTTCGTGCTAGTTCTTGCCTCTTGTCGCGTACGTGGCATTTGAAGACTATGAACCAGATGAGGGTAACAAGATGCAGTTGAAGCGTGGGGATGTTGTTGAAGTATTGGACACTACGCAGGAGGATAACTGGCTAGTTCGCAAGGCAACGCGCCAAAGTGACATTGGATTCGTCTCGCCAACTTGCTTGAGAAAAAAGTCTGAAACAGAATTGTGAGTTTTGACCTTTTGAAATTTTTGGCTTGTGTTTTTTCATTAAAGATAAGATTAAGTATAAGTGACTGTCCGAAAGCATCATTTTATTCTGGATAATGAAGGCCTACGTTGTGAACAGCACCCGCTTTAGATAAACTCTTAAGTGTGATGCAATACTGAGTAGTTGTTCCTGTTGTTAATGGATACCTCTGAACTTTTTTAATTTCAAGGCGAAAATTCATAATGTACGTTCCTCTTTGGAATATGATTAAAGAGAGGAGTTTTTGTACTCGTTTTCGCGGCGTAGGTTTTTTATAGGTAGCTTCATTATACCCACCTTTGGATTTTACTCACTTTCGGATTTTACCGACATTGGAATTTCGAATAGGAAAGGAATTCTTGCTTCACAAACCAGTTCCCTTTCCTCCACTTTATTTGATACGCACTTTTAGGCTCATTTCACATTCCGATACGTGTTGCTAGCATAAAAATTTGATTTTCTCCTAACAAAAACAAAGGAAGCTTATCGCATGGAGGTACTATTTAAAGTGAACCTGTACACACTTCGGTGCTCTTTCTCTGGTTATTTAAATTGAAACATCTTAAATTCAAAGGCAATACAATATTGGTTTTTCTATAAACGTATAAAACATTGAATAGTCATTATTCGCGTCTCGAAACTTAAGGTCATCTAATTTTCCACACGGACAAGCTACACGGACAACACACACAACTAACGCCCTGTAAACAAAGCTGATTGTATCTACAAGATGTGATTTTCCATCGCTGTGGTCGAACTGAGTAATGATGTTGAAAGTCGCCGATCTTCTCATTAAAAGCCACCAAATCGAGACTGTAAATTTCAAAGGCTTCACGACGGAATTCGATAATCCGCGCTTTAAAAAGGAATTCTTGCGTTAACGGTTGTTGACGGGCTATCCCGAGCTCTAAGCGTTTCTATGGTCGACAGATGTTTGTGCGAACTGGGATTCTTTCTCTGTTTGTTAAGATGATGGAATGACGGGCGTGATACGCCAAGGCGCCAAAAATGTTTAGAATCATGCGAATGGAAAATTACGTTAACCTATTCCGGCTATAGTAAGTTTCTGAACTTCTGTTTTTTGGAGATTTGTTTTGAACGGATTCGTGAATATCTAGAAGTAATATTTTGCCAAGGTGCTGGGAAGTTTGATATCATTATTCTGATTTGCAAGCTGTTCACGAAGTAAGGCTTATGTCAAACACCACAAGGGTCAATTTTATCGATAAATTTATTACTCTCATTAATATATTATTTTTTATCATAGAATCAAATTTTGATTTATAGATATGTTGTAAATATGAAGATATGCGGTGTTAAGCTTTATCAATGAATGAAATTTTTTTGCTAGTTTAGTCTCATGAGTCAATTTACATTGTCCATGTTCAAATATATGCTAATTTTTAAGAGAGCCATGCCATCACATCGTACTTTAGTTTAACTGCATCCATATCAATAACAGGTGAATTTTCTAATCCACAAGAAGATCTCGTAAATGCAATGAATGCATGACCTTTCTCGTCATCCGACTCTAATCTTGCTAATCTGAATTAAGAAATGGCTAATACAATCGAGTATAATTTTTTTGTTTGCTTTTGTTTGCTCTAAAACTTCGCAGTAAATTTATTTCTTTGTTCGAGGCAGGTATTTTTTGATGTGCGTTTTGCTTAAAAGCGTCTGATTTTATCAACATGACGTCGGAATTTATCAAAGCATGTGTTTAGCGAATCATCAACTTTGTTTCCTTTCCCGACTAAGCATTCCTTTCCCGACTAAGCATTCCTTTCCCGACTAACCTTTGATTGAATCAAACTGTCGATTGAATCAAACTGTCGATTGAATCAAACTTCACTTACTTAGGAAGTTCATCAAAATGTTTTGCTGTATTTCCTACGAGTTTTCAAGTTACGTTGTTATACATTTCGTTTTTCTTATGGCGTTCAATGTAATGCATATAGCATTAATTTCATTTGCCTCTGACATTTTACACACCGATTTGTACTAAAAATGATTGTATTTTTCAACAGCGCTAATACACCGACCACCCCTCGAGATGATCTTGATTCTCCTCTCTCATCACCTGGCAGACCATTTGATCTTGAATCAGTCAAGGTATCTATCCCTGTCTTACTTTTGTGTTCAGTCAAGGATTGTTTGTTTTCCATTGCCTATCTTGAACCTCCATTTAACATCTTCCACTAATAAGAAAATAGCGGTAAACAGCTTCTTATACATCTGCTACCAGAGAGGATTGTGAGTTCTGTATCTATTACAAGAAATTGTTTATTTTCCAAAGAGAAGCAGGAACAACAGATTGTTGAAATAACTTTTGGTAGTCGTTGATATTAGGCCTGAAACATATGGGCATGATATTACACGCTGTTTAAATGTTTCTTTGATCTTATCGCATGGAAGATCATGGATTCTTACCCTTATTATTATCAAAAACCGCCACCTCAGCGTTCTTTAATCTTCGCAAAATATTTCCACGACCCGTGTTTTGCAAAATTTCATGTTCTGTAACATTTGCGTACATTGCGTACAGATTTTTAATTATTTTCTTGCTTTCAAAACTTGCCTGCAAAACCACCAGTCTATGTTTTTTGTTGGTTATGACAGAGAGAAACGTCATGGATTCTCTTATTGCCTAGATGATCCTTGTCGAAATATCGATTAATAACTGCGATCTTTTAAATTTGATTTTATTTTTTCAGAGCAATACATATGTTGCAATCGCGAATTACGATCCTAAAGATGACGACCAGCTGGCGATATCCGAAGGGACAGTTGTGGATGTTATGGAGGGAAATCAAGAAGGGGATCTCTGGGTGGTGAGAACAATCAACGAAGATGGTTCATACGGTGAAGAAGGGTTAGTTCCTAGTGCATACCTCGAAAAAGATGCCGAAGAAGAAGTGGATGCCAGGCGACGAAGTATTGGCATTCAGCTGCCAAAAGACAGTAAAGAGATCGAGGCATTGAAGCTAAGAGAGTAAGTTTCTATTTTGTTATCCAAGTTAAATATTACTTTGCTTACCAGCAATTGCTCATATTTTATTGTGGTCTTTTATATTTTCTTCGAATATTCTATTAGAATTTCCTTTCATTTAAGATTTCCTTGCCTCACGTCTGTTTATCCGATAACTGGTCTGTTATTTTCATTTACTTTGTTGAAGAGGTCTAGCTTTATGTCACGTAAATGTCTGCGTAAATATCACGTAAATGGCTGCGTAAATGTCACGCAGAAGTCTCGCGTGTTTCATTTATTGGGAAAGAAAATATTAGTGGTTGTTCAAGTATTTCCACTTCTAAGCAAAACGCCAAATTCTTCTCTTGGTACAAGGTACATCATTGGAATGCCTCATGGCTGTGTTCTCGAACCGATAGCTAAATGTAATGTTTCATCAATTAATTTTCATAGTTTTTGCCGTTATTTATTTCTTTGGTATATTTTATATTCATAATCGTTACCATTAATTTTTCTGATAATTTTTCTGTGATTAAAAGGTAATGGTGTTATGTTTTGCTCTAGCAACGTCTTGAAAGAAATTTTGGATACGGAAAGGAAATATGTAGATGACTTGAAGTATCTTTGTGAGGTTGGTAGAGTGATCACTTAATCGCTTAAATCGCTTTAATCACTTTAATCACTTTAATCACTTTATCACTTAAATCAATTTTGACTTTTGACAAGCCTATACAGATTAGTACAGATTTAAACTTCTTTTACAAAAGAATGTGAAATGAAAAACTTAAATCAAGGATTGTCTTCGATTTTTCTACTATTAATTTGGCAATTCGCCAACCTTCAGGTGATGGAGTTGGATTTTAGATATGAAGATTTTCACCTTTTTCCATTTGTGATTTGCCCTTTTTTCTGAGTTGACAACCAATGGAAGCTATGGGGATGTCCCAGCTGTTGAATACATTTGAGGGGGATGTCCCAGCTGTTGAATACATTTGAGGGGGATGTCCCAGCTGTTGAATACATTTGAACATCGGCATGCCTTTGTCTTGTGTAAATTTTTTCTTTAGACAGAGCCTGTTGACTCCTTCTGCTTGCTCCCGATGCAAAATTAATGTTCTGGCTTCCAAATTAGGCCTCTTCTTAACTGTTCTGCTTGTGTTGAAAGGTGTCTTTATCGTTTTAGCATCATTTGGTGCAAGTTGAAAAGGGAAAGCATTTGCCTTCTTGCCTGGTTGGTAAAAGGGATGTTCTTTTTGCAAACATCAGAGACATTTACCAGTTTCATAGCAGGTTAGTTACTGGTAAAGATTTCCTTGTCACCATTCTACTCGCAAATCGTGTATAAAGTCCTGCGTGGCAGACGCAGAGGCCCATGTAAATAGCACTGTAAGGAAATGCAGATCTTCTAGAAGTCATATTCAACAGTTAACAAGTTAGGTTATGAATGATCTGGAAAACTTTTGGCTCGAAGGACTTTTGTTACCGTAACTGTCGCCAAGCTTTTAATAAACTTATATTAATACTTTATTACACTTTATAGCAGTTCAACGCTAGTATTTAACCCCACCATTCGTAGAATGTTTTTAATCTTAACCAATCTTAGTATTTCATACGATTGTAGGAAAACTCAAAACAACACATTCTCATTTGCTTTTCTTTGTCTGTCTAGCATATTTCTACCGGAATTGGAGCAATCTGCTCATGTGAGCGAGGATATGGCCAATTGTTTTGTGAAAAGAGTGAGTTTGTTTGACTTTACAAATCTGCAAGGTTTAGTTAAGAGCGAGCTAAGAGCATTTATTGGAATTACATAACCTTCAGCTTGTTGATCTCGATCGAGCCATCAGCTGAGGCTTAGGAGCGTTTCAATGCATCCTAGAATTATAAGCATTCTCTGGTTGTCAAAATAAACAACATAGAGGCAACAAAGATAATTAAATTTCTTTATTTTCCGTTATTCTCAAGACTTTGAAAGTTAGCATTGGTTTAGGACAGGTCTTTCTATCCTCAGATTTGTACGATAATTTTTATAGTCGTTAATTTTTATTTAATCATGACTTCGTATCTTGTTTCAGGCTAATGAATTAGAAACACTTTACGTCGAGTACTGTAGAACAAGACCAACAGCGGATGAAGTTTTAAATCGACCAGAATCAATTGAATACTGGGAGGTAAGTCGTGCAACTTTGCTCCAATTTCCGATGTTTGAAATTCATTTTATTATCGACCTATATCGAGAACTATTCAAAACCGACTAACGTTCTTAAAATCGTGCTTAAATAGCTAAATAACTCATAATCTCACTCCTCCACCTACGTACAGAATGGGATAAATCCAAGTTGTACAAGATTTTATTCCATATATTTGAATTTTGTCTAATCATTTGTGTCAAAGTCGTTAATTGAGAACCAATCCTCCTATCGCGTTTCCAATTTCCTGTCAAAACTTTTTTCGAATATAAATATTAGAGATCCTAATGATTATCGTGGTTCATTTATTAGCCTTCCATCAAGCTATATTTCCTGTTTAAGCACATTTCCAGATCCAATCACATAGATGTGTTTGTTATCGAATTTTAGGGTCATCAGGCCTTGCACTTTTGGTTTTATGATGTTTTGATCTAACCTCGTGTTCTGTTTTACAGAATTATCAACACGACTCTGAAGACCCACACTTCATCCAGGGCTATTTGATCACTCCAGTACAAAGAATCACCAGATACCAGCTTCTGCTCAAGGTGCGTTCAGCTCGTCGTTTTACATATAATGGAGAACAATTTACAATGGGTTGTTGATGATCTAAAAAACCTTCTGCTCACCCTCTCATCCCAACAGGTCACAGGTTGAAATTAGTTGCTTAACCAATCAAACACGTTTATCATTCAAACATTGTACTTAATCAATGACGTGCTTTCATATGGTAGCTGTCAAGTCGAGACACGTGTTTTTTTTTCCAATAAACGTCCTTTTTTCCCTGTGATTAAAAGAGTTTCAACCAATAAAATTAATTGCGCATCTGAAGCAATCTATTGTATTTCTTTAAGAAAACTTAATTCAACAGACGTCATTTCTGCCTCTTCTTATTATTTCATTAATCAATGTTTTAGGTTCTTCTAAAATATTCGACAAGGGCAAACCAGGAAGCTTCAACAGTTGAGGTAGGTCTTAGATTCCTTGGATATTCAACTGCAGATGTATGAAAATATTCAACACATTGCTTTGTAAACGTTTATTACAGTGAGATTTATTTTGAAAGCTGCACAGCACGCTTGTGTTCAATTTCATATTGTGTTTTCTCCCCAAAAATATTGCCAAGGAACTCCACAATTTTCCAAGAACTTTGCACCTAATTCTAAGAATATGTCTGGCTTCACACTACATCTCGGACGTTTTTCTTGGTTTCTGATGGATAAATGTTTATGAATCTGAATCTGAACTTATTTCTTTTTTTCAGCAAGCTTTAACGAGAACTGGAAACATCATACGTTTATCAAATGACATGCTTCATGTTGCTAAAATCTCCGGTTATAAGGTATGTGAAGTTAGAAACTAACACAAACTTTTCATTTATCAGTCATCATTTTACATTAATATTGTTGCCTATTTCTCTAACTATTACTGGGCCTTAGAATGTTATGATATGTGTGTAGAACTTCTTCCAGGGAGCCAGCTGTTTGCTTTTGCGCCGTTGCATCTTGTTTTTTTAATGATCTTAAAAGCTTGAAAGGTTGATAATGAAAGTCGTGACTGTCGTGGATTGATGTTAAAATAGAAACGTTGAAAGTGTCTTAGCAGGGATATTGGTTTCTATGGAATGATATCAGCGACTAAATGGAATAATTTCCCATAAGTAAAAACATTAAGGATTTGTTCAATACCATCTGCTCTCTATCTTTTCAGGGAGAAATATCATTAGAAGATGGGGGAAGTTTGCTTCGACATGTAAGTAGCACGTCTCTGTTTGTTGCCATTTCAAGATGATATCTTTATATTTTGACTGAAATGCGATAGTTGCGTAAAAAAAGGTAAACTTTATTTTAACAAGTGTTTTGCTTCTTTATATCGTTTCGTTTTAGTTTTCACTTTCCGTAATAGCATATTTTGAAGAATTTACTCCTTTTTAAAGAAAAACTAGAAGCAGGGTGTTATCATAAACAGAATTTAATTTGATGCCTATGTCGTGCTAAATAGTCGCAATAAAATAACAAGGAAGTGGTAGACATTTTTTAACTCCAGTCTTTGAACGTAAAACCTTCATAACAGCGGTAAGTAGCTGTAATTATTTTGTTCCTAACCTTATTCTCTTATTTTTATATAGGAAGATGTCATTTGCTGGGAAGGCAAGGTAAAAGGTCGTGGAAAAGAAAGACATTTGTTTTTATTTGAGCGATTGCTGATCGGAACAAAGACTAAAGAAACAAGGAAGGATGAATTCACGTACTGTTTTAAATTTCTCGTCAAGGTATGCAATCACTGTCTGCTATAATGTGTTAATTTTTACATATTTCTCTATGTGTTTTGCCAAGAAACTGAAAGACCTGAGAATGTAAGCACCCATTTTTTCTCTACCTAGTTCTCTTTGACAAGGTGGGTTTTTATTGCTTTTATTCCTGTTAATTAAAGCTATCCAAAAACGATGCTCTAATCGGCTTTTTAGATGTCTGATGCCGGCCTAACGGAATCAGTAGATAGTGACGCAAAGCGATGGCGGATTTGGGTTGGAAAATCGGCTTCGTCGGCAAGCTTACAATGGACATTTGAGGTAATTAAGTTTTTGATGTTACTATTTTACGATGTTACTATTTTGCGATCTTTTACCAATATGTATCGCTTTTACATGATGAGCCCGGGCTTAAACCCGATTCGGTATTTAGTTTACAATCGTTCTAATGGTGTTTGTTACAAAGTTAACGCTAAGCTATAAGATTTGCTGATTGCAGCTGTTGTGTGAATAGCCGTATTCCGTAATTATGTTGAGCGTAAAGACGTTAAATCTTGAAAAATTACAAGGATAATGATGTTGCATTCCACAACACATCATTCCGGTGCCTTGAGAAGTCACCGACCTTCAAGTCAACCACAGTTTGATGCTCAAGTTTTTCTTCAGTCACATGATTTTGGTTCCTATTACTCGCTTAATTTGTCTTACTGAATTCAGGCGAAAACCTTGTGGATAAAACAGTCTTGGGTTAAAGAGATTCGAGATATTCTTGGACGACAGTTGAGCGCGCTCAAAGGTATGCTTTCCTTCAGAAACTTCGAAGCATCTTTGTCTTGATATTTTCCTATATCTGTAAATCAATTGTTTAAGGGTCTTTCAATTCAGAACCCCATAGAACTTCCATAATTTTCTTATTTTATACTCTGTACCTGCTTTAAGCCCCTCAGTTAGAGTCAATATTTCTATTAAGGCCCCTCGACATAGCTTGCCTTTCAAGCTAATCAGGAAACCTTACTGAGAATTGTTTTATTTGTAAACACACAGAATCCTCAAAGCGAAAGTCAGCTCCAGCGCAGATGATTGATTACGATGACATGAAGAATAGAGTGACCTTGGTTCGTTCAAAGTCAGATGCTCCGCTTACAGAAATAGTCGAGGCTAGCACTGATACGTCGCGGCTATTCAAGCCTCTTCAAACCGCTGCAGGAGAACAGTCAGTAGCTCCCGCATTGAAGGAGCCCTGTTCGCACGTGACGGAAGAATCTCACATAGATGAAATGATGGATGTGGAGGAGGCTTACATCGCCAACGATCTCGGTGTATTATCTAAAGAGGTGATTTTGTTGGCTAATTTTCTTCAAATTGTACTGTTTTGAACGAGTAGCATTGAGCACGGAACAAGAATTCCCCTTCAGAAGCATTTTGAAATGTGGGGTTACAGAAGGAGTCTTGCTTTGTAACAAATATGTTTCGTTAAGTCTCTTTATTAATAGGCCTTCGACTTTGCCTTGCCTGTTTAGAATTGAATTTGTGTCCATTGCTACAGGATTCATATCCAGCAGAAAATGTCACAGAGGTTTTTTATATCTACCATCATTGTTTACCCTCGTTTTGTTTTGTGATTATAGTATTTACGTGTGTTGAGATCATTTAGTTTTTTGAATGTATGAAAATGTGAACGGTCTCTTGCTCCTTCATTAACAAGGCTGAGCCAGTCGACATCGGTACTTCATATGAGATCATAACAGACGTAAAATCCCGTTCATCGGAGACGGTAATCATCAAGAAGGGAGAGCACGTGACCGCATTAAAGGCTGGTACCCAGCTGTATCTTGTTGAAGCAAAACCTGCTGAAGATGGGCCTAGGCGTTGTTGGGTTCCTGCACAGTGGCTGAAGAAAATAACCTTAACGAGATCTGCGGATTCAGAACCTGACGTAGCTTCTTTAGGTGAGAAGACGTTATCTGAATATTCCAGTTCCAAATCGTTCCCCGAGTCCGATTTTTCTACTGATCGATCCAGAACCAGTTCCGAATTGTCAACCGAAGGTTCGGTTCTGTCTTGTAAGTCTCATTCCCATTGAATTTTACTTGGAAATATTTGCACCCAGAACACGAGATAAGTAAAATTCACATCAATTAATCTTCTTCATTTGCACTCTTTGTTGTCATCTGTAGACGCTATTCTTATTCCTTTGGCCATTCTCCACAGTGCTTAAGTTGTCCCTTGGGCTTGCGTATGTAATTCCCCCTCCCCCCTCATTTTCTATTCTTCCCTCGTTATAAAAAGAACAAACTAAACCCCTAACTGCACTAAATCCCACAAATCCAACTTAACTTAAGTTCACAATTTTCATTTCGTCGCACAGCGCTGCCGAATTTCATCAGAGCTCTTGAACCACAAAAGGCAATTGAAGGCGAAACCGTAATATTTGATTGTCTGATTGACTGTGATGCAGATGTAGAATGGACTTTGGATGACGAAAAGTTGGAAGAAAATGAATATATCAAATTTCAAACAAAGAAAGACGGCACAGAACTGCTAGTATTAGATGACGTTACAATTGACTATGCAGGATTGTATGGTGTCACTGCTTCGAATGCCTCTGGAAGCATCAGTTGCATGGCAGAGCTGATTGTTAATGGTAAATGTAACTTGCTTAACTAAGCCACTTTGTATTTGTATTTGTTGCTACCTAGCATCCGAAGGTAGTTTTTAGGACACTGAGAAGCTATGCTTATGGAGCAGTGTCCTGGTCCTTCCTCTCGATGTGACCACACCTCATGATTCCTACGCCTGGAATTACAGGACTCTCTCACTCTGGGTAAAAGTTTGGTCATGCAGTCAGCGCCTCTAACAACTGAGCAATCCTCGCCACTTATTCTGGCTCTAGAAAATAAAGGTTTTAGATCTTTCAGACGAGCAGTGGACATATGCGATTGCAAGTCCTTTGGTTCTGCGAATGGTTTTTCCGATTTTTGTAACGGTACAGATTCAAATCAGATTTCTTTAAAGCTGTAAAGAATCCATTAAGACTCAAAGTACCACGCTGCTAAACTAGATTACAGCTAGTCCGCATCTATCATGTTTCACGTCAAACATGTATTAACTTGTTACTTATTGTGCTGTTAAGGTCTGTAGTCATGATAGATTGAAGATTCCATCATTTCTATTGAGGTTCTCTATTCCATTTTTCTATGCACTCGAGACTGTTTATCCCAGACTTTCCTTGCGAGTAACTCACCAACAGCCTATATCAATTTTAAACCTTTTTTGCCATAGCTCCACCAAGGTTTATAGAGAAATTCAAAGATGGACAGGCCGAACTGGGAAACTCATTCTCGTTTAAATGTGGCATTGATGGCTTTCCAACCCCAAAAGTGACTTGGTTCTTCGGTACAGAGGAAATTCACGATGCAGGAAGATACCTCATAGAAACGACAGAAAAATTTGCAGTACTTGATATCGCTGATATTGACATATCGGACAGTGGTGAATACACGTGTAAAATAGCTAATGTTGAAGGCGAAGAAAGTTGCCGAGCGATTCTTTCCGTACTCTGTGAGTAAAGGAATGATATTACGTATTTGATGCTCTAGAGGACAACAAAATTTATTTGCTATTTTAAACAGTTGCCTGGTGTTCCCCTTAACCCTGAATATCAGGGTAGCAACTTAGAACCGTCCTGTTTTATATACTGTTTCTACTATTTTATGCGATGTTTGCTAACAAGACTTTTACAATAACATGTTTTTGTTCTTTTAAGGTGTTCCGTCCGAACCTGACAGTCCAACAGTTAATAACATCACAGATGATTCTGTTACTTTGTCATGGACCGCGCCGAAAGAAGATGGTGGCAGCGAAGTGACTCATTACATGCTGGAGCAGAGAAATGAAGATGATCGTCCGGAAGACTGGGATCTAATTGATGACCAGCTAACAGCAACAACAGCAACTGTGGATGGCCTTGTGAAGGGCGATGAATATAACTTTCGTGTTTCTGCCTGCAATGTTATTGGCTGGAGTAAGCCAGGCAAATCTAGTGCATCAGTGCTTGTGAAAGGTAGCTTTCTCTTTTTGTATGAATTTCAACCCTGGGAAAATTCCCAAAATGTAACTTGAAGGGATTTTCTACTCTCATCCACACTTTATACCTAAGTCGGAAAAATAACTCTAGGCAATAAATCCTACAATAGTGCTTTCTTGTTTTCCTCGTCTGGCATAAAATATATCATAATGGTCCTAAGAGGAAGTTTTGCTTTATATTTTAGCACCAGTTGTGAAATCTCCTGTTATTCTAAAGGAAAACGGAAACTCGGATCGTGAACGAGAGATGAGTGATGGATACGACACGGAAAGGTAAGCAACTTTAGAAAGTTAATTAAGCACGGTGACTGTGAGATCCGATTTTCTTTACTTTCCTCACAACCAGAAGGTCTGCATGCAGCTTAACGTGAAGCATTTATATCTATTTCAGTTAACCATCTTTTTATTTCGTTGTTTATAACTTATATGCAAAACCTTTCCACAGTTTGTTTAATTCTAAGGTAAACATGAATAAATTGAAACTGTAGCCGCGCATCTCTGAAAGGGAAACGCTGCCAAGTAAACACTGGATATCATTACTTGCTTAATCACTAAGAAAGTTTGCGTGCTAAAAGCTAGACTGTCTATTTTTTTTCTTCAAACTAGCAACGCATCGCATACTGACGAAGAGGTCGCTGCGCTGTCAAATCAAAGTCATAATGATCACAAATCGCTGCTGATGCCTGTGGAGGCGGATATCGCACCGAGGCTTTCGCCATTCAGTAACCTGAAAGAGCGACGTAATGTTGCTGCGCAAGGGGAATACTCAAGCAGTGATGAAAGTGGTCCGTCGCGGCGAACTAGGCCACCAAGATCGAAGAGCCCTTTGATTTTCAGCGGGAACAGAGTGCACGAGTCTTTGAAAAACCCAAGCTTAGCTAACGAAGGAGATGAAGGAGGTTGGGAAATTTTCTAGATAGAATCACAGTTTTTATTATCTCTACACATTCTTTCTTAAATTATGTTTTTGCACTGATCTTTAATACTCTCTAAGTTTTAAATACCCCATTAAAATTTGCCGTGAGTTGATTCGCAATACAAATTGATTTTTAAACGTTTCTGATTTTTTGCCTGTAATTGTTTTAAACACTGAGATCTTTCGTCACCATCAAACTTTCATACTCAAAAAAAATGCTGAACGAAAAGCGGTCTTAAGAAGGCAAATTCAATTTTCAGACTTTTGAAAGTTGTTTTTATGGCGAATGTTCATAGAATGGTTGTATTTTATTAAGTAGCAAAATATCTTGAGAAAGGCTGTGTATTTTTTGTACTCAGGTCTTCGCTATAGGTGCTTCTCACTTAAGCTATTATTCAAATTTATCCCCTCCTTCAGCGTGAAAGGACTGAATTCTCGAACTTATTATAACTAATTTATTCAACAGGAATACCATTCGGACCTCCAATTTTCACTAAGGAACTTGAAGACTGCTTCATTTTCGAGGGAAACGCTGCCAAGTTTAAATGCCGAGTGATTGGCAACCCAGATCCAGATGTCGAATGGTTTAAAGATGGGGAAAAGCTTGTTGAAAGCAAGCAGTTTACGATGCTGTTTGATGCAGATGATAATTGTGTATTGATTATAACTCATGGAAGCTCGGATACTGCGGGGAAAATCACTTGTGTTGCGAAGAACAGCGAGGGAACTGTCACAAGCAGCTCCATGCTATATGTTGAAGGTTAGTTTAGGCAGTATTTTTATGCTTCTAAAGTTCGCAAAATTTCAGCAGAATCATGGCTTTTCCAAAAGCCATTGACTTCCTATCTTCTGCTTTAGAAAGACAACTTTCATCCAGACACTACAACCCTGTTTTGATATTAGCTATATGTTTCACCAAAATCCTTGTTTCAAATTATAGTTTGAATTATATTAGATAGTTGAACCTTAAAGTCTTCGAAAGTTTTCTCAAACTTTCGAAATAGTTTCACATTATCTAAATCGTATCGTAAATGATCTTATTTTAAATTCTGTAATAATGCCATTTATAACACCATTATTGACCAAAAGGACGAGTCATGAAAATAAGTTACGTTGATTGTAAATTTGAAGACTTAAAACTTCATTGACAATTGTGAATGTGCCAATGTATGGTGACTGTGGGACATTGTATATACTATTATGGACTTTAGAAGAGTGATGGTTACTCGTTTTAGGCCTTGTCACTGAGTACGAATCCGAATCTGAGGACGAAGTTTCAGATCCAGAGCCAATGCCGGACAGACCCCCGGTGGAAATAACACGGGAAGATGCAGAAAATTATTATACCATGAAGGACGAACTTGGAAGGTAAATATGCAAGTTAATACTCTGTATATTCTTCTAACAGGGGGTAACACATAACAAAAGAAGCGAATTGTTTATTGATGTACAGTTTCTTCGCAGTTTGCAAGTATGAAGTATTAATCTCAAATGTTACTTCTTTTTTGATGCTTACAGAAATAATTTGACAGAGAAAATAAGATTTTATACTTGATTACGAAACAAAAAGACGCGACCAACATTTACTTCGTTGATACCTGGCAAGAGTTTTTTGTCCACACTTTCTCTCACAAGGACTTTTTTAAGCAGCTCTTTTTATTTGTCTATGCTCTTTGGGTGATGTTTTTGTTTATTTGCTTGCATGACTCGATGATTTTATCATTCGTTTTGTTTCAGGGGTAAATTTGGAATTGTTAGCAAATGTATACACAAAGACAACTCAAGGGAATATGCTGCTAAATTTGTTAAGTGTAGGCCACGTGAAAAGCAAGCTGTATATGACGAAATCAAAATAATGAATCAACTGAACCATAAAAGACTGGTACAACTTTATGATGCATATGAAACATCGAAAAATATAGTGCTTATTTTGGAATTGGTGACTGGCGGAGAACTGTTTGAGAAATTGACTGCTCTTGAGTACATTTCGGAGCATGTTGTAGTGTATTATATGAAACAAGTTTTGCAGGGTCTAAGTTATATGCACGAAAGACAAATACTTCATCTTGATTTGAAGGTAAGCATGCGTTTTAGAAATAATTTACCAAAAGCTTGCATTCTAGTCTACTTGACACTTATCAAATGATTTCTTTGGACAATTGTTCCTAGATGATCTCATATGGTTTGGGGCTGAAACTGGGGTTGAAAATGGGGTTGAAGTTGGGGTTGAAGTTGGGGTTGAAGTTGGGTTTGGGTCTGGATTTTGGGTTTGGGTTGGAGTTTGGGTTTGGGGTTGGAGTTGGAATTTTGGGGTGGGGTTAGGGTTGAGTTGAAGTTGGGGTTGGATTTGTGGCTATATTTGTTCGCTTTTTGATTCAGCAGTTCTATATTGTATGTTATTTTACATGAATTGGCATCGAATCATTACATTATTTCTAATTTGGCTCGTTTTTAGCCTGAAAACATCATGCTAGTAAACCCGAACAGCAATCAGGTCAAGTTGATTGACTTTGGTCTCGCAAGAAAATATAATCCAAATGAAACGATGCAAGTTTTATGTGGAACCCCTGAATTCATTGGTATGTATATACAATCATTTGTCTCTTTAAGCTTCTTTCTACACACAGTTTTTGTAATTTTGTATGTTGTTATTATGATTTCTCTTTACTTATTTATTTACTGGAGCAGGCGTGGCAGTATTTGACAATTGTTCCTCCATTGTTCCAAGAAAAACAATAATAGGCCACAGATTGCAAATTTTTTTGAATTTGGGAAACAATAACTCCCAAGAGTTGGTTAAAGCCCCACGGGTTTGTGTAACCCAGAGGTTGGTATGACCCCAAGGGTCGGTCGAACTCCCAAGGGCTGGTAAGAACATTGGGCCCTACTCCCCTGGAATCAATTGTACATCCTAGGGTTTTCAAGGGGGGGGGGGCGAACTGTTGAGAATATTCCCAGGACAGTTAAGAATACGTACAATTGCGACAGCTGTGAGTTTGCGAAAGCTTTTAGTCCATGTTTGTTCAATTACTTGATTTGCTTATATTCAAAAATCTGAATTTAAATGTTGCTTATTTTCTACAGCCCCAGAAGTAATCAGCTATGATACAGTAAGCACAGCTACGGATATGTGGTATGGCTGTTTTTCTTTCATTACGTGTCTTCAGTGCCCACTCATATATTCCATATTCACCAAACAGTTCTTTTTCTTCTGTGCTCCAGCTGCGTTGAAAAGGAAGTTATTTATTCTTGACTGCTAGCCTCCGTTTAATGCCAACAGTTGAACAGTGAACTGACACTTTCAGTTTGAGACTAATCGTTGTAGCAGCGTTTTCGTGATTTTATATAATACATGGTGGGAATTAGTTGCTAAACATCATCTGTTTAGAATTAAAAAAAAAATTTTTCATACATCTAAATGTACTTTGTTTTTCTTAGGTCTATTGGAGTTATTACCTATGTCTTGTAAGTATTTATTCTCTAGCACTGATTCATTTTGTGAATAAGCATTTAATCTGAACTAATGCACCAGCATCACTTGCGAGAATATCAAATAAGCAAGCGATACCCCTAAGTTTGCAGATAGCATAGTAGGGCAGAAATCTGTTATGCTTTATTTGCGCTTCTCAATAAAATCCCAAAGAAACACAAGCATCAATTCTAAAGATCCAGAGTTACTGCAAGGACTTTAATTTGCTTCGCTAAAAGATTAAGACCGTTGTTGAATTAAAACAACAATTCAGCATGGTATCTTATATGTGTTTGACGTTGACTTTTAACATTTATCTTTAGACTTTATCATCGCTTCTTTTTTCAGACATAAGTAATAACATCATAGCTTATAAATAACATCTATTGTAAAATATATATTTTAGGAACACTAGGTTAACAGGTACTTAGTTGATAGCAGCAAATTAACACGTTTACCTATCTAAATATGGTTTATTATTTTTGATAAATATAAGTTTTATTTTTTATTTCTTTTTTTACTATGTTACTTAACTTCTCATTAAAGTTGACGATATACCTTGAATTTAAGGTATGAATAGGATGGGATTGTACGGGCGGAACATAAAGGAAATTGAGAGTCGTTACCCTTTTATGATAAGTTTTAGGTATCTTCTCCATTCTGCAACATTTTCTAAAAGCATCATAGACTTTTGAAGCTTTGTTCGATGTTAAGCTTCCTCTATAATTGATATTCACTGGACGGCCTATTTATTTTCAGGCTAAGTGGATTGTCACCTTTCATGGGAGACAATGATGCTGAGACACTGGCCAATGTTACCACAGCAGAATGGGATTTCGATGACCCTGTCTTTGAAGAAATCAGTCAAGAAGCAAGGGAGTTTATTCAAGATTTGCTCATCAAGGCCCAAAAGTTAGTTTCTATGTACTATTTTCTGTTATTTTTATTTCGTTTTTCGCGCTACCTAGCTTCCTTAAGGAGGTTTTTTAGGACATTCAGACGAGATACTTGTGCCAGTCCTTCAAGCTTATGTGGCATGTCTCATGATTCAAGTGCTTGGAATTACAGAGAATGGTTGTTTTGAATCCTAGACCCTTGCATCTGTAGTCTGTTACCCTAACCACAGAGCCATCCACACACCTTCACTTGTTTTTTACTACACCTGTTATTAATCCTGTATTTTTGTGGTTTTTAGGGAGGGTTATCGATAAGGTTCGTGGCAAGAGTGAGTGAAAACAGAAGTTTATCGATGATTTGTCTGTAGTAAGAACTTTCTTTAAACTGGGGTATTATTTTTTTAGCAAACGCAGCACAGTAAAGGAGTGTTTTGAGCATCCATGGTTGATGGTGAGTGAATTCTTACTTACGCTTTTGTACAAATTTATACTAATATATACTGACTAATGCTAATTATGCCGATTCATACTAATTGATTCTGATTTGTACTAATTTATATTGATTACTATCCACTTGTTTAATAGTTAGGAAATAACTGCTTAGAGAGTGTCACCACTTGCTATGACCTTCTTGACAAGTATCTTTTGTCTTCAGTTTAAAAGATCGAAAAAGAAGCTGAAAACAGACAGATTAAAAGCATTTACTGCGAGGAGAAAATGGAAGGTTTGTAGCTCACTTTCGCGCTTCTCTTCCGTTGAAAACCTACATTCTATCCTTGAGTTTCTTTCACTTTTCTTTTTCATTCTCTATTTATGTATTTCAATTGCAACTATCGTCATTTTGTACAGAAAACGATCACAGCAGTGCGCAGCACTAACTTCTTGAGCCGGCTGCTCAGCGGCGTGAAATCGGCCTCTAATGACGTTAAGCAGGACAAGCTAACAACGAAGGTTACCCCTGGCTTGAGTCCCTCTACTGAAACTGTCGAAGAAACGAACGCTGGAAAGAAGCCAGGTTGGAAAAGGGTTGCGATAGCCGAAGAAGAGGAATCTCAAGGTAATCCTTGATAAATTTTTTACGGAAAGAAAACGGGAGAATGTTATTCTTTATTGGTTGCTTATTGCAATAATGGTAATACGTCCTGTATGTAAAAGAGAAATTTTGAGAGAGTAGTTAATTTGGAAATAGCTTAAACGATAGAAATATTGATGGCTTAATTTTCCAACTGTATTGAAAGACACTGACACACGATTTGTTTTACAGCACCGACTTTGTTAAACAAACTCCAGGATACAAAATGCTCCCGAGGCGACACAATTTCTCTCTCCGTTCAATATATATCGGACTCCCCACCATCGATTTCTTGGAAGTATGAAGGAAAGGAGGTAGTTGAAAATGAAACTATGTGTATTACAAATGGCAAAGGTGTCACGACTCTCAAGCTGTTTAAAGTTATTTGTTCCGTTAGTGGAAGATATTCTGTCCGACTTGAAAATAAACATGGATCGGTTGAATCGAAATGCCAACTGATTGTGACAGGTTTGTTTTTTGTGTTTATTTTGTCATCTATGAAGGAGACGTACAGTAATATGTTTTTTGTTTGTAAATTGCTTCAGAAATGGGAAAACTTGTGTTATTCCAAAGCTCTAATTTTTGATACCCATACTGCCGTTGAGGATACCTGTTTTTCTGATTTCTTCTTCATCTAAAGCATTTGATTCTTCCAGCTCCTTCTCTTACTGTCTTATGTATTTACCCTGCTAGGTTTCGCATTCAGACTTTAAAAAGAATTCATAATTAATGCAACAATAACAGCAACTTGGAAACAATATCTGAAAAGCGAAATCCATATCTAGTGTATTTGTTTTTGTTAAAATCCAAGCAAAAACCGGCTGAAGAGAACTTCAGACGCTACCTTTTGGGTCTTGTTTCTTTTGTACATGCTTCGTTTGATTTACACTCCCTCTCTTGTAAGAAACGGCCTTCATCACAAATCTCACTCCTCAATGTCAAAAGACATTTCAGAGGAACACAGAAATTTTTTTCTTTAATGCAAATTTTTTATGTTACATTTCAGAAGTTGTATTTCTTTCAATTATTTAGATGTTCCAGACGAGCCTTCACCTCCAGGAGTTCCTAAAGTTTGTGGAAACAGCGCCCTCGTTCAGTGGCAGCCTCCGTTCGATGGTAACAGCCCAATTACTGGGTATTGTCTAGAGTGCAAAAAAGTTGGAGAAAAAAGCTGGACTATTGTTTGTAGTAACATAAAAGAGTGTATCACTGTTGTTGATGATTTGGAGCCGGAAAGTTCATATCGCTTCAGAGTTAATGCAATGAATATTGTTGGCCAGAGCAGCTTCAGCAAGCCTACTGGCTTTGTAGAAACAAAAGTAGTAGGTGAGACATTTTATCGATTTACATTCCTTTGTCTTCTTCCGATTACGTGTGTTTCATGGTTGAACATTTATGTACAGTTTAACAATAACTTCTGTTAACCGGTCTGTCATAAACTTCTCGTTGCCGGAGAGACAAAGCTGTACAAGCTTTTGATGTAAAGAACAGGACGGTTCTGAGTTTTCATTCCTATGGTTGTCATCATCATGAAACCAACCATTCGGTCATTCGGATTATATAGTTGTTTTAAGTATCAAAGCAAATTTTCCCCATACTGCATGTTTTATCCTAATAAAACTAAAAATCCTTATCGAGGAAAATGTGGAATGTTTTGCGAACAAGCTGCTAGGCACTTCTCGAGATTTGAGAAGAAATATCAGTTGCATGCTTTGGGCTTCGTATTCGTAACTATCGAAGCAAATATTGTTACCAAATAGTTGAAGTTGTTACCTTCTTAATCCTCCCGTCATTCCTGAAATTTTACTGAACGTTCATCCAGTGAAAATACACATTCAATTGGTCTGCTTCAAACTTAGCCTCGTGTTGATTTTGTCGACTTCTTTCCTCAAAACGAGATCAAACTGAGAACCATGAATGTTATCAACCAAAAGAAATTAAATTATGCGTTCATTTAATCGTTCATTATTTATTCAGTTCATTGTTATAATCAATGTGAAAGCATGCTAGCTACATTAATTCATCAAATTGACGCGTTTTACTGAAGCTCGGGCTCCTTTTCATTAAAATTGATTGATATTTACTGATAAAACTCCCTTGCTATGATAACTCTAAATTGGCTTTGTTTGGAAATTTCCATTTATCCAGGAGGTCATGTGCTTAAAGTCCTGAAAGGGTACTAGCATTTTTATGGCCCGTTATTGCTAATGTAAGAAACCACAGTGTTCAGAAGCTGTTAGAACGTCAATGCTTGCTTAGGCCGTCTACTTAGAGTTGAGCAATACCACTTTAGTTCGTTTGAAACACCGTTGAAGAAAAGTAAAAGGTTTGGTAAAATGAGTGCAGTTGATGAAAACGCTAATATTCCTGTGGAGAGTGGGAAGATCAAATCTCCAAGAGGGAAGAAGGGAAATGGAGGGAAAGGTGGAAATCAGGCTACAACACAGCAAGCCAATTTGGAAAGGCAAAAGGCAGCCTACGAAGAATTTGTGTCTCGCAACAAAAACAAAAAGGTGAACAGAAAAAATAAAAAGAAGAAGGGAAATGGATCGGCCAATAAGCAGAGCAAGGGGGGAAATAGTAATGTTTCAAATGGGGCGGCAAATGTGAAAGTAAATGGGGCACAAACTGGAATAGCAAAGGAGGGGGCAGATGATACTGATACTGGCACTAAAACTGATACAGAAGTTGATCTTGCAAAGGATACGGATGGCATCACAACAGGTACTGTCGATGACGATGCCAAAAATTGGTTCAGAATTAGCATGATAATGTTGATGCTGAATTTTACGGTGCCAATAGTTGCTACGTTCTGGAAGTGAATTTCTGGCAGAGAAGAATTCTCAGCCAAAAGTCTCAAATTTGTTATTCCATTTTAATTTTGAAAATTAATTGACAGGTGGTTCATTGTCGCTGATTTTTTAGTCTATGTAATGTTTGTTCACATTAATTGATTTCCAAGCATATGTTGAAAATACTCTTTTTTATATCAGAAATGCGATCATTATTTTAAGATTCCCAAAGGCAATAATTTTGTCGATTTGGAATACGCCAGCTTCTTCCGAAAGCTTGCATTTAAGACTGGAAAGAAGCCGCTGTGGTAGTCGTTTAAGCTTCACTCTGATATCTTAAGAAGATATCAGTTTGGTAAGCAGTTGAATTTTCCAGCTGCAAGATGTTTTTGTTCATTTAGCAACAGCCAATTCATGTTTTCTTTGAATTTCAGATCACGTTTCTTCTGTTATGAATGTCCCTGGTGCAAGAAGAGTATCCAAGAGCCGTTCCTCGATATTGGAAGCTTCGAAAGCCGTGAAAATTGACTTGCAGCTCAGGCAAAACAATCCTGTAGATAAGTACTCATTCGGTGAAGAAATTGCGAGGTAGGTTGTCTTCTTTAGAGCCTTGAAATTCTCTTCATTTTTTAAGTTGACCATAGACTATTTTTGCTTTGGTATTCTTCAGGTATAGGGGAAATGGTAATAGGGTGGTTTCAAAATGATGGGGGCCTAGCAGAATTTTAGCTGTCGTAGCCAAGATGTCAGTAAAAGTTTTTTTTGTGAACACAGCTCTTTAGGATTAGAGATATAAATAAAATTTTCATATACAGAACAGAGAGTTAGCTCGCTTGCATTGTCAAACATTTGAGTATTCAGTACTGGAGTTAAGGAAAGAAATAAGTCCCTTGGTGCTTGTTTGTTGCAAGACTTGCCGCTGCTGTGTGTCGTTCTCTTTGAAGTATATGGTAACTGGTGCTGTTGAATAATTTACAGAGAGCTCTTAGCCGGGGATGATATGCCCTTGCAGTGAAGATTGCAGTTGTCGTCCTTCAGACAATAATTTTGACTTTTGTGGTTAGGAAATGTGATAATTCTCTATGAATGCACATTAAAGTTACCTGTTGCTTACTCGAAGAAGCAGCCGTTGGTTTTAAGCAAATTGAAATGTCTAGGCTTGATATCTAAAACCCTATGGTGCGTAGCAGGTTCTGTCAAATAGAACGTTGATTATTCGTCTTGTTTATCCCATATTATCAGCTTCTCTATTGCAGGTAGTTCCCCTAAGTGATAATCTTATCCTAGGGGCGTTGCATTACTTAGAATCTCGCCTTGGCCTTTGTAGCATGCTCTGGCCTTGATTTATTGTTTAATTAACTTCAAAGTTGCCGATGTTACTAATAAATTGTCCTTGCAATGTTTTTGAATGGACTTGCCTGAAGATCTTTTGCCAAAGTTCATAGCAGCAAGTTATGGAATTCACACGTAAGATTTAAAGATAGATATCTAAATAGATATATCGCATCAGAGACTGTATGGAAATGGTGTTATTAAAAAGTGTTTTTAAGATGTTTTGAGGATTGGAGAAGAGGCAGGTATCAAACATAAACATGTTTGATGCTGAGTTCTACCTATGCTGAGAAATTGTATTTACAGTGATAAAATATTTTCCTTTGATAATATCTAGGCACGGGCTGTAGCGAGTGACATATTATTTCGCTTTCTGCAAAATGGATGGAAGGAATGTTAATTGTGAGGGGTATATAACAAAGTTTTATGTTTTATTTCAGGTAGCAGAGGCGGAAACCCCTCTTGTTTATCAGTGTCCCTCTTCAGGTATTTTAAGGTTTTCATTTCTCCTTCACAGGGGCCGGTTTGCCGTAATTAAGAAATGCACTGATAAAAAGACTGGGGATATTTTCGCAGCAAAGCTTGTAAAATACGATGAAGACACGCTAGAAATTGCAAAGAAGGAATTCAACACATGGAATGGATTGTCACATCCGAATTTGTTGGTCCTGCACGATGCTTATTTGGTGCGAAAGTACCTTGTACTTATTAGTGAAATGTAAGTTAGATATCGCCAACTTGTTTCGTAGCTGTTAGTCTTATAGCTGTCACAACGTAATAATTGTTATGAGATTTTCTTCTTTAGTTAGATTAACTTATCGACTCTTTTTGACATTTTACTCAGACTGAATTTTGGAGGTAGGTTTGATAGCTCGAGGAGGTTCTTACATCTAAAACCTTTAAACAGGAAAACTGTAGTATCCCAATTATTTTGGCCAATTACTGTACTTCTTATCCTGAGTACAGTATACATTCAGTATACTTTCGATTTGCCATAAAGTTTCATGTCTTTAAATACCCTCACCTGTAATCTTTGTTCTCCAGTATCAATGGAGTACCAATACTGGACCATCTGGGAAGAATGGGACAACCAACAGAAGACGATGTTGCTGGGTTTATCACACAGTTACTTGAAGCCCTTGAATATCTGCATGCGCTAAACATCGTGCATCTGGATATAAAGCCAGGCAACCTTATGATCAAAGGCAACATCATGAAGCTCATTGATTATGGGTCATCACGGAATATTACAACTCCGCAAGGGGAAGTCGGAGAGATGGTTGGCACTGCTGAATTTATGTGTATGTACTTTGACTTTCGATTATATCTCGCAAATGAAAAGTTTCTCCTCAGTGAAAGAGTTCTTAAGTGTATTGCAATCGGCTATCACAAGCAGTTTTAGGAAAACTAGCTAGTTAATTTTCAGGCTAATAGTTGAATTAAGAAACTTTCTCGAAAATGTATAGTGAGTGAGTCCCTTCCCCATTGCCTCTTTGTTCTATGTTAATTACTTACTAGAAAACAAAAGCTTATTTTATATAATAGAATATTTGACTTTTAAACCATTCGTTTATTCATAGAGTTTTTCCATCTTTTTTGCAGCTCCAGAAATGATCAATTTTGAGCCTGTCAATTTTTTCACCGACATATGGGGAGTTGGTGTCGTCACATATGCTCTGTACGTTTGGTGCTTATTTTCGCATAATTATAGATACATTTTTAAAACGTATTTTGTATTTAACTTGTCTTTTGCTTATATTTATTGATTTTTCTTCTACTATTTACATTCTACTATGATGCCTTTTCTTTCACAATATGAAAATATATCTACCGTAATTAACTAGATTTATTATACTACTATGTTTCAATGTAAAACTTCCCTCTACTAAAATTGTGTACAACTCTCAAGCTATTTTCAACTAATCCCCCCCCCCCACCTTCGCACCCCACTTTCCTAGCTGTTCACTTTCAGCTGGTTAATCCCTTAAACCTCTTACCATTATGTTGTCCCATTAATTTTGTTTTTATTAAAACGGCAAGAAAGTCCTTAATTTCTTTCATTAATGCTTGTACTTCATCTATCGTTCCTGAAACAATGATGGCACGTTGATTTTACCGTTGATTCCCCTTCCCTTTGATCAGGTTAAGCGGCTTCTCTCCCTTCGCTTGTGAAGATGAAGACGAGACAATGGCCAGTGTTACCGCGCTGGATTACAGATTTGAACCAAAGGCTTTTGCATCGATAACTGAAGAAGCAAAATCGTTTATCAAAAGTATCATCATCAGAATTCCGGAGTATGTTGTTTTCTTCATAATTTTGCATATTGGGTTTTATTTGCATAGATCGATTACATTCTTACATTTATAAAATTTGTCTTCATTAATATATCTTGTGGGGTAGATTGCTTGTCAACAAATTGACTTAACAGGAAAAAAAATAGTTCATATAAGATCATTCCTTTAGTGAGCTAGTGTTGATGTTATTTGAAAAGCCATACATTTGATGGCAAGACCCCTTAAACAAAATTTGGAAGATGATCAGTATAAGCTTTGTACCAACTTTCTCCTGGACATAGATTCTTGTTCATTTTGTAGGAAACGACCAACTGCAAGCAGTCTTCTTGAAGATCCATGGCTAGATGTACGTATCGTCTTTGATATATTGTTTCAACTGTTTTCTAATCGTTCCTAGTTCTGCCAAGTTAAATTTGTTAATTTGGAACTGCATAATGAGAAAGTTTTTCTTTCACATACAGGAGGCGTTTGCTGAGTCGAGAGAGGCGTCCCTGGTTGATAAAATCTCATTAGTTGAACTTTCAGAAACTTTAAAAGATCAGGTTTGTACATCTCCTTTACAAAATGTTTATTGATGTTTATATATTTATTTATGATAATGATTTTGATCGCCGTTATCAGTCTTGTTCATCAGTAACGATCATAAATCACCCTCTGTCAATCATGGGTGCCATCAACAACATCAGTCATCCTTGGTGACCAATCATAAGCATCATCAATATCATCGATCATTAATATTATCGCCAATCATCTTCATCAGTAGCCATTATTAATCACCATCAGCATGATAATCAATCATCATTGATCGTTAATCACCAATCATTATCATCATGATTACTGTGGTGGTGGCCTGCAAGTCGTCATTATCATCAACGTCATCGCTATGATTCCCTTTATCACCTTGATGTCCATCGTTGTCCAGATCACAGTCAATCACATTATCAATCACAATTTACCTTTTAGATCCAAATTTTTGGCCTATTTCGATCCAGAACTGTGTATTTAAATTTCCTAGCATAGAGTTTTCGATCTATTTTTGACGTCTTTAACTCTGAAAAATGTCAGACGAAAACTTTTGTATGTTTCAAAATTTTTTTATCAAAGCCTTTTCTAATTTTTGTACCACTAAAAGAATGTTTGCAATTTACTACTTGTTCTATTTTTCGGAAATTCTGAATATTAATACTGAGTATTACGCTTTTTTACAGTTTTAAAATAAGCCTACGTGCCCTTTAGCTTTTAAAATCATTTTATTTCGTTTCTCTAGGACAAGTTGGAGGAAGTACGAGCTTCAACAGTGCTGAAGACCTTCATCCAGTCACCTCATGAATCTCCAGAAACAACTGAAAACGAGGATGAAGGTGCGGATGATGATGTTGAATAAAGATTACTATCACATAACTCGAAATCGAGGTTTTACACATCAAAACCATCCACACGGTGGTTAACATACGAAAAAACAGCAGTATTTGTTGTGGCACAGTTATTCAAGAAGACAGCAAAAGCAAGCCAAGTATTTATGTCGGCATGGAACACTGAGTTAGAGCCCTAATACAAAAAATCATGTTTAATAATGTAAATAATAATAGTGCTGATTTTAGGGAAACTAGAATTAATTCTGTTTTAATTCTAGAATTTTTGTTCAGTGGATACAGCGGTTTTTTTATGAAATATTTCCAGATTTTGATACAGATTGTTGAAAATATCTTTCTTTAATTTTGAAGAAAAGTTTAATGCGAAAAATTCAAATGTTTTGTCAACTGGAAACCGCCCGATGCCATTGAACACGGTGTATTCGTGTAATGTGTAATGTAACGTGTATTTTTACGATCCTTGACGTGTAAATGCCTTTTGTAGTTTTTAATAGATTGAATTATGCATTTTTAGTTTTTAGAATAAAACTTGTTTTACTAGTTGCTTTTGTTGACAAATCCAGAACTATTGTTTACATCAATGTGGATCTTCATCATAGGATCCTGAGATTCATGATTGTCAACTTCTTAATTCAATTCTTAAAACTTTATCATATGATAAAAATAACAATTTTAGTATTAAACTTGTAATTAATTACCGCCGTTTTGTACATCGATTTATCGGCTTCACTTATGCCTGACGCGTATCATGTATTTCTAATTTTCATACACTGACTGTAATTGTAATTCAATGAAGCATTAGACGAAATTATATCAATGCCTTCTATTGTGTATTGTCCTACTGCCGCAATCGTATGATATACTATATAGTTGTCCATTGACTGATGTTTGCAAGCAAAAGTTGAAAATCATTAGAAGCCGTCTATCTTCAAATGTATGACGTCACGCAAAATTTGAAAGTCATTGGAAGCTGTCTATTTTTAAGTTACATCACGTCACACGTATAAAGTGGCCTGGTGATATGATAACGATTACACGAATCGATTCAACAAGTGTAATTTTGTATAAAGCTTTGAAAACTTTGGAGAGTTTATCAAAAAATCTTACCTTACTTTATCCTTTGTAAGAGTTATCCTCTATTTGCAATTTCTCTCTTTGTGATTCAATTCCCTCTGTTTTTTGTCAGTTACTCAACTTGCTTTTATTTTGAAAACGCTCTCTTGTACCAAATATTCAACTGCTTCTAGATTATCATACAGTAACTCGAAAAAAGTGTTTTTGGTTTGCATCAGAGAACACGCATTGATCGTCAGATGTGAAAAACTTTTCTGTAAAAGTTAAAAGAGAAAAATATTTTAAGTTTTGGAAACCGGGCCGTAAATCCCAGGGAGGGCCGGCGGACTGGATCCCCCCGGAAATATTGCGAGCAGAAAGATTTTGAGTGAGAAGTTTTCTTTCATAGAAGTGGGAAATCTCTTTAAGTTATGAAATGTATCATGAAAGCTCTCTAAAAGCCTCTCATAAAACTGAAAATCTCGTCTATAAATCTCATAGAATTGTTTTTCAAATAGTTTGCCCCTAAATTATATTCGGAAAACCTGATATAAATTGCTTCTCAGTGTTAACTCACTGCATACACTATATTAATCAGATCTGCGGAGACCACACCCCCCCCCCCCCCTAATCGACAAAACAGATTTACGGCCCTGTTTGGGAAGATTATTTTGATATGAATTCATTACAATTTATTTTAAATCTAGTTCACCTATATCTTTTTAATTTCTAAATATTTTAAAAAACGAATCCACACAAAATAATTTTAAGATATCAAGAAGAAATGGTTTTGAAATTCAAGTTGACCGAGAAACCTATTTAGGAGTTTCTAATTTTTTTAGAAAAACGGTACCAGAATTTCTTAAAATCGTTTCTTAAAAAAACTAATTAAAACACCTGTACGAAGGAAACTTAGCAGCTGAATACTGTTTTAATTATCAATTGTTCCTGTTTCAACTCGAAGCTTTCAAGCCATTTGTGGTTGCGAACTCTCGGCGTCATTGAAGACCACAGGGGACTGAGCTTGACCTGATTAGGCTTGTTGCCATAGGGATGACCATCCACCAAGCCTTTGAATCGTTGTTTACAGGTTTGAGGCGTGATTGTGTCTCCAACAACAGTTAACTTGCCGCACGACACAACATAACAGACAGTGAAAATTATTGTGAAAGGTGGTTCGGAACTTCTTCGCCACAAATAAAGATGACCAATACCAACGACAGGGAGGTGATATCGTCCAAAATAAGCAATGGAAAAAAGGACAACTTTTCAAGCCAAAGAGTGTCTGGACAAGGTAACATTGATTCGATTTAAAAAATAAGGCAGGCGTAGAGCACCTTTTATGTTCCGTTCTGCTAAAAGAAATGAATTATTCCATTACCAAGCCTAATGATTTTGCGAAAAGGGTAATGGAAGATTTATGACTATCCTACTGTCAAGAGGAGAGATGGTTTGGGATCTTCTTTTGGAAGTATTCACAGAGAAGCAAACCCTGAATCCACGTTTCCCTTGCCTTGTTCATCTTTAAGTTTTATAGAATTACGAGAACGAATGATGGAGTTTAATTAAGATTAAGATGTTGGTCAGTTTTTTATTTATTTATAGGCATGACTTCAAGAGTCTACGCGTATATTTTTGTTTTTATAACGGTGCTACAAAATCAGTGTTATCAAGAGTATAATTAGTTTGAAGAAAATGATATGATTTAAAACTGATTTAATTGAAAACTTAATCTAATTCAAAACAGTGCAATTAAGTATCATTATCAAGAGATTATCCTATTCAATGTATAATAATTGTCAAACCATGCAGAATAGCAAATACAATTTCATTAGTACCAAGGTATGACATATGATAAAGATAACTTGTTAAGTTTTGTTTTGTTTCAACAGCTTCAGAAAGTTGTTTTTAGGACAACAAAAGACTACACTCATCAAGCAGTGCCCTTCTTTTTCTTCTACATGGTCAACATCTGGTTATTAAATGTGTGCCAAGTTTTGGCATGCCAGAGACTCAAACCCTAGCCCCTTGGATCTGTAATCTGTGCCCTAAAAGCAGCAGTTTTAGGAAATGTGAGCACATGGAGCCAAAAGCACATGCCAGGCGTTGCTCTATTCAATTTCTAGTATTCCCTAGGTGTGAGACCCCTTCTAGCCACCCAAGCATGATCCCTGAGGCCCTCCCCCTGCCCCCTAAAAGCTGCCACTGGACCCTTACCGTTAAGCCACCCTCACACATAAAGCCATAATGAATTGTGAAATTTTCAACAAGAGCTTTTTCAAAAGAGTATACATCAAACAAGTTTAAGAGTTTTTACATCAAGAAAATATTTGTGCTTACAAAACTTTCCTTTTGTCTTCGATTTTTGTGTTTTTGATGCATGTGAATTGTCACCTTTTTAAAATAAGTAGCTTTTCCACCTTTGCGTGGATAATTTGGCAACATAAAGTGATTGTTGATATTTTGTTAAGGTATCTTCTCATAATGTAACATGTTGAGGTATCTTTTTAAGTCTTATTTTAGACTGGTTTTATCATGCACCAAGAACCAACAAAGATAAAAGTACAAAGTCATCACAAGCAATACCAGTCTCCCAAATTCCAGGAATTGGGGATTTAGACAACTCGCCACTAGACTTGGGTGAAAATATACATCTTAGAAGAAAGTGGATAAGAGAGACTGATTCAAAGTATGTTAAACTTGCCAAACAAGGAGGCAGAAAAGGTACTTAAATGTGGAACTTGACTTTCATACTTTCCTATAAATTTCAGTAAGATTGAAACTTCTGTTTTATAAATCAAGTAGCTTATTGACTATTTGATAGAGGCATTCATAATACATATATAAATATTTAATTAAGATTATAGCTTACCGGCCTGTTATAAAGAGCTTGAAACCATATAGGCAGATCTGTGCATGTTGCCTGATGATGGCATTTAATGTGAAACTCAAAGTAGCAACTTAGAACAATCCTGTTCTTTACACCACCATCTAGCCAAAATTATGACCAAAGTTTTGGAGTGCTTACCCCGTTACAGTCCTGTGTGTTATTGGTCCATAAATATTGCTAAGAGTTGCTAATGAGATGAGGTTAGCAAAATGTGATTAATTTGCCCACATATTATCTAAAATGTCACAATTTTGCTCGGTTCAGCATTACCTTTGATCCTCTTCTTGCAACTTCATTAATTTTTCTAAAATTTTTCCGAAACAACTAATTTTCATGAGCTTTTCTAAGAAAGAAAATCTAGTACCTCAATACAATACCTCAGATTCTTATTTGCATCCATATTTCATTCTGTATAATTTTGTTTTAAAGCGTCCACACTTTCGGAAGCTGGGAACTCTAATCCGAATCTTGTGGGGGTTCAATTCAGTCATAAACAAAAGAACTGTTGTCAGTCAGGGAGAAATGCAGTAATAGTCAAAATTGAAATTTTATATAAAAATTAAAGATTCACAGAGAAACATGGCCCTTAGAATTTGACTGGTTTTTTTAAACCTGTGCAACTGGCCTAGATCTGCTCCTGCACCAAATAGCATATACAAATATTTATATGTTTTTAACATTGTCCACTTCTTTTTTGACAGATATTTTCATATACAGAGAACACAAGCCTTCATCAAAAGGTGCTGTTCACTATCCAAGGGTGGATTGGTTTGACCATGAAAATCAAAGTATTGCTCATGATCAAAACTCTACAGAAGTTGAAATTCCGTAAGTTCTTCTGTGTTTTGTATTTTACAACCTGCCAACACCCCCATTTAAACTCACCTGGTACCTGATTAAAATTCACTAACAATAGAAGCCCCCAATAATGGGAAACACTTTAAAAAAACTTTAGAATTACCAGTTTTTTGTTTCAACAAGTTTTGTTTGAAGTATTTCCTCTTTAAAACTTCTTTTCTTCATTTAAATTGAAAGTTTTTACCAAATTCCATTCTAGAATGACAGGTCTATATTTTCCTCTGTAGTGTTAACAGAAAGAGTTACTGCAACATTTTATCTCATTAGCTTGATACATCTTTCCCTTTTCCATGAAACATTACATCTGGAAGATTTTTAATTAATTGGTTTCTTTTCTTTGACTTTTTTGCAGCACAACATATAAGTCTGCTTATCCAGAATGGTATATCCATGAACTGAATGAGCAAAACCAAAGAACTCAAGAACAAAATACTTCAATAAAGAAAAAGCAACAGATCTTGGCTTTTGATGATATGTCATATTGGAAAAGGTAAGAAATTCCTAAACGAGGCTTTCTAAGAAGGCTTTGTAGTGATCCTAACCATTTCCCTTATGCTTCCATATTATTAGATCCAGCTGGAAAGATTTCATCATTTTGGTAGTTTTACTGAACAATAACTAACCAGAATCCTGGATTTACATCACCATTCTGAATTTATAAGTTGTTTTATTCTTGTAGTTTCTTAAAATAAAAGTTATTATAGGTTTTTCAAGCCCTTTTTAAATTATTTTTCACAGAGAAGCAGTGGAGCAGCAAGAAAGAAAAGTCAAGTCAACACCTTTGAAACTTCCATCTCTGGTTAAAAACAAGCATTCACATACAGGCATGAAGAATGGATCAAACATTGGATCAAATTTTGAACAACCTTATGAAACAAAGTTCCCTGTCATGTAAGAAGATATACATTCATATACTATTTTTCCAGATAGGCTTAGTACAAAACTACAAAGAGTTGTCAGAAAAGGCTGTCTGTTAATGGCTAGAGTCATCCTGAGATGGAAAACAAATTATTAATAAAGTCATGTTTATAATTCAGAGTTCTTTAGAGCCATAATTAAGTTATAAGACCTTGCTAGTCAGAAGAGTGGCCCCCAGGCTAGTACATAGAAACTCAGTTTTGCTTCTGACAACAATAGTTCTTCTGTTTACATTCCATGCTATTGTCTGAGCATGTAAATAATTATATCAGTCTGGCCAAAGGGTAATGTTTCTATAAATGAAATTATCTACTTTTTTCCATTATTAAATTTGAAATTGTAGGTATATTCTTGCTTTCTGTCCCTTCATCAATATTTTCTTGCTGTCCATGGCTTTTCATCTGCCCTACAAAGCTATCAAGCATATAGTTGTTTGGTAACTTCTTAAATCAACCAAAATCTTTCACAATGCAATGAAAACACTTCTGCTTACTATAGAAGCCCTAAGAAAAAAGAAGAAGGAAGTATTGGACAGTTACTTAGCATGCAGTATCAACGAGACTGGCTTGCAGAACAAGACGAGAGAAAGAAAATGTCTGAGGGGAGAAAGGTACTGTTTGAACCTTTAAGAATGTTAATACTCTTTAAAATTGGCTTTTTATTTTTTATACATTTCAACTGTTAATATTCATAGGGAAAAATCTGATTAAAAGGCTGTCCAATTCATATACTGCAGCTTGTTGCTTGGAATTTTTATGATTACTGTAAAAGCTCTATTAAGCCCTAGGTGGGGTGGGCTTAGCCATTTTTCAGTCCTAGAGGGGGGGGGCTTATTAATTATTCAAAATAAAACATTATAAAAATGCCACAATGCTCTGGGATTTCTTCGAAAGAAACAACATCAGTATCCTCTTGACTACCTTTACATGGGTTGTATTTAATGCACTT